TGCTTGTCAGACTCTGGAGATGTTTTCCATTAACAGCAGAGCCTCACTGTATTAAACATGACTGCAGCAGCTCTGTCAGAGGGGGATTTCTCCCTTTTGTCGTCAGATTAGATTCAGTTCCGGTGATTACTCAGAGCTCAGCACTCAACCTGCAGGTGAGAATTATATCTGTGCATATCTTTGCATTTTTTAAGCCTGAATATTTGAATGTAGAACATTTTAATCACTGAATATTTTCATGTCCTTGATGTTGATACTGTGATGTTCTCACAGTGCCGCCTCGCTCCTGTTCCTGTGAGGCTGCCAAGAGGGACGGTGGAAGAAATATTCCTGAGAAATAAGCTACGGCTGAACCAACCTGCATGGTTTATGCACAGCGAGACCACACACTTCATTACCGAGTCTTGATTTCGCTCCCTGTCCCCCTAATGAGCAGTCTGAATTATTACAAATAGTGATTTATTCATCAGCCTTTACTGGTTTGGATTATTTATTCAACATCAGCGTGTGCAACTTTTAGTGCTGAGAGCAAAGGTTTCCCATCTCTGTGGTGAGGAAATACAGATGTAATATAGATGTTGGTTTTCAGATACAGTTAAAATACCTCTAATGTATCTGCGAGGATGGCTAACCATCGCCGACCATCAAAGTCATCGGGTTGTTTCTACCTTAGCGTCATATACTGAGGTTTTCCACCACTTTTGCCATGTTTGACAGATCCCTAAGAATCCCTACACTCAGGGACTTCAGGGTGGTAATAATACATGGTGGCTTGATGGCCCACTGGCGCCCCAGTTGTTTAAATGATTCATCATCACCAACCACGAGCATGAGCATACAGCTTTATAACGTCCATAACCTCAATCCTGTCCAGTATATTTTTGTCGTTATGCTTTAAGAGGCTGTTACACAGGAAGAAAAATAACTCTGCCATATATATTTCTACTAAATGCAACACGAATCATCGACTATAAGTGTCGTAATCTTGGAAAATAACAGCTTTCCTTGTCTCACGTGTAGTTTCAAACACCACAGACCGGGCTTTAAAAGTGTGTATTGTGACAGTCCTCTTCACAAACACCCTCCTCACAGACCGTTATCAACATGAGGAGAACCACAGGGGCCTATACATCAAGAGGCGTCACTGCCGAGCTCAATAACCTATTTATAATGTGAGGGGGCTGCGTGAAAAACTCGCTGCTGTCAGTTTTCACATGGGGCCTCCATGCAAAGCGACTATTTGCGAGCTGCTAATCAGCCACCAGAGCAAACAAAGTAGAAATAAGTCGAGATCAAGACTCTATACATCAGCCGCCCTGTCACATCCTCTTTAAGTGAGAGCGTTAACCAGATACCATAAGGTCGCTCCGCATCTCTCCTGCTGCTGGACCCAGAAGTGCAGGAGATAAAGGATGATCCTGACTCTCTCTGGAAGCAGGACCGAAACACAGAGCGCCTCCTGAATATTCCCTTTGATCCTGCCGGCCTGGCACGGGGTGACAGAGATCCAAGCGGGCATTCGACGACAAAGGGATCTGAGGGAGGACAAGCCACATTCATGGCGAGCTCTGAGGAGGCCAGCTGAGCGCACCATCTGGCCTTCCCGGGCCGGCTAGTGCTCCTTGAAAAAGCACTCGAGTGATCTGAGAGGACTGGAGGAAGCTGGGATTTACCACATGACAATAGCTGCTGCTTAAACATGGAAGAATGACAAAAACACGCGGTCTATTTCTGGTAAAAAGACATTTATCAATAAATTATTCAGCTGAAGGTTAGCCCAGTGTTTCATACTTTAAAAAAATCAGTCAGAGCTACAGCGCAACAACGCCTGTAATAGATTATTACATTTGCTCTTAACTCCTCTGAACTAGCGTCCAGAACCAAGTGAGCTGCAGCCTGAGAGCATCTAGTCACATGTGGGATATTTTGTTGTTTTGGTCAACTAGAGCACTGCGATTACACGTGTAGTTACACCTAAAGTGTGTAGTGATTTGAAATGAGCCTCATACGGTCGCACCAAAATATATGTAGCGATTTGAAATGAGCCTCACAAGGCCGCACCAAAATAATACTTGGCGATTGGAATTTATAATAAATGTCTGAAGATTAATAATCTCAAATTATGACATTTATGCACTCGTTGAAAGGGGCACCACCCACCCTTAATGGTGGGAAAATAAAGAAAACAAAAGTTTAATTCAGAAATCAAACATCAAGTCAGTTTTAATTAATCAGTCTTAATTAATCAGTCTTAATTAATCAGTCTCATATCTTAAGTCGAAATTCTAATTTCAGGGACTCCACTTCTGGAAGAACACTAACAGACAGGAACTTAGAAAAATAATGATCTGTTTATTACAGGATAAATGATGGTACAACACACATGCAATAAATGATGATAAGATAATGAAGATAGATAATAATAGGTGAATAAATAAAGATTCTGAGTCAGGCTAGGAGCACTAAAGTTAATGATAGTGAGTGAATATGCGCTAACATATTAACCTACACTAACTTTGGTGTCGAGATAAACTCGGATGTGGATTTGGAGGAATCTAAGATCACCAGAAATAGGTGGATATCTGAGTTATGAACGCATGAGACAGCACCAGCCCTCTTTAGAGCTCTGGAGGTTTGCATACTTAAGTGAGACTGGTCCTTGGAGAAGATGGAGCAGGTTCCGAAGGTCCGGGGCTACTGGCGGTTCGAGCGGTTCAGCTCAGAAGACGACTGAAGTCAGCCGAAGGATGAGCCAGGAGTTGCAGCACTCGGGCCCGAAATAAAGCCAGCGCCTGTGGATCCTGTGGATGCTCGTTTGGGTACTTCTTTGGTCTCACTCAGAAACTCTGGCACAGAGGATGACCTGGGCCTACTGGGTTGCGTTCAGAGGTGACTTTGAGATCACGCAGAAAACTCAGAAAAACGAGACTCGAGCAGAGAAAACTTTCAAAAATGGCTTTGCAAAATTAAAGAAAAATCAATCAAAGGCTTAATCTTGAATTGCTATGCGCACAAAAAGTTGAAGTTTCAAAACTTGAACTAAGACGATGTTAAAGAAAAATCAACGTGAATCAACACGTGGCGTAAAACTTAGAAGACTAAGAAAAAGTTCTAAGAGAAAACAAAGAAACGCACCACAGAAGGGTGTGGGCAGAAGAGAAGGGGCATAAGAGCCGGGGACAAGAGAGTCAGCAGAAGAGCAGAAGCATAAGAGAGAGTAAGAGATAAGAGGAATAAAAAGAGTGAGCAACCCGACTTCACTGGTTTTATCTTCTCACACTGGGAGTGGCTCCGGCGTGTGTGTGAGACAGAGGAGGGGTCGTGGAATCTCTGATTATTTGATCTAACTTATACTTTTGGCTGGTAAAAGAGTCAGATCTGATACTCACTCACTATGATTAATATCATTGAATGCTTGGTTTCATGATAAATAATTTGACACTAAACACATATGAATGAAGTGTAGGATCACATCAAACATTCTCATTATGTTTTAAGTATCACATTAAACATGCTAAATTACTCTGAAATGAAACAGATAGTAACACATGGAAACTGTGAACAACAAAAGAGTAAATACATGTGAATGAACTTCATCATGATTAATAATGGATTCTAAATACTCACATTCAGATTATTCAATGACATTATAACCACCTAATGGTTAAAAATACTAAATAAACATCTACAATATAAACCAAACATTTCTAAACTGTTTCTGTTACCTAGAGTTAAGTTATGATTCATAGTCGATAAATTTAACTCTTAAAAGTTCATGAAACAGTCTGAAAATCTGTTGGTCTAAAGAACTAAAGAATAAGGATTTATTCTGTCAGATAAGATAACTTGGCTTCTGAAGCACATAGAAAAACGGGAAACATCTCATTTTAACACAAATTTCATGATTAGACAGATTAGTACATTGCTGAATGCATAAGATGTCATGATCAGTCATTTGTATTCTTTCACCAAAGGAATGCAGTCTTTATCAGTGTATGGTCGAGCAGGGTTTTACGACCGAGGTCTGGAGGTCAGTGTCCCCCTTTTCCTAGGGTCCGTATGTTCACACACTTTAAGACACTAAATCTCAAATGGGAGATCTGGGTTGAGACGTTAATGTTTATTTAGATGGTCAGCAAATGGAGTCAGTTTGAAAGGTAATAAAACTCTGTCTCTGTTCTCCGAATTGACCAATCGTGAAGAGTCAGAGGTTTAGTCAACCTCCTGTTGGGTCACTTATTTAACCTGAAAGGGCAAACACGTCTGGAAAGATTTATCTCCTGTTTCCTGGGACCAGATAAGGAAGCTTTCCTGTGAGGAATGTGTGGGTTTCACATCCAGGGTTGTCTTGATTGCTACAGTCCCCCCTTCGTCACGGTGGTCCTGTCCATGGAGCATCGGGACGACGAGTAGACAACCATGAAGCAGCAGCAGCAGCAGCAGGTGTATGCAAATAGGACTGATGCGTCTCATTATCACTATGTGAATCACTAGTATCTGCTTTAAGATAACATCAAGCATGCATTAAGCTATCAAATAAAATCGTCTAGGTGTTAGACTTTTCTCAGTTAACTATTGGTAGACTAATGTGAAAGAAAATCTCCTAATTTTCAGTATTAATGAGATTTAGAAAAGCACTCTTTAGTCTGAATGCTAACTGGATCTAAAGCTATAGCTGTTTTTCATGCTTGCTGGAGAAGTCTGAAAGTTCAATTTCAGTTTCAAAAATGGTTAAGACTTAGGTGGAAAAGAAATGTCTGCTATAGACATATTAACCATCTGTGTATGAGCATAGTCAACCTGAATCACAAACATCAAAAGTTTACTGCACAGAGTTTCTCTTAAACTTTGTCTGTTAAACTTGGGGATGATGCTCTTATCGGTTTGACTAATTATCTGCTGTTGAGTCTGAAATTTGTCAATCTGAGTCTTAGTGACAGAAATTTCAGCTTTTAATCTATTCATGGGATATTTGACAGCTGACAAGCTGACTATATTGACAGAGGAGAGACAAATGCTAACAAAGAAAGCAGCAACTGGTATTGCAGTCATCAATGTATCACCACAGCATTTGGATATCTTATTGGAGTCATTTAGCTTTGGCTAGGTGACTTCTGCTTTCGCAGGACTCACACCTTCATGACTCCACAGTGTTAATCTCAGTGGTTAGCTGAGTAGTCATGTTTATTCACCTTCAAAGTGGATGAAACCGATTGAGGTGGATAATAAGATCGTCGTTTCTGAGAGTGTGATTTACTCTGATTCTGCCAGTCATTCACCCCACTTTGGCGGTGTTGATGGTTTTTCCTTTGTCTGGGATAAAACCCACCGTGACGGGAGTCTGAATAACAACAGTTGGTCTCAAAGTTTACCTGGCATTGGTCTGGGTCAGACCTGGGCCTTGGTGTGTAACTTTGACCTTTGTGAGTTTGTTGAGGTCGAAAAGGTTTTGGAGGCCTGGTTAACCACTCATTTGGAGGCTTATCGGAGCCTGAAAAAACACAGTCTGAAGCTTCGTTCAGCTCCATGGGCAGTGATTTTGTCTCCATAGCCAAGAGAGTAACGGGCTCTGCTTTCTTAGCCAAAGTTTGTCGTTGTTTGGCAAAACCTTTTACAGCAAGTTCACGAAGCTGTTGGCTAGTCGAAGTGTTTGGACAAGCTAAGACGCCAAGGTGATGACTGGTGGTAGGGTGGAGGTTCTGGACGAACAGCGTTTTGAAGTTCAAGTCCTCCTCCATTTCTGGTTCATTTCGGAAACCAAAGTAAGCTTCGCGTAAGCGGTTGTAATAATGTTGGGGAGGTTCTGATCTCCCTTGTTTAATAGACAGAGCAGCAGAGAGGCCTGTCTGGGTCAAATAGTCAGAAAACTCTTCAATTAATGCTTGGCAGAGCAAGTCATAATTATTTCTGACATGATAAGGCTGTCGTTCTAGGAAACTGCTAACCTCTCGACTTGACGTCGCCTTAATAAGGTAGATTTTGTCATCAACGGTTGCACCTGGAAATTTCCGCAGGTAAAAGTCAATGTCTTTCAAGTAGGTGCAGGTGTCAGTAGCACCTTGGTGCTCAGGTTCAAAGCGTGCTATGATGCGAGCAATTTTGTCAAGATCCCTGTCTGAGGGAAATGGTAAAAAACCATCATGAGGAGGAGAGTAGGACTCTTGGTTTAAGGATGACCTCTCAGGGTCAAGCAGGGTCCTGTCATGATGCTGAGAGAGATACTTAAGAGTTGGTTTGGAAGGAAGTGATGGCGCTCTCTCAGGAGGCTGATCACCTATCATTTCTTCAAGAAACGTTTGCTCCATGCGTTCTCTTTGGGCTCGACCTGACTGGAGGGAGCATTGTAACTCTCTTTGGGCATCTTCAAGTTCTTTGTCTGTCTTTTCTTGCCGTTCTTGACAAAGAATTAACTGTCTTTGAGCTATCTGGAGCTGGTGCTGTAAGGTAGAAGTTTGCTTCTCCTTAGCTTCAAGAGCTTCAGCACGCACTTTGACCAGTGCTTTCAAAGTTTTTACATCTTCTGTTGCTTGCTCTAGTAGGGATTCTGACTGTATCAGATCCTCTGTGGTCTTAGCAAGCTGCTTATTCGTGTCATCAAGTTCTTTCTCCTTTTTGTAAAGGGTTTCATTAAGTCTTTCAATCTTGTCTTTAAGATCAAGATTTTCTTCATGACTTATCAGTGAGGGAAGCTTTGACGCTTCACATCTGGCACTATGTTTTCCTAAAACACTTAGAGACTTCTTAGTCTCCTCTAGCGTCTTTTTCAGAGCGCTGTTTTCGTCTTTTTGCGCCTTTATCTTTGCTAAAGCGCATTCCAGCAAGTAGTCTTTATACTCAAGCTGAGAAGACATCACGACAGACATGCATCTAGTGAGCTCTTTGTCACGAAGTGTCGTGGTTAAAGCTGTTTCCAGTAAGTCAGCCATTGCATCCTCCGGATTGGAGGGTTTGGCCTTTTGAATCTTAGTCATGTACTGAAGTATCAGCTGACTAGTCAAGTTTGCCAACACTGTGTGTATGTCCCTCAGGGGGTCTCCCTGGCTGGACTCTTTTGTGTTAGGCATGTTTGGTTTTGGTAAAGAGGTGCAGGTGGTTGGTTGATGAGTTTGAGTTGGCTTAAAATGAAAGGAAGAAGCAAAATATCAAATTAAGTGGGTTAATCGACTTAATTTATCTGTGCTTGATAAAGAGGAAGAGCCTATCTGAGTAGATCTCTAATGGAGAGAAAAATAACATAAAGTTAAATTCATTTCAATGAAAATTGAAATAAAACAAGGTGAAATAATGTTAAATTAAATTTAACATCAGATACAGAACCATTGAATAAAGGGTTCAATTTGTCTCCGTGTTGCAGAGATCAGCAAAGCTTAAATAAACTGCCTGGTGCAGTTGGATGAATTTGAAAAATCAATGAAATTGTCAATTTAAGGAATTAACTCTGAAATTAATTCACAAATTGCAATAAATCCAAAGGTTCAACTACCCAAATCCATCTGGAATGTTAAAAGAAATTTCAAATATTAATTAATTTGTGCATTAATTAATTAATCTTATGAGAAGGGTTAATACATTCATGTATTATAGGGAACAGTAAACTGCTCAATGGTGTGATAAGTAACAACAAGATCAGGTGATTGATTCAAGGAGTTACTTTATCAATACATTATGGAGGCTCTTATAACAAAGATAAAAATCAAAAATCAATGATCAATGATTTAGAATAAGCACATCAAACTTCATCAACCAAGTCACTCACTTGAATTATGTCTGTAGAGTGTTACACACTGACTACAGAGAGGCAGTACAGCTGGCTGATACTACAGGCAGATAATAGCAGTGTTAGCTCAATACCAAAAGCAACCATGTGGGGCAGTATGGAGTTGGGATAGCTGCACAAGCTCAACACAAGTGGAGAAGAAGAAGAAAAGAGGAAACAGTCATCCAACTAGCCTCTTGTGGCTGTGAGGAGTTGGGAAGTGTGCAGGAAGGGGCCTTTAGGCTCTGCCTCCTTGAAGGGCCTTATCTGCTTAAGGCCAAATGGTCAGTCTCTCCACTGACAACAAAGGGTTAACATTTCACAGCAGGCTGCGTCTGCACCCTCAAACATAGAACTTTACACCATCTGCTCAGGCAGATTGGTTCAATAAAATCATTTACAGGAACAAGAATCAAAGTGACAAATTCTTAAACAGCAGATTCAACTGCAGACTTTAAAATCACAAATGCGGCGATTTGTGATCACAAATTTTGTCTGAATTCATTCAAACAACAACCTCCCACTGTTACAGTGGTTTCCTGTGACAGGTAGTTAATCTGTCAGGGGAAAGGAGGAAATCTGAATCCCATATAGTTACTAGAACTTCGTAGCAGACTATAGAGACAAGAATCAAAGTGACAAATCCCTCAACAGCAGATTCAACTGCAGACTTTAAAATCACAAATGCGACGATTTGTGAACACAAATTTTGTCTGAATTCAATCAAACAACAACCTCCCACTGTTACAGTGGTTTCCTGTGACAGGTAGCTAATCTGTCAGGGGAAAGGAGGAAATCTGAATCCCATATAGTTACTAGAACCTCGTAGCAGACTACAGAGACTTCAGGGGCTTGAAACCACAGCTCGGAGCATCGCGAACACTGGGTTCAGCCAAAGGCCTTAAATACAAGCGTACAGCGACGCAACAATCGTGCACTTAAATATTGGACAGTCTAGACAGAGCAGAAGAGTCAGTCTCACTGCTACTCAGAACAACATTTCACGCTGTCCAGCTCAAACACAGACTACAGGCATGTAGTACAAAAGTGTGTGAAACACAGAGCATAAAGGTTTTATGCATAGATCAGGAAAACATCAGAACTTAGTCAAGCAACTTCAGCAAGCATAGCATTTATTGTGATTAAGTCTAGGATAGCCTGGAAATAAGTTTCTCTCATCAATTTGGAAGGCTAAGTTTTAGGTTGTCTGTTAGTATCCAGAAGTTTTGTTTGAAACGCCTCACGCAGGGGCACCAAAATATATGTAGTGATTTGAAATGAGCCTCATACGGTCGCACCAAAATATATGTAGCGATTTGAAATGAGCCTCACAAGGCCGCACCAAAATAATACTTGGCGATTGGAATTTATAATAAATGTCTGAAGATTAATAATCTCAAATTATGACATTTATGCACTCGTTGAAAGGGGCACCACCCACCCTTAATGGTGGGAAAATAAAGAAAACAAAAGTTTAATTCAGAAATCAAACATCAAGTCAGTTTTAATTAATCAGTCTTAATTAATCAGTCTTAATTAATCAGTCTCATATCTTAAGTCGAAATTCTAATTTCAGGGACTCCACTTCTGGAAGAACACTAACAGACAGGAACTTAGAAAAATAATGATCTGTTTATTACAGGATAAATGATGGTACAACACACATGCAATAAATGATGATAAGATAATGAAGATAGATAATAATAGGTGAATAAATAAAGATTCTGAGTCAGGCTAGGAGCACTAAAGTTAATGATAGTGAGTGAATATGCGCTAACATATTAACCTACACTAACTTTGGTGTCGAGATAAACTCGGATGTGGATTTGGAGGAATCTAAGATCACCAGAAATAGGTGGATATCTGAGTTATGAACGCATGAGACAGCACCAGCCCTCTTTAGAGCTCTGGAGGTTTGCATACTTAAGTGAGACTGGTCCTTGGAGAAGATGGAGCAGGTTCCGAAGGTCCGGGGCTACTGGCGGTTCGAGCGGTTCAGCTCAGAAGACGACTGAAGTCAGCCGAAGGATGAGCCAGGAGTTGCAGCACTCGGGCCCGAAATAAAGCCAGCGCCTGTGGATCCTGTGGATGCTCGTTTGGGTACTTCTTTGGTCTCACTCAGAAACTCTGGCACAGAGGATGACCTGGGCCTACTGGGTTGCGTTCAGAGGTGACTTTGAGATCACGCAGAAAACTCAGAAAAACGAGACTCGAGCAGAGAAAACTTTCAAAAATGGCTTTGCAAAATTAAAGAAAAATCAATCAAAGGCTTAATCTTGAATTGCTATGCGCACAAAAAGTTGAAGTTTCAAAACTTGAACTAAGACGATGTTAAAGAAAAATCAACGTGAATCAACACGTGGCGTAAAACTTAGAAGACTAAGAAAAAGTTCTAAGAGAAAACAAAGAAACGCACCACAGAAGGGTGTGGGCAGAAGAGAAGGGGCATAAGAGCCGGGGACAAGAGAGTCAGCAGAAGAGCAGAAGCATAAGAGAGAGTAAGAGATAAGAGGAATAAAAAGAGTGAGCAACCCGACTTCACTGGTTTTATCTTCTCACACTGGGAGTGGCTCCGGCGTGTGTGTGAGACAGAGGAGGGGTCGTGGAATCTCTGATTATTTGATCTAACTTATACTTTTGGCTGGTAAAAGAGTCAGATCTGATACTCACTCACTATGATTAATATCATTGAATGCTTGGTTTCATGATAAATAATTTGACACTAAACACATATGAATGAAGTGTAGGATCACATCAAACATTCTCATTATGTTTTAAGTATCACATTAAACATGCTAAATTACTCTGAAATGAAACAGATAGTAACACATGGAAACTGTGAACAACAAAAGAGTAAATACATGTGAATGAACTTCATCATGATTAATAATGGATTCTAAATACTCACATTCAGATTATTCAATGACATTATAACCACCTAATGGTTAAAAATACTAAATAAACATCTACAATATAAACCAAACATTTCTAAACTGTTTCTGTTACCTAGAGTTAAGTTATGATTCATAGTCGATAAATTTAACTCTTAAAAGTTCATGAAACAGTCTGAAAATCTGTTGGTCTAAAGAACTAAAGAATAAGGATTTATTCTGTCAGATAAGATAACTTGGCTTCTGAAGCACATAGAAAAACGGGAAACATCTCATTTTAACACAAATTTCATGATTAGACAGATTAGTACATTGCTGAATGCATAAGATGTCATGATCAGTCATTTGTATTCTTTCACCAAAGGAATGCAGTCTTTATCAGTGTATGGTCGAGCAGGGTTTTACGACCGAGGTCTGGAGGTCAGTGTCCCCCCTTTTCCTAGGGTCCGTATGTTCACACACTTTAAGACACTAAATCTCAAATGGGAGATCTGGGTTGAGACGTTAATGTTTATTTAGATGGTCAGCAAATGGAGTCAGTTTGAAAGGTAATAAAACTCTGTCTCTGTTCTCCGAATTGACCAATCGTGAAGAGTCAGAGGTTTAGTCAACCTCCTGTTGGGTCACTTATTTAACCTGAAAGGGCAAACACGTCTGGAAAGATTTATCTCCTGTTTCCTGGGACCAGATAAGGAAGCTTTCCTGTGAGGAATGTGTGGGTTTCACATCCAGGGTTGTCTTGATTGCTACAAGTGGTTTTAAGTTGTTATCTGTGCAAAGGTGCTTAAAGGTGGGGTAGGCAAGATTCCGTTAGAGAAGCATCTTCTTTCGTGGTTTATATACAAAAAAGCTTTTAATATCAGTCAATAGCTATTAGTTATTGATGACATTTGGGAATATCCTGATATCACTGTGTTTTCTTATGTCTGTGTAGTAAACATATTAAAATTTTTGAGCAGGCCGCTCTTTCTGACTGTAAACAAAGCCGTTCTCCACCTCCTTGACCTGATTGGTTGTGAGGCAGACGCTGCTCCCCCAAACAAAGTTAGCGTGCAACAATATCGGACAGTAGAAACCAACCATAAAGTTCGGAAGATCGTCTGAATCCTCCTTTAGCCATGACTGCCAACACAAGCAAGAAAACAAACTAAATACCGGAGACTCTGGCTGAATAACGGGCGCTTAACAAGAAGGTAGACCGGACAAGAGCGAAAAAGCCGGTTCAACATCAGTGACGCTAACACAAACAATGGGGAATGCTTCAGGATCTTCATGACCCTGTAACCTTTCTGTTGGACAGGTAAACTGCTTTAACAAAGTAAGACAAGTGTCTGTAACAGAAGTGTTTCATGTCAAACGGGACCTGCTGCGTGTTATAGTCCCACTAAACTGTTGACCTCTATAGCTCCATAGTCGTTAATTTACAGTCATTAAAAAAATAGTTTTTGCATGAAGAGTAATTTCATGCAAAAACCAAACTAACATAGATAACCAGATAAAAACATGATGAAAATACATGGTCTCGTGAATGAAAAGTTGACAGACCACCTTCTGCTCTAAACAGTCGAGGGACAGTCCAGCTTGTTATCAGCCCACATGAGTTCAAAGCCAGCACCCTTAATGGTTTAGTGATGCATAAGTGTCCATGACACGGGTACAGACTCATCTGAGAATGCAGTATTCAACATATGCTGCCATGCAGACACTGCCTTTCTCCGAGGAGACCTTAAATATTATCATTAACAGTTTATAAAGCAACAAAATAATGATGGTACAAATAATACTTTAACAAATGCCTGGAAGTCTGTCAATTTTTTTGTTCAGCACCTTATTGCTTAGGGACAAAAACATGTCAGTCAGCTTTTGGCAATCCAAGAAAATACCTGGTTCTTTATTCCTGGAAGCTGAGTTATAATATTTTTGTTTTATTTCACACAGGTCCTGAATTCCAGACTAAATGTTCTGGTTATTGACAGAGAAGCTGTGATTTCTTCTTTAAAATAGTCCATTTCCTGCTCATGCACCGAGATAAGCGTAGTATGGATTTTCCTCTGCAACAGTGTGGGGTGCAGACTTTCTGCAGGTCAAACTCATTTTGGAGGGATCAGCAGAGTCCAGCTTTTAGATTAAAGGAGCTCATGTTGTGGACAGCAGTTTGATAGAGATATATTAGGCTCCAGATACCTGCTTATCTTTTTCTTATCTGTAAAAGCACAAAAATAAGCACATTAATGTTTTAATTATCAGGAATAATCAGTACATAATTACATCTCAGGTTGTGTTTGCTGGATGCCAGTCAGAAAATATGAGATGGATTTGACGGTAATATCTAGTTCAGGTTTGCATTGTTGAACTCTGATAAATAAGTTTCTGCCAAACAATAAAACGGTGCACAGAAACGAGAACAGAGACTCACAAGTTTGTTTCTGACACTTGTAGACCTCTGAGAAAGTCCCCACAGATTCCTAACCTACTTTTGCTTGCTGTAAACTTCCAAATAAAACTGTTTCCAGACTCTCTGACAGCAATCTTACTTTAAATGTCAGCAGTTTCTTTTCAAACAAAAAGCAGAGCCTGTCCTGCACGTCTGAGGATCTCCAAAAACTGGACACCTCCACGTTAACTTTGCTTTCAGACACACAGACGTGTTAAGAGCAAATGTTCAGATCTGCACACATCTACTGACATTTCTCAAAGGTTCAGAGTCTGGAGAGAAAAAGCGAAACGTAACTCATTAAAGAAGATATTATTAATAACCTGAAGTCTTAAATCCTCCCACCTTCTTCCTCTTCTGGAGTGAGGATGGTCACAGGAGCATTTGATGTAATGAAGAGTATTTTTCTTTTTTTTTGTTTTATCACAGAGATGAGCTTTTGGAGCGTGGGCGTCAGCTGGAGGCAGAGAAATCCTCCTCAGTCTCAGAATCCAAACAGACCCAACATGAAAGAAAAGTGCAATTACCCAGCCTTATTCCAGTTCAATTGGACGCCACCACCGATAAAAGCAGAGGTGTCTGTCTTCAACTCGAACTCAAGATGAGCAGGTCGCCATGTGGTCTTAGAGTTTGTTTGTGGGGAAACCGTGGGAGAAGTTTAGGGACTGAGAAGCAGATCTACACCACTGAAGGGTTCATTTATTGAAGAAGTAAAGAACATTTCACAACGGCAATGGCTTCGTACTTGATCAGCTAACAATGATCATTTCACCAGCTGAACTCTTCTGAACAGATTAGCTTTAACTTCACAGATTAAACCCCATGACAACCAGGGTTCTAAATTAAGACCCGCCAACCCCCCAAATGCGGGTTAAAATTCTTTTTGGCGAGTGTTAATAAAAAGTTCCTAGCCAGTTTGGCCGGTGATGCATGAGGCAGTCGTGTCGGTCATATATGCTCTACTGAGGTTCTGCTCTCGGTCCCATAAATACTGCGCTGTAATGCTACTTAATGACGTTTTATATTGGCTGCACGAATGCCGGTATTTCCCTCTACAGTCTACAGTGTAGAGAGCAGGGAGTTTCGTAAAAACAGATCAGCTAGAATAAAGCTAAACTTAATGTGGCGGTGGTTGAACTTAGGACAGACGAGCTGGGGTGAGAAGAGGATGGAGGGAGGAGATGAGGATATCAGCAACAGAGCGTGCGAAACGAAAAAAAGAAAGTTTAACATTAAATGGCTGACGGGTCGTGAATGGCTTGTGTTTGATCATGAAAGTAACATCATGTTTTGTCAGTATCGCCTCATGTATGTAAAAGAAAAAACCAAATGTGGAAATTCTGATTGGCTGGTGATCAAAAAAGTTCATTTAACCCTGATGACAACAAAACTTAAAGTTCATACAGGTGCAACGTCTACTCACAGATCCCAGATGTGGATTGTGGTTTGAGAAGTGATCTGATTCTTGTTTCTTGTGAGAATTAACATTAAAGTTCCACTCCGATCTTTTTTTTTACTATTCAAAGTGTCTTTAAATTGTGATTATGAAGTTTCTCCAAAAAATCTCGTTCCCTGTGTCGTTTTCAAGAACTTTTCTTCTGCAGAGCTCCAGTAGCTCATTAGCAACTTCCTTCTGAGTCGTGGGCGGAGACAGCGCTGCTCTGTACACTCCTCTTCATGCTAGCTTGTAGCCTAACATTGCCTGTGCAGCAGAAGTGGCAGGTAAGACACTAATGTCTTTGGGGACATGATGAAAGTTAAGATCATAATTGGCTTTCTTACGAGCATTGCAATCTGCTAACGCACATGCTTGTTCTGCGATCGTCCTCTCTAATTCTCTGAGTCTGGCCTGCATAGCGGGGCTTGAGAGGCGGAGCTTGGATTTGTGACATAGAAAATCTCACTGTTTTTGAATCTGCTGTTTGGGTCTGCCAGAGATTCACAGAGATTTGAATGAAGAAATACTCAGAAATGTAAACTTGTATTTAACGTTTCTCATGATATGTCCTGTAGCTTCAGAAAAATGTCATATGAACATGAAAAACAAGAAAAATGAATAGGCATACCAGCAAATCAATTGTGATCTAGCCTACATTCACAGTTGTGGTTGTTAAATACTTCCGAGTCAAACAGCTTAAGTGGTTCTCTGCATCAGGTCCTATAAATATAAAATCCTGCAGCAGGTCGAGGTTTTAAATCCGGCCCCCTCTTCTCATTTAGCTTGATGTGAAATTACCATTTTAAATGTAAAACCTGTCAGGCAGCTCAATGTGCAGCTCTGACACTGACAGTCCAATTCCCGCACTCATTCATCCTGTCACCTTCCAGCTAAATATAGTTTCACATTTTTGCCCCAAAGTATCGTCTGACAGGTGATGAAGGCGAATTCGGCGTCACTCAATCTCAGTGACATCCACCCAGAGACCGCTCTTTCACGCCACACAATAGCTGCCTTCCATTAAATATGTATTTTATTCTTTTCAGCGGCACAAACACATCTCTTTCTTTATGCACATGAAAATGACACCACTCTAATGTGAACCAGACGTTTCCATAAGCGCACATGAAGTCAAGGGTTTTAGCAGAACTATTTCACAACAAGTGGAATCTCAATTTTTCCCACTCCTGAACAAACCCACTCTATATTCTCCTCTCATCTCCTGCATATGGATCCTCAAAGACATAATCCGCCTACACCCTGCTCAGCTTATGACAAATCATCCTGATGCATAACAAATTCTCCCTCCTGAGAGGCCCTGAGAGGGCTCTGCTTTATGTGTTCTAGCAGACACGTCCTACTTTAGCTCTCGCTGAACCATGAAACCACAATTTCATCATCACATATACATGGTATGTATTTGGCTTTGTAATATCCCTGTTGAATGTATCATCCTGAGTGGAAAATGGGATTTTGACTCCAGCTGTTGCATGAGGAACACTTACCATAAATGTCAGATAAATGTTGACGAATGCATACATAATTTATCAACAAATCTGTGAAGATATAAAAGTTTTTTATGCTCAGCTGCTGCAGGAAATTAAATCATCTTTGCTCAGACTCTGACAGTCCTTCATCGGGGAGCAAATTATTGTACAACAATAGTAATCAGAAAGACACGATCGAGGCGAATACTCCAGTTTCTTTTCATAGAGTAAGAAACTTTAAACTGTTTTCACATGTATGGCTCTTTGGCTTTACTTAAAGAAAATAATACATGGTTGTATTTTTCCCTTGGTGTGTTTTCTTGTCATGTTACTGTACTACATGCACTGTACATGTACTGTAAAGCAGGCGAAAGCACACATCACCTCAAGGCTGTTTTGAAGTCATTGTGTCACAGCCTCATTTCCTCACTGCTCAGGTAAACAAATGTCATGTGCAGCGGCCGCACTTTACATAATAGGAGGCTTGTGATTCAGCTGAAAGAGTTACCCCGTAATCTGGCCTCTTTCAGCCAAATGTGGCAGCCGTTGTCATGGTTACAACAGCGGATGAAAGAGTCCCCTGAAATGCATTTTTGTTTATTATATATTATTTTTATGATAATGTCATGATATACTCATCAGAGATGAAAGCAGCAAAGAGGTGAAATGCTTCATCGTCCAACAAACAAAACTACTGAGGGTTACAAACATGTGAGTCAGCGCATGAATGAGAGACGCTTTAGACCGTCTGCTGAGCGCTGTTTCACGAAGGCCAAGAAACTCCGACAGCAGTGTGAAAAAAGGCGAAATCAGCTCGGATAAAAAGAACGTCAAATTTACATGATTCGACAAGATGGACTAAAGTCACAGCAATTAAACAAGTTTAACCAGTAGATACTGTGGAAACCATGGGTTTGCTGATGTTTCAAATGCATATTGACCCCCAATTTCCACCGCATCCAGAATGGCTACGAAAAGGCTATATCCGCCAATCATAGCTGATCATAACCATTCAAGTCAATGTGTCAATTTCCACCGGCTTCTTTCCGTTTTACTGCAAATTGCCGGACTCCACAAAATAAAACATCCGGCTTCTTTTCAGAATAAAACACTCCATGTTTCAGGCGGATCGTATTTCACACCATGTAAACGGGCAGGACGAACAAGTGAAAGGTTTATGGACATCATTTCAGCCCAATGACACCATGGATGAGGAGATGCTGGTTCTAAAAGTCTAGAAGGGGATTTCCTCCTCTGGAAGGACACAATCTACTGCTCATATGGTTATGTGTCTGTGGCTGTCTTTATGGAGACAACTCATTATTGCGTGATTGCACATGAATCCGCGGGTTCTTGTGAGTTCTCGTGATTCACGCTGTCTGTAATCTGCCATGAAATTTGCCTCACAAACTGATCCGGTGGGAAGTGGCAGACGGCGAAAATTGCAGCTGTTCCAGATCGGAGCCGTTCCGGATGTGGTGGAAATCCGGGGTTACGACTGGAATCGCACTAAAATCGAACTCTCAGATTCACGTAAACATACCTGGATAGTGCAGTTGGAGATAAATTTACTCTGTCTAAAAAAAAAAAAAGAAGAAACTAACGTAAGGAACGGCCAAGAGCTGTAAAAATAATGTCCTGGTAACCTTGTGCTAGTGCATGAAACATGTCAGCCGGGAGATGACCCAATGGTAACAAGCTAAAAGGCGCTTACTGTTGCAGAGGTGGACACGCTTCTGTCGTCATATAAAATTTGTCTTACTGTCGACTCCAAAAGCAAAACCAACTCACCTTACGCAGTGAGTGCTTTGCAGTATTTAAAGAATACAATGCAGTCTCGGTCAAGACTTTCAAGACCTCGGTGTGGTCCTGCACGGGCCAGGAGAGTCACAGCAGCTTCTTGTGTGTCATGGCTCTTGGCGTCTGATCACAGACTCTGAAACAGTGAGAGGATTCATGCAGGCCAAAGTGGATTAAGTGACTCTGTGCGATGATAACACCGACTTCTGGTTTAAAGATGTTCATGCACTTCGATGTGCATCTGCAAAATACATGGCCGAAAGTGTGAAAAAAATAACATGTTTAAATGCATATGGTTGACTATATATGACTGACCTGCTTGACTGTCGTGTTCTACAAATAAGGCCGAGCTGAAAATCCAATTGAACAGCCCCACTCTGCTAAATAAAGAATGAAGCTGACGACTGAAACAATCCTCGTCTCATTTTGCCCAGTGTTTTTATTGCTCGCTGATGGGGTTATCGTCAGTGAAATTAGTAGGAAGCCATAGCTGTATATTGGCCATTTGCTGCCACAAATTCTAATGATATAAAGTCTTCACCAACATCTGTGTTCCCAAACGGGTCTTATTTCTGGAGCTGTTTTGCAATCACATCTCACATGAGCACTCATGATTATCACAGAGGCAGAGATTTACTGTGGGAGGGGACATCCAGAACATCAAAGCTTTTACATGCATGCATGCACCGCTCCGGTTCCTACATCTTATGCAAATAAGGATGCAGGCTTTTACATTTCCAACACGAGACACACACGGAGAAAATCAAAGAATGCAAACGGGAGACTGTGAGGAGGATGATGTAACTGTTTGGACCAGGATGCCGAGTTTCTGGGAGGTACAAAAAAAAAAAAAAAAAGTGTGAGGAGTGGAGATAAAGTGAGAAAGAGGTGACCTGGTTTAGTTAAAATCTGTGAGGCTGCTTTGATCAAAAATTGACACCTGAGGAGACGGCTCTCAGGCACTTGAGTGAAGTGATGTAAGCGTATTGACTTATTGAAGCCGGGCCAAATGTGTTATCGACTTCCCATGAAATAATTGCTCCCCAAGGCTGCTGCCATTTGCTAATCTTGGTGAAATGTTGCGCTCTCTCTCTCTCTCTCTTTCTTATGAGGGTAAACTGAAAGAGTCTGAAAGTGTTTTTTTTAATAAATGCGCTATCCTGGCTGGCAATTCAGATGTGCCATGCAACTCATAAAAGGATGTTATTATCTTTGAAAGCCATGCAATCCTATTTTCCTCTCCTATTCTTCTCTGCGTGCATTTTTTCCCTTATATTGTTTGCTTGTTTTCCAAAATACTAAATCCTTGTTTTAGAAAAGCATAACTAAAGAAAGAAAGTACAACAAAAGAGGAAGGAAATTGGGGTGAAATCACGGCTGAACAGAGCTGAATAATACCTGCACGCTCAAAGAGAATAATTTGAAGAAATGGTTGAATAATGACCTTTCTGCAGTGTGTTTTCCTCCTCCATCACTGTGCATTGTATCAGTTCATTGCATGCTGGAAAATCCCCTGACACACAATTCAGAGTCATTTAATGGAACTATCTCTGGCTAATAACCAGGAAATTATGTCAGATTGCCTTGTGTGCAGCATCATCCCCAAATGATGGTTCAGTGTTTCTGAACATAGTCGTATTTTTCTAAGATTCCTATTTCCAATCTGGACTCTTACTTTAAAGGTTATTTTATCAGCCTGCAGGCTTTTATTAGTGATTATCTGCTGGTAAATCTTTCATTTCCGCTTCCACAAAGTCTGTCTGAAACTCTGTCGGGAAAGAAATAGTCTTATTCTCGGGAGAGTTTGGAACAAAGTGCATTAAAAGTTAAGAAAGATGTGATTATTTTTGCAGCGGTGTAAAATAAAGTAAGATATTGCATCCTAATACAGGGTCAAGTATGGAAATTAGCTTTCCCTTATGAATCTTATCCTCTGGGATCAGACACTGAGAAGTAATGTGGGCTTTAATTGCTTTTGTATGCCTTAATATTTATAATTAATGTAATTTGTTTGTTTTTCTCTGAGGCTGTAAACCAGCCTTGAGCTCTCAATTTCCCCTGCACGGTTATTGTACATCTTTATATGTGTGTGTGTGTGTGTGTGTTTGTCCATGTATACAGTATGTGGGTGTGATATGAATGTCTGCAGCAGCACATTCAGGCCTCCAGCAAGCTGCATTCAGTCGCAGAACTGTTGTTTAGATAACTATTCACCACAATACAAAGCTACACATTTATATATACTGTATAAATAAAGCCAACAGAGTAAAACTATAGGAGTTACTACAATAGCAGATATAAGCGCATAACTGTAAGTAAGGAGTGAGAGTGTAGACAGCTGCAGAGGTAGAATCAAAGCACATCTGCTCCATGAGATTCATTTAAAAGAGTTTTTAAAGATACAGTAAGTGAATTTCAGTGGCGACTATATCAAACGATCAGAACTTCAACATAATTTCCTATTATTTAGCTGAATTGTTGAGTGGAAGTGGAGGTTCTCTTAAAACTATAGCTGTAGTTTTTTGTTGATAATTATGTTGTTAACTGTAGAGTTAGGTTAGTTACCACACTGTTACCAAGGACGGTAAAAAGGAAGGGTCACCAAAGTCAAAACTCAAAAACACTTCACAGCTGAGGGTGGGATGTGCTAGACTGCTTTAACCAAACCCATTTGATTAGATAAGATTGGCATGAATGGATTATTTGATTTGGATTGGACTAGATGGGATTGATTGGATTGGATTGGATTGGATTGGATTGGGTTAGACTGGATAAGGCTGGGTTTTGGTTTGTTTGGATCAGATTGGATCTGATGGGATTGTCAGGATTGGATTGATTTAGTTGGATTGAACTTGTTTCAGTTAGCACTATTAGGAGTGCATTGATGGGTTGTATTGGATTTGGTTAGTTGGAATAAGTTGGATAAAAATGTATTTGATTTGATTAAAATGGGTTGGTTTGGGTCTAGTTGGATTAGGTTTTGATGGGTTGGGTTAGATCAGATCGGATTAGGATTGGACTGGATGGGATAGGATTTGATTGGATGGGATTGGTTGGATCAGACTGGATTAGATACGATGGGATTGCCTGGATTGGATTGATTTGGTTGAATTGGACTGGTATCATCTTGCATGGTTAGGATCGCATTGATAGGACTGTATTGTGTTGAATAGGATTGTGTTGGATTTTATTTGATTTGATTTGGATGGATTGGTTTGGGTCTAGTTGGATTAGGATTGGGTGGGATTGGGTTTGGTTTGAACAAAGATTAAGACACTGATAATTAGTTTGCGTTACTGTTTGAAGGAAAGTTTTGTTCATTGTTTGCCTTGCAGCTCATTCACTCTTTCCACCGAGGACACAAAGTTTTAATTTTACAGTTTGTACCTCGGAGGAAAATCATCTTATTGTTTTTTGTTTATTTAGTTCTGTGTTGTTTCTTGATAGATGAAGCAGACAACAATATAAAGAACAGCTTAGGGGTACAGAAACTCTAAAACTTTTATGACATGAGACTAAGAGCTCAGACTGAAATCAGTGTCTGGTCTTGAGAACGGTTTAATAGTCTGTTATTGCCTCTCTATATCTCACTGACAGCTCGCTCTGAGTGTTGCATCAGATGAATCAGCGCAGTGATCCGTCCTGAGAGGAGAGACATGGAGGAGATAATTACAGTCATACATTAAACCAAATCAGCGGAGTGGAGATTTCTGGGTGTGTTCCTGTCGACCTTGCAGGTCACGATCATGAAGTTGGAATGAGACACATTTGATGATGCCTGTTATGAGGGCACATATTCAAGCGAGCGTGTCAAAAATCTTGTCATCCTGTTATTATTGAGGGCAAGATTCAAAAGGTTTTTTTGTGCATCTTTGATGCTGGATTTGCTTCACAGTATTAGATTTCTCTGCTGCTCCTCTCCTGATGTTGGTGTCAGAACACCTGAGGGTTGATTTGAAAAGTCTGAGGTCACCTACAGGAGTTAATATTGTCCAATCCTTTGCACACTAATGATGGGAAAGTGATGGGCTTATTCTAAGTCCTACATCCCTCAGTTACCCTGGAGAATGTTTCTCTTATTGCACTGTTTTTTTTTATGCCAGAGACTTCCTAGTGCTATACACTTAACATGTCTGCAAAAGACTTCTTACTGTCGTCACACACCTAGCTTTGTCTTTGTCAATTAATCCCGCCAGTTGAATTGGCGGGAATTACCGTTGAAATTACCGGTGATACCCGAATGAAGCGAGTAAATACTATTCATTCACGCGTCTAGATTTGCATGAATTAAGCAAGTAGATGATTTTACTCGCGCTTGGTTTGAGCCCTCCCATGAAAAGTGGATGAACAAATGGAGAGCAAAGAAGCAAAGGTGTTGAATACAGTAGTTATATTTTCTCCCTGCTCTTCCACTTGGAAATCCCAATCCTTTAGCAGAGAGAGCACACCCCGTCTCTGTTTTATGTGCATATATTAAAAGCTAAGGCAGGGAGAGCAGCAGCAAAGACCTCAGAGCAAAGCAGACATCTGTGTCAAAACTTATGACTAAAAATATCAGACACAGCATGGAAGGGAGGAGCTGGGTGGAGACAGGTTGGAGGCGATTTGTAACTTGAAGGTCGGCTGAAGTAGTTCACATGAACACCCTATTGGATACGTAAAATGTAATTAGCTGATGTTTTTCGGGCTGAGCTTAACTTCCATGGCCGACCTCGACTAATGCTACGTTCAGTTTTAGTATTGAGTACAAAGCTTATATCAGCCTCTGGCACTCGATTGTTTACTCGTACTGATAACAGCCGTCAGCTGCTCCATGTCCTCGTAGACTTCCTCTCTAATTGGCTTCAGCGGTCTCACTCAACTAAAACTGCCCAGCCTGAGGAGTCCCACATCTCTCATCTGCACTGTATCCTGGTTATTGAGAACAATCAGCTCCGTGACTTTTTTTTGTTGAATGACTAAAGAAGAAGAAGGAGAAGCTGCTGACAGGTTTTTACTGAAGTCAGATGTTTTTTTGGTTTTCAGAAACTCTTCCTTCGATTCAGCGTGACAGTTGTTGAGAGAGTAAAATGGAAGAGTTGAAGCAGTGTTGTTTTGTTCTTTCTCACTTCACCTGTACTTTACAAGCATTACAAATAGATATTTTGCTTTTTAAAATGATCATAAAAGCTGACTGCTGGCATGTGCAAACTGTCATTTAGTGTACACAATGAATTACTGCGTCACTTAATTGGTCGTATATATCAGTAAAAGTTTGAAGAAATGATACGAAACTTTTTGGACTAACTTTGTGCAGACTGGCAGCAGAAGTCCACACAGAGGGGGAGTAAACGGGGTCAGTGGTTGGCTTCCCTCTTTATTCAACACTGGAAATTTTTCAGGACTCTGTTGCATGTGTGAAAGGAGTTTAATAGATACACTTGCCTTTTTTAAGACCTGTTTCTTGACTGGATTAGCTGTACTTTCTTTAAATTCATTGCATAACTTGCAGCATCCCACCCAAAAGCTTTTTTTTTTTTTTCCAAACTGTACACACATTACCAGTGTGATTGTGGGAGTGGGTGCTGGCTGGTGGGCAGGAGGCTCAGGATGCACAGGTCAACCTTTTTTCATTTCTGGCTGTTGCTATGCAACTACATGATCCGGCGCCTGAAGACTCAAAGTAAACAGGCTTTATTCTGTCTTTGCAATGATAACTCTGAAAACACACGAAGAGCCCGGGCAGCTGAGAGCTTCTTTCACTGCAGCCGGAGCTTCAATTGCTGCGTCATCTCCCGTTTATTTGCTGTAGGGTCTGCGGTAAACATCTCAGGATGTCAAGAGATTTTGCTCTCAGCTAAAAGCTCCAAGTCTGTCTTAATGTGATGAAGCTTTTAGTGAGAAATTCAAAGCTTAAAATGCCTCTCGGTACTGTAAAAGTTGAAACTCGGTTAGTAATAACCACCGTACACATGAACGGAGACAGAATATCAAGTAGGAGTGATATTCATGTAATAAAAAGTCACATTTACATCGGCTCTCCACAAATCTGAAAACTTATCTGCATATAATTACATTAAGAGTCCCGGCGGAGGCGTCTCTCCATCATCACTCAAATAAATCAAATCAGACATTTTAATGGAATTTCCCTTTAACTTTCCTCCATCTTTGAACTTTTCTTTTCATCACAGTGACAGGCAGATGCGTGAGCCTCCAGCTTTTTGATATTTAAGTAATATTAAAGCTGAAACAATCGCACCTGAGGACGTGAGATTAAGGCTCCAGAGGCTGTAAAGTCGCTGTTTTATGTGTGCAGTACGCAGCACAGCAGGTGAAATACAACCCCAACACCCACATTTAATAAAAAAAGACTTTGATGGTTTGCAGAGAAGGGAACTCTGTATTTAATTAAAAAGTAGTGCAAAGACAACTTAAAAATGCTGAAACTTGGATGTAGAATAGATGTTGAATGGTTGGGACAGAGGAGTGTTTACACTGTGTTGCATCACCTCATTTTTAACACCACTCTGAGCGTTTGGGAGCCACGGAAACCATTTTGAATGTGCCACGCCGGCCCATTCTGGCCAATCAACAGTTCTGGGTCTCTTATCATGGGAGCGGAGGATTCAGTGTCCATTATTTCCAGAAGGAATGTCAAACTTTAAAAGAGCACAGTGAAATTTTCCACCTTCTCTGGGCTCACTCATTTCTGCATCGTGTTTCGTACGGTTTCCTCTTGGCTGTGTGGTCACAGTTTTCAGCAGTTTTCAGAAGTGTTTTGGAGCTGATGCGTTGATTTCTACTACAGAGTCATGTATGTTTTTAATGCAGTGCTGCTTGACAGCCCAGAAATCGTTATAAGCTTAAAGTCTTATCCCTTTTTTAACTTATTTTTATTTTTATTTTGATTCTCTAAATCTTTGGAGTATTTTTTGCACTGTAATTGAAGAAATCCTCAAAACTGAACAAGATTTTACTCTGAGAGACATTACTCCAAAGTGATGGATGCAGCAGTTGAACTTCCTTTCATATTTACTTCTGAGAGACTCACATATAAGACTAAACTGCTGCAAAGTAATGTAATCCTATAGACGGGTTTCTTGTGTACAAACAATACTAGCTGCGTGCGCAACCAGGGGGGCAAAAGTCTGCTTCGGCGTGAACTGATATCGATGAAGATGTCGTATTGTTTGCAAGTTTTCCCAAACACAATCGCAATAAAATGTCATTTCATAGAAAAATCGCCTATGTAAGGGTTAGGGATCCATTTCAGACACAGCCAAGGAATCAATGACTACAAAATAAAACAGGAACCACAGAGAACATGAGGGAAACACGGTCAAACACAAACTGAAAACTCTTAAGACTGGACTACAGGGGAACAGGAACACAAGGGAAAATACACAAAATGCACTTAAAGAAGAAAACCAGGGGAAAAAAAAACTAAATTAACAGAAATCATGACAACAAATGTCGATTCTTGAAATCTTAGGCTTCCTCTACGTTCGAACTTCCTGTCCAAAGGTGAAAATTAAAGATTCTTTTTAAAAGGCTGACAAAATCTAAAACGCTGATGTCATTATCTAAACTTTTTGCATGGCGGTTGTTAATTTCATATATAGAAAATGCACCAAGATAATTGCCTATACTGGTTTACTGAATGTTTACAAAACATCCTGGCTGTTCTTCTTTATCGTACTGTCGCTCAAGGGCGTATGAATCTACCACACTTAATAGCTTTTAATTCACTGCTTCATACATAATATTCTACTGTGGTGCCCTAGCATGACAGATGACACAATATCACCAATAACTGGTCTTAATGCTTATTATTTGAGCTTTTTAAACTGTTTCTGCATTGTTGTGTTGACAGACAAATATAATAAAAAAAGACTTATTTCTGACTTTTTTCGGTCAAAAAGCAAAATGTCCGCTGGATGGTCAGAGGCAGGGCAGCTCCTTTTGTGAATTTCCCAGTTTGAGATCAATAAAGTCTATCTATCTATCTATCTATCTATCTATCTATCTATCTATCTATCTATCTATCTATCTATCTATCTATCTATCTATCTATCTATCTATCTATCTATCTATCTATCTATCTATCTATCTATCTATCTATCTATCTATCTATCTATCTATCTATCTATCTATCTATCTATCTATCTATCTATCTATCTATCTATCTATCTATCTATCTATCTATCTATCTATCTATCTATCTATCTATCTATCTATCTATCTATCTATCTATATGTGGATTTTTTTGAACATTATTGAGTGAAAATTACAAACAAGTCAAACAAAAACTAAAGATGTTAAAATAAATCTTAATAAATGAAGTAAAAATGAGCATTTAGGTGTTACTGTCTTTTGCATAGATATCATGTGTAAATCTTACAATAACAGAGACAAAGCAGCACATAATCCACACTGTTACACATGATCTGCAACACCTGAGTACAACAACAAGTGTGTAAAAATCTATTCATGTCCTCAGTGTGTGTGTAAAGTCAATGCAATCTCCCATGAATAAGAGTAATGACATTAATTTCCCATTTTAAGGGCTTTGAAAGCCCACAGGTGCAAATGAATGGCTCTCAATTGACAACAACAAAGCTGCCATTCTCTCCTCCACCGCAGAACCAGAGCGTCTGCCAATTACAATCATTTCCTTCCCACTCCATACTCCTTTCCAGCTTCCTGCGTTTATCTCAAGTCTGCGTATGAAAAGAGGAGTCGCATTTCTGCAGGAGGGGAAAACGCTTAAAGAAAAAACAGCTCTCTAGAGGCTGGGCGCTGCAGGGCGATGAGGCGAAGATAGTGCTGATTGTGGAAGAACGGCTAAACACTGATAGGTCGAACTCTGTTTTTAAGGAGAGTGTTAACGTGTGCATACGAACAGCAAATAAAAGAGCCACATTAGACGACCAATCAGAGCCTGAGGAACTTCAGACACTTCGGACAAACGGATAAACGGACATTTCACCCTCTCCGTTCACAAAAAAACTGTGTGTACACCACTACGTTTTCAGAAAAGTTTTGTCAACACTAATCCATGTATATATGCCGGCAAGAGCATGCCAAACCTGTAGGTGGCAGTGTAGCAAGAAGCTCAAGCCCTCGTTAGCCACAATCTGCAGTTGGCTATCCAAATCTCTGTTTTTCTCTATTAACGTGCAAACAGAGTTTTCCAAAATCTCCCCGAGATCTCCGTTGGCGCCTAAACGAAGGGTGCAAACGATGGTTAATGTAACAGGAAGAGACATGGCAGATTAAAGGGGCCTGTCCTCATCTTACAACCCCTCCAAAAAGAAGAAAACAAATATTTCAGTCTTCATCTCAGTATCCGTCTGCAGTCAAAACAAACTCAGATGAAGAAACATCACGGAGATAGACTCTGTCTTGTAAGTTTATGCAACACAATTTGAAGCAAAGTCGTGTGAAATGACTTCACCCGAGCCAAACGTTGCACATTGTACTTGTCTTTTATGTCTTCTGTTATATTTTCTTTAAAAAAAACACTGACAACAAAAGAAAATGATTGTCTGGAGATACATATTAGAAACAAACGCAGCTCCCTGTGGGGAAATCAGTCAGTGTGAGCTGTCAAACCCAGAAATATACTCTGCATGTAGAGTGGGAGGGTGTTTATGCAGAAAACATCTGCAATGTGGAGGAAAGTGATATTCGCAGTGTTTGGAAGCCAAATTTAAGACAATAGACAGAGGGGATTCGGCTTAAGTGTAATAAAGTAAAGCTAACATCGAGACCTAATCCAATCCAACACTCCAAATTAAAGGAAGATTCTGCAGATTTTAAATGATGTTTGTGTTCCAGTGATTGAAGTATTTGTGTTTGGGAGTTTACCTCGTGTTTTTAAAGCTCCATCATTCCCGACAGTCGAACTGTGTGAGCACGTATGTACATGGTTCACGTTATTTTCCACAACAACATTTAAAAATTTGTAGTGTATGTTCGACCTCAAACCTCACACTCTCTCTCTCTCTGTGAATTGACTCCATGTCGGTCAGCTCAGGTGGTTTCACCTGTGCTGATTGCTCTCCCGGTTCACACCTGAGCTCTACTTATTGAAGCTCTCAAGTCTTTTCAGCAGGCACCTGTGTCTGTACTCGAGCTGTACTTTCTCTTCCTCCTCCGTCAGTCTGTCTCACTGCAGTCAAGTGTTTCAGTCCGTCTCCAGAGTGTGATTGTGTTGAGAGTGAATAAAGCTGTGTAACATCCATCTGCCTCCGCAGAAACTGATGCACTTATTTTTGGACTTCTTGATGATCACGCAAGGGGCCTCATTTATGAAACTAATAAACCAAAACTGACCTGAAACGATAAAAAGTACCTCAGCTGTGATGTAACATGAACTTTTACTGCTAACTACAGCTGCCAAACTGTGCCACAGACGAATTCTGGCTCTGCTGTCGCTTTTTTCTCTGAGTGTGTCTTCATGCAAAGTTGAAGGAAAAGTACCCGTGTTAATTCATGTATCTTTCACCCATTCGATTTTCAAAATTAAACCAAAAATGAACAAATGAGAAAATTAATTATCAAATATTTGTCTCTAAAACGAGAATGAAAAAACGGATCACAGCTCATTTTCCGATTTCCGTTTTCTTCAGCTCAAATGAAAATGGGTGTAGCAATCAAGACAACCCTGGGTGTGAAACCCACACATTCCTCACAGGAAAGTTCCTTATCTGGTCCCAGGAAACAGGATATAAATCTTTCCAGACTCGTTTACACTTTCAGGTTAAATAAGTGACCCAACCGGAGGTTGACTAAACCTCCGACTCTTCACGATTGGTCAATTCGGAGAACAGAGACAGAGTTTTATTACCTTTCAAACTGACTCCATTTGCTGACCATCTAAATAAACATTAACGTCTCAACCCAGATCTCCCATTTGAGATTTAGTGTCTTAAAGTGTGTGAACATACGGACCCTAGGAAAAGGGGGGACACTGACCTCCAGACCTCGGTCGTAAAACCCTGCTCGACCATACACTGATAAAGACTGCATTCCTTTGGTGAAAGAATACAAATGACTGATCATGACATCTTATGCATTCAGCAATGTACTAATCTGTCTAATCATGAAATTTGTGTTAAAATGAGATGTTTCCCGTTTTTCTATGTGCTTCAGAAGCCAAGTTATCTTATCTGACAGAATAAATCCTTATTCTTTAGTTCTTTAGACCAACAGCTTTTCAGACTGTTTCATGAACTTTTAAGAGTTAAATTTATTGACTATGGATCATAACTTAACTCTAGGTAACAGAGACAGTTTAGAAATGTTTGGTTTATATTGTAGTTGTTTATTTAGTATTTTTAACCATTAGGTGGTTATAATGTCATTGAATAACCTTAATGTGAGTATTTAGAATCCATTATTAATCATGATGAAGTTCATTCACATGTGTTTACTCTTTTGTTGTTCACAGTTTCCATGTGTTACTATCTGTTTCATTTCAGAGTAATTTAGCATGTTCAATGTGATACTTTAAACATAATGAGAATGTTTGATGTGATCCTACACTTCATTCATATGTGTTTAGTGTCAAATTATTTGTCATGAAACCAAGCATTCAATGATATTAATCATAGTGAGTGAGTATCAGATCTGACTCTTTTACCAGCCAAAAGAATAAGTTAGATCAAATAATCAGAGATTCCACGACCCCTCCTCTTTCTCCTCAGACACTCCCAGTGTGAGAAGATAAAACCAGTGGAGTGGGGTTGCTCACGCTCTATTCCCCCTCTTATGTCTCTTATCTCTCTTATGCTTCTGCTCTTCTGCTGACTCTCTTGTCCCCGGCTCTTATGCCCCTTCTCTTCTGCCCACACCCTTCTGTGGTGCGTTTCTTTGTTTTCTCTTAGAACTTTTTCTTAGTCTTCTAAGTTTTACGCCACGTGTTGATTCACGTTGATTTTTCTTTAACATCGTCTTAGTTCAAGTTTTGAAACTTCAACTTTTTGTGCACATAGCAATTCAAGATTAAGCCTTTGATTGATTTTCTTTAATTTCGCGAAGCCATTTTTGAAAGTTTTCTCTGCTCTTCGAGCCTCGTTTTTCTGAGTTTTCTGCGTGATTTCAAAGTCACCTCCGAACGCAATCCAACAGGCCCAGGTCATCCTCTGTGCCAGAGTTTTTGAGTGAGACTAAAGAAGTACCCAAACGAGCATCCACAGGATCCACAGGCGCTGGTTTTTGCTTCGGGCCCGAGTGCTGCAACTCCTGGCTCATCCTTCGGCTGACTTCAGTCGTCTTCTGAGCTGAACCGCTCGAACCGCCAGTAGCCCCGGACCTTCGGAACCTGCTCCATCTTCTCCAAGGACCAGTCTCACTTAAGTATGCAAACCTCCAGAGCTCTAAAGAGGGCTGGTGCTGTCTCCTGCGTTCAACTCAGATATCCTCTTATTCTGGTAATCTTAGATTCCTCCAAATCCACATCCGAGTTTATCTCGACACTAAAGTTAGTGTAGGTTAATATGTTAGCGCATATTCACTCACTATCATTAACTTTAGTGCTCCTAGCCTGACTCAGAATCTTTATTTATTCACCTATTATTATTTTATCCTCATTATCTTATCATCATTTATTGCATGTGTGTTGTACCATCATTTATCCTGTAATAAACAGATCATTATTTTTCTAAGTTCCTGTCTGTTAGTGTTCTTCCAGAAGTGGAGTCCCTGAAATTAGAATTTCGACTTAAGATATGAGACTGATTAATTAAGACTGATTAATTAAGACTGATTAATTAAAACTGACTTGATGTTTGATTTCTGAATTAAACTTTTGTTTTCTTTATTTTCCCACCATTAAGGGTGGGTGGTGCCCCTTTCAACGAGTGCATAAATGTCATAATTTGAGATTATTAATCTTCAGACATTTATTATAAATTCCAATCGCCAAGTATTATTTTGGTGCGGCCTTGTGAGGCTCATTTCAAATCGCTACATATATTTTGGTGCGACCGTATGAGGCTCATTTCAAATCACTACATATATTTTGGTGCCCCTGTGTGAGGCGTTTCAAACAAAACTTCTGGATACTAACAGACAACCTAAAACTTAGCCTTCCAAATTGATGAGAGAAACTTATTTCCAGGCTGTTTTAGACTTGATCACAATCAATGCTATGCTTGCTGAAGTTGCTTGACTAAGTTCCGATGTTTTCCTGATCTATGCATAAAACCTTTATGCTCTGTGTTTCACACACTTTTGTACTACATGCCTGTAGTCTGTGTTTGAGCTGGACAGCGTGAAATGTTTTTCTGAGTAGCAGTGAGACTGCCTCTTCTGCTCTGTCTAGACTGTCCAATATTTAAGTGCACGATTGTTGCGTCGCCGTACGCTTGTATTTAAGGCCTTTGGCTGAACCCAGTGTTCGCGATGCTCCGAGCTGTGGTTTCAAGCCCCTGAAGTCTCTATAGTCTGCTACGAGGTTCTAGTTACTATATGGGATTCAGATTTCCTCCTTTCCCCTGACAGATTAGCTACCTGTCACAGGAAACCACTGTAACAGTGGGAGGTTGTTGTTTGATCGAATTCAGACAAAATTTGTGTTCACAAATCGCCGCATTTGTGATTTTTTAAGTTTGCAGTTGAATCTGCTATTGAGGGATTTGTCACTTGGATTCTTGTCTCTATAGTCTGCTACGAAGTTCTAGTAACTATATGGGATTCAGATTTCCTCCTTTCCCCTGACAGATTAACTACCTGTCACAGGAAACCACTGTAACAGTGGGAGGTTGTTGTTTGAATGAATTCAGACAAAATTTGTGATCACAAATCGCCGCATTTGTGATTTTAAAGTCTGCAGTTGAATCTGCTGTTTAAGAATTTGTCACTTTGATTCTTGTTCCTGTAAATGATTTTATTGAACCAATCTGCCTGAGCAGATGGTGTAAAGTTCTATGTTTGAGGGTGCAGACACAGCTGCTGTGAAATGTTAACCCTTTGTTGTCAGTGGAGAGACTGACCATTTGGCCTTAAGCAGATAAGGCCCTTCAAGGAGGCAGAGCCTAAAGGCCCTTCCTTCATACTTCCCAACTTTACACAGCCACAAGAGGCTAGTTGGATGACTGTTTCCTCTTTTCTTCTTCTTCTCCACTTGTGTTGTGCTTGTGCAGTTATCCCAACTCCATACTGCCCCACATGGTTGCTTTTGGTATTGAGCTAACACTGCTATTATCTGCCTGCAGTATCAGCCAGCTGTTCTGCCTCTCTGTAGTCAGTGTGTAACACTCTACAGACATAATTCAAGTGATTGACTTGGTTGATGAAGTTTGATGTGCTTATTCTAAATCATTGATCATTGATTTGTGATTCTTATCTTTGTTATAAGAGCCCATAATGTATTGATAAAGTAACTCCTTGAATCAATCACCTGATCTTGTTGTTACTTATCACACCATTGAGCAGTTTTACTGTTCCCTATAATACATGAATGTATTAACCCTCCTCATAAGATTAATTGATTAATGAACAAATTAATTAATATTTGAAATTTCTTTTAACATTCCAGAAAGATTTGGTAGTTGAACCTTTGGATTTATTGCAATTTGTGAATTAACTTTAGAGTTAATTCCTTAAATTGACAATTTCATTGATTTTTCAAATTCATCCAACTGCACCAGGCAGTTTATTTAAGCTTTGCTGATCTCTGCAACACGGAGACAAACTGAACCCTTTATTCAATGGTTCTGTATCTGATGTTAAATTTAATTTAACATCATTTCATTGTTTTTCAATTTTGATTGAAAGGAATTTAACTTTATGTTATTTTTCTCTCCATTAGAGATCTACTCAGATAGGCTCTTCCTCTTTATCAAGCACTGATAAATTAAGTCGATTAACCCACTTAATTTGATATTTTGCTTCTTCCTTTCATTTTAAGTCAACTCAAACTCATCAACCAACCACCTGCACCTCTTTACCAAAACCAAACATGCCTAACACAAAAGAGTCCAGCCAGGGAGACCCCCTGAGGGACATACACCCAGTGTTGGCAAACTTGACTAGTCAGCTGATACCTCAGTACATGACTAAGATTCAAAAGGCCAAACCCTCCAATCCGGAGGATGAAATGGCTGACCTACTGGAAACAGCCTTAACCACGACACTTCGTGACAAAGAGCTCACTAGACGCATGTCTGTCGTGATGTCTTCTCAGCTTGAGTATAAAGACTACTTGCTGGAATGCGCTTTAGCAAAGATAAAGACGCAAAAAGAAGAAAACAGCGCTCTGAAAAAGACGCTAGAAGAGACTAAGAAGTCTCTAAGTGTTTTAGAAAAACACAGTGCCAGATGTGAAGCGTCAAAGCTTCCCTCACTGATAAGTCATGAAGAAAATCTTGATCTTAAAGACAAGATGGAAAGACTTAATGAAACCCTTTACAAAAAGGAGAAAGAACTTGATGACACGAATAAGCAGCTTGCTAAGACCACAGAGGATCTGATACAGTCAGAATCCCTGCTAGAGCAAGCAACAGAAGATGTAAAAGCTTTGAAAGCACTGGTCAAAGTGCGTGCTGAAGCTCTTGAAGTTAAGGAGAAGCAAACTTCTACCTTACAGCACCAGCTCCAGATAGCTCAAAGACAGTTAATTCTTTGTCAAGAACGGCAAGAAAAGACAGACAAAGAACTTGAAGATGTCCAAAGAGAGTTACAATGCTCCCTCCAGTCAGGTCGAGCCCAAAGAGAACGCATGGAGCAAACGTTTCTTGAAGAAATGATAGGTGATCAGCCTCCTGAGAGAGCGCCATCACTTCCTTCCAAACCAACTCTTAAGTATCTCTCTCAGCATCATGACAGGACCCTGCTTGACCCTGAGAGGTCATCCTTAAACCAAGAGTCCTACTCTCCTCCTCATGATGGCTTTTTACCATTTCCCTCAGACAGGGATCTTGACAAAATTGCTCGCATCATAGCACGCTTTGAACCTGAGCACCAAGGTGCTACTGACACCTGCACCTACTTGAAAGACATTGACTTTTACCTGCGGAAATTTCCAGGTGCAACCGTTGATGACAAAATCTACCTCATTAAGGCGACGTCAAGTCGAGAGGTTAGCAGTTTCCTTGAACGACAGCCTTATTATGTCAGAAATAATTATGACTTGCTCTGCCAAGCATTAATCGAAGAGTTTTCTGATCATTTGACCCAGACAGGCCTCTCTGCTGCTCTGTCTATTAAACAAGGGAGATCAGAATCTCCCCAACATTATTACAACCGCTTACGCGAAGCTTACTTTGGTTTCCGAAATGAACCAGAAATGGAGGAGGACTTGAACTTCAAAACGCTGTTCGTCCAGAACCTCCACCCTACCACCAGTCATCACCTTGGCGTCTTAGCTTGTCCAAACACTTCGACTGGCCGACAGATTCGTGAACTTGCTGTAAAAGGTTTTGCCAAACAACGACAAACTTTGGCTAAGAAAGCAGAGCCCGTTACTCTCTTGGCTATGGAGACAAAATCACTGCCCATGGAGCTGAACGAAGCTTCAGATTGTGTATTTTCAGGCTCCGATAAGCCTCCAATTGAGTGGTTAACCAGGCCTCCAAAACCTTTTCGACCTCAACACACTCACAAAGGTCAAAGTTACACACCAAGGCCCAGGTCTGACTCAGATCAATGCCGGGTAAACTTTGAGACCAACTGTTGTTATTCAGACTCCCGTCACGGTGGGTTTTGTCCCAGACAAAGGAAAAACCATCGACACCGCCAAAGGGGGGTGAATGACTGGCAGAATCAGAGTAAATCACACTCTCAGAAACGACGATCTTATTATCCACCTCAATCGGTTTCATCCACTTTGAAGGTGAATAAACATGACTACTCAGCTAACCGCTGAGATTAACACTGCAGAGTCATGAAGGTGTGAGTCCTGCGAAAGCAGAAGTCACCTAGCCAAAGCTAAATGACTCCAATAAGATATCCAAATGCTGTGGTGATACATTGATGACTGCAATACCAGTTGCTGCTTTCTTTGTTAGCATTTGTCTCTCCTCTGTCAATATAGTCAGCTTGTCAGCTGTCAAATATCCCATGAACAGATTAAAAGCTGAAATTTCTGTCACTAAGACTCAGATTGACAAATTTCAGACTCAACAGCAGATAATTAGTCAAACCGATAAGAGCATCATCCCCAAGTTTAACAGACAAAGTTTAAGAGAAACTCTGTGCAGTAAACTTTTGATGTTTGTGATTCAGGTTGACTATGCTCATACACAGATGATTAAACATGTCTATAGCAGACATTTCTTTTCCACCTAAGTCTTAACCATTTTTGAAACTGAAATTGAACTTTCAGACTTCTCCAGCAAGCATGAAAAACAGCTATAGCTTTAGATCCAGTTAGCATTCAGACTAAAGAGTGCTTTTCTAAATCTCATTAATACTGAAAATTAGGAGATTTTCTTTCACATTAGTCTACCAATAGTTAACTGAGAAAAGTCTAACACCTAGACGATTTTATTTGATAGCTTAATGTATGCTTGATGTTATCTTAAAGCAGATACTAGTGATTCACATAGTGATAATGAGACGCATCAGTCCTATTTGCATACACCTGCTGCTGCTGCTGCTGCTTCATGGTTGTCTACTCATCGTCCCGATGCTCCATGGACAGGACCACCGTGACGAAGGGGGGACTGTAGCAATCAAGACAACCCTGGGTGTGAAACCCACACATTCCTCACAGGAAAGTTCCTTATCTGGTCCCAGGAAACAGGATATAAATCTTTCCAGACTCGTTTACACTTTCAGGTTAAATAAGTGACCCAACCGGAGGTTGACTAAACCTCCGACTCTTCACGATTGGTCAATTCGGAGAACAGAGACAGAGTTTTATTACCTTTCAAACTGACTCCATTTGCTGACCATCTAAATAAACATTAACGTCTCAACCCAGATCTCCCATTTGAGATTTAGTGTCTTAAAGTGTGTGAACATACGGACCCTAGGAAAAGGGGGGACACTGACCTCCAGACCTCGGTCGTAAAACCCTGCTCGACCATACACTGATAAAGACTGCATTCCTTTGGTGAAAGAATACAAATGACTGATCATGACATCTTATGCATTCAGCAATGTACTAATCTGTCTAATCATGAAATTTGTGTTAAAATGAGATGTTTCCCGTTTTTCTATGTGCTTCAGAAGCCAAGTTATCTTATCTGACAGAATAAATCCTTATTCTTTAGTTCTTTAGACCAACAGCTTTTCAGACTGTTTCATGAACTTTTAAGAGTTAAATTTATTGACTATGGATCATAACTTAACTCTAGGTAACAGAGACAGTTTAGAAATGTTTGGTTTATATTGTAGTTGTTTATTTAGTATTTTTAACCATTAGGTGGTTATAATGTCATTGAATAACCTTAATGTGAGTATTTAGAATCCATTATTAATCATGATGAAGTTCATTCACATGTGTTTACTCTTTTGTTGTTCACAGTTTCCATGTGTTACTATCTGTTTCATTTCAGAGTAATTTAGCATGTTCAATGTGATACTTTAAACATAATGAGAATGTTTGATGTGATCCTACACTTCATTCATATGTGTTTAGTGTCAAATTATTTGTCATGAAACCAAGCATTCAATGATATTAATCATAGTGAGTGAGTATCAGATCTGACTCTTTTACCAGCCAAAAGAATAAGTTAGATCAAATAATCAGAGATTCCACGACCCCTCCTCTTTCTCCTCAGACACTCCCAGTGTGAGAAGATAAAACCAGTGGAGTGGGGTTGCTCACGCTCTATTCCCCCTCTTATGTCTCTTATCTCTCTTATGCTTCTGCTCTTCTGCTGACTCTCTTGTCCCCGGCTCTTATGCCCCTTCTCTTCTGCCCACACCCTTCTGTGGTGCGTTTCTTTGTTTTCTCTTAGAACTTTTTCTTAGTCTTCTAAGTTTTACGCCACGTGTTGATTCACGTTGATTTTTCTTTAACATCGTCTTAGTTCAAGTTTTGAAACTTCAACTTTTTGTGCACATAGCAATTCAAGATTAAGCCTTTGATTGATTTTCTTTAATTTCGCGAAGCCATTTTTGAAAGTTTTCTCTGCTCTTCGAGCCTCGTTTTTCTGAGTTTTCTGCGTGATTTCAAAGTCACCTCCGAACGCAATCCAACAGGCCCAGGTCATCCTCTGTGCCAGAGTTTTTGAGTGAGACTAAAGAAGTACCCAAACGAGCATCCACAGGATCCACAGGCGCTGGTTTTTGCTTCGGGCCCGAGTGCTGCAACTCCTGGCTCATCCTTCGGCTGACTTCAGTCGTCTTCTGAGCTGAACCGCTCGAACCGCCAGTAGCCCCGGACCTTCGGAACCTGCTCCATCTTCTCCAAGGACCAGTCTCACTTAAGTATGCAAACCTCCAGAGCTCTAAAGAGGGCTGGTGCTGTCTCCTGCGTTCAACTCAGATATCCTCTTATTCTGGTAATCTTAGATTCCTCCAAATCCACATCCGAGTTTATCTCGACACTAAAGTTAGTGTAGGTTAATATGTTAGCGCATATTCACTCACTATCATTAACTTTAGTGCTCCTAGCCTGACTCAGAATCTTTATTTATTCACCTATTATTATTTTATCCTCATTATCTTATCATCATTTATTGCATGTGTGTTGTACCATCATTTATCCTGTAATAAACAGATCATTATTTTTCTAAGTTCCTGTCTGTTAGTGTTCTTCCAGAAGTGGAGTCCCTGAAATTAGAATTTCGACTTAAGATATGAGACTGATTAATTAAGACTGATTAATTAAGACTGATTAATTAAAACTGACTTGATGTTTGATTTCTGAATTAAACTTTTGTTTTCTTTATTTTCCCACCATTAAGGGTGGGTGGTGCCCCTTTCAACGAGTGCATAAATGTCATAATTTGAGATTATTAATCTTCAGACATTTATTATAAATTCCAATCGCCAAGTATTATTTTGGTGCGGCCTTGTGAGGCTCATTTCAAATCGCTACATATATTTTGGTGCGACCGTATGAGGCTCATTTCAAATCACTACATGGGATAAATGCATAACAACAGTTTTATCTGATTTAGGCTGCGTTTTACAATTCCACGACGTCTTGCTAGCGTTGCAAGAACGGCATAACGCAGTCTTCTCTGGTGTATTTCTATTTGTCGGTTTCTTCTCATTAAAACCAATTGCCTCATGATGAGAGCAAGAAGAGACAGAACCCGAGCTCTATTTTCCTAACTTTAAGTTTTTTATCTTCACTTTACAATTGTTTGCTGCGTCATATAGTCTCATGCACAATATGACGCAGCAAACAATATTCGGCGTGAAAATATACGGCCTTTTAAATTTTTTATTTGTCTAATTTTTTATTTCACGAACATCCTGGAAAAACAAACACATCTATACAACGTCATAAAATTCAAGAGATGTGAAAACAACAGCTGCAACTTCTGACGCGGCAGTCTGAGCAGTGACGTCACAACAGTGCGCCATGTAGTGTCCGAAACCTCCGGTGATTGAGCTCACTACATAGTCAGCTATATAGTGAAACCCCAGATGGGGGTTAGAGGTTAGGGATTGAGTGATTCATTTCAGACACAGCCTTAGACTTCTTCGTCTGTAGGAAGTTTCGTGACCCGGAAATAAAGCTTACTCAGACATCAAGAGAACAGGAAACAGGTTTTGGCGTTCTGGCAGGACTCAAGAATTATTCAGACCTCATACGGACATTTTTTCAGGATGGCAAAACTCACACAGAGATCTCCATCGTGCTGCAGGAGGCAGGAGTGCCGAGGTGTCCGTCAGAAGGTTCTGTGCCCGAAACAACCTGAGGAGAAAAGGACACGAATCAGACACACAGCCGGGGGCGACCGTCTGTTTCTTGTTCTCTGAAGAAAACGGAAACGAAACACAGATTTATGTTGCATTGCATGTGGCATTTCATGGATCTCCATGCATTCCACCGACTGCAGTGTCAGCACTTGTGCAAACTAAACCTTGTTACTGTTCCTCCCATGAGCAGAAAAATACAATAGCGTTTGAAACAGCTCTCCGTTGGTTCCGTGTGTTTTATTAGAAGAGGAGGAAGCAGAGCCAACTGGGAAATAAATGGCCGACCCTGCTGGTTAACACTCCACAGGACCACACATTCTGCAGTGAGCCTTTACTTTTACCCTTTTGTAAGTCCCCAAAGTCCCTGCTTGGATGTTCTCTGCACCTGAGTGATTAAACAGCAGCTTAATGGAGCCTCAGGTGGTTTTACTGTGAAGTCAAATAGAGGAGAGGTTATGGGAAATAGATAAATGTTTCTTTCTGCTGTGGCGTTTTTTCCCCTCGGTTCTGAATCGGAAAGAAAACTTCTGCTTTCAGCTTAAAAAAAAACAGGTTTTCTTGTTTTCATCCTCACGTCTTCGACTTAAATCGTATCGCTTTCTAAATTAGTGTGTGTAGGAAACTGTTTCGACTGCTCTTGATCAAAAATCTGACTTTGTGTGAAGAGAGAGAATAATGGCTCAGAGGGAAGCTGCTTTATGTATGAACCCGCACGGATCCAGTGATTACTTCTCTGATTTATGAATTAATTTCATGTCGGATAACTCAGAGTTAGAAACGCTGTGAAGACGCCTCTTTACTTCAGGACAGACATCTTTGATAACACTTTACAATAACCATCATTTATAAATGGTAAATAGATAGTTTACTAATGTTTAATCATCATTTAAAAACAGCATATAGACCAATTATAAATGACGAACAGATAGTTTATGAATGGAAGTTAATAGTAACTTTACCGTTAACAAGCAATGAAATTATAATTAGTAATTTTCATTAATCAATAATGGACTATTTATTAAAGGTTTAAAAATTGGTTGTAAAACATAAAGATTAAAATGTGTGTCAGTAACACTTTGTAAATGGTCAATATTTGGTTTTTAAACCATTTATAAACATTAAGTAGATGGTTATTGTAAAGTTGAAACTGTTTGTAATACTTTGTAAATGATTAATAAGTGGTTTATAAACCACATATAAACATTACTTAGATGGTTTTTGTAAAGTTAGGGTTAGGTTTTTAAAATTGTAAAATGTACAATTTATTCATGGTCTATATGCTATTTATAAATGATGATTAAACATTATTAAACAATCTGTTACCATTTATAAATGGTCTATTTACCATCTATAAATGATGGTTATTGTGAAGTGTTACCATCAGCCTGCTCCTGCTGGATTCATGAAACAAACATGAGTATCAATATCCTGTCGAAAAGAGTAGAGCGGTCTGAATTACAGCTGAGTTTAAGCACATCAGACCATAAAACTTCATTTAGCCAATCATTGACGCTCCTAAAATTTAAGAGAAAATTAGGATTGGTACTTATTAAAGCATCACTGCAGGTAGGAGTAATGTTCCAGGCAGCTCTGTCGATTGGTCCCAGGTTTCCAAGTTATTAATCCTGGTCCAGTTGTTTCTCTTATTACATGCTCACTGGAGCAGAAGACTTTGAGAGGGCGGCTCCATCGGTTCAAAGCAGAGGTGTGAAAGAGCGGATCAGACGAGGGCAGGAAGAGGCCGATCAATAAGGACTTGTTAAGATCACTCAGTCAATAGAGGAGGTACAGGAGCTGATTCTTTGCATTGATGTGTCTCTCTTCATGTGGACGAGCTGAGAAACAGACCTGAGGGGGATTATGAAGCTGAGAGGGAGAGACCGTCTTCTTCTGTGGGAAACTCAGAGCCTGTCTGCTCCCAAGAAACAGCCGCAGCAAGACGACACGAGCAGGTGAGACATACGTGAGGTGTCAGGACTGACCCTGAAACACTCTGGTACTTTACCACTTGGCTTTGCGCTTCAATCACCTGGGGCCTCAAGTATCAACGCTGTTTACACAAGAAAACGTTACGTACGCCAGGATCAGCGCTCATGTTCAGATGTATCACCGTGAGAAGTTTGTCGATTCTTGTGCTGTTTCACGCCAACTCCAGAGGTGGTGTAGAAGTTGGTGGAAAGTCAATCCTTGCGTTAACTGCACTTTAGTCCGTAGGCGACACTGTGTGGCGGTGTTTGGTGACTGTCACTATTTGACAACTGTGCGCACATCGGGCACAAAAAATCTATCAACTCAAACACAATCAGCTGTTGGCGTTACCCAAGTGGCACAATGTGAACGGGAAAGAAGTGATTCCACGATTCATGCTCCCATATTAATTTATTTTGTCAACCTCTGCGGCTTTTGTTGGTTTGTTGACAGCACAGGCGTAAATACAACTCTTCTACAACTCTGGGCGTGTCCAAATGCTTCTAATCTGAATAAAACTTGGTGCATGTATACGTACGTCATGACTGGATTATTTGATTTTGCGCCCATATAGAGGATGGATGCGCCGCAGCTGGCGGATGGGTTGTCGCTTGTCGGCCTGCTGGTGCTGGGGCCGGGGGACGGGCTGGCCAAATTGCTGCTGGTCCAAGTGGATGACATCCAGCCGTTGGACAGGTGCGGCACGTCGATCAGATCAATTTCTGTTAAACATTAAAAATATTGGTTTATTTAAATGCCTGATTCTGTATATTTGTTGTGTTTACATCTATGGAAAAGCTTGTGGAAATGTTGAGTAAGAAATGGACACGCCACTTACCCTTCAGGCTCTTGGCGTCAGTGCGGGAGGCGGCAACGATACCCCCGACAGAGGTGCTGCCCATGATTGCCGCCACCCGCTGCTCAAATCGCTTGAGATGCCCCTCTCCCTGACCCCCACCTGTCTGGCCGGCACTCCTCCGGAGGACAGCTGTACGCCGCTTGACCTCCACCTTGAGGTCCAACCGTTTATTTTTAATGTCCGCGGGGGTGCGTTGCTCTGAACCCACCGCGTTCACCCTCTCGCACACCTTCTCCCACTCACAATGTTTTTTTTTTTCTTGTACTGACGCCACTCGACAGGCTGCTGAACAAAATACTCCGCCTCTTCTCCACCTCCAGCTCGCACGCCGTGAACTGTCTTGGACATTGTAATTAAATATGCATCACATTTGCATATTTATAGGTGGGCGTAAAGGGGGCGGATCCGGTCACTCAATTCCTCGCTGATTGTAGTGTATCAAGGAAACGTGCGTGGATTCCGGCGCTCGCACATCCACATTTTGTCCTGCAGTCACAACTTTCGTGATTCTTGCGACCACCGATTTTTAGTATGAGATCCACGCAGGTATCGATACATGAGGCCCCTGATTCGTTTGGCTCTAACTCTCCATATTTAATGTAATTCATGTTTCCCCTGGTTACCAAAGTTTCTCTGGTTATAGTTTTATCTCTGTCAAAGTTTTTTAAACTCTTTACAGGGTTAGCCAAAGAAATTGGTTCCCCGAGGGAGGAAAATGAGCCCTGATGTCTCCAGCTGAGCAGAACAAATGGAGCAGAGAGGAGGCGACCAGGACCAGATACATCCTTCATACTGAGGGGAAAGTTTCTGGTACAAATTTCTGCACCAGCTGAAAAATGCGGCTGTGCCAGATAAAACAATGACTTTAAAATTGGGATACTCTGTCTTATTATTGTAGAAGATACCTGAAGAGAGTCTCTGTCCTATATGGAGGTCAGTGTTGTTTTTGGCAGGCATTTTAGATTTAGTTTTAGTCTTAGTCATTTTGACGAAATGCTTCTTCGTTTTAGTCCCATTTTAGTCATTTCTATCCTTGATAGTTTTCGTCTAGTTTTAGTCCGACGAAAACTCAAAAGGTTTTAGTCTAGTTTTAGTCGACGAAAAGGTGCGTTTTGAAGTTCGTGGTGTTCTTTCTCGACAGTTTGAAGCTGCAGCATGAGGAAGCTGTGGCTCCACAACTGTCGTCTGTCTCGTCTCCCCGCCCCCGTACAAGACATTGTGTTTTATTGTCACTTGGACTGTATCTGAAGTAGGACCATAAATCATCCCTCTTTTTTCGGCCACCGCTGCTGTGCCTGCCGCCACGGTGTGTGTGTGTGTGTGCGCGCCTCGTCCACCTGCCGCTCTGTGTATGTGTATGAGTGTGTGCGCGCAGCTGTGCGCGAGCGAGGCTTTTGGTGCGTGGGTCTTGGGGGCGTGATTGTTAGGACAAAAAAAAAGCATGTTTTGAAACTTTGTTCGTCCACCTAATAACAATTTAGTCTCGTCTCGTTCTCGTCTGACGAAAATGAATACAATTTTCGTCACATTTTAGTCTTTACAGAGCTGTGGTGACGTTCGTCTTAGTCTCATTTTCGTCAAGGAAAAAAGGGGTCTGACGTCGTCATTTAAGTTTTCGTCCTGCCTGACGAAAACAACACTGATGGAGGTGTGAGACAGCTGTGCATATGTCATTATCCAATAATCTGTTTTTATAAAGTTCGCCAACACAGACTCTTTACCAGCCGTGTTATTGCACATATATGTGGAGTCAGTGCAGTCTGCATCAGTCTCAGGGGAGACGGTGATGTTTACACAGACTCACCACAGTTTCTCTCCTGTGAGCGACTCCGTGATTCTGCTAATTGGTGCAGCTATGAATGGGCCTGCCACGCTGTGTGTGTGTGTCTGCGTGTGCAGGTTTCAGTCTCGGTGTGTGTACAGGGCGGAGGTTGACAGCTGTTGCCATGAAGACCGTTTCTACCAGAGCTTTGGGAGATGTTCCTCTGTGTGTTGTTAGTCTCAGTTCAAGAGGGCTGACACCATCTGTATTTCTAAATCCAGCTGACACAGATCACAGCCTGCAGGATACGACTCTCTGACACAAACAACACAGTTTTTTCCTTTTACAAGTCGGACAAATAAGAAAGATAGAGAGCGGAGGTGGGGAGTAGACAGCGTGGAGTAGGTCATGCAGTGAAGGGTCGTGGCGAGGAGTCAAACCAGCGACTGCTGCGATGGGGACAACAACCTCTGTACGTGGGTTTTGTGTTTTTTTTGGCAAAGACGGTGTGAGTGACAAGTTTTTCCAGCCCTAACCTGAATGTTTCACAAATTTACTTAATTCACGCACTCAATCCGTGTCACTTCATCGTCACGCTTGCGTCACATCTTTGGATCGTGAGGGAGAAGCTGAAGAGAACCACTGAATGCACAGGGATAGGATGTAACGTCCACGCTAACGGCTAAAACATTGTTTAATTTAGCTGCAAAGTTAGACCGTTCAGAATGAAGGCTAAAACATACAGGATCCGTACTGAACGCGTAACATAAGCGTCGCGTATCATGCAGCAAATAGGTTCCCATTCTAATCCATTCAGCATCGCATACAGGACGCGTATACAGCTCCGTCGCAGCTCTGTCCGAAGTGCATTGAGCGCGGCGCTGCTAAAGATACGCACCAAGTCTATTTTCGCTGCTCTACGCTTCCAACACGTGTCAATCCACACAGAGATGATCGTTCCAGACATGATGTCAAGCACGAAAAACATGCATTTCATCTGGTAAATTTCAAAATAAAACACCATATGCAGATCCCGACTGTGTATCAGTTCATGTAGATGAGAAATACTTCCTGGTTCTGGATTTATCAGTAACACAGAACAATCTGATGATCAGTCCCTGATCCATGTGGACCCCAACAGGATTTAACTGCTAACTCTGTCTGAAGGTAACAGCACAGCATAAAGGAACATAGTTTACTTTGTTAGACACGAGTAAACCTGCTAAAAAACAAAACTTTTTGACACACAGTAGAGACTCAACAGTCACTGAATTAAATCCAAATTATCAGGAAATCGACCGCAGAAAGGAAAAACAACCTGTTGTGAGGATGTTGTTTCCTCTAAACTGAGCCCAGCTGACCGGAGCTGCACTACGCTGCTGCCACGCTCCAAACACACGCGCTCGAATCCTCAATATAGATCCTGTATGTTTTCTTCTTCTGCTGCCAGCCTCAAGTGGACACTCGAGGAACTGCAGGTTTTGGTACTTCTTCACTGGCTTCATCTCTTAAGATCAGAGGTTGCTGCTTGATGAATGCCGAGGTTTTTGCTTGACTGTAATCTGCTGTTCGTGGTGTCAAGGTGTAGAGATCGGGAACCTGAGAGGTTTGCATTTCCTGTACAGCAAACATCTTCTGTTAGACGTTAAAACCACCCCAGCAGGGTTAAACCTCCCTCGATCTACTCCATGGACCTGATATACACCATTTCCTAAAAGTGTTCACTCTGTGGCGGTCAGCGGTGTCTCCTCCCCGTGGAGCTGGAAGATGCTTCATGTGTTTCCACCTTTCGTGTTCCTCGTTGATGAATTATTGACCTTTTCTTTCTCCAGCGCTCGCTCTGCTCTGCGTCACATCGGCAATAACCTGAAGCAACAACACTGCTGGAGCCATAAAGGGCAAGAACTGAAGGTAAATGAAAAGAAATAAATTTGAGGAAATGGAGTTATAAAGGACAGAACCGTAAAACTTCCTTGAGTCTGTGAGGTTTTTCATCTCGGGGGTGTAATGTTCTTAAAATTTGGAGGACAAAAGTGGCATTTTTTTTTAGAAATGACTGTCTTTAATACTAAAACTAATCATGATTTTAATGGTAGTGAACGACTTTACACCCCTGCTTCTCATAGAGGTGATAAACTCGGCCCTGATTTGCAGTTCCCGTGTCAACTGTAGATGTCAGGCGTTGACTTTTCAGTCGGCTAGTTGGGGAGGCCGCTGTCAAAACCAGCAGCGGTTAGGACATCACGCAGCACAGGCCGGCCCTCGCTGTCAGGCTGAACCCCGGCTGTCGAAAACCATCAGGAGAACAGGGGCCGTGCAGCCGTGACACCCGCCGATCTTTCCTCGCACTTCCTTAAAGCATCGAACCACATCCACGGGGTGACATGGAAAGAGGAAATCCTTTCCATTCAGGGTCTCGGCTCAGACTTCCCTGATCTGCTGTCACCTCCTGACTGTCAGCACATTCAGATGACACGGGTCGTCTCAGGACAGCGCTAACAGTCAGGATTTCCCTGAAAATGTGGACTGAGAAGGAGCTGAATGTCTGATTTGTTTAGCGTTGAGCTCTTCAAAGCGGCTTCAGCTCTGACGGTCCCAGGAGGAAACTCTAATTGGAGCATCGGTGAAAGACGTAACAACACAGAGTGAAATGTTGAAAATCTGCATTAAAATCAGAGCGTGCTCAGCTGTTGGCGTACACAGAAGTTTCCTCTGCTGCACAGTCGAATAAAAGGAAAACAGCTCATTAAGGTGAGTGTTGTGAAGACGACGGTCATTTCTAAAGACTTGAATTTTGTTTGCCTGGTTTAGCTTCATCCTAAACTTTGATTTTTCTTTTAAACAAACCAGAATTGATCTGTTACAGCCTTCGTGCTCAAACATACAGCCCAGCCTGGATTACAAAATCTGAAGATGAAGAAAAGTTGTTCAAATTCCCAACCCAAACCCTCACAAACTCAACTTTGCGGGATGTGGCGCCTGAGTTTCTTCATCTATGAATGTCCAAAGGTCTTTCGAGTTTAGACTACAGAGAGGTTTTTGTCCGTTATGATGATCACAGAGCCAAGCAGACACGAGAAAGCATGTTGGTAGCCTCTCGATCGCCACAACCAGTATGGTGACGCTGGAAGAAAGTGAGGCCAGGTGGTGCTAGCTTTATGCTAATGCTTAGATCCAGTTACTATCCAGGTTGCTGAAGGACTTCTTCTATTTCTCGCCAAATCTTCGCCTTTTCCAGTCGTCCCTCGATGGCGATAAAGACAGGGATGTGGCCACCAGAGCTCCACAAACTTGAGCGGCATACTGTCCCGCTACTGTGGCCTTTATTGTTGTTTACTTGAAACAACACGAGCAGTACCAATTTCACCGTCTTGGGCACTATTTTTTTTTCGGTATTAAAGGCACAGTACGCAGAAAAATACCGAGCAGTGAAGACGGTCTTGTGAGACTTAACAAGCGTTTAGCCTAGCTCATGGGAACGGGGGCGGCGTGTTTACATTTTTAACCAGAGAATTGAGTGAACCCGCTTTTAGCCAATCATTTTTAACCAATCTTTTTTTTTAACAGTAAGTCTTACATCATTGGATGATATGCAGCGTTGCGTTCTGGTGCAACTCCAAGAAGGAGGACAAATAACCCCCAATTTTCACCGCATATGGAATGGCAGCGATTTTCGTTGTTTATCTGGCATGCTCCGGCGTCCGGAAAAAATAGAACTGTTGCGATCAGCTGCGGAGTCCAGCGATCTGCAGAGAAACAGAAAGAAGCGGAAAGAAGAAATTGACACATTAACTTAAATGGTTACGATCAGCTACAATTGGCAAATACAGACTTTTTGTAGCTGTTCCGGATGCGGTGGAAATCGGGGGTTAGCGTCCAGCTTGAGGCTGCACCGGATGCTGGACAAGGCATTTAAATACTGGACTGTCTGGCCTTAATCCAGTTGTATGGCCACCCTACACCAGAAACATCTAACCGTGCAAACCTGCAACCAGCACTCTTTTCTTTTTGGTCTTTTTACCAGCATTTTAAACAGCCATCAACTTCACATATCAATCATGTACGTTGGTTTGTCTGCTGTGTTTGGGTAGAAACATGGCGATGCAAGATGCTAACCTTGCCCAACTCCCACTTGCATATATAGAAAGGAAACCATTTTTATTTTCACGTGACTTAGAAGTTAAGATTTGAGGTGCTCCATCTTGTTTAAAACCTGACAAGCAGTAATAAAGTCATAACTCTGAGCAGCATGTGCCGCATGTATCAGTATTTCTTAGATAAATGCAGCATCATGCTCACGAAGAGGGAACAATAAATCTTCTATTCTACCCCAGAGTTTGTCTTTTTAGAGCTCTGAAATGTTTTTCCCTGTAAAGTACGAGGTGCTTTGTTGCTTCTTTCAGCCGATCACAAAGGGCCCCAGATAAATATTGCTTCGTTTTAATGAAACATAAACTGATTATAAACCACAGAATAACGCAATCAAAACAGCCCATCAGTGTCTCGTCTTGACAAACTGCCCCGAGTTCGACTCTCGCTGCTCCTGCTGGTGTAATAACAGCCTCATGTGGTAAAACACCAGAGATGGAGAATAACGCAAAGATCCACGGTCCCCACACCACAGACTTGGGTAATGAGTCAATAATATGGTTTCCCTCTTCTCATTTCACACTTGTGAGCTCTCCACCCACAGATTCTGACTGAAATAGCTGCCATCTAATGGTCCTGAGAAAACAAACAACACATCGCAGCCTGTCGTCGTCTTCTCAGAGTAATTTCTGTTCAAACTGGCAGCAGTGGGCTCCACAGGAGACTGCTGCTTCCAAATGAAGTCGTATATTTATCATTCACTGAATAATCTGGCATTAGCAGCACTGTGGAGAGGATTACAGATGTTCATGTTTAATGTTCATGCATATAATTAAAACCGGGTTCAATCAAAATGCCAGTTTGCCAGTGTGTCCTGTGTTTATTCCAAGATTTTCAGAGGATGAACAGCGTGGATAAGCCGGGTAGTAAAACAGAAAGGACATAAAACAGGCGAAACTTTCCAAACAAATGGCACAGAAGTTACAGTACAGCTCTCTTCAGGTACGACTTGGGAATAAGCAGAGATTTCTGAATTTGGAGTCTCCAGTTAATCAGATGCAGGGCCGTGTTGGCGTATCTGCAACTGCAGTGTGAGCAGAGTGATGCTGTCTGAACACTCTGCACGACTGTAATGGTAAAAAAAAAAAAAGTGGTTTTGACTGAAATACAACGAGTCTTTTTCTTTTTATTGCGATGGGACAACTCTCCAAATATTAGCAGTGCAAGTAGAAGAAGCACGAAGCTCCCCGGGTGATGAAGCTGCTCAAAACGAACACAGCGAGTGAGTCGTCTGTGTGAGGAGCAGCTGATGAGCGGTTCGGCTCTCTCCTCACATCTGCTCCGCAGGACGCTCAGAATGGTTTCTACACCACCATGTTTTCCCTCTTCAAGTCAAGTCTCTAAACGAGGTTTGGCGAGTCAAGATCTCTGTGAAACGGGAGAAAAAGTTTATGAAAATCCAACAAACTCAAAAGACTTTCACAGGCTGTGACGGCTTATATGTTACAGACGTGACAGAGTAGACATCGTCATCTGCAATCCCACAGGTGGACACAGGCTAGAGAGTCTGTTTACACAAGGCGTGGGATTTACCGTATTGACCGTAATATGAGACATGTTTTTTTTCTTGAAATACACCTCTTATATTAACCGTTCAGTGATGATAAATGTTGTTTACAGTATTAGTTATAAATGCAGGACAGTACACTTACAGTAAAATCCACTCGCCCTGTGAGACCGACACTCTGTAGAAGATAAACTCTAAGTTTTCACAGCATCTATGTTTTTTTTATCTATCCCACAGCAGTCAGTGAATATCAAGACTGTCTAATCCAGTCCTATCAAAAATAATCTGATGATTTATATTTAAATTTTGGTGAAAGGTATCATTTCTGTTGTTGAGATCTTGTTTTGGTCTGTCGACCAATCAGAGGCTGTATCTCTGGTCAGCTGACCTGTGAAGTTCATCATGTCCCATTAGAGTCACTGAAACTATCTGGTGTTTCCCCTAACATAGACATACATCACCCCGTATGCCGTATGTCGACGTCACACAAGGTGGCCGGAGATGACCCAGCGCTCTTTTCAGGGCTGCGAGCGAAGCTTAAGTTAACATCCACAAGAGAATGTGCGGCGTCCGCATCACTACGGACCATCTTTCTGAAGAATGCAGATATTTTCAATCAGGGTGCTGAACGTTCGGAGCTCCATGACCAGTTTTATCATTGCTTTGTTAGCGGCAAACACGATGGAAAGGAGCCAAAACCCCGGGTTATCAAAAACATCCTGCTCAAAACTGGCAGGATATGAGCGGCAAGCGCTCGCGACAAGGATACCAGAATCAGCAGTGCCGACATGCTACGCCGCGTAGCATGTCAGCACACATGTATGTTGTGAGATAGAGAGTGGAGCGAGCGGAGTAGAGCCCCGCTCATCGCAGAGGAGTGGCAAGATACATTTTTCTTCTTCAAGTAATGAAACGATAGCACGCAAGTTATATTTTATAGGCTGTTTTGATGAAAATAAAAATTAAACGTATAAATCGATGACTACGACTTCTTTTCTGGGAGTCCCTGTTCTCCATCACACTGGATCGCTGCTGCAGACGTCCCTGAGGAACAACAAAAATATACAGATGTTACAATAGTTTAAAGTGTAATAAAAGAGTCCGTGCAGCGTAAGAAACACTTTTAAAGGCATTTATTGATGAAATACACACTTAGGTTTTGACAAAAGCTTCTGTAGTTTTGTACGTAAGAAATTCCAGCCCCATTCTAGACCCCAAACTCCTTAAATTTAAATGTGGCAATGAAAACCAGTTCATACATGTGCAATAAATAACAATAATATAAAAGGAGGCAAGGAAAAGGACACTGGAATAAGTGCCCGTGTTAACCTGAAAATAAACAAAAAAAATCTGAAAACTGTCACAGGTGGAAACGGAGACAAAAACAGAGACGAGACTCAAATAAAATCCAGTCGTTTTTGTTTGTCGGGTGCATTAGTGTATGTTCTGAGATTTCCTGGTCACCCTCAGGACCAGAAGGCATTTAGTGACCTGAGGAACTGACTGGAAAAATAAGGATTAAACAGTTTAATAATAATAATAATTAATAAAAAAGAGATATTGGAGTTCTATGCTGAAACCTGGAACCATCTGAGAGCCGTATATTGCACATTTTCCTTGCAAATACAATAACCACATCGCCAGATTCACACAACTTAGTTTAAGCATGACCTAAAGGAGAAAACAAAGACAGCTGTGTTTGATGTATGGAGACAGAGCATCTGGGAGAATATAGCAAAAAGGGAATTCATTTAATTTCATAATTTAAGTCGTTTTCTGCAGAGCTCACCTGTTCTCAGCCTCGAGCTTTAAAAGGCAGCAGCTCGGTCAGTGACCCAACAAGTCAAAATATGAAGCTGTGGGATCCTCTGTGGTTGAATTTAAGATTTTTGTCAAAACAGAAGATGGTAAGAGCAAAGAAGTCCACTTTGAGCGGATGATACATTTGACTGTTAAGGTTTTGATGCCAAACTGGTGCACACGTGGTTCCCAGATAGTTCCCAGATTTTGAAGCTCGGGGCCAAAGAACAAGCTGCTGCTCTCTGTAAGTTTGGATTAAACTCACTGACCAAGAAACGACAGCAGAAGCCACTTTTTCAGTATCAATAAATAACAAGAATACAAAAAACTGAAGATTTATTGATGACATCTGTATGGCTCATGGGGGGGGACATGTGTTTGCAGGTTTGGCTGCAGTTGAATAAATTTGCAGTGAGTCAGCTCCTGTGTGTTTGAAAAAGCTGCCTCGCTGATCCTGTAGCCGGGGATCAATCTCTACGAGCAACAGCAGCAACAACAACCCTCGAGTGGTGAAACAATCCATCATTTAACCAGTCGTTGCTCCTCAGATCCGCGCCACCCATGGAGACGCGACGCGGCGCACTTGAGCCTGAAGCATTCCAGCTTTCCAGCTGCAGCAGCAGAGTGTGCAAACCGCAGTCAGGCGATATCATTTATATGTTTTGGAGTGTGTTTTCAGTCCATGTAGCCGTCTGAGTGACCCTCGAGGTCCCTCGCACACAAAGCCGGTCTGTGAGATTACCAGGCTTTACGGAGGACTCTGAAATGAAGCAAACGAACGAGCTGGGCGACAAAGAAAGCTATCAGACTCCTGGAGTGGACACTCATTACAGAGGGGAGAACACAGAAGAGGCTTTTCCAAGTTGCCAGGAATGATTTGCTGCCAACAAGCTTGAAATGAATGTTGCTGCCTTTAGAGACGACTCCAACTTCTCTGGGAGACTGAGCACAAAGCAGCCCAGATGAATTGTTTGCTGCAGGTACACAACTGTCTTCAAGAAGATGTGAAACCGCCTCTGCTGAAGCCTTCACACGGATCCGTATCGGGGATAACAAACGAGCTGATAGGTGTTCAAGGTCAAAGTGAAGAAGACCAGGCCGGGAACTGAAGCTCTGTTGATACAGACTCGAGTCTAGAGTAAGACAGGACCAAGCCGCCTGTAAGCACTGATGTCCCAATGGTAGTGCCAATGACGAGCGTGAAGATCGATCCACTTTGGAGCACAGGAGAGGGAGTGTGCAGCCTGCATACAGACATGCTTTAAAGGTTGAATCTCCCAACAGCTCACGGGGCATCAGGGAATTTCGAGTAAGATCCGCTGGATGTGATTATTTCTGTGGTAGTGGACGTTCAGACCATCAGACTTGGAAAAGGTGCAAACATCTCACCGGAGAAGCCAATAATAAGTGTGAGGCAGGAGATCGCAGCCCAAGAGCCAGATCTCCCACCATTTTTCTTTTCACAGCATCATGTATGTCACAGTCTTATTTCAACATCCTCTATTTGCTTTCCTGGCAAGCCCCGGCAAGAGAGTAAACCAACCCAGAGAAACCAGTGATAAAAAAAGAAACAAAAGGAAACGAGCAACTTCTTGATCTGCAGAGACGCCCCAGAAGTCCAAGAAGATGACGAACAGTGCAAAAAAAAAAAAAAAAAAAAAACAACAGGCGACAGGAGAACCTGAAAACACAGTGCTTTGTCTGTCTCTGACTCAATCTTTCCAGAAGAAGTTTGAAGATTTGAAGCAAAGAGTTGTTAGCACCAAAGAGAGCACCGGCGGCAGAGACAGTTTCTGACGGTCGCCCTTCACGTCAGGTTCTTCCAATCATCACACAGTTCACAGGCTTCTAAGAACAAAGAGAACTCAAACTCAACAGGACCGGCTTTGTTCACACTGCAGCTGTTTGCTGTTAGACTCTCCCACATCAGATCTTTGCCATTTTCTCGTCTCTATTGTGCGATAGTACTTGAGATAAGGGCTGCACAGATCATTTTAAAATACTCTTTTACTTCTGGCTTCAAGTCCACAAAAAAGTCCCAGACCATGATCAGGGTTTTTAAGAAGTCTGGTGCAGTAGTTTTGTCTAATGCATTTGTTATTTTTGTTGTTTAAATATCTCAACATGTGCACATAGGATTCTTCTGAAATGTGATTTGGATGTTTTCTGCTCTTGTGTTTTTGCAGCTTCTCTTCAGACTCTATTTGAAGCTTTAAACTCGTCGTGTTACGTTCCTAATAAACTCATTTTGTAGTTGTTTGAATTCCACCTTCCTGGCTAGCATAGCTGGACAACTCAGCGGCTCAACTAGATGAGAAAACACATATTAGTCCAATTTGAGCAAAACTTATTAAACATAGATAAACGTGAGCTTTCAAAGTCTGTGGATGTTAAATGTCAAATTGGTTTCACGGTGTATCTACCTGTTGCAGAGCTAGCACCACCTACTTTATACTGTGCTAGCTGTGTGTTACTCAAGATGGCTGCATGTAGGTTTAACCAGACACAGCCTGTGTGTGATCTTATTTTTCCATTTCTAGATTTAAACACCAACAAACTGCATCCTGCTGTAAGCCGAGAGTTTCACCAACTAACCAACCAGTTGACTACTTTCCCCACTCGTCAGTAGATTATGTTTATGAGCAGTCTCACTGGGTATGATCATGCAGTCATAGACATTATATACGTAGACGCCTCATTATGTGCTGGAGCGTAATCCGCCATGTTGGATTGGTCTCCTCACTCTAGGCTCGCTCAAGAGCCAAACAAGGTCAATGGAGAACGAGGAACTACGCCTCTAGTTATGCACTCTATGGTTGAAAAACCTGACGCAGTATTGAAACCAGATCACGTAGGATTACATTTCACAAATAGGATTGAAAAATGATTTGGTTTATTTTTAATGTGTGACATTATCCTGTATTATGGCTACATCCCTGCCGTTGTAACAAACCAAACAGTGTGAAAATCGGACAGAGATTCGGAGAGTTATTAACATCTTAATGCACTGGAGGACCCATCCAAGACGGCGGCTGCGCTGATACGTGAGCTCGAATAGGCAATGTCAGGTTTTGAGGCATCTACGTATATCATGTCTATGGTAACAAAGTTTCTCCAGGTGTCGGATACAGAGCAGACGTGTTATCGAATGTCTATATCGTTTATGGCAAATTTTCATACTTTATGCCTCGTTTCAAACAATTAGACTGTCACGAATTAGGAAAATTCTGTTACAGGAGAAACTTGGTGTTCTTTACCATGAAAAGACGGTGTGATTCTAATGCGATCAGCCAAACTACAATATCAGATATCGAATAAAATTCAAATACATATAACTGACGAGTATTGAGGATGGCGATAAGTAGTTATTTAGGCGACCTAATAATAAATAATGCCTACAGAGGTTGCTTTCAGGTCCACATTAGAGTGTCATTCACAGTTTTTGGCACCCAGGAACCAACACACAACCCTGCAGCCTTCTTCTGCGAGAATAATGTCACCAACCGCTCTCTTACTGCATGTTACAGATTTCATTATTAGGATACAAGAGAGAGAGAGCCTGCTGCACCAAACGACAGAAAACACACACAGCGCAGCACAAACAATGAGGATCAAAATCATCTGGATTTAGTAGGAGGGAGATCTGACGTGAGAGGCGAACAAAGCTGCAGTGTGAACCCGAGCGTGTTGAACAAAACAGATTTAATGCATCACAAAAATATACGACTAACGTTTGGATGTCATTCTCAGCAGCACCCAGCAGTGTTTGCACCATTTGAAAGAGTAATGTAGAAAATGAAACTGTTTGTGGTTATGATGATGATGATGATGATGATAGCACCTTGTTGGGGAAAGTTTCAGCTTAATCACCTGAGGAAAAAGCTTCTGAACACGTAGGATCATTAAAACCAGAAAGAGACTGAAGGAGCGAGGAGGGAAACACATTTGGGATATTAGTTAAACATCACTTGTCTTATTTATAAGAGCAAACTTGATCAATATTAACCTCGGAGCGTCTCAGAAGAGCATAAACTGACATTGGTCTGACTTCTCTAGGGTGACCTGTTGACAAACACAGAGTCTGTGCTGACGAAGACAAAGAAAAAAAGGAGATTATGACGTTTTCTGTGGGGAGAAGCTGGTAGGGCTCGTTGTTTTTGGTTATCGATCACTATTAAAAGGTACAGAAGCTTGATTTTTCTCCAGTTTTTTCCATCAGGGTAGAAAATAAAAGCATTTTTTCATTTCTTATTTTGCTCATAAAAAAACTTGTTAGCTGTTGTTGGAGCATCCAATTTTCACAGAACCAATTAGAAGAACAAAAGAGGGAAAAATCACAAGATTCAAGCTAACAAAAGATGTTTGTGCTGAAGAGTGGATTTCCAAAATTGGAGTTTACCCAGAAATCAAAGACTTTCAAGGATTCCATGTACTTTGATAGTTAGAAAAACCAAAAAACAATGAGCCCTTTACATGTGCAGCCGGGGAACAGGCTTTCAGAGGTGAATGAGAAACGACAGACTGCAGGAGTCAAGTTTGAGCTGAGACCTGTAAGCTATAAAAACATCATTTAATACACATCCTAGGTCCTTTAGTAGCAGAGCTCCAAAACATGTTTTAAATTTGATCTGCAAATCCCTAAACCGTCAAGTCACAACTTTTTTTAAATAAACTTTTAAGACTTCTTTCAAATCTTAAATCGAGAGTTTGAAGCTGGAACGTCTGTCGTCTCATGATGGAGAGGACTCCTGCAGACAGAGCAGCTCGCTGTGGGCGGGGACGACGCAGAGGGGAACGTAAATGTCACAGGACAGTGAGGTAATACTACTTGAGGTCTGACGAGGCGTTCAGGGATCCAGTTGTGTTTACGTTAAAGACAGATGAGCAGTTTGCTTTGAATGTTGCGAGTTTAAGACATTTAGCTGATAAAAGGATCTGCTGTATCACAGTTACAGCATAAACAAGCATGTTCCTGAGGAATACCCTCCTCAAGATCACAAACACACATAGTAATGAGCACCAAATGACCAAAACAGCGGTCGTTAGATATCCAGATTTTCATTATCAAAACCTTTAAAAAGAAACCCAGTCTCTGTGCCAAACCTGATTCTGCAAGTCATTTTGCAAAAGAAGAAAAAAAAGATGAATACATTTGTGTTTTGAGAGCCTTTCCTGCTGAAATTCTGAGGCTTTTTCACTGATTTTTGGACAAATCAACATTTACTTGACTTTCAGGATCACGGTGCAACTTTCGACACTTGTACGTCAACTGGCAGTGAGCGGTAACTGCAAAAAAACCCGACAATGTGAAGTGGTTTATGTGCACGGAGAGTCTGACTGCGGCGCCTCACAGAGGGAGTCGAGCTCTGAGCAGAAAGTTTACAGTTTGTTCTCAATCTTTTAATTATCCGCCCTGTTCGCCTAAATGAAATGGTGATGTTTGCAGCACCTTAAGACAAATAAAAACCAGGCTATAAAATCTCACTTCTGTTGCAGGAGAGATGGAGAGTTCTGCCGTAAAATCCCAACAAAATAAAAAAAAGGAAGCATGGTATGAGGGCGCGCGGTGTCAACATCTGCTGCTAACAGCTCGACCTAAAAGCTGTAAACATGTGGGCGAATCGGCGCTCGCTCTGCTGAAAGACTGCAGAGAGAGAAATAAAGGAGTGCACGGCGTGATTAAAATCAATAAAAATACAGAGAATCTCTGCTCATATTGAGTTTTCATGTCTTGCAGGCATTGTGGAACATGGGTGTTTATGTAGTATTGTGTTTTTTTAAGACAAAGGTGGTTGATACTGATGTCCAAAACAACCGAAAACCACGACGAACATATCTGTGTTTGACCAAAGGAAGGCGGAGGATGGGAGGATGGATCGGAAGCTTTCTTCGTATCTACGTTCGACTCTCATACATACTTCAGACCCCACGTCTAAAAGACTGGCAGAGGATTTGATAAATCTGTTTTGTGTCTTTCCCAGACAACATAAAGATGCATTTATATATTTTGATACTGATAATGAGTCTGTCTTTTTAAAGATTCCTAATTCATTACCTTTAATCGCCCAAAATATAGATAGCACTTCTGGGATCCATTCTTTCTTAACAGTCTAAAGTCTCTCTTTCAATCTCTCTCTCTCTCTCTGTAATGACATTTTATGTACAATATTGGTATATAGAACATAAATTACTACACAAAACATTTGTAAGCCTATTCACAATTGACAATCATCAAGAACCCAATAGCAAATTAGACAAAGTCAACAAAATGAAAACAAAACAAAACGAAAAAGGTTCAGAGACTTGATAAACAGCTTTAAATTGATGCCTGTTATATAACTTTTTCCATAAACTCTCTGTGCTCCCAAGACGTGTCGAGTGTATCGTGAAGAGGAAAAACCAGAAAAACAAAAAACAAAAAACAAACACCTTTTATAAAAAAACATCCTCCTCTCCTCTCAGTCTTTGTCTCAGGAGGAGGAAATCTGCATGAAGCTGAAAAAAGACGGTCATGTGATCCCCGACATCTTGTTTGCGTGTAAACAGAGCACCAGTAGTGTCTTGGTTCCATGTGTCTCTTCTGTACAAAAGTATAAATATATGCTTTCTCTCCATTTTTTTCTTTTTTTTTTTTGTTTTTCTTTGTTCACATATCTAGGATGTCGCGGACAAAAACGTGGTTGTTTCAGTTCTTAAAAACACACCAGTGTTGCAGTATCTGTGCTGGAGGTCGTCGGTTTGTGTTGTATCCGCCGCCCCGCCCCCCTCCCTCCCTTACCCGCCGTTCGATCCCGATGTTGCTGGCTTGTGTTGACTTGAACCGTCGGGAGTTTGCTTGGTGTTGGTTGATCGTCTTTGCATAAATAAAAAAAGGTTTCGGCACAGTCCGCAGCCACCGGGCCAAAAAGAAAAGCAAAACAAAAAAAAAATCAAAAAAACAAAAACACAACCGTGTGTCCGTTTTAGCTACAGCAGATCCATCTTGGGTCTGTAATGGAGCAGGAGGGGCGACTTCTGGAGGGGGGACACACAAACACAACATCAGTGTGAGAAATACAGCCTGTCAGAGAGCCTGAGGACCGAAGACACTGTAGATATTTTTAAAAGAAGGTTACAGACCGACCTTTTAATCAGGCTCTTAACTATTATTTTAAATTCTTCTTATTTTCTTATGTGGTTCTAATTTATCTTATGTTCTTACTTCTACCTTGTTTTTAAAGATGATATTATTCTTAATTTTTTTATTTGTTTTACTTATTATTGGTCCTGTTTTCTTTATTATCTTCTGTATTTTTATGCTTTTAAATTGTTCACTCTTTTTATCTTGTGTTATTAGTTTTCAGTTTTAACTCCAGTGTTTCCTTAGAGGGGGTCCTCCACACTGGGAGCTGTGTCTGGGCTGCTGCTGGGGGGCGCTGTCCCTGAGCCCTTCGGCCCGACTGGCTTTTGTCTGTCGGGGTCGAGGGGGGCCTGGGCGCTGGTGCCCCCCTGTGGCACAGCCTGTGACTCCTCCCAGTGTGGATGACCCCAAAGATGACGCTTCTATTGTCAGTAGTGAGTGTAAAGAGACTAAACACAACTCACCTACTCTCCTCCAGCAGCTGCCTGTTTGTAACGAGACCTCCGGGCGAGTCCATCGACTACAGTGGGGAGACGCAGCTCAAGGAAGAACATTTATGATCATTTCTTTATCATTTCCATGACTTAATAATCACCATATTAATCATTTGCTCTGCAGACGCGGTAGTTCTTCTGTCTTGGCGTCTCGGTCTGATTGTATTTCCATGAAGAAATGATCATAAATGTTCTTCCTTGAGCTGCGTCACCCCGCAGCAGTCCATAATGGACTGGCCCGAGGTCTCGCTACAAACAAGCAGCTGCTGGAGGAGAGTAGGTGAGTTGTGTTTAGTCTCTTTGCTAAAGAAATTAGGCAAAGTTAAAAAGATGTTTGGTGTCTAGTACTATGGCTGTGACCCTATATGTCCTGTTGATGAAGTTAGGTGCTGTTCTGAGCATTATTTGTGGCTATAGAGTGGCGTTTTGGTTAAGCATGTGGCTCTCTGTATTGCTACGGTCGTTACTAAAGTTGGTAAAACTAGAGAACCAAGGGGTCGGCAACTAGAGATGTCTCACTAGATATTGACCCTAACTTAATTTTATGCCGGAATATCCCTTTAAATCAAATCTCAGACTTTTTCAGACCTTTTTTTAAACTCACTCAAAGTTGATTTTTTTCAGAACATCAAAACAAATCAGAGAAACAGAGAATATGACCACATCTCTGAAACAGGCGTTACCTTAAATCTCCATCTCGTCACAACAACAAATTTCAAAGTGTGGTCCTTCCCCAAGATCTCCTCGTTGCATAAAATGTCCAGCTGTTAACGACAACAAAAAACAGCTGATTAGTGAATGATGGCCGACAGCAGAGAGCCTCACTGTGGACCACGCCGCCTCCCTGCAGAGACATGAACACAAACTCCTTTCTTGAAGGTTTCTGATGCAGAAACAAAGCTTGTACCACACACTCTCTGCCCCCTCCGCTCTAAAGCGTCTCTGTGTCTTTGACTGGAAGCTGGTTTCACCACAAAGTGGCCCTCGGCTCCCGAGCAGCAGCGGGGCATTCTGGGAAACAACAGAAAGTTCAATACTGAAAGCGAGGCCGGCTCGTCTAATCCGGCGCTCCCTCTGTGAAGTCAACATTGATATTCTGCTGAGCACTGCCTCACATCTGCATCTGCTGATCGATACAGTCAGACAGAGAGGGAGAGAGGGAACAAATACTGCCACAGCGTCACCTGCTGGTTCAGACCGGAGTGACGCTCTGACGGATAAACACAGCATTAGTGAGGGAAACTGTTCAGGTCTGTGACTGAGAAGAAACCAAAACTAATCCAGAGGGGGAAGCAGAGGGGCTGTGATTCCAGCTCAAAAGTTAGAAGTTTGTTTTTGTGGGAGGAAACGACAAAAACCACATCTGGGTCTTTGTTGTTTGAAAGCTCTGAAAGGATCAAAATCAAACCTGCAGAAAACCTCCCTGCACAGACCTAAACTCTTGATCTGATGATCAGGAGAAACCGCAGATTTCCGGACAAAAACATCAACAAATAGAAATTTTTAAGTGTTTTTTTTTGTTTTTGAGATTTGAAACGCTGAAAGAGTCCAAAGCCTTAATAGTTGGAACTGATAAAGTCAGAGTCTGGTGCAGTTTAATATCATTTCAGCTCTTTGTAGAACACTTAAAGCTAAATAAAAACTAAAAGATAATCAGACTGTCTCCGGGGACGGTTCCCTCCATCTGACAAAAGCCAGACTTCCTCTGTCCTGTGATTTTAGTCATGAGTGAATTTACTTCCACAGATCTGCTCAGTGATGATTCTAGCTGCACCGGTTTAAAGCTGTAAATAAGAAGCATGTTCAGAAACTATTTATTCACTTGTGTACATGACAGGGACAAACACACGAGACTCTGCAGTAAACTGAGCATCACTTTACAAATGATGCTTTCTTCCTTTAAAGTGTTGGACTGCATGAGTTTGCAAGATCTCCTTCTGGGAGTGTGGACTCTGGTCATGAAAGAAGTCTTTATTGGGGTGTGTAGGTCACATATCTTTTAAGCCCCGTTTATACGTACCCGGTTATTTTTAAAAACGTTTGCACCCTTCGTTTAGACGCAAACAGAGAGTTCGCCCCTGAAAACGATGCTTTTTAAAAACTCTGGTTATAGTGGAGATTTTGGAAAACTCTGTTTGCACGTAAACTGAGAAAAACAGAGATTTGGGTAGAAACTGGGTTCAATGCGACGTTGTTTACACTCTATGGTGATCATGCAGAACAGCAGTCGTTTTGTATTCATTTGCATTTACATCTTTTCCAAAAGAAGGAAGTGACGTTGTTGCTGCTATACGGGATTCTGATTGGCTAACGTGGGCTTGAGCTTCTCGCAACACTGCCACCTACAGGTTTGGCGTGCTCTTAATGGCATTTATACACAGGTTAGTGTAAACAAAAACTTTTCTGAAAACATAGTGGTGTGCACGCAGTTTTTTTTGTAAACGGAGAGGGTGAAACGTCTGTTTATGAAAATAGTACGCACGTAATCTAAGGTTGTGCCAAGTTGCAGGTAAGTCACAGGACCTCGTCAACCGGATAAGTGACAAGACTAACGTGTAAATGGCGCCCAGCTCTCTACAGAGCTAAAAACAGAGTCTGTCTAAACGACAGCTTTTGATAGTCATCAGAAAGACCAACAATGGCGGCCGGGGAGCGCCAGAGTTGTGTGTTTTATCCTGACGGTCTGATCGAGCCCTCCCACTCAACTCTGCGACAGCTGGTGAGAAAAAGATGAAAAATCAAAATAATATAAGACACAGAGGCGTCTGTGATGGTTATATGTGGCATTCTTAAAATCCATCTGTCAAATTATCGCCCACAGTCCTCTCGGCTGTTTTTAGAGCCTGTTAGAGCATCAAAAATAAGAAAAATAAGAGAGAAAAAAAAGCTGCTTTTCTGCTAAATATAACAAATGCTGAAGGCCTTTTATCGGACAGAGGGATAAACTGACCTTCTGAGCCATGAAACTGAACTTTCTTCTGCACACAGCCCACACCGCCCAGCTGGTGCTCCAAACACATTGAAACAAAAGGCCAAGAATTAAAATGATTTGTTTCAAAAACGCTCCAAATCCACTTTAGGAGACAAACATGCAGCCGAACATTTTCGTTAAGCGCTTGAATTAAAACGGCTGAGAACAGTAATCCACCCTCGGACCCATAAAGCCCAAAATAAATGCAGAAAAACTCAAACTTCTTGGAATGAAAACCAACACTTCTCTGAAAGGACTTCTGCTTTAGTTTCACACCCTCTCAGTTTCCTCTGATTAAGAGAAAATAATGAGCTGCGGCGATTCTCGGATGATTTTCCTGTTTTTTAACCTTAAGAATCTGCTCTGAAACCCCACAGAGCCAGTATGACTCTGAGGTAAGCTCAAAGTTTGTGCAGCGGAGCGATATGTTCAGAAATATTATTTAACAGGATATCTGCATGAACAGATGTGTAAAAATCCATCAAATCCTGCGATCTTTGAAACACGCTGAAGTGAAAGTACATTAAGTTTCCTCTCGGGTCTAACGGAGCGTGTTCTCATCGGTACCTCATTAAATGATGTCAGGTTAAGCTTTTTGGCGATGAACTTCTTCAGGTGGAGGACTGTGGCTTGTGCTGAACAGCGGATCCACTTTCGCTTCAGACCTCGAAGCTTGCTGCTGTTGCACTCCAAGCAGATGCTGACCTGTTGGAGGAAAACGTGATGGTTAAAAGAGGTGAGGACTTGTAGAAAAGAGAGAATATTCCACGACATGCTGACGCTCAAAGGAAGTAGTTTTAAAATGAAAGAAAGACGAGTTTATTTTTAAGAAACAAGGAAGTGTTTCACTCAAGATGTTTGTGGCCTTCAGAGCTCAAAACCACAAAAGTCTCAACAAAGCACTGCCAAAGCACAGAGGTCGTAGAACCGTCTGTAGTGTGTATTGTAGCCCTAACGTGTGTCTAAATAAATTTCTTGCCCTCTTAAATGAATGTTTTGAAGTTCAGAGAACACAATTTAATTTACCCACAGAATGTATCTTAAACGTTGAAAAAAACCAACTGCAGTGGCTGAAAAATCTGCCGAAAAAAGAACAAGATACAGAATCTACTTCCTCTTTTCCTCCGCTCTGCTGCCTGTGAATCCTACTAGGCTAACTCATTCACAAGCCCCTCCCCCTCAGTCCTCAGTAAACATCCAATCACAGTTTAATATGCAAACAAGCCAGGAAGTAGCCAGACTACAGTGTCAGGTTTGTGAGGTTTTTTTTCTCTAGGATGATATAGGGAAATCCACGCCCCCAAACCCATTTGATTGGTTCCTCCTCAGTCTCTCACTTCTACCCCGAATGCGCCCCCTCCTGTTTTTAAATTTCACTGCAGTTACATCGCCGCCACTAACCCCTCCCCTTATCCTAACACTCACCCTAACCTTTACTAACCTCACCCTAACCCCTTTTCCTATCAGGTGGTGGAGCGAAGAAGAGTAATGCAGGGACCAATGAAATGGGTTGGGGGCGTGGATTTGCCGATTTCATCACAGGGAAAAAATGTAGCGTCAGGTTTCAGGACCATCCAGTTACGATAAAAAATATGCTGTTCGTTGTTAAAATCTGGATATTTTATTTCATTTATTATTTCCATTTTTTCCAATCGTGATCCTGATTTTCCAAAAATTAAAAACGCGATATGAAACCTTTTCCATATCGCCCACCCCTAGACATCTTTCCCTCTGATTCTTCAGGGTCATAAAAAAAACAGCTGATATCTTTGCCCGGCGCCGCTCATTGTCAGCATGTGTTTTTGCATATCGGCTTCGAGCGTCACCGCCATTGGCCTGTGCTCCCCCCCGCAGCGACACGGTAGGTGGTTTTGGCAGTTGATGGTTGCAGGAGTCAGAATGTATCACTGTCGCTGAGAGACGGCGGAGGAGAGAAGTCGTGTACTCCTTTATTCGTGGGAGTCTTCCTGCCTCACTTCCTTTTTTTTTTTTATCTCTCTCTTCTGAGACGTGAAAAATAAACATCACACTGGTTTCTACATAAACTTGGAAAGCATCTCTGCTCTTCAATAAACACTGGCGGCTCTTCAGTGCGCCACCTGCCCTCCTATAAGCAAAGAGAAGCAGGGTAATATCTCCGTTTCCAGTGGGGGAGGCTCATAATGTGAATAAGAGTCTCGGAGGAGATCGGGACTCTGCAGCAGGTTTCATTAAATTACCGAACATTAGTGACGTTCTTACAGAGCCTGTTTGAGCCGCACAGACTCGCTGACGGATGCAACAGAGAGCCACATCAAGAAAACATCATGTTTACGGGAGCTTATCACTATTTGATGAGCCCACACCGAGCGCCTGCAGACGGCTGAAGATGTCTGCGTGTAGTCGTGTTTAAAGAGAAGCTTCATTTAACTGTGCGAGTAAAGGGTTTGGATGAATCAGGTACAAGAATATGCTATATAAGTTGGATTTTTTCTGAATTAAATTAGAGAGTAAGGTTTTATTTATTATGTTTTCCAGTTAATCACTCACACTGACACATGTTGCTTTAAAAGTAATCCATAAAATCTTAAAATCAATCCTAAAACTGACAGGAAGCCAGTGAAAGGAGGCTCAAATTCAAGTGATGTGACGCCGTCGACTAAAACCAGTTAAAAGCCGAGCTGCTGCGTTCTGAACGAAGCAGGTAAAGCCCACCTGTTGTGGTTTCTCTTTGGGTCTCAGGGTCTATCTGCTGGCTTCATCGTTTACTCTTTTCAGCGCTCACAGTTAATCCTCAGACTTAGACGACCCCTCCGTCATTAACTCTCATGAGTCACACTCTCCCTCCCTGACACCTCGTCACCCTGCGAGGTGACTTCTTTTCATCAGCGGGCCTTTTTCTCATGCTGTCTGCTCGCCCTCTCATTTTCATCACTCAGCTTGTATTCCTCTGCTCTTTTCCTCCCTCGTCTTCTTCCTCCTCCTCCTCAGTGACATTTGACACGCCTGCATTCAGCTCACACGGGGCTGACGTATTAGCTATTCAGAGCACATTCCTGCACCGCGGCTGAAAATCCAAAAGGGCAAGATCTTCACCCTCATCGAGGCGGCTGCCATCTTTGTGTTTATAATCCGAATAAAAAATATCTGAGGTGTTTTTGTTTTTTTAGTTTGGCATGACAAAACTCTGCGCTCTGCATTATTAATTTAATTTGTCAGAGCTTTAGATTGTGCAGGAATACCCCTGAAATCAACAAAAGCCCATCTCCATTTTCGATGTGTTCAGACGGGCGGAGCTGCGGCGTCTTTACAAATCAAAAAGCCCAAACAGCAAAGACAAAAGGAGCCGCTAATTGTAAAACAGCCGGCTGATTCACATGGGGGGGCTTCCTTTGTAAAGGCAATAATTGATGTGCCGGCTTTTAAGGCAATCGTACCCACAATTATCACCAACAGTATTTTTTCCCTTTAGTGCTTTTGTTCCTGACAGTCTGCTCGGTAACCTGTAATTATTTTATCCAGTTTACTTCCTCTAATCTCTGCCGGGAGAGAAAAATCATGTGGACCGCCTGCCAAGTTTGCTGCTAGATAACACAGCTGGCTGATTCTTAAAGGGGCGGATGACCTAAATTACATAAATAAATAAAAAACACTCATTTATTTCTGGTTTGATTCAGTCAGATACAGCTCATACTTCTTATATGACGCCTCTAACCTTCCAAGACTGGACCCTGATGTTTGTTTACTATAACTCTGGAGACCTACAGCCAGAATCTAAGGCCACTTTTAGACGGACACGGTCTCCATAGAAAACGGAAAAATTTAGTTTCGTTTAGGGGGGTCCGTTTAGACGGCAACTGCGTTCTCAGGAGATGAAAACACAACAAAGTGAAAACCCCCTCCAGAGTGGAAATGTTGTAAACGCTCTGCTAGTCCCGCTTTCGTCCAAAGTACAAAAACGCTGAAAACAGTCAAAGCTGTGACGTCCTGGCTCACGTCGGCTCACGCTAGGAAGTAGAACGGAAGTTGTTCTACGTATGTGTTGTTGGTCTATATGGGAGCGCGGTCACACCGACACGCGCCACCTACCCTACCTGGCATGCACATTACAGCGTTTTCAACCACATTGTGTTTTTGTGTAAACACAGCATAAAAACTGAAAACGAAAACGGCACTTTTCCATTTTCTATGGAGGCCGTTTCCGTCTAAAAGTGGCCTAACAGAGTACAGAGAGCGACTCTACAGGTCCTTACACACCGGGACCGTTCTTTCGTGCGATTATTTCGGACGTCAATATTTTTTTTTGAACCCGTTTCCTGTCAGTTGTTGTGTTTTTGTGATGCTACAGCTGCAGGTTTAAACGGCAGGACGACACAGTTAGGTCAAGAGTGAACCAGAGAGGGATTCGAGTTTTTGGGAGATTGTTTATTTTCTGCCGTGAACCTTTCTCTCACCAGAGGGCGCTGTATTTCACCATGTATCTTTATGCATCCATTCTGGAGTGACAGCGTTATGTTAATTTAGCTCTTACATTCAGAGAAATGATCAGACACTTGGATCACTCTGAATATTTCTCACACCCTGCTGTGAAAAAAGCTGAATTTTGCCTCTTTAAGCCAGAGTCAGCACTTTGATTGTTCGCCATATTTGTCTGCGGGAAGCCTGTTTGTCAGACGCACTGCTGTGTCAGACCAGGCAGGAGATTTCTGATCAGTGTCTCTTATCTGTTGAAAATGTTTTCAGGTTTTTGAGCACAGTTTCTGTCTTTGGAAAGTTTCTTTCATTGTGTTTAAAAAAAGAAGTTTATTTCAGATTTTAAAACCTTGTGGGAGAAAATGAAATTCATCTTCAGTGATTTTTCTGTTTGATACTGAATAAAGTCAGAGAGAGAGAGTGGTGATTTGATTGTGAGAGAAACAAGAAGCATGCGGGGGCTCACCTGCTCGTCGCTACGGTGATAGTCGTTGTCTTCCTCCGGTTTTTCCTCTCCTGCCTCCTTATTGGCTGTTTCCTCTGATTTTGTATCGCCTGTGAAGAAAACACCAAGAAGGAAACTAAGATTAGAAACTTTTTATTTGCTGAACGTAAAAGTTAAACGTTTCCCCGCGGTTTAATTTGTGCACACTCCAGAGTTTAAAAGCACCTCTGCATGTTTGTATTCCTGCTGCGATCTGTCCACTAATGGAGCAGCATGTTTCTCTTATCTATCTCATTAACTTAAGTGAAGAGGCTTGAGCTTAATTGACGTCCATGTCGTTAACAAGACTAGTCGGAAGTGGTGGAAACCGACATGTTTGTCTCCCTGTAGATGTTACAACGCTTGTGCTTGCTGGAGCATAGACACACCTCCTGCAGAGGTCCATTTATAAGGCAATTACATGTCCGAGGGTGTCAGAGCATCCTTTATACAGCTTATCCGCTGTCTGGGCACATCTCTAATACACGGCAACTCTGAAAAAATGGTAAAAATGCAGCCTGGTCCTGTGCTGATTAGCCTGCAGGAGGGCTGAAATCAGCTTTACCTTAATTGAGTTTGTGCCTCTTTTCAGGGAAATCGGAGCAAATATGAAAGTAGAGGGAGCAGAGAGTCGGGGTCTGGATTAGTCAGGTCTTTGCAGACCTAGAAGTTAGTCTTTAAACCCCTCAGCTAGTCTGCCTAAACTCTGACATTTATCTTGCCTCTATTAAGTTGTTAAACTCATCTTCCTCATGTAGGGCTGGGCGATAAAACAATAACTATATATATTAAAAAAATTGATTTCTCTCCGTATCGATATAAAACGGGGTCATGTCATGTTTTGGTAGACTTTATAAATAGCAAACGAAAAGGGGAGTTGCTTGGGTTGCGTGAATTAGAACCAAGTAGCAAACAACTGCGTAGTAGCAGACAGCAGCTACATGCAACCACAGCACTTTAACGTGAAGCCGAGAGCACTGTCGGTGAAAAAGAAAGAAAATGAGTGCTACCCCTTTATTCAGATGAAGACTCAACAGATGACGAATTGGCATGGAAACATTGGCAGTGTGGAGGTATTTTGTTTTTTTAAGTTGGAGATGAAGCAGAGTAATGTGCACCGCAAATTATGTCGAGTACATGATAAATTTAATTTAAGAGTAACAGGGAACCTTTAAGATGGACAAGTGATTTTTGTTTGTATTAGGATATATATTGATATCAACTGATATGGCAAAAATATATCCTGATAAACTTTTTCCCATATCGCCCAGCCCTACGATCATGCAACGCTAACATTAATCCAAAACCATCAGATAAATCATCTGAAAACACTGACAACAACAAACCTCGACGCAAAATCAGTTCTTCAACTGAGCCGATTTTTACTGAAGAAGGTCAAGTTTTGAATTCAGGACTTTGACTTTGAACAGAGTATTCTCACAGATGTATCAGTGCTTATACAAAGGTTTATTTTAATACTTCATACACCACTGGTTTCACAAAACACTCTGCGGCTGAACTCAAGGACACACGCCACAATCCAGCTGAAACTTCCACACAAAAGTGAGTTTCCATGGCATCAAATCGTCTCCGTTCAGAGACTTCCTGCCAACATTTAAACCCCCTCGGTGAAGAAGCTGTTACTTAGAGGTCCAGGACAGGCATGCTTATATATTTCTTTATTGTTTTTACTTTTTGCCTGTGATACTCGCGCTGTATTGGATTTTTAGATATGAAACACAGTTATCTAAGAGAAAATTGCTGTGCTGTGACAATATCGCTGCACAGATGGGTATTGCTTTTCTGTAACCTTTAAAAAACAAAGAAAACGGGTCTATTCTTGCAGGATTCAGCTGATGTAATTACATTGTGTGCATTTGTGTGTGTGTGTTGGTGTGTGTATAAAGACAGTCGGCTGCAGCTCAGCCCGTAGATGGGATTGCGTTCGCCTCTCTGTGGCTATTTTCCCGTCAGGTTGACTGTCAGCGTTTCCCCCCCGAGTATCGCCAGGGAAGGTCTGAGCTCGCGTGTCTCTGTGGCGACCGTCTCCAGAGTCACTCACTGATTGCTTATCAAGAGAGGCAGACTCTCATTGTTGTGTCCACCTTCAAACAACCCTGGAGCATCTCAGAGACCGACAACACGACTCTGAGGCTCCAAATAGACACGAAGACCCGGTTAGTTTTGGAGGGAACGGGATGATTGGTCAGATCTGAGCAGACTTTCTTCTGTCTCCTTTACAGGGTGACAACAGGGATTAAGAAGTTATATTTAAGACGTTTTAAGACCTTTTTAATACCGCCTTAAAGAAAATTGAAGACCGAACTTGCGATGGAAATACAGACAAAAGTGAAAATATATTATTTTATGTCCAATACGGAAAAATGAAAATAATCAAATGCTCAAGAACATTCTTCAAATGTGAGCATTTCTGCCTCCCCCACTGATATTAAATTACTGGGTTAACTTTGTAATATGTACTTGGTCTCACTCAAAGCCAGTCTGTTAGCCAAGATCCAGCTGTTTGAGTGGGAGTTGATACCATGGTGACGGAGAACAAGCCCTCAGCAGACTAACTCTCTCACTTTAAGAGCTCAGGATGTTAAACAACAGGGAGGAAAGTTTTTGTTTGATCATTTTAAACATTCAGATGCAAAAAAACTAAACTATTTCAAACTTAACGAGTACTTCTGTATGCCCAACAACAATAACAATCTGCCTTTTGTCGTATCAGATAAATTAGCTCCTTATAAGAAAAAAAGAGCGGATAAGAACTTTATTTATCCCCGAAGGAAAATTCAATTGTCTGTAGTCTCATTTAAGACCATGCTTGTTGTGCTGATAATAAGTGACTGATTTTAGTCATTTATTCTGATAAAACCGGCTGTCATGTCTCTGCTTTAGTTGTATTATTGTGAGGGAAAATATAAATCTGCTTCCACCTGGGCGTTGTGTTAGTTCAGGCAGGCCACAAATCAAGCTCAGTTCACATCGTGTTAGCCCAACTTAATGCCTGTCCATATCAGCGAACAGCTTATACTGTGTCTGACTTTAGCACTTGATGACTGTCACTCTGTATGAAGGAGAGTGAAATGAAGCTGAAGGTCTCCAACAACTCAATCATGAAACTAAGCCTAAGTGAAAAGTGCCCTTTTCCTTCCAGGCTGTAATGTCACCAACATTAACATTTCTGTCCCTGAATTCTGCTCTGAGGAATAAAAAGTCCCGCTCCGCCGTCTCTGCCAGAAAAAAAAGATCCATTTAACTCAGCTGGAGAGAGGCGACCCAGGAGAAAGTTTTAATTTCTGAAGGGATTCTGTATAAATGAGCCTTTAATTAAGTGTAATGCGGTTCAGCATGGCTGGCAGGGGCAACATTACCAGAGCGCCCAGTGTCGCCTGTAGTTAGCGTTGTGTGATCTCTGTTTTACCATGTGTTAACTTTGGTTTGCCGTTTTTTAAAGGAGAGTTAATGAGGAGTATCTTCTCTCACAGAGAGGAGCGTATGAGGGGAAGTAAACAGGCCAGATCCTAAAAAGTAACTTCTGCACCCTGTGGTGACTCTGAATACACTCACTCTCCCAAAGAAAGGTCTGAATAGATTTCAAGAAGTCTGGGGTCTAGTTAGTGAAACTGTAAACACTGTGATGCCACGCGTCTACAGTCTCCGTCCTTGTTCTTGCAAAACTGGGTTTCCATTAAATATAGATTCACCTGAACTTTGAGGCATGTTTACACCCTGACCACAGGTTTCATCTTTCTGCACAGAAATACTCCAAACTAAACTCTCTATGTTGTGTTTTTATCAAACTTTTTTTTTCTGCAGAAGCAAAACCAAACCCTGAAGATTTTTAAGCAGAACATCAAGGACACATTTCAGAGCGAAAACCTCTCGAGACTTCGTTTTCATCTGTTTTTAGGCTGGTTCGAATTATTCAGTCAAGACCGAGGTTTGTTTCTTTGAGAAGCGAGGAGTCATTAAATAAAACATGAGAATCCCTAAAAATAATTTATACCAATGACATCCACTTTATCACAGCAGTTTTTTAACCAAGTTCAAACAGAGATGGAGTCCTAAGAAGGTGGCGCTTCATCGGGGCATGTGCTGATTTCAGTCTTAAAGTGACTCTTTAAAGCTCCCGTGAGGAACTCTCAGTTTGGCAAACTTTGACCAACTTCTGACAAAAAAAATCTCATCCTGCAGACTTTTGACGGTATCAACAATGTTTTATTGTGGATATTTCATGAAGCTGACACCTACCCCCGCACGCCGGTTTCAGGATTTAAAGAAAACTACATTTAAGTCACCGATCTCAGTGCTGATGGTCTTCTTAGTTTTTGGATGTCATAAACAGGCCTCAAAATAAATTTTATTATTTTATAAACATTAAAATAAATCCTTATAGGAGCTTTAACTTCATACAGCAACAGACTTACATCTCCTATTTCCTGCAGATTAAAGCTCCTGTGAGGGTTTTTACTGGTATTATGTCTCAATATAATAACTAAATATTTCTTTAACATATATATATTTTTAATTTTATCTTATGTCTGAAACCTTTGATTGAGGGGTAGGTGTCAGTCTGCCAAAACAGCTTTTTTATCTGATTTTATCTGCTGACTGTTTTATTGTTTTGTTCTGTTGCTTGATTTTACTGTTATTGTTGCTTTTATTTGTTATTGTTGCCTGTACTGTGCACTTTGAGATTTGTTTTCAAATGTAAAATGCATTACAAATAAAATCTATTATTATTATTATTAATTGATTTTATCAGTGAGGAAATAAGAGACGCCATCGTTGTTTACGCGCAGAGCCAGAATCAACACAAACTGAAAGTTCTCACAGGAGCTTTAAACTACTTTTTTTAATCACAATAACTGGAGTCTGACTTTTTGAGGAGTCTAAAAAACTCATAATCTTGACTCACTGCAGAGATCCAGCACCCTGAATGACCACGTGAATCCGTCAGTGGTAGAACAAGATCTTTCCAGGGACCGATCTTGCAACCATGGAGGTATTTAAGCTCAATAACATGAAAAAAAAACTGTAATCAGACTCTAAAGTTAGAGATGTACGGGCTGAGCGTTTCAATCATGTGGCGCCCTGAGTGTGGAGCAGACAATTGAGCAATTTTCTCAACCGCACTCGAGTTTGACATCCGCTTTCATGATCCACAAACCTCACAGGATTCAGTTATCGATACGGTGAGAAATCTCGCCAACAAGCAGGTAAAAAAGGAACTTTGTTGATCCTCAGAGGAAGAAACTCCGGTCTGCGAGGCTCGAAATGAAACAACTACATCGAGTTTTTTTTAACACATGAAGAATTTCAAACCTCACCTCCAGCTAGAGATGTCTTATTTATGTGTGTTTTCTGGAGAAGTGATTATGCAAAACAGTTGGGTTTCTATTTCTGTTGGTGTCTGTGCTAATGATCCTTAAAAAGTGTGCGAGTCTGAACATGTATGTGTATTTGTGTTCTGTGTGTGTGCGCTGTAGTTAAACCTGTCTTTAAGCAATGAGGCCGAGAAGGCAGAGAGCTCTTCCACTTCCATTTGAGCCTTAATTACCAAAATCAGAGGGTGGGGGGGGGGGGATTAAGCGAGCGATTAGGCCTGCCAGCGTGACAGCCCTCTGGGCACACATTCACACCAGCGCCTTGGAAGCAGGCTGCTCCTGAAAAGCCGTCGTGCGCAACAAGCGAGCCGGGGACCCGTTCTGATTGGTGAAATTGCCTTCATTTCAACTGCTTAATGGCTTCCGCTGTTAGTTATGTGCGTGCCTCTAATGTTACTAATCATGAGCTGGGGGTTTCGTCCCTTATATAGCGCCATCAGAAACACAGCCGAGGAGACTTCAAGAAGTAAGTGACGGCACATTTAAAGTCCCTGATCCAAGATGTTAAAGAAGTTGTTTTTCCCTCTTCCAAAGACCCGATTTTCAAGACTTTTAAAGATACTTTTGGTTGAAGTTAACTTTCATCTTGAAGTCTCTGTTCTTATTTTTAAGCAGCATCTGGACAGTCTGATAGAAAACCACCACATAACACACGTGCTCATGGCTTTGCTGAACCTTTTTGAGGAGCTCTGTGTGCTTACAAAGCAGGAACCAAGAATCAACCCCTAAAAAAGGGTCCAGGAACTTTAGGGGGGCAGGGCTAAATGTACAAGCAACAGCATGCTGGCATCACATATAAAAACCCTTCTTTATACTGTAAGACAATCATGTCAGTATTAAACTTAAACCCTCAGAGCTTCTATAAAAGCATAGCAAAGAAGAGAGTGTGGGGGAGATCGTACCGTTTCGTTGATCTAGATGAGTCTTCATGTTGCAAAGCTCTCCTTTAATGTCTCCCGGCACCTCCATCCCCAACTTCTGATAGAAATCTCTCTGCTTCTTTATCTCCGCTGCACAAGAGGATGAGAAATAAAAAAAAGAGGAGAGAGAAAATAAGAGAGGACACTGTCTTTTTCTCAAGGTCTCTGCTGTCACTGGAGCTTTTAAATCAGACGGTATGTGAGAATGTTCTCGTTTGTGTCCTGAAACCTGTGGCACCGAGTCTTCAAGGCCAGCAGAAATAGCAATGCTTCATTTTCAACAATGCATTTGTTCCCAAGTAATACAATCACGCTCTATACGTAAATAACAGATCTAGGTACATTAAAGCAGAAAGAAAAAGACAGAAAGAAAAAACTGCACTCACCCTCTTGAAGTCCCGGTACCAACTTATAAACAATGTCTTGCATTGTTCTGTCATGGCTGCGAACAAAAAGGGAAATTGGGATGTTGATTAGAGACATCGATCAGCAGATAAAAGAACAAAAGAAAAACAGAATCAGTGAGGAGAGGGGAGAGCAGGGAGAGGAGAGCAGGAGGAGACAGGTGTGTGTATCTGTGTGTCTGAAAAGCCAAGGGACACAACGAGCACAACAAGAGAGAGTCTGCAGTCATCATGAGCGTGCACGAGCCGATAACTGTGATAAGTCGTAACTTTTGGTATCAGTAAATTTTCGGTTTATCGAAGCAGTAAAATCCTTCATACAGTTAAAAAAAACACTTGATAAGGGAACATTTGACACATAATTGAAGACACAGACTGAGAATTAGCTCCACAGAAGTAAAAGGTATTAACAGTTTTTTTGGTTTATCACCCAGCCCTAAAAGGACATTAAAGGTAGGCAGGAATCTGTTAAAGAAGCAGGTGTTTATACAAAAAAGCTTTTAATATCAGTCAATAGTTATTAGTCATTGACGACATTTGGGAACATGACGATATTGCTCTGTTTTGTTATGTCTGTGTAGTTAGCATTTTAAATTTTGGAGCGGCCCAATATCGGACAGTAGAAACCAACCAGAAAGTTCGGAAAATTGTCTAAATCCTCCTTTGGCCACGACTGCCGACACAAGCAAGAAAACGAAGTAAATACCGGAGACTCTGGAGGAATAACGGGCGCTTAAAACGGAGGTAGACCGGACAAGAGCTAAAAAGCCGGGTCAACATAAACGATGGGGGACACTTGGGGATCTTGGTGACCCTGTAACCTTTCTGCTGGACAGGTAAACCACTTTAACAAAGTAAGACAAGTGTCTGTAACAGAAGTGTTTCTTGTCAAACGGACCTGCTGTAGCGTGTTGTAGCGCCATCGCTAAACTGTCCTCCCTCGGGTCCTGGACTATGTCACTTTATCCTAGTTGTAGAAGTCCTGCAAACATTGTGTTTGCTGGTAGTCTGTTGGCATCTACAGTAGCACCAATGCTTTTGACTTTCACCTTGACTGGGCCCCATTTGTAATGATCTGAAGTATTTATCTGCATTATATCTGAATTTAATTGGAACGATACGAGCGAGCAGGAGCGTCTGTTTGAAGACACATAGACTGAGAATTAACTCCACAGAAGTAAAGGTATTAACAGTAGAGTAAAGGTAAACAAGTAATAATCAAACTCAACTTTAATAAAGCAGTCTGAAAATAATCACAGCTCAAAAAGAGGAGACTCCCCCCTCTTTGTGGTACGTGTGAGCGATGCTCTCAGCCTCGCCTTTTCAGATAAATTACTAAAATGATCCAAACAGATGCAGAAACTGAGTTCACATCCTCACAGGAGCTGGTGTGAGAGCACATGCTCCGTCAGCCCGAGTGTTAAACAGTCTTTCAGTGTTCGGTGGTGGTGCAGGTGTCACAGGTGCAGAGTGTGTGTGTGCTCCGCAGCTCTGCCATCACCTTGATGGTTGTGTTTTGTCAACCAGCTGAAGCTGCCAGTTATCAGTCACGACACGTTGAGTTTGTTGTCGTGTTATGGTGGCACTTTTGCCTTCACCTGCTGGGAATCAATGCGCAGGGCGGCGAAACACTGCCCCCTGCTGGAGAGAGGCGGTACTGCACTCTCACAGTAAAGATATGAGGCCATAACAGAATTATTCAGAGCTATCAGAGCTAATGTGACACTGAGGAGTCCGGTCACAATCCAGTGAAACCAGTTTGTCAGCCTTAAATTGGACTTTACAGCTTGTGAGGCACCGAAGAAGAAGAGATGAACACCTGCTGTCTTCTTTCTTTTACCCACACGGCTTTTAGATTCAGATTAGAGTCCAACTGTGAGAAGATTGGGTGACCTGGAGACTTCATGTCTTATCAGCTTATATTACACCTAAAGTTATAATGATAATCAGTAAAGATCATACTAATTGATGTTTTTAATAGATAAAAGATGTTTTATCTAATTTTTCTTCCCATACAGTGCTGAAATAATTCTTGTTTCCCACCTGATTGATAAAAAAAAAAACACTTTTATAAGCCAGAAAGCCAATGTTTATTTTTATTTTGAGCATTTCGATTTTTGTGGCGTTTGACTGCCTTCTTGTGCTGATATCGGTATATTTTCACCCCAACGAGCTGCGCTTCGCGAGTTGATTTTTGGTAATAAATTTCAGGGTTTTAATCAACCACGAATTTCTTTGGTTGGCTACTGCCCTCATCATAATACAGATCTAAATACTGCAGGAGTTAGCTGGTTAATAAAACAGATTTAAACTAACAATGATGCCTATTTATGAGCAACAAAAGCCAAAATCAGTCATATTTTTAATGCCTGAAACTGCTGCAGAAAAATCAGTTTTCTGTATTTTTCATTAAAAACATTCAAAGTGCGAGACGAGTCTGACTGTGTAAGAAAATCAAGGTGAGATTTACACGTTCACCGCAAGGTATGCACACAAATAAGATGTAGTTTTTTTCCACAGGGGGCACGAAATGATCTGGGATTAGAAATATTTATAAAAACATGTTTTAACATTTAAAGACAGTGTAAAATATTCTTGATTTGTGAGTCTATGCTCTGTGGGTACTTTCTTTACTAACCGTAAATGCTGAACCTCCTGAACTTTGTGTGCACTCTTGTGTTCAGGATGATGTTGTGCTGTTTCTTTGTCATAACCAGAGAGCTCCTGATTTAAAAATTGTATTAAATCCATCAAGGAAATCCAAACTCATCGTTACAAGAGACTCGATTAGTTCTGCTCAGCTAATTCTCTGTGAGGAGACGTCTGAGTGTGATTGGAGTTCAATCTCAAACATCAACTTTGATCAATCGTCCTGACAAGTTTATCCGTCATCTGTTGGTTGTTTTCCCTCCAAATCAGCTGTGATGTTTCCATCAGCTCCAATTTCCTGCCAACAATGAGGCAAAAAGCAGCTGCTGCGAGGAGCTAATGTGTTTGAAATGGAGCCTTTGCTGAAAAACAATGAGTGTGCAGACAGCGCAGTTTAGACGGTAATGACTAAATTGCTGGTACACATTAAGTTTGTGCGTCGCATTAATCAGACATTAATGCATGAGCGCGCCAAGGGGAGGAGGAACAACAAAAGACTCCTCTGGCAGAGTGAACTTCCTGAAACAATAAGAAGCAGACTTCACTCAAAAAACAAACAAACACTCTTCATCTTCACTGACAAGGAAGTCACTTCATCACAGCGGCTCTCTGAATACTTTTAATTCCAGACAAGAGCACTTTGTCACTGGGAGCTGTCAGTGGTCTTAGACTTTTCAGTTATTTATTCCCTCCAATATGATCTTCTCTGGACTTTGACTTTCAGCGGATTATCTTTACCCACCTGCAGCACTTTGTATTTTCTGTTAAAGAAGTGAGAAAGCGAGCGTGAAATCTCTTCACTTCATTTAGAGAAAATATTCGAGTTCTTAAAGTTTGATACTTTCAACAGCTGGAGAGATTTGATAAGAACCAGATTCATATTCAGGTGGTTTTCATCTCGCTTCACTCTCCTGGTGAATTGAATAAATAAATATAAACTGCATTTTTTTCAAAGGTGTAAAACTGCACATATTTATACAATCAGATTACATCTAGGGCCCCCCCCCCCCCTTCAGAGGCTCCCAGAGGGCAAGAGACAAGGACACTAAACCCTTTATATTTATAAATGAAGACCTTATCGGTTACTAGCATACACCGCACACACATCAGTACTTAGCTCAGTGTACTCCTCCACAGACATGTTACTGTTTGCTAATAGAAGCCTGTGATTGGTCCACAGGGTAGCAGTGTATTTCCTACTTTAATAACCTTCACACCAGTTGATTCAGCAGTCTTTTATCCCATCTCCTCTCTGCTCAGTCTACACTACTTTGGTCCAAATCCAAAGTTCTGAGAACTCCCCGCCCGTCCATGAGTGTGTGTGGACGCAAAATCTAACATCCCACTACCCTCAGGGCGCAGGTACAGAACCATCAAGTTCAGGAGGACTGCAGTCAAAGCCACGCTGTACAGCATGCCCCGCTGATCTGTCTGTCCTCATTGTTGTTATGTACGTCATTTATTGTTGATGTGTATGTAGTGTCTGTGATGTGCAATGTACTATCAGTGAAGACAAACCTCCCTAAACCAAATCGAAAGACGGAGGCAGGGAGAGCACACCCCCCTTCCTTTGTTTACAGAGCAAACATGAGCAGCCAAAGCAGGGAGAGCAGATACTGATCATTCATTAAAGATTTATTCGTAATTTTCAGGGATAATTTTAAGTATTTCTAAGAAAAACACTCTCCGTAGATGTTTTGAGTTTTTTTTCCCCCTTTCTTCAGAGGAGCAGAGATAAAAAGCACAAAGGCCAGCAGCTCTTTCTTCCTGGAGACTTTCTTCTTCTTCACTGTCAGAGCTCTGCTGAAGCTCTCAGAGGCAGCCGGCAGCTCCCTGCACACTGATGGACCTCTGACAAACAAGAGTGCGAGGGTGTGTGTGTGTGTGATCTACTGCAGCTCCCTCACTTACCCGATATACTGCAGTGGATGGCTCTGATGAATAACAATCCTACACGTGGGGCACGTGTTGTTTTCCTCCAGATACTTCACTAGGCAGCTCCTACAGACTAGAGACACACAGAGAGAGGAGGTTACTCTCCAGGTGACAGATTTATCAACAGACGGAGAGCCCAACGCTGATAATACAGAACATTTAAAATGTGCTCAGACGGGTTTGAATGAAGGGAGTTTCATCTTTATTGGAACTGTTCAGACCACACTGCTGCAAATATCAAGAGTTTATCAGTCAGCTGAAAAGACACAAGTCACTTCAGAAGGGATTATCACAGTTATTAAGAAACAGTCACAAATAATACTCAGTTTGTCCACTTGAGAGCGCAGACAGATTCGTTTTTACACTGCCAACTGTTAAATTAAACATTAAATATTGTTTCCAATTTCCTATAAATATATCAGAGGGATTAGAATGATTGTGTATTTTCAACGGCAGTGAAATTAGATCCCTGTGAGACATTTGTCAAGAGGAGTATCAAACTTAAACAAAGTCTCTGTGGGGTTCAGGTCCGGTTCAGTTGGCTGGTAAATCATGCAGAGTACTGTCACGGTCAGTAAACCCGTTTACGGTAGTTTTGACGCTGTGGGCAGGAGCCAGGTCCTGACAGAAAAAGAAATCTGTATCTTAAAAAAGCATTTTCGCAGATGGATGCATGAAGGTCCCAAAAATCTCCTGGTGGTCTTCAGACTGCGTTGACTCTGCTTAGATTCTGTGCCTCTGTAATTTTCCTGAGATGCAAACCCAGGTGAGACTCTTCTGACGATACGACACCTGTAATCCATTTCCTGGACACGTCTGTTTGTAGAGGCTCTTCCTGCACAGGCTCGATTTTGTAAAGCGAATTGATCATCTTTAGATCAAAAACTGATTTTAAAAATAATATAGAGATCAAACTAAGCAGCACATGGTTGTTAAAGGTTATCCTGATGAATATATTCATATGTTCGGTAAAGTTTGGACATCAATATCTCGACGTTTTACCTCATGAAACCTTTTACCTTGTAAAACACTTTGATGAATAATGCAGGACACAGTGTACCCTGATAAACGGCTCACCAGCTTCCATTAAATTCATACTCCGGACGTTTGTTTATTGCCGTCTCTTTTGTTTTTTTCTGCAGCACAGCCTGTCTGACTGAGCAGCTGCATTGGTGACGTGATGAGAATCTCTTCTTTGTCTCAGTTCACCCACAGTGGAGCCGGTGTTGTTGTTTTTTTTAAGTCAGGGGAGGAATCAGAGCACCTGGACTAGACAGACAGGAGAGCTCTCATCAGCAGGGTAACATCGCCCTCTGGTGGACAGACGTGTCATTACACTGTCTGGATTTGTGTAATATAAATTAATAACTAGTTATAAATGACATTGACTTTAGTAACCCTGAACAGGTTGTTTTCTCTGAACGGTTAAAAGAATTTAAGAGCCCCAAATCTAAAAATGGTTTTTATCAACGCCATGACCATTAGGACAGAAATGGTTTAAACTGAGGTGACATTTCGATTAACAGACTCCTCAGGCCTTTAGATGCAGAAAGATGCATCTGCAGAGGTACTTCTCAACAGAACCCAGAACCAGACTAAGGTCATGGTGGGTTCTCGTGGGTTAAGAAAACCTGAGTTTCACCACGACAGTTTTTGTGGTTCAAGTTTCAGTTCCTCAGAAAAAAGTTTGGTGTGTCTAATCTACGCCCTCTTCTTTATTTCCTGCCTTTACAAAACGCTGATCAGTTCCCAAATAACAATCAAATATTAAAGTTAATTTTTTCATCTTTAATTATGTTTATGAAAACACAGAATGACTTTAGAAACAGCTAAACAGGCTTCAATCACTTAATTTCTAATTAAAACTGATGACTTAAAAAAACAATTAAAAAACATTTTATTGTTTTTTTATTTTCCAGTTAATGTTCATAGATTATTTCATTAACTAAAGATGAAAACAGGCCCACGTGGACTTTTATCAGGAGTCTTTTTACTTGCTGAAACTGAAGCAGAGTTTTATGTCCTCTCAGGAGAGAGTTTGATTTTCAAACAGCAAACAAACACCAGCAGCTCCATTATCTTCAGCACCACTTTCAGAAAACGTTTCATAATTTCTGACTCCATGTCATCAATTTTAAATCAGCGTGAAGCTGACACAAACAGCCTGATGCTATCCAATCCAAACGCTCTGGGGTAAACTGACAAACTGCAACAAGTGGATCCTCAATTTCTGACATCTTTATATATGCTTTACATTCACCATTGTTGCCATGGCAGCGCATGTTGTGCACCTTTGTCAGTCAGCCTGCTACCTAATTGGTTTTCTTTTTATTCCAAGCTAAAATAATATTAATATGATAAAAATAATCTAAGTTGATGGGGTATTAAAGTGTAAAAAAGACAACAAAAGGAAACATAGAAAACTAGGACCCCGTTGGGGCACTGGCGGGCCCGAGCTGTGTCGCGTCCCCCCCCCAACGCGCTGCCTCCCCGTCCCATTTGTGTCCTCTGGCCATCGCCCTCTCTGGTAACGCCCATCACTGCAAAGACCCTTTTCCTTCATCGGCGTTTGCTGTTCTTCCTGCCAGTGCGTGTTGCTTTCACTTACACTTGCCACAGCCAGCCTCTTGAGTGCCTAGCCTATTGGATATCACTGTCACCTACTCAGGACAGTCATTACCTTTCTATTAATACTTTGTTTTTTAATTTCACATTAATTTCCATATTGTATAAACAACTGGAAAAAACTTGAGCCCCTGCCCCTGTATAATCATGTGCACGTCTCTGTTCTAGCTCTAAGGTGAATCTTCACTGCTCATGTTCTCCTCAGAAGCAGTCACCTCACTCCCCTCAGGTTACTGTACACATGCACCATATGCCTGCTTCAGGTTTGGATGGAGCTTCATGGTTGTCTTTTGGAGAAATGACCAGTCAAGTTGTGTTTGAAATTTGATTTTTTTCAGGGGCAAAAGGAGCCTCTGCATTCTTGTCAAATATGTAAATAGCATGTTTTTGCAGGTGCTAAAAACCAGACTCTGAGTGTGTGTGTGTGCCTGTGTGTGTGTGTCTGTGTGTGTGTGTGTGTGTGTGTGTGTGTGTGTGTGTGCGTTCAAGTCACATGACATATTTAACCGGATGTAGCTGCAAGACGGAGCCTCGTTGACTTCGTTTCAACTTATCTCAAAAGTGAGGACCTCAACCTATATACCAGTTTTTAAATTGTGTTGATAGGCCAAATAAAACCAGAGTTATGATAAATTATGTCCGCGATACTTGTTTTCTGCTTATTTTGATCACGTTCGGCGCTCGATCGCGCTGTATGAGACAGGAAAACATAGCATGCAGACATTAGCGACAGGTCTTACAGGCGGAAAAGGCTTGCCAAAGGAAAAAAAAAACACACCACAACATCTCTCCTATTGGTGGAAAACTTCACCACAACAACCAATCCAAAATTATATGGTGACTGATTGACAAGGGGCGGGCGCTTACGTTCTTCCTGCAATATGAGAAGGGAGGGAGGGACTCTCAGCAGGGATGCAGTCTGGGACACGTAGTTGCAAACCTAGCGACTTTGTTGTTAGATTCAATGACTTTTCAGACCCCCTAACGACTTTTTTTTTAGAAAGAAAGTGACTTTTATCGACTTCTTCTGGAGTTTAGAGACTCTGACATGAAGCAGGCTTTCCTTACTGAGGAGTTAGCAACGCTGCTAAGGGTGCAGAGCCACACATGCGCTCCGAGCTCTGCATGGGAGACTGAAGCTGACAGAGCTGCAGCAGTTAGCAGGTTTCACCCTCAGAGACCACCAGGGGTTCATGTTGAGGCATTTTCAGTTTTTTTTTTTTTTTTGCCATAGACACTGTCAGCACAATCTGCAGTTACACTAACAAAAATGCTGCAAAAAACAAAGAATTATGGAAAAATTACACATGGACTAACATAGAGGAGGATCTACACAAGTTTTTTACATCATGTTTTACATCATGCATCATTTACATCATGTTTTTTTGTAGTGGCATAAATAAAAAGTGACATTTGTGAGACTATACAGTGTTTTGTAAATAATTTTACAAAGAACACCTGGGCCATTGCCTGCATTTTGATGTAAATAGAGGTAAATTACTATGTTCTTTGTTAAAAATTTGCATATGTTTTGAAGTTTACAATTTTTATTTGAAGTTTAAGTTTTAAAAACAGTTCATCACACATATTTGTGGTTTTCACAGTAAAAACGTTACTTTTTTCCACTCGGATTTTATGTTTTGTGTGTGAATTTGGGTCCAATGTGTAAATATAGTATGTCAAAATGATAAAATAACTGTAAATTGACACAGGTGAGGTTGTGCTGAAAAAAATGATACCAGGCAAGGCAAGGTAAAAATTTTGTAAGAGGAAATATAAAGGTAAAATCTAAAGTAGTCAAAAACGGCCAATAGTGACTCACAGACTCCACAGACAAGTCCCTTTGGCGCCACTCAGTGGGCAAAACTACTTTGTCTACTGTAATGTATATTTGGGTCATCTTTGGCGCCCCCTAAAACGTAAACCGTGGGGTGCCGCGTCATGATTTTTACAACTTTGAATGGCCATGGAGTGTAGATTGGCCTGAGCAAATTTGGTGTCAGTGGGACGAAAGCCTTAGGAGGAGTTAGCGAAATTCCAATGTGTGCGAATCGGCAAAAAATGCAAAATAGCCCTTTTACCGTACATTATACAGATACGCGCTCTTTGACTTTTTCGTAGATCTAATTGAGATACACATGATTGTCAATTTTTGTGTCATTTTGCCAAAGCGTACAGAGGCGTGACAGTCAACAATGTGTATTTTCACCTTAGGGGACAAGAAAAAATGGACTTTTTTCTCCTGCCATGGGGGGGCGCTCTTTTAGGGAGTAAAAATTCCTTCACAAATGTGTTGATGGCTGGACATTGCATCATCCTAGAAAACTTGGAGGCCAGTGAGGACAAAAATAAAAAGTTATAAGACTTTTAAAAATGTGGATTTTTGGGTTATCTTTGGCGCCCCCTAGAACGTAAACCGTGGGGTGCAGCGTCATGATTTGAATAACTTTTAATGGCCATGGGGTGTAGATTGGCCTGAGCAAATGTGGTGCCGGTGGAACGAAAGCCTTCGGAGGAGTTAGCGAAATTCCAATGTGTGCGAATCGGCAAAAAATGCGGAATAACCCTTTAACCGTACATTTGACAGATACGCGCGCATGGACTTTTTTGTAGATCTTATTGAGATACATGTGTGTGTCAATTTTTGTGTCATTTTGACAAAGCGTACAGGCGTGACACTCAACAATGTGTATTTTCACCTTAGGGGACAAGAAAAAATGGACTTTTTTCTCCTGCCATGGGGGGCGCTCTTTTGGGGAGTAAAAATTCCTTCACAAATGTGTTGATGGCTGGACATTGCATCATCCTAGAAAACTTGGAGGCCAGTGAGGGCAAAAATAGAAAGTTATAAGACTTTTAAATATGTGGATTTTAGGGTTATCTTTGGCGCCCCCTAGAACCTAAACCGTGGGGTGCAGCGTCATGATTTGAATAACTTTTAATGGCCATGGGGTGTAGATTGGCCTGAGCAAATGTGGTGCCGGTGGAACGAAAGCCTTCAAAGGAGTTAGCGAAATTCCAATGTGTGCGGATCGGCAAAAAATGCGAAATAACCCTTTAACCGTAAATTTGACAGATACGCCCGCACTGACTTTTTTGTAGATCTTATTGAGATACATGTGTGTGTCAAATTTTGTGTCATTTTGACAAAGCGTACAGGCGTGACACTCAATAGTGTGAATTTTCACCTTAGGGGGCGCTATGGAGCCATTTTGCATTTTCTTGTTTGGGCGACTTCGGAATATCAAATTTTTCACCAGGCCCGGTCGTCCTGCCAAATTTCATGAGTTTTCGCCAGTGGGAAGTGGGCCATTTTCCAGTTCAAAGGGGAGGAAAAAGAAAAAAGAAACAAAGAAAAACCCCTTGGGGAATAATAGGGCTCTCGCAGCTGCTTAGCAGCTACGCTCGGGCCCTAATCAGTCATTTTAAAGGGATCAACCAGCGTGGATCATGAAGCTTCAATATTGAACGTATTCAATGTTGGCAGGGGTTTCCCGATACAACTTTTTTACCTCCAACACCAATATCGTAGCCTTCAGCTGCAACGTCTTTTTCGGACTTTAATGAAAAATACTGCCACAGTGCCGGCATCACTCCTACTCCTTGGTACTGTGTTAGTACCTTAGTACACACTGACGTTCTGATTTTGTGCGCTCTACATGCCGGATCTGGGTGCTACTAGATAGAGTTGCTGGAGCGGAGTCTGGAACGGACTGCTTGTATCAGAGTGCTGATATTGGAGATTTTAGTTGCGGTCCAATATAATCCGATATTTGCATTTTTGCTGATATTGGACTGATATCGGATATTAATATCTAAGGACACCCCTGAATGTCAGGTCTGGATTTTCAACGTGGTCTTGGATTAGGAGGTAATCACTCTTTATAAACGTCACACCAAGAAGAACCTGCAAGATCATCTTCCAAACCCTTAAAAAATCAGAAGGGGGTATCAGGCCCACATTTGGCCCAGTCCCCCTCTAAGTGTGTACCTGGTTTGATGCATGTGCATGTCTGCTTATCCACACTGCACCATCAGACAGAACTAGCACAGATCTTTTGGGTTTTACAGAGAATTTTGTATTTCCTGCTACTTTACAAGTTAATTCAAGTTTATCGATGATGTCCTGCACTCTTGCTACAGAACAAACAGATAATCTGGACTGTTTTTGAGGTCGTAGTTTAAGGTGGTGTCACACTGGACTTCGACTCACGGAGGGTGCGTCTAGTTCTTTGAAAAAAAGTCATAAAAACGTGAAGTTATTTCAGGATGAAACCGTGACCTTCTCTTCTCTCGGTCGTTCTTTGATGAATTTTTCTGCGCGCCTGCAGAATGACGTACGAGTCTTTGCTCAGACAATATAATGACTGTCGCTGAGGATCCAGACTTTGTTATCCTTCTTTATGCAAACTCCTGGCTAATGATGAAGCACTGCGTGGATGAGAGGCGACATCGTCTCACCTTCTAATAAATGTGCGGATTACCCGGAGCTGACAGGAATCTCATTTCAGCTGCTGTGTGTGTTCATTTCAGGTTTAAAGATACTGATTCACCTTTTTTTAAAAGATGACATTGATATAAACAATAAAAGAGGTTTGTTTTAGGAGGGAAAGTGCTACAGATAAATAGATGTGAAGGGGAAACACAGAGTTATGGTGATTGAATATCCCTGAGACACACCAGGAGCTTCATAGCTGTTGGTGATGATGGAGACGAAAGGCAGCGCTGTGAGTCAGATCATCAATAGAGACAGAGCTGCATGGATCACAGAGGCATCGCTCTGCCTCCAGGATCCTACCCATCAGGGATAAGTCCTAAAGGCAGCACCTTCTGAGCCAGGAAATCCCCCTGGAGCCAAACTCAGACATCGTATCAAATAAACACAGAATAAAGACGGAACAACAGGAGAGCCGGCAGGGACGAGGATGAGCCGGAGTGAGTAATGAGGAAAGAAGGGAGGAGGAGGGACCTACATGTGTGTAAGCACTCGGTGACGGTGGTGGCGTCGATCAGGTAGCCCTCACACAGACGACATGTGATGTGGGCGTTGATGTGACACAGCTTTATCTTCCTCGTCAGCATGTCGGGGTTCTGTAGGAGAAAAAAAGAAAACCATCACCATCAAATCCAGAACATACGAGTGACCCAAGACAACAAGACTCCTTAAACTGAGCTCATACTGAACCGCCTGTTTGTAAGTGAAGCAGATACACGTCCAGGATGTTGACTGACTGTCCCACAGGTCAAGTCCCACCCAGGAGAAGCAGTTTCTGACCCGGACTCACCTCTGTGATATTATTTATGATCCTTGCTCGTCCTAGACCAGTCTTGACTTTAAATGAGTGCATTCTGGGCTCGTTCGCACCTTTTTTTGCAGCACCCATAATCCCCACTACTTCTACCATTATGACCTTTAACTCTAATTTTAATAGTGAATATTTTTTATGGCTGTTAAAGAAACAAATATGACAACAGCGGAGCGGCCGGTGCCCTTCAGCTTTGGTGAAATATAACCGGGGAGCCCAGCCCTGCAGCAAGTGTGACAGGAATAGAAATCAAGTGACTTTTTTTCTCCTCTGTGCTGGTCTCATTTGTTTTATTAGTCATGAAGAAACATCAACATTTGATTCAGACTTTTTTACAACCAGTTTAAAACTCCTCACAGAAGTGAAAACTAAAACAGAGTTTTTTTGTGAGGTTTCACTTCTCCGCATGACTCCTTCTTTTCAGTCACACCAGGAGCGTAATGTGATGATTAAACCGTCCACTAATAGATCATAAAAGACCATAAAACTGGTGTCATTTAGGCTCTGATATATCAGCATAAACTTGATGAATAAGTATCCTGTTTTTTCGTCATATTTCCTCTGGTATTTATGAAGGGAAACTCTGTCCAGTCTCAGTTCCTTCTTTTATTAAAAAGCACAGAGGCACCAGGGGATTCCCTTCACCGAGATGTTTTAGTTTTAATCCCCTCGTCCGCTAATCCGTCCTCCCAGTCAGCGGGCAACACCATGTCCCACTTCCTGCTTACTCGCACAGTGCTGCTCTACAATCAGAGTCAAATGGCTTCAGGGTGAAGTTGCATAACAACAGGGATGATTCTTAAAACACACAGAGAGAAAGAGAGAGGCAAAGAGACGGGAGTGAAACACGGATGTATGAAAGAAATGTGTGCAGACCAGGTTCTGTAGCGACACGATAAAAAAATAAAGTCTTATATCCAGCTGAGACGAACGCCATTCAGATAAAACCTTCCTGCTTCTAAAAACAAGTGAAACCAAAGTGTCTGACAGCCTCAGAGATATCCACCTGCAGATCAGAAACCCCCACAGAGTCCAAACTGCAGCACCTAAACCCTGTGTGAGAGGAGAAGTCAGAGCAGGGGCAGAGCGACTTTGTAAATGCAAACACTCTCAACTGTAGGTGAAACTATTTCTGGCATCTGTGCCACCTCTGTGCAGCGCTGTGATTCAGGGCAGATCGTTCTGCAGCTGCTGCTGTATCTGCATGTGTCTGTTTTCCTCAATTACACGACTGCAGGTTAAACTTCCTGTACGGAACTTTTGACTGGATTTGAAAAAATATCTAATTTCTGCTGATGTCTCCCTGTCACCCGAATGAGCCCGTCTGTGTGAAGATAGGCTATTGCTAAATAGTGAAAACAGGGAAAACAGGAGCTTGTGGTCGAGACCATGAAACGTTTTAAGGCACTCAGACCAAAGACGACACGCACCTTTTTTCTCTTTATTTGCACTGAAAATGAGCAAATTACTGTCGCTACATAAACAGTGATAACGTCTTGCAGCAGGAGACTCCTTCCACTAGTATACGGATTTGAAGCTGAAAAGCTCTCTGAAATTCCACATTTTTTCTCCACTTCCTGTGCAGAAGTGTTGTGTGCACTCAGCAGAAGAGTCGCTGTGATTAAGCCCCCCTAATAAATTTTAAAAACGGAGCTGCACAGAAAAAAAGAGGACTTGAGCACAAACCAGTCTTACAGTAACTACATGTCAACATTACAACCTGGGGGGAGAAACATCTATATTCTTAATAATTAATTTCTAAAGTTTGTCCACAGCTTCATAGGAATTGCTGGCAGAGGTGGGATTTATGACCTATACTGCAGCCCGTCACCAGAGGGGGCTGTTCTCGGAGGCAGACGGCGTCCATTCTATATACATATATATATATATTCTTATGAGTTCTCGCAATTCCTGCTGTCCGTAATCCACCACGAAATTCGCATCACAAACAGATCCCGTAGGAATTGGCGTACGGCGAACTGACTCCACGTGACTCCATCCCATCCAGTACGTAACAAAGAGGGACAGACAGGTGAGGAGATGGAGGACGGTTCAAAAGTTGTAGCGGTACAAGTAGACGAAGTTAATGTGGGAGGGGGTGAGCAGCTTGTGGAGTAGTTATCATCCATGTATTATAGTCAATAGTAAATAAGTTTAAAGCGACCTTATTCTACACCAGCTGACCTCAGGATGACTCCATGTCAAGTGTCATAAAGTGATCATAGAGAGGAAATACTGACAAATATAAATCAATGAACCTGATACAGAATTTATACCCTGAGATAATTCATGATTCCTGTAAATATTTCACAGGGAGGTCAATCGTTGATGGTAAAGCCAAGTTTTCTCATGCCGCTCTGCTAACTGACAGATTTTTCCATTAGACTGAATATCTGCTCATCTCGGGCAGGAATAACTTCTAACATCACGAGCCGCTCAAAGAAAGCGTCTGTGCAGCGATTTTATAAAGAGGTTTTCTCCTGATGAAAGCAGACAGCCCTCTGGTATGAGCCGAGCACAGAGAGACGCCCTGAGGAGACCGCTCAGCTGTCAGCCTCGGCTCCTTCAGCTCTCTCTGACTTCTTTAAACTTTAAAGACTATCTTCATGTCAGAATATGCGTTCGCTTTATTTTCATGTTTTTGTCGAATCTAACTGCTCTGAATCTGACAGCTTCTGTCTTCTGCGTCTTTCAGATCAGCTGTTGATCAGGTTTTTAGAGGAGCGATGTTACTGAGTGTGGCTCTTACTGGGAATGTTCTTACTCAAAATAATTACCTTTCACCCAATTAAAGATTTAATGATGCAATATTGAAACCGACTCGCACTCAGTCTGCCAACTATACAGCTTACAAACCAGCTTACTGTAACAATAGGTTTGTGCCCTGTTTCTACATATTAAGGGGCTTAAATGAACTCTGCCAAACCACACAACCACCAGAGTTTCCCAACAAGGACGATTAGAGGCTTTTTAAAAAAACAAAGAGTTTCCCTTTAAAAACAAAAGTTAAAATACTGTCTGTTACAGCTGAACTGATTTACCGGAGCTCTTTCTGTCTCTTATTTTGACCTCAAATGGCAAGGACACAGAGTATTAAAAGTGTGGGCATTTAGTCGATTTACTAGTTAACTATCTCCGCCCTTTCAGTGGTGCAAGGATCGTTAAATTGTTCAACAAATATTTAATATTTCTACGACTGTGGAGAGATGTTTAATCAGCACGGATTTGTTTACCTGGATGAAGGATAAAAGGTCGGTGGTGTTAACTCTGTTATTCAGAAAACCAGTTTGACACTGTTTACCAGCTGATCCTCTTGTTAGCCGTGTCAAATTAAAGTGTTTTCTTACCTTTAAATCACTTTATCGGCTTTTTAATCAAACTTCTGTTTCAATCATGAGGAAATCTTCTCAACTCCTCAAACTGCTGCTCCGCTTGTGGTCCAGGAGTGAAAATAAATAACTGACTGAGTAGTCTAACAACTCTCCAGGCTACTACAGCAGACAGTTACTGCCAAGTCATCAGATCTGAAATGACAGCCAACAAACCGCTCACGACTACAGCCGCTAATAGCTGGTTGTGTCTGTTGAACTGGACACCATGGAAGCCGACATCCATCATTTTCAGGCTGATCTAAAAACCCTCGCTGAGGTCTGAGAGAGTGAGCGTGTTTGGATGCTAGTCAACTGTTGGCTTTTCAGGAACTGGGAGATACTTCTCATTAGGTATCTTTCTGTGAAAACCGATCAGGATCCCCCCCGAGAAGAATAAGACCCTCCAGTGCTGTTCCTCTTACCCCTAAAACCGCCATGCGTCGACTGTGGAGGGTGCAGCAGCCACGTCTCTTCTGCGGTTGTGTGGCCGACAGTGTTAGCTCCTCATCATGAAGAGCCGCTCATCGGAGCCTGAAACAGAGACAGAGGAGAGCTTCTTTAAGGGATTTGCTCTAAAATCTCACTGTCAGAAATGTAAAACCGGTGAATCATTCGAGATTATGTTGTAATTTCTTGAAGCCTGAAACCGCTGTGAGGGAGGAGCCGGACTATGAGTGGATCAGGAGGAAAGGTCAGCTGTACGTGTTGACACTTCCTGTTCCATATTATTTGATGCTTATAGAAGTGAAGTCGTTTCATGCTTTTACGAATCAAAAAGGAATCAAACCAAATGTCTGCACGATGTTTTGACAAAGATAACAGAGTCAACATTGATCAGTCAGACCAGACAGGCCGTAGTCTGGACAATTCAAAAACACAACAACAACAAAATGCGATGTAATAACTGGACAAGGATAAACGCTGATATTCAGAATCAAAGTGATAAAACAGATCTTCAGTGTGCGACGAGGCAACAAATCATAAATCACAGCAGAAAACAGATCAAACAAGAAAAAAAGCATCAGAGGACAACGAAAAAATCCCTATAAGAAGATGAGATAACATCAGAAAAATTCAAAACAGATAAATCTCTGCCGTCTCTACGCTTCTGTTCATTTTACATTTTTACACACAGAAGCAAAATATAGTTTTCCCTGAGAGGCATGGGCGGACAAAGCTGTAGTTTGAAATAGTCACAGTTAAAAAACTATTTTTTTAGTAAACCATCCCTGTGGATTGATGCTCAAAATATCCTGAATTTTGTCTGAAAATAAAATAGTATTAATTGGCAGGAGTTACGAAATAAAACGTTGAAGAGAGGAAATTGCAAATTAAACCATCAGGAGTCTCATATTGGTGGTTCAAGCCTCATTCCAGCATATGACTTTCAGCTATTAGAGTAACAAAAGAGCAAAAGATTTGTGATATTTACATTGAAGGCAATTTAAAATGAGGTGTAACAGTCCGTCTTAAACGGGTAATGTAAAAGGGGCTAAAAAGTCCCAATATTCTGTTTTCTACTTTTGCCAAAATTTGCATAAAAGTTCTTAAAAAAAGGGGGAAACTCAGTTTAAAGTGAAGATGATCCAGGCAGACTGTTTCAGCATGTTTCCATTTTTCCTAGATGGTTATTCTCTGTTCATGAGAGCCTGAATGAACATGTTTCCACAGCTGAAGTGTCTAAATCTGGCTTCACTCTCCAACCTTTAAAAATACGGTGAAAACGCTTCACTTCGCTGCAGCTCTGTTTGATTGACAGGCCAAATGCGGCAGCGACAGGCGTCTGACAAGAGAGATCAAAGTAAAGAGTGTATCGCCTCTTAACAGCTCCACTTAAATCCTGAACAGTGTCTCTAAAAGTTGTAGTTCCCCTCCACGGAGGCAGCAGTGACTGGTCCTCTTCGCATCACTTAGTGTGATTCATGGTGTAATTGTAGGAGTCCAACTGCTCCAGTCACGATGAGAGAGGGAACGCCAGGCGAGCTCCCACCATCATTTTAACCTCCTCCTCCAAACACTCCCGCACACACACACATTTAAAGAAACACAGCCTTTAACGTCTCCGGTGACAGCGGTGACTCTGCCAGCCCGCCTCTGTCTGCTCCTCAGACCGTGAAATTAGCCCAGTTAGACAACAGGGATGAGATGTGGAGAGGGGCGGCTGAGGACGCACACACACACACACACACACACACTGTACTGCTGCCTGTCACTGAGCCGTCACACACACAGATGTTATCATCACATGACGCCACAGCTCCTCTGTGATGTAATGTTTTATGTGCGGTGGCGACAGCGGAGGGGGTTGATTCCAGGTCATGTCAGCTAAAGATAACTCGAGAGTGTTTCCTCCGCTTGTTTTAGATTTCCCAAGGAACATCTAAAGATCACAAACTTTCTGAGCTTGGATTAATCAACCCTAATGATCAGGAACTGTGGAGCGAGACAGACAAACCCAAACATCTGCTTTTCAACTATTAGGAAGCTCAACATTCGAACAATGGCGAGACAAATAATCCTTTCTATTTAACTGTATTTTAAACTGACTGATTATTTAGTATGAAAACAGGCACAACAAACTCAAACATGTTTCATTTACTGTCATAAAAAAAGGAAAGTTAAACTTTGGATGCATAGGCTAGAAAGATAGACAGAAGAATAGATAAAATAAGCAAAGAGGGAGAAAGTAAAAGTTTTCTTAAATCTATCAGGTACTTGAACACTGAAAAATGTTGGCAACTTCATCTATTTCCATTTAAAGACACAATATGTGACGTATAGTTGCTGCCCTTATGTCAGCAATAAATCAAAGGCAGAAGTCGTTTAAAAAATGTTATAAAAGCAGAGGGTTCAGTGTGAAGCTTTAAAGCTAAAGTAAGACTTTACTGAAGCTGGTTCCAGGTGTGTCGAATCAGTTTGCAGCTAACACTAGCAGAGCTAGCACCACCATCCTGTTTCCAGGTGAACATCCAGTTCTTACTAAAGTTATGATTGGTGGAGTCTGCAGTGCTTTTTTAAAATCACAGTTATACTTTTTGTCACATTTTCATAAATTTTTTTTAATCTTATTTTAGTAATTTTTTTGCCACAATTTACAACTTTTTTTAAACCACATTTTAGTCATTTTTATCACATTCTATGACTTTATCACATTTCATGACTTTTTAACACATTAATGTCCATTTTATCACACTTTAGTAATTTTTATGATATTCTATGACTTTTTAATCACATTTTATGTCTTTTTAAAATCAAATGTTAGTCCTTTTTTATCACATTTTAGTAATTTTTATCACATTCTATGAATATCACATTTTAAGACTTTAGGGATAGGAAGACGACTCATGGATGTTTTCTGTCTCACTGAGGCAAAAGGTGGTGACTGAGTAACTGAGCATGCGAAACAGAAAAAGATGGAACTTCTTGTTTCTGCATTAACTCCAGTGAAAAGTGTTTGTGACTGTTCTGCATGTTTTTGTCTCAAATCCTGTTTTCTGCAGGTGTGTGGTCGTGGTCGTCAGGCTGATTCAGATCACCTGGTTCTTCAGGAAGCTGGAGATCATGCATGTGTAACATGCGTGATCTCCAGCCGGCCCACATAGGCAGATTTTCCACATTGTTTGTACAGTTGTGGTTGGCTTAAATAGACAGCTGTTGTAAAGTGTGTATGAACCTCCTCCTTTGCTACATTCAGGACTTGAACCTGGGACCTTTTGCACTCAGACAATCTCTTAAAACCAGACTCTGCGCTTTAAGTTTCTCCAGTTCTGCTCCTGGGGATCATAATGAGGAGACTCAAGGAGACTCTGTGTCTCTGCAGCCATCTCCACGTTTCTGCAGATGTGCCCTGAGCTCGCCTCTCACTGCAGAGAAACGCAACAGAGGAGGGAAGCTTCTCTGTCTCCTCTGCAGAGCTCTGGACTCAATCACACAGAAGGACATCAGCTTAAAAAAACAGCAGCGTGTTTGCTAACAGGTGAGTGGAATCTGCCACTGTGACCGCACACGTTTGGCTTTTCCATGCAGTTCATGTCCATGTGGATTTGGTTTGCAGGCTCTAGACTGCTTAATTTAATGCACAAATCTTGCACGGTGAATTTTCTACCCTGGATTGAACAAAAAGAAACTAAAAAACAGTTGGGATTTCAGGCTTGGTTCAACGTTTATCCTGCATTATTCAAACATTTAAAGGACCGATCTTTACTTTTGGAAAGGTATTTGTTCTGTGACTGTCCTCTGCAGGAGCCGTGCTACTGAGCTTGAACTACCGTCAGATGACTGGAGGGATCACTGGAGGCACTGCATGTATAAAAGATAAAACATCAGACAACACAGTAACATCAGGTTCACTTTAGTTCAGCTCTGCACTCAGACTGCTGCATTCAGGGTCATTTGAGGATACCGCTTCTATCAAAGCTGGGGAGCAGACATAATATGGACAGCCTGCATCTGCGACACTCTGGAGCCTGTTTTCACCGTCATACTGGAACTGCTGCTGTCTCTGCCAACAGGCAAATACCAGTACGCCATAAAAGCAGAGTATTAAAGATAACGATAGAATAATTTATAAATCACTTAACTCTTTGACTTCACACTTGGATGGTGATCTGATGAGGTTTGAGGAAGACGTGATGTTCAATTACCTGTGCAAACTGATCTGCTGTAACTTTATCTGTCAGAGTTTTAAACCCCAATATATGATCACAAATCTACTCATTTATAGGTTCATTCAGGTGACTATTTGGCTAATAACAAAGCAAAAACAGACATAAAAAGTATGCTCTAGGAAAGTGTTAGGAAGGTGGTGAAAAAAAGTCTGTTTTAACCTTAATAACTTCACTATAATGCTCTACAAATCCAAGCTCAGAGTAACAAGTATACCTGCATATTGTGGCTGCTGGGCTCATGTATGCGTCTCCTCCACTCTAATCTACTCTGCTCATTAAAGTCTGTAAACATTATTGGCTCATAATAAAGTTAAAAGGGAGTTTTGCGATTTGCCGCAGGCTGCCTCCTGAAGGAAAACGTAAAACAAACCCTCATTACTGCTTTTTAAGCTCCGTCCCACCACGGCTGCTTTTTGTTCTCAACAGCAAATGAGTTTAAGCACAATGTTGGATAATCATGTTTGTGGCAGCGGTACAGACACATTTATCACAGGCGCCAAAAAGTACAGTAGAGCAGGTGTTCAGCCAAACACACAGAGATTTCACAGAGTCTGAAATCTGTGAGAGTCATTTAAGACGGAAAACAGGACTGAATTAAAACCTGTGTGGAAACTGAAAACAACGACTTCAGGAAACAGTAGAGATCTTAAAAGACTGATCGAGTGAGTTATTTAGAAACTATAAACATATGTTATATATGAAGTTAACTCCGGGGCAGGAGATGATAACAGGAGAGCTTGGCAGGAATTAGACGGAGTGTGGAGTGCCCTCTACTGGACCTATTTTTAAACATCTATCCCAACATAAAGGAGTCGGTGAATGTAATGGTTATGTCTTTTAAAACAAACAAATGTGTTTTTCATACGTTAAAAAGGAAACGCAAGCATTTACGGTACAAACCAAGAAACTTAAAGCTCCTGTGAGGAACTTTAACCAATTTTAGCGCCCCCTATGGACAAAGCATTCATCATGTCCCCTGCATGCTTCAGTAGAAATAGAACAAACATCTACCCTATCTCACTTGTTTAAGACATTAAAAATTACCAAATAACTAAGTCAACTAATCACCAGGAAAATGTTGTCCAGAGGATCTCCCCACCTCAGAGAGCAAAGATGAAACTTGAAAAAAAGGACTAAAATAAAAAAAAATCAAGAAGTACTAAAATATGATAAAAAGTACTAAAATGTGATTTTACAAAGGACTAAAATGTGATTGAAAAATTATAGAATGTGACAAAAATGACAAAAATGTAATTAAAAAATGACTAAAATGGGATTTTAAAAAGTGCTAATATGTGATAAAAAAAAAACTAAATAATTGTCCTAAAAAAGTCCTAAATAATTGATAAATTAGTCAATAGATAAGTTGACAAATCGGAAAAATAACCGTTTGTTTAATCTATATAAAATAGTCGTTAGGTGCAGCTCTAATAAAAAGACATAAACAAGAGTTTGAATCTGTTTCATACAGACTAAAAACTTCTCCTTACGCTCATGGGTGAGACGCTCAAGATAAAAAGACCTGGTGACAGCTTACTTCAAGAAACTCATCTATGGTTTTAGCTGTTGACTAATGGTCACTTAAGTCTATGTGGACGAACCAGTTTAGGTTCAATCATGATGTTAGTGGGACACACAACTCAGTTTAACACTAAAATAAAGGCGTCATGTCTGTCACTTCACCCCTAAATCCTGAAGTTTAGCTACAAGGGCAGATAAAAGTAAAGAAACCACAACTTCTTTCTTTCTTTTTTTTTACCATGCTGTAGGTTGTAGTGATATATTACAACACTGTGGGTTCAGCTTCATGCATCACCCTCCCACTGAAACCTGTCATGCTACAACTGCTGCTCACAAACCCACACACACACTCTCTCCATTCACTCCACCGACACGTTCAGAAACCAGTCGCTCTGGTTTTATCAATCAAGTCCTACAACCAGCAACTAGAAAAAAAACCCCACAAATATTACAACAAAGCTGCCTTGTTTCCTGAAGAGTCAGTTCTACAAAAAAACCACCTGTGATAATGAGAATTTAGAGAGTTGAGAAACAGAAAAACAGGAACTTCAACTTCAGAAATCTGTTAGATACATGGGTTTTAATGGAGAAGGGAAAGTGTCCTTTAACTGCTTTTGAATACTAAAAAACACAAAGTCAAAAGTTATCCTCGAACTGGATTCTACTGTTAATTTTCTATCCTTTTTAGGTCAAATCACCTGGACTTGAGCTGAAATAACCCCCTCCTTTTCTTTCGGACTTTGTGAAAGGAAAATTGTGTCCACGGTCACTCTGGATAAGAGGATCAGCTAAATGCCCTAAATATGAAACAGTTTTGAGGTTTCATTCTTGGTGGTCTTAGTAAATCAGAATCTGGCAGCTCTAATCTCAGGAGTGAAGGAGGAGTTACTTCGAACTATTTTACAACCCAGGGTGAAACATGTAAAGCCGTCCAAAAACAACCTTAAACGCAAAAGTGTGTAGTGTTTGTGTCTGATTGAAGATACCAGACTTTCATGACCTGCAGATGAAAATAACCTGGAGATGATATTTGAAAGACTTGCATACAGAAATAATGGTAATAGTACAATGCAATACTACACTGAGCAACATGATATGATTCAAGACAATGTGGAGCTGCACAACTTTGGCCAACTTCACCAAACTTCACTTTCAAAGACAAAGTTTTTCTATCATCTCTCAAAACGAAACCACTAAAAACAATGTAGTGAATATGCCAAGCCAGTAAGTGGCGCTGTGATGCTGCCCAGGGGATGCACAAAAGCATGCGTGTTTGTGCAGGCGCCATATAAGAGTTACAATGTGTGTCACATGATCGTTTCCAGAGATGCAGATAGACATCCACACGGAGATGAAATGGTCGTCGTTTACGGCTCTATACACTCTCTGACCCGTTTTCAAAAAGTTCAAGTTTACAGTCACCTGAAACGCTGTTTCTGTGTGGATAAAATGCCGATACCACGAAAAACTTCTGGAGTCATTCCTGCATTTGTTTGATACCGCCGTCAGACAGACTTTGCAGCAGGGAGTGGTTTGCTCTTTATCTGAAACTGCGAAGTCGTACCAATTCTACACGACTGACTCGCTCTTGTCCTATTTAGCCACAAAATTATCGCCTTCTTTTGCCAACGCCATGTTTGTTTACACTGGTGTGAGTGGGAACAGGGTAGCGTCTCGCAGGAAGGGGGAGCCTACAGTGACCTGGAGGCACGAGACATGATAGAGAAGAAAATCGATTTGACGATTTTTTTTAAAACACCATTATCAAATAATCCGATTACTTAAAATCGATTAATCGTACAGCCCTAATACAATACCAAAACCAAACAGTACTTAGTGATAACGTACAATGTAATGTTATGTGATGACCTTTGACCTCCACATTAAATGGAACATAAAAACCTTCAAAAACTAATAGCATTCATGACAATACATAGCAGCTCAGCTAAGGCAGGTGGACTTTTATGGAAAAGCAGAGAGTGCCCACAGGTTAATCAATCACAAATAGTTTCCTTGGAGTGATAGAAAAACATAAAACAGTGTAATAAGTTCGGAAATTCACTCGGATGGCTGTTTTTGTACCTGGATGGCCCCTCAATTAAGTCTATTTGTGAGAAACCCTGCAGCTCCACACGACGCCGCGCTCTAACTTACAAAACGTGTCGGCGATCACAAACCCTGAATTATTGAGCTCGAGAGCAGAAGAAAGTTTCTGTTTAAAGTCCAGAGAGCGCAGCAAAAGCCAAATATGAATCAGACAGGAAAGACTGAGAGGAAATGCAGCCAAGTCTGTTGTGAAAGTGTTTTCTTCCTTTTCATTTTTTGTTTTTTTTAGGAGGGCGAGTGAAGCTGAAGACCAGTGATTTCTGTGTGGATACACCAAAGTGATAGACCATTAAAAGGCCTTTTTTTCACTTATGTAACACCGCCTCTTTGTCCAGCGTAGTCCTGTTTTGTAGACACAATTTTAAGATGTGGTTTTCAAAAGTTACTGCCAGTAAAATCTTCATTTAGCGGACTACCATAAAAAAAATGACATGGATCACTTGTCTCTGCTAAATTGGATTTACTGAGCCGAGAACAAGGAGTACTTTTTAACTTTGTGAGACCAAACCACGTCACTTTATCAATTTCCTTCCCTCAGTTCTTGTGCGTCTGCTTCTTTCTGTTGCTCCCATATTGAGTTAGTGATATCACGGTCTAAAGTTTAGGTTTGTGACATGGAGACAGTCTTTCTATCTGCCTCACAGCCTCAGAGCAATCATTACCTCTGAGTCTCTAATGCAATTCCTGCTTTAACCAATGCAAACACGCTGATAGATGGCCTCTGGATGCAGCTCGGTCTGCAGATTAACAACATTTGCAGTCAATCATGGGCTCAACAACTGTCCCAGGGAAACGCACACACACACACACACACAAACACACACACACACTCTGGTATCACAAAGAGCCCCTGTTGGCCTGCCTGTGGGCATTGGAGTGTTTGGCCTCAGGATAAATTGGCTGCCAGCTGGAGCGACGGACACTGAAGGCCTGCATCAGTGGACGGAGGCAGGAGGAGAGGCCTCTGCTTGTTGTGGAGGCTTTGGCTTCACTTCAAAACACACACACACACACACACACCGAGAGTCCACACAAAGTACACAAAAACTTCCACACGCTCTTGCCCATCTGAGAGTATTCAAACACGCACGAGCACACACCCGCGCCCGCCGTCACACACACAGTTATTGTCTCCTCTTAATTCTGTTTGATGGCCCTCAATCCTGCCGCCAGGATCCGCTGCCTGGGGAAATCAGGCAGACAATAGACGTGATTCCAAAGAGAAGCAGACTGCAGAGAGCCAGGAGGCCGAACGTGCTGCTGCCAAGAAGCAGCAACACTTGAATAATTGAGCTTTGAGTTTAGGTTGTGAAGGCCAGGAGTGAAGTTAGTGAAGCTAATGTGTAATACGCCTCGCAGGTCAGACACAAACAGACGAAGGAGAGGAGAGACGAAAACTGAAACTCCTGCCGCTCACATAGTCTGAAACAGTCTATAAGTTTAGAGCGAGGATAACGCGGCAGCGGCGGCTCAAGATTTTATACAACACTTGGTCGTGTGATAATCTCCTGTGATACAGAACAGAGTGTATCAGTGTGAGCAGTGAGGAGGAAGAGATGGTACACGGAGTACTCTCTCAGAGTCAGCCAGTCTCTCCCGGAGGAAGCAGATCACATATCTGATCACGCTCTCAGGATAGAAAACTGAACCAGCAGAAAAAGACTAGTTCTTTTTTAAGTAAGTCTACCCCGCTCTTTTACTTTCAATCGATTCGAGGAAAATTTATGGCAGCAAAAATCAATGTGGTTAAAACTCTGCGCCCATCATTTCTACTTTTATTCACCTGCCGATGAGGAAAGTGGAGAAGTTTGTTTTTCTGTATCGAGGAAACAAAAGCGTGACGACATTGGGTCCAAAAAACTACAAGAGGTCACAAGGTAGCTCTGTTACATGTGTCATTGGCACCACACTCAGGGTAAAAAGAAATAAAAAGTTAGTTACCTATCACCTTTTTTTCTCCCTTGGGGTTCAAACACAAGTTTAGTGAGTTTGGCTCAATGAACATGATTCCTCTGTAGGGTCTAGAATAATAATCGAATTATATCGGCCTGCATCTAAATCTCCAATATCAGCACTCTGATACAAGCAGTCTATTCCAGACTCCACTCCAGCATCTCTATCTAGCAGCAGCCAGATCCAGCATGTAGAGCCCACATGATCACAACATCAGTGTGTACTAAGGTACTAACAAAGTATCAAGGAGTTGGAGTGATGTCGACCTTGTGGCAGTATTTTTCATGTAAGTCTGAAAAGTCGTTGCAGCCGAGTGCAAAACTTGTCGTGCACAATTCTGTGCCAATATCAGATCAATATTGGTATCGGCCAATACTGAAGGCTACAATATCGGTATCTTATCGGAAGTCAAAAAGTTGTACCGGGACACCCCTACTCTCGATTCCAGTTGTTCCCAGAGTATAAAATAAACAAAAATTAACTCCAGGGCTGACAGTGCGACTGTTTCACTTGCATTTGCGACTAAAAATAGATGTGTGCACATGTGCACATAAAAAAATCAGCCGAAGCAACAAATGTTTTTTCATGTAAATACTGCAGTGAAGTTAGTTTCAGGTTGGATATTCAACGGACATTCACTTCCGATCTACCGGTGTCTTCTCCCTCTCCATGAGTGGAATAGAAACAGCAGCGCGGTTAAATCTACTCGACACCCTCACTGTCAACGTTGGGGGATGAATGAGGGACCATCAATAAATTACCGGTTGGTGTTCTCAAAAAAAGGCTGTTTTCCTTCCATGTCATGTGACCAATTGACCTAAAATAGATTTAAAACAATTGTACTTATGTCGACCAATAAGACACACCTCTTTATTTCAATGAGTTGTCCTCTAAAAATTTTTGTGTTAAATTTAAAGGCAAATTTGAAACATTTTCAGTATTTCCATGTCAAAGACCAGTAAGACACACATTGTTTGATTAATTTTCATTGTGCCCCTAAAGTTCTTTGTGTGCTCCTTACTTTTTCAACTCAGGAGCACATGTACTCCTCGTGAAAAAAGTTGGTGTCAAGCCCTGAACTCTGTCTTCAGGGCTTTTTAAGATCAGTCAAACTTTATTTACACAGCTCACAAAAAGCCGGTTTAGCCTGAACTCTGTTTACAAAGACCCAATGTAAAGACTGAATCCCAGACTCACTCCCATCCCATCTTCAACCAGGTGAGTGTAGAGCTTTGAAAAGCAGTCCTGTGCTGAGACTGAGCTGGGTTTAGAGAGAGGGGATGGACGGAGGTGAGAGTGATGCACCCCCCTCCACTTTCACTGTGTTCATCCTCCCCCTGGCTTTCATCCTTAAACAAGCTTACCGTCGCCTCTCTCCTCCTGACGAAAAGTGCAAAATGGTTCAGATAGCACATTTTCCCTCAAACTCTTCAAAAGTCAGGCTGAATTTGTTAGACCGCACAGCACGCAGGAATGAGAATAGCTCTTATGGTGTGAAATTATTCAGGGACAGATCGTACCGAGGCACGGTGTACTTCTTTTTGTTGAGCAAAATCTTGGGTGGAGATTCCTCAAGCAGATCTGCTGTTGCTGTGGGATCTTCACTGGAAGACATGACATGTTTCTGAGACTTTCAAAGACCAACTTCAAGTCAGGGAAATGTCATTTTAGGAACATCAAACACAAACCGCTGAATACAAGGTAATTTACAGGACCCGCTTTCGTGCACTTCAAACTAAGACCGAGACTTTGGGGCTTCAGAGAGTTGTGAGAGTTTCTTCCTCCTAACTTCTACTACTCAGCTTCTGTCATCACTTAACTTTTGCAGTTTAGAAGTCAGAAAAATCATTAAACATTCATTATTTTAACAGAGTAAAACACTTAATGTGAGCTCAGATTACCGCACAGGTCAGGAGTTATCAAAGCAGGTTTGATAACTCCCATTTACCTCATCAAGTCCGTTTTTTTCCCACTTTGTCTCTGAGATTGCTCTGAACGCTGAGATACCGAGGTTTGTTCTGATTTCATATCAGAAACAGACAGGCATCCGAGGACACGCTAATGACGTTTGTGTTTGGCTGCTCTGCTTGAGTAACTGTGAATGATTCTGTTATTGACCGCAGACTCGGCGCTCTCTGATGAGACAGAATGTGGAGCTGCTGTTTGCTAACCAGCGGGATAAATTCAATACAGGCAGAGATTAAAAAAAGCCAAAGAGAAGATCTAGTATCGCTGGGTTAAAACGTCTCATTTTAGAGGAGGAAATCTGTGTTTAAAACGCTGGTTAACAGAAGTAAACAGAGGGATAATTATCCGGGTTAACGGCTCCTCTCTGTGACTATCATTGTGCTCAAAAGGTTAGGAAATCCCAGCAGAGCCACAAGCACAGAAATGATGCACTCCTGACTCTGTAAGCAGCTTTGGATAAATGTTTCTATTATGCAGCGTATGCTATTAGCATCGCCAAATGGGCTCGCCATGCAGCTCTACTGAATTATTACAGAGATGCTGTTATGGAGCGTGGGGCGGTCTTGTTGTGCAGACAGACAGTAACAAGAGCAGAATTCACAGAAGAGGAGGATATCAGAGAGAAAACAGCGTTAACACCTCGAGGATCAGGACACAGCGGCGGGAAGACAAAAGAAATCAGCCTCAAAGAAGAAGACGAGGAGGAGGAAGAGGAGGAGGAGGAGGAGGAAACCCGTTCAGACATCCTCTGCCCTCTGTTCTTCTCTTTATAGCCATCTGCTGAAGAGCCACATCAGGTGGTGTTGTACATCATCTCATAACGGCCTCATTTAGATTAGTAGACGGCATAAAACTATTATATTACCAACAGCTGGAGATCTCTGCATCCGCCATCTCAAGGTACAGCATATAGACATTTAGCAATAACATACAAAGGTAGGGCTGTAATCAACCAAAGAAATTCTTGGTCGACTAAACCCTAAAATTTTTGACCAAAAATCGACTCATTCAGTAGGTAGGGGCCCAACTCTAAAGGTAAACCCTTCTACGGCAACACAGCTCGGTGCAGCGCAGCTTGGCGGGGTGAAAATATACTGATATCGGCACAAGAAGGCAATTAAACAAATATCATATTCAGCAAACCACCGGGCGCTCTTTAATCTTCCTGTCTTCAGTGGGTTCGGCGAATCCTGGTACGAGGGGGTGTTCTGAGACAGGCTGTTACCTGTGAAATGGGGGTGCTCTGAAAACACCCCCATTAGCACTTGGTACGTTCCTCCTGATGAAATTAACCATTGACTGTAAATTGATGCGGAAAAAAATCGAGTCGACCAATCAGAATTGTGGTCGACTCAGCACGTATCGACCAATAAGTCGACCAGTCGACTAGAACTTTACTGCCCTGATTATGATCATAGTTTTCTTTGTCCTTTACAGCTTTAACCTAAATTAATTTGGGGTGTTTTCCTTTATAAGATAGAACAGCTGAAGAGAGACAGGAAAGATGTGGGGGTAACCGCCCTACATTACTGTTATATTTTAGACTGAAACGCTCTCTTGCTCACTCCTATTGGTGAAGCAACAGTGGCCTTCAGGGACAAAAGTAAAAGCTGTGAAGTCCAAGTCGGGTTTGCCGTCAGTCTGAAAAACTCTGCAAGTCTGGTATCTTCAATCGTAGTCCTGCGGTTTACCATCATTTTCATCATAAATTATAACCAGACTCTAACCCAGACAAGACCTTTCACAGTGAATTGATATACTTTTGTTAAATTATAAGCTTTCCCTTTACCTGTCGCTCCACATTCCAGCCTTCACTCACAGCCACATGCTACAGGTAGTGAATAGAAGGGGTCTAAATGAGCTTCCTAGACAGGGAGTCTGGGGTCAGCCTTAAAGCCAAAGACAAGAGCTCAGACCTTTAGGAGAGTGCCTGGAGGATCAACTTTCTTCTTGATATCAAAAGGACTACAATAGAGGAGGTCATGGGGCAGACCTGGAAGGACGACATGTCCCAAGCTGGAAACGCTTTTGGTAAGGTGAAAGTCCGGGTCAGCTCAGACTCCTGTTACCTCTTATCCCAGAAGGAAACCAACATATGAATCCAAGTTAGAGATGTATTTGGTGCTTCAAATTGTCAAACTGTCCACTTTTACTCTTTTTATTCTATCACGCCGAGTAATTAAACTTTATCTCTTCATTCGATTTGAAACTCTGATTTTTTTCAGCTTTAACATCTCAAGCATCAGCCTCTCAAACTTGTTTTTTTTTCGCTCTTTAGGTAAAAGAATAAAGAAACTTCCTCCAGCTCTGTGTCTTTAAAAGCATCAAACCTACGAGCTTCACTTCTTTGTTTGTTGCTGCTGTTTGTTGCAGATTTCTTCCTGCATGAAGAGAAAATCTAAACTGTCTTCAACTTTATGAAAAGAACTTGTTTTTATTACCAGTAAGGGACCGATTTTGCAAAATTACAATCCGCCAGAAAGCGATGATCCCAATAAAAAGTCAATGTTAATTAAGTCATTGAATTAAAGAGTAATGAGCGTAGCTGACTGTTGCTCCCACAGCGAGCTGAAACAACAGGATAACAAGCAAAGCAGCTGTAAAGACTGACATTATTGTTTTCACACTAATCCTTTATCATCTGGGGGACTAAAAACATCTCCGTCAGCCGTCAAATAACCGAATAAAGCTGTCACCGTTTTCCAAAAACACAAGAGGATAACACGGCTCTGTAAAGTGCCAGAAAATGAGGCTTCACGCATATTTAGCAGAGCCGATAGCATTATACTCAGAATGATTGTGGTTTTTGTTTGTTAGAGTTGAGTCTTTATCTTTGCACAGCAGATAGCAGCGACTATAAAAAGGCAGTTTTAAAAGCATGAATGAGGCTGAGTCAGCTTCATCGTCGACCTTCAGACAGCCGTCCGCCAGGAGAGGACTGAAGAAAAGACTGTCAGACGAACTCTTTCCTTCTTATTTCTAGTCTTAGCAGTGAGCTGGGCATCAACAGTTGTAATCTTTACTTCATGTTGTCAAGATGCAAAGCAGCTCTTCTCCATCCCAGATAATCATCCTTGAGATCACCAGCAGGACTCAGCCGACTGTGTCTTACAGCCTCTTTTCTGCCTCACCATTACATTAGGGCTGCACGACTTTGGCCAAAAATTAAATCCTGATTCTTTTCTCTGAAAACTTGATTTTGGATTTCGATTTTTTATTCTGTGACAACTTCACCAAACTTCACTTGAATAATAAAAAGTTTTTCAATCATCTCTTAAAACAGAGTTTTTCAGACTCTGACGGCAAACTCCTCAGCCACAGGGGGAAAACGGAGCGTGGCTCGGCGGGGTGAAAATAAACTGAGATCAGCACTGGAACACAAAAGGCGAGCAAAAACGCTCAGTATAAAAATATTCAGCAAACCACGGACATTGATTAATGTGGACGCTCTTTAATCTTCCTGTCTCTTAAAATGAAACAACTGAAAATGATGTAGTGCATATGCCAAGCCATTGATGGCGCTGTAACGCTGCCCAGGAAATGCACAAAAGACAGAAAAAGAGTACAGAGGATGTGTAGAAAGGTTGTTTTGGCCGGACACGCACAGGTGCCATAAAAGAGTAACACTGTGTGTCACATGATCGTTTCCAGAGATGCAGATAGACATCCACACGGAGATGAAATGATTGTCGTTTACAGATTTATGTACTCTCTGACATGTTTTCAAAAAGTACCGTTTACAGTCACCTGAAACGCCGTTACTGTTTAGCGTTTAACTCCTGAATTCGTTTCCGTGTGGACGGGTTGATACCGCCTTCAGACAGACTTTGCAGCGGGGAGTGGTTTGCTCTTCATCTGAAACTGCGAAGCCGTACCAATTCAACACGACTGACTCGCTCTTGTCCGATTAAGCCACGAAATTATCGCCTTCTTTTGCCGACGCCATGTTTGTTTACACTGGTGTGTGTGGGAACTGGGGAGCACTCCTGCAGGAAGGGGCAGCCAACGGTGGCCTGGAGGAAAATCGGTTTGATGATTTTGATTTTTTTAACGTCATCACAGTCAAATAATCTCAATAATTTTGCAGCCCTATATTACATATATAACACTTTTACCATCCATTTGCTACAGGGAAAAAAAGCGATAATGTAGAGAAGCAGAGTGCAGCAGACTGCATTTAAGAGTCCGTGCCAGCTTGATTTAAACAATCCCACACCTCTGGACTCCCACCTTTACTCACATCCATGCCTGTCTGGCGGTGGTGCAGTCGAAGCGGCAGTAAAGGAAGCTCTAAAGCCTTTGTCATTAAATTTTCATACATACAACAATGTGGAGGCTGTTTACACTCTGTTTTTAATTGTGTCTCCGGAGAGTAAATCACCAGCAAACAGCTCCAAATACAAGTGTTACAACCAGCAGAAGCAGGACTCTGCAGCGTGTCCTCAACTACAGTCTGGGGCTAAAATACACCTCATGAAAGCAGCGACACCTTTGCATATAAAGTGTGCATCATACCAACATATCTGAATACAGTGTTAATAACTTCTGAATAACTGTTGATTAACAATGAAAAAGCAAAGACAAATCAACACCGAACAATTCAGTGTTGACATTTGAGAGAAAATCTGGACACAAAGGACAGCAAAAACAGATTTTCACAGATTTGTGGTGACGTGAAGCTCCTGGCGGTCTTGGCAGTAACTCGTTCTTACAGCCACTCGCTCAAATTAAAAACCGTCTGCCAAAAACTTTGACGTTCACAGGCTGCTCCCGCTCTGTGACAGCGTCCCGAGGCCCTGCGCGCCCCCGCCTCCCCCGCCACGCTCAAAATGATTAGCGTGAAAGCGTGATTAGCACCCAAACGAGACTTTAACAGGGGGAGGGGAAAACGAAAAATCTGCTTTTATCAGGAGGAAAAAAAAGAGCATCGCTTTGAGGGTTCAGTTTGGTGAAATGTCACCGAGGTTAAGGGAAGGTCAGGATGTCATTCTGAAAAGTTTCAAGTTGTAGTAACAGTAATAACTTGTATTTTCTTCTCCATCAGGTGCTACAGTCTTCGGTCTACAGTATGAATTTGCATTTTTACCCCTGATAGCTTCACTGGCAGCTTTGGTTAAACTCACACACTGACACTTTAATGTTGAAGGCTAAAATTTTGTAATAACCAAGCGCCCTTCACTTCCTCAGAGCTGAAATTCACTTAACTTGTCCCGCCTGTCAGGAACGTCATCTCTGTAGTGAACTTAGCGCTGACATGTGCACCTACCTGCCACTTATCCTGACAACTCCTGGGTAACACTCGGTGTTTTAAAGCTTCATATTTGCACAGGGAGGCATGTGTCTTTCAGCGTCACTCTGCTTTCAAGTCTTAGTTACACCCTGATAAAAACTCCGCCGCTGTGACGGGACGTTTGACACTTTGTTTAAAACAGAAGCAGGTCAGGGAGGTGTTTTTTTTTACTGCCGTTCTCCAGCTGAAGGCGCTCATAATGAGTACTTGGCTCAAACGTTTCAATCAATAACCTTGAACCATTTAGGCCACAGTCTCCACATGCAATATTAATGCGTCCCCTTAAGACCTTAACTTCCTGTTTCCTCAGACAATGTTGGCCCTCATTTCTCTCGCGGTGTTGCTCAACTGATTTCGGAGCAGCGAAGAAAAGTTCTGTTTGGCAGGGCAGACACAAGCACGTTGAGAGTCTGAATAAAAATGAGGTGAATAAGGACTTAGGCAGCGAAATAAAGCCGGTGGAAATTAATAATGGAGAGAGCAAAGCGCCAAGAAAAGAGGCCAAAATGTAGGAGTTTGGTTTGAAACTCACAGAGAAGAAACTTGTACACCCTCCGAGATGAAAACAGTTCAAAAGATGTGATGAAAGCTGTCAGTTTGTAGGAATCGAACCAGAGTGAATATGAATAAAAAGATGTTTTAAAAAAAAGTTTTTATGTCTAAAAAGTTTTGCTTTTAGGAAGTTAGACTGAGAGATCTGAGACTGTCCTCCTAAAACAACTAACTTAGGCAAATGTAGCTTTCTTTACTATTATTCAATTAAAAACTGGTATTAAAAAAAAACAGAAACCTAACCTTAAACCAATAATCTAAAACTGACTGACTACCTGCCGCTCTGGTTTACACCTGTCTCTGAGCCCAAACCAAACCAGGCTACAGAGACAATCCTGGGGTCAAAGTGGCCTCTTCTGAAGGTCCTGGCCTACTGACCCTCATGTTAATGACACTGGAGAGCACGAGGGGGGGAGGAGCGGATTTGGGGGAAGGGGGAGGGTCCCGGACCACCAACACCACTCTCCTACAAAGTGGGATGAGCTCTGCCATGACAAGGTCATTAGAGGTCACTCTAAATAATCAGGCTCATGTGACAGACAGATATTCAGCCAGAACTTCAAAATCATCAAATTATAAAAGGAGACCAATTATTGGCCGATATTCAGTGATATTCGGCTGATTATCTAAATCTGTTTCCACCTTAATTTTGCAAAAGTTGTTCCAATAAAAAGTGCTCTACTTCAGCTGCTGCTGGTGTATCTTTCATATCGGTCTCGCCTAATGACTCACCAACAGCTGACTGATTGGCTGTACATCTTATGACTATTTGACACCACTGGTTAACAGCTGACTCCTATGAATGATGTTGAAAGTTTCAGATTTACTAAATGTACTTGAGGAAAGTTTTCAGTTGGGGTTGTAAAAATCTTACACTCTTACTTTGGCAGAAAGTTTTCATTTTTTCTGTCAATGCATGGCGGCTATCGTCTGTATCGGCTGTGATAAAACAATATCAGTCGACCCTCATGATTGTGTTGGGTTTGCCTGACTGTGTTCACTCAAAATGTGAAACTCAACAACAACAACCGATTTACAGCAGCCTAAAAAAAAAACATACTGACTGCACCTTTACTGCTACCAAGTCTCAAGATGATTATCTTGCTTATGGTAGGGCTGGGCGATAAACCGAAAATTTACCGATACTGAAATTTATGACAATAACTGACATCATTTTGCCCATGTCAAGATATTCAGTGTCAAAAAATGTTAAATAAGTTGGTTTAGGATGTGTGTAGATAGGCTATGGTCCAATGTCCCTTTAAGACGATGACTCCTACCAATCCAGTCTGTAGCAAAGAGGGAAAGACAGGTGAGGAGATGGAGGACGGTTCAAAAGTTGTAGCGGCTGAAGTAGACGAAGTTTATGTGGGAGGGGGTGAGCAGCTTGTGGAGTAGTTATCGTCCATCATGATATTGATTTGAGGCTATATCGCCCATCCTTAGCTTGTATTGTTTGTTGCGCCACACGACACATTTTGTGATCAGTGAGCTGAGTAGAACCTGAACGCAGTCAGGTCTTTGTTCCGAGCTTCTGCGCAGGAAACTGTGAAAACTTGAGTCCTGTACTTCTGTAAGGAGGGCTGAGGGTCTACTGGGATGTGAGTGAATCCACGATTTATTAACACAGGCGGATCAGAGTGAAGTCCGGATAAATTTACTCTAAAGTGACGTGACAGGGGGGACTCTAATACTCTAAGCACCAAACCACGAAAACCCTCAACTGGGTCACTGTTTTCAAACATTTCTCTCTCCATCTGTCACCACAACAACCATTAATATTTACACCAAATCCATGCTAATATTTCCCTCAGAGTGAAATCATTCAAATGTTTTGATCCAGTCTGTCGGTGGGGCAGAGAGGAGCTGTTACACTGAGGATGCAATGAGCCATTACGTGGGTTTGTTGGTTAACATGCTCAGCAGTGTAGCGCTGTCTGGCTTTTCCAGTTTGAACCACAAACTGTGGGCTTGTGGCTTCAGGCACAGACAGGGCGAGTCTCACACCGACCCGGAGATGACAGTTATTACCCATTTACTGTACGAGCTGGGCTCAAGTACAAGCCGATGAGTAATTAATTCATCATTTGGCCCACCGACGTTCATTTACAAGAGGCTCTCTGGGTTCATTAAACTGACAGAGATGCTAAATGGTGCTGTCACTTGTGCATCGCTCTGTTACAGACTTTCATGGGAAGTTAGTGCAATGAGCAGAGCCTCGCTGACCCCTGACCACGCTTAATCAAACAGCTGACAGACCAATAAATAGGAGCTGACCTGTTTTATTGTCTGTTAGTTCTTTAAAGAGGAGCCTCAGAAAAGACAAAAAAACACAGTTTGGAGGAAAAGAAAAGTGGAAAAAACACAACAGCAGGAGCTAATTTCTGTTTAGTTTTATGATTCATTTGCCTCTTTTCCGGGTCATCTTTAATGTCGGTGAGAAGTAGCTCAACATCCTCTGAATCACTCAGCTGACAGAGGAGTGGGAGGCAGGATGCCAGCAATCACTGACTTAGAAATAACACTAAGAACTCTTTTTATTTACTCAAGTCACATCCACATTAACAACAGAGAAGATGGTGAATATTAAACCAGAGAAATTTAATTATGTTCAAGCTCAATAAATACAGTCCTGACCCTTTTAAAAGTTTGGAAAAGAAAAAGTTAAAAAATCAGCAAAATCGAGTTTGAAACTTTCCGGCTAAAAAGCTGCTTCAGAGTCTGCAGAATAGGGATGGGCGATATAGGCTAAAAAAATTATCATAAGATCCTGGCGATAACAATAAAAGTCCTGATATTAAATATTATAATTCCAATCTATGTTTCTGGCTCATTTTGACTTGAGAACACCAGTCAGAGTAGTCAAAAAACATACTTAACCACAAGTTTGAGTGATAGGTGATGGAGAAAACTAATCACTTCAAACAAGTCTGAAATGTGAAAACACTTCCAACATTTACTGAAAACTCCCGAATGAACTCATCTAAGCCCCAATCTTGAAGAAAATCCCTCATGCAGAGCCTCGTTCAGTAACAAGCTGCTCAGGAACGTCTTCTTCATCACCTTCGGCCATGTTTGTTTGTTTGTTTGTTTGTTATTCTGATCTGTGGGGGCTACGGCTGTGAGTCTGTTGCTCGCACTTACGTCATCAACTTGCATTTATCGTCTTTATCATGAGATGGCAAATATTTATTGTGGAGGAATTTTCTGAAAATAAATCCTGGATGATAATTTATCGCCCAGCCCTACTGTAGATGTTAGCGGGACACACAGATGTCCTGTACATGCATGTGTTTGTTAGGTATTGCTCCACTAAAGTTAACTAAGGCCATGTTCACACTGCAGGTCAATTCCGATTTTTTAACCATATGTGACACAGATCTGATTTTTTGATATAAGTGTGAACAGTGCAATTCTGATTTTTTTCAAATCTGATTCAGGCTTTTTTTATATGTGGATATAAATCAGATATGTATCCGATGTGACTGCAGTGTGGACGCTCAGGCGTGTTCATCCAACCTATACGTCATCAATATGTGACAAACATCAACATTGTTCGACAACACAAACAGACGCAATGGCGGACGAGGGAACGGAGAACAGCCAGTGGCGAAAAGAAGAAACGTTAGAGTTGATAAATATATGGAAAGACCGATCAGTTCAAACCGAAATAACGGGCTCATACCGTGACCGGGCGGTGTTTGAGGCGTTACGTCCTGCTATGTGCACATGTGGGTCACTTCACGGACGCATTCTGTTCACATTAGATGCCGCATTCGTTGTTGTAATGTGAACGATTGCACAAAAAGATCGGATTTAACAAAAAATTTGAGTTGTGCATCATAACCTGCAGTGTGAACGTAGCCTAAGTACAGCCTATGTAAAAGGTAATTTTCTGGATTCAAACACACTCTGTGGTGAGATCAGTGTTATCTGTGTCTGCTTAAAACTGGCATCACTACTGCATGGAGCCCTACAATCTTTTACAGTTCTTGTTAAGGTTTTTTTTTTTTTTTCAGATTTGGAGGGTTCCTCTTGTCCATCTTGACAAATTAATTGCTTGTCACAAGGAGTTTTCTCTTGTTTTATATAAATGAATAATCATTGTGTATTAATCCCAAACTCTTCTGCAAGGAGATTCGCCTCAAGGCAACTGACTTTTTTAATCACTGAAGTTCATTTAGGGTCCCGGGATACATAACAGGGAGACTAGTTAAAACAATAACACTAACTCAACATTTAAGTATCCTGCTGTCCTTCCCTCTGGCCCCGAAGAGGACAAGAAAGGAAAATGCATATACACGCCGTAGAGATGTGAATCTCTGCGCTCTTTATTTAACTCTTTGTGTTTTCAGCAAAGTTTAAGGTCACTGACACACAGAGTGAGTTCAGTCCAGAGCGTCTCAGCTGAACCCCAAATTATATTTTTACAGCTAGACCCAATTATCCCAACGGTCTCAACCCAGTTCTGCACTTTTGGTGTGTAACTAGAAAATCACTCAGCAGCACTGACCTCCAATCTGTCTGCCAAATGGGAGGAAACCTCATCACCATGAAAAAAAGTCCACAGAGCTGCTCCTGATTATCAGACATTCTCTGAACTGAACAACAAACAAGCTGGAGAGGAAGAGTGACTTAATGTAGATTTTCCTTTCCTTCAATCTAATACTCCTTTTATGCCAGCTGATCATATCTCAAATACAGCTTTCTTCCCCAGCTCTACCAAATATTTTACAAAGCAGTCTGCACCCTCTGTTCCAAAGCGATGATTTTATAACTAAAAGTTGAGCACCTCGAGGCCTCGCTTCATAAAAGGCCGCTGTGTGTGAAGGCGTTGTTGGTGCAGATTTATTATCAACTGTATCTGGAGAACTAGCTGCACAAGCTAACCAGTACCCTGTCACCTACAATCAGCCTCAACGGCCAATCAAGCTCCTTTGTATTCGGTGTTTATTTCCTTGTTTGGATTTACTCCTTGCTTTGCCTTCAGTACTCCCTGGCTTTTCATTTCCAAGCTGTGCAACCTTTTAATAAAGTTATTATTTATTTAAGAGGAAAACAGGCAGAAGATTTTGCATTAGCTCGCCAATACCGACTTTTTTTGCGATGAAAGTGTAGGGTCCAGTTCCAGTTATGTTCACTTGACTTGGACTTTCATTCTCAGCGGCTCTAAAAGGTCATTCCTAAAAATACAGCGTGCATTAGAACATCACCTACACGTCTCTGTTTATTTGTTAACCGATATTCACCGCCGGTGGCAGTCTTAGTTATGCAACTGCAGCACAACACCACTTCCCTCGAGTCAGAGTCCCCTTCGTGTCGTATCAACGGATCAAATTTGCACGTCAGGGTAGGATTCATGTGGAAATCTTGAGTTTGCCTGACATTATTCTGCTGCTGTTTCTGCTTCACTCGTAACTCCTGTGCAGTACGTTAAGTTTGAATTAGGAGCTTTTATCGGCTTGTCTGCAAAAGAACAAGTGTCATGACTACAAAAATGTGTAAAAAGTAACACCCACAAACTGTGTCTGACTTTCAATCACTCGAAAAGCAACTTTCGTTTTAGACGCAGGCTGAAATTAGAGTTTTCCGTGTGTTGGTGTAAGAACAATAAGGTGTTTTTTACAGCTAATTTAAGAATAAGAGATTTTAACAGAGACATACTTAACTACTATAACACACAGTTTGTTCAGTTTCTCATGCAATAAAATGATTTCTTGGTCACGGTAGGTAACCAACGTTTTTTATCTGAATCTGTAAGGAACTTTCTGGGCTGAAGTCGGACTGATCTCATTTATTTTCTCGCAGAGTTCAATTTCTCAGCTCTTATCGGAGGCTGAAAGAAACCGAACGTGTTAAGGGGGAGAAAGTGAGCGCCATGCTGAGGATTTGAGCAGCTTCTCCAAACTGCAGCTTGATTTGTAGGCGAGGGGATCCTCCACGGTTGCTCACTGGCTCATTTAGGAAGCTGCCTGAGATAATTTCCTGTCTGAGAAAAACAAATGCATCTTCTGGAGCTTCAGCCACTTTTGAGGTTTTTTTCCCTCCTCCATTATCAAGTCCAAAAGAGGTCATATCCTGCTCGCCTGGCCTGACAGTTTTATCTGATTGCCCAGTGGGACTGTTAACATTGTTAAGGATGCATGTTTGGTGGTAATGGGTCAAAATAAATGCCCTGCGCAGCCATTATGCAATAGAAATCTTCATGCAGCATGGAATATAAACCATAAAACGTAATTCAATTCCAGGTCAGGGGTCAGCTGTGCAGAAAAGCTGTGATTAATTTAGAGTACTCCTGCAGAGTCAGCAGAAAACTAACATGAAAGTTGACGCTTGGCGAGTATGTGTGGGCTTCGTATGGTATCTCTGAGCACAGGCCAAGTAACATTAAACTGCCTGTGAGCTGTGAGCCATGAGTCAGGTCAGGGAGGTGTTTCAGTGAGCTTTAAAAAAAGGAGTCCAGCAGCATGAGGTAAGAAAAGGAGCAGCGTGCAGAGCATGTGCAGCTTTTTGGTTTGATTCTGGTCTCAAGCTGGGGCCACTTTTCTGCAAAGCAACCCAAAGACATTAAGTTAAAAGAAAAGCAAAAAGCCTCCTTGGAGAAAATCTGGACTTGCCAACGTCAGATCTCCGTCCCCTCTGATGATATAAACATCAGAGCATCTCGGCATTTAAACACACGCACGCGCTGAGGGTGCAGTTTTAGTAGCAGCGGCGTGTTTGAGCGTATCGAATCTCACGGCGGCAGAGAAAACACACGCATGGTGAGCGCACATTCATAGTCACAAAATGATCAATTAGCAGACAACATGTGAGTCAAGTGCCGACAACAGGCGCCCTGTTAGTCAGGTTGTGGAGGTTCAAACGTTGTCGGTTTACTCCCACTAATGTCAGAAGCACACGATGATGAAGCCCGGGGAGCTGCAGTGTCAATAGTACACAGAGAGTGCCCTCGCTTGAACTCAGAACCAGGATGATTAACGCTCTTTTGTTTCGCTGCAGTGAGCTCAGTATAGCACAGGTCTGTAGTTTATCGAGGGGGCACTGATTTGTGATACCTGCAGACCAAAGATTTCATATATCTGTGTGTCATTGACCACACTTTTTGTTCTTGTGTCAGCGTGCTTGAATCTCATGACGCTCTGACTTTTTGCACGGCTGCAAATGCCTGTAGATAAATAAGCATAAAACACTGCTAAACTCCAACTTCTAGGTCTATAAGCCAAATTATTCAGAGGAATAACTTTGTTTTGAGGTACTTCGATTTCAAGGAGCCTATCCTACAGGAGAAAGGTACCACCATAAGCTTCTACGGTCAAAATCTGGAGTAAAGCAGCTACTTTTGCAGAGTTAGGAGTCGACTTCACTGCTAAAATTAACACTGCATTCAGGGGGATTCAGATTTTACACCCTCAAACCTATAAAACCTGCACACAGACTGAGAGCAGCACAAAATTTGACCTTAAGAACGGGCTTGACTAATTTCTGTCTTCATGTTGAAGTGTGTTTCACAGCAGACTGTCACATACACAAAGGTCAAAGGTGTAAATTTAAAGGTACTGTGTGTAGAAATGGGGATTTTTAACGATATCCAGCCGGAAGATTCTAGTCTAAGATGCCTCCTTACTCACTTCTGCAATGATCCTCCACAGGTGAGGTTTTTACCATCAAAAACATCAATCGAACACTCATTATACAAAATACAAAAATGCACATCTTACTAGCTACAGTATTAGCTACAGTAGTAAGCATGTCAGTGCAGGATACCAGACTCACTCCTAAGTACATTAAAAAGGCTCATTGTAATATACTAACGCTTTTGATTGTTGAGTTTGATTTCTATCCAGTCAGATCTCCAGCAATATTTTACAGATTGCACCTTTAAAGCCCAACATTAAGAGCCTCACCATCCCAGAGCAACATCTGAACATGAGTATACAAAACGCCTCTCCTTCTTTATGAATTCAGGGTGTTAAAAAAAAACAATTAAGCTGCCTTGTTTTGTGCATAAGCAAATATTCACACACACAAAAAGCTCCACTTACAATGAAAAGTCAACTTTCCAGTGTTCCCACGCATAAGGTTTCATATCAGACGAGCAAAAGTTTCTTCAATGAGGCCAAACCATGTTTTAAAATTCACATGAACTTTCCCCCTTCATATGTGAAAGCGAAAAAAGGACCCAGACCCAACTACAGACAGACAGAAGTGAGGTTTTGCAGTCTAGCTCTGCAGATGTGGTCTAGACTCTGGTTAGATTTAGACAGCAGGGAAGAAAGAAATCACTCAGCGACCACAATCAAACCTGTTTAAAGAAATACCTACAGACACCAACATCTTTTGACCTGAGAATCACCCAAAGCATGCTTCCTGAGCTGCAGAGAAAAGTTGAGTAAGCCCCTGAATTGAACAGCCTTATTCTGCCAAAGTGACACAGACAGAGGAGATCTGATAGCTATCTTCTGTTTGCATCTATTTCCACAATAACTGCACAGACTTGTTGGCTGCTCTGCATGCTTTCTCCCCTACAATGTCACACAGGGCTGCTGCTGCTGCTGCTGCTGCAGCCTGACGAGGGGCGACATCCACCCTGAAGAGAGAGGAAAAAATGCAGCAACTTTTGTGTGTCTTGATTTAATTCAAACCTCATGTAGACCCTCCACACGAACACACTCTCTCATACACACAGAGTGAACTTTGGACGGCAGCAGGAGGAGGAGGAGGTTAGCTTCATGGTGGAGGTTTTTTCAAGAGCATTCCTTCTCAATGGGAAAAAAGGAGAATTGGTGTTTGGAGCTGAGAGGAAACAACAGCGGTGAAACATGACGAGACAGGCGGAGAGACGGCTGCCCGACTCTCCTCTCCGGTTCGGCTAACCGAGGGCATCCCGGTTAGCTTAAAACAGCCGTTACAGCGCACGTTTCCCCTTAAAAAACCCCATCCCCGGTGTGCAACTGCTGGGCCCGGCGCCGCCATACACCACCACATAGACACATAAAACAACACGTATAGCATGCCCCGTAGCAGCCAGCGGAAAGAGACATGCGAAAAATGAAGAGGAGGGGGAACAAACCGGGACCGTAAACCGGCCAGAGACCCATCGGGGACGGAGCAGAGAGAGAATAAGTCCAGTTAAGCGAACTAACCTGTTCGGGAGCAGCACGATCCGCTGGATATTGGGTTGAATCCGAGTTAAATCCACTATCAGTAAAACAAAGAGGCGAAAATGACCGAGTGGCTGCGGAACAGGCCGAAACAGCACTCCTGGAGATGTGTGAGCGCATGCGCAGAGCACAGCCGGAGGTGGTGTGGGGGAAGAGGGGGGTGGGGTGAGTGAGTGCAACTAATTTTTCGCATTGATCCGCTGAGTGTGTCATTCATTATTCATTTTAAGGAAGTAGACTGACTCAATAGCTTTTGTGAGAGGGACACAAATACAATGAAGCTGCAATTAAGCTCATATCAATACGTCTAAATTAAGAAATATAAATATCATCGGTTTCATGAGGAGTACCAACACAAAAACATACTGGGAGGATTCATACTGCAGAAAAGACCAATCAGATTTATCCACAAAGTAAAATATAGAGAACATACCAATAGTTTGTTTATTAAATCAAGGTTATTGAAGCTAAGTTAAATAATAGAACTCCAGACATTACTAAAGGTCCTTTCACACCGGGAGCGTTTTTTTCTTGCGATTATTTCGGACGTCAATATTTTTTTTCGAACCTGTATCCTGTCAATACAAGTGTTCGCATCAGCGATGTTTTCCTGTCCTGCAGTATTGCGGCATTTCTAAAGTTTCGCATACTGTGTGTCCACTTCTGACCGATTAGATTGCGTGTTGTTGCGACATCTGATTCACCGGTATATCCAACATGGCTGACCGGCTGATTGTTTACGTGTCAGAGAACAGAGTGATTTTTGATAAAAGACACAAATATTAGAAAGATAACCTGAAGGACGACTTGTGGAGAGACATAGCGTCGGATCTCTCATATGACGACGGTTTTTGTGCTTTAACAGTTTGCTAGACGTCTTTGTTTTAACTTTCATCTATGCTAATGTAAGCTAACGGTTGTTACCATAATCTTATGTGCTTATTTTATCATCTCTAATTGGCTATAAGTGCTGATCGTTTGGCTTTCATCTGTGTATATATTATTGCAAAAACATTTTGGCCAGAAATAGAGGGCCCCAAAATCAGATTTCGCTTAGGGCCCTATTGAGGCTTGGGCCGGCTCTGCGGTAGAGAAAGGCTAACCTGCTGTCATGGCGATGGACGCATCCTATGTAGTATTCATTCGAACCGCTCTGTTGCACCTTTTGCCATGGTAACTGTCGCTGACGATCACGGGAAGGCCAATGTAGCCTCCATGCACATATGCTCGAAACAGGCGCACTCAAAATCACTAATTGTAAATAAGATTTATGATTTCGTTTTCGTTTTCATCTCTAATATATATTCTGTTTTGAGCTGAAAATATAAAAACAAACACTATTTTTTTTTTTTATTGGTTATACAGAAAAACAAAAAAACAAAATATTGACTCGTTTTTTCATTTACTAGATTGAATGGAATAATTGAATTGATGGATAATACATGGACCCAGGAACACATAGCAAATTCATTAAAATTTTATGACAGCTCATATCATAGATAAATAACAGGCTGAGATGAATTGTTGTAATTAATACTCATAGACTGAGTTGATACCAGAGTGAACAAGAAGCTTTTAATCTTAACTGAAACAGCGGGGAGTCTTTATTATGATCAAAATAACTGGACAATGTGAGCTGTTGTTGTAATCTCCACATGCTGAGAAAGAAAAGCTCCAGAACAGTAAATTAATATTAATAAACCCCCTGGTATGACTCTTTCAGTCCTTCAAATATAATATCTGGCATAATAAATACAATTCTTATCATTAAAAGTTTGGGGGAAAAGTGTAAAAGCTTTGTACTTTTTACATATAAGTGCACAGGAAGCAAAGACAAATGTGATTTATGAATGTGAACATAATTAATGCATCTTTCACTGGAGAAAAATAAGGCACACCGGGTGCAAAGCTAAAGTAGACCAGTGTTAAAGCCTACTTTTAATCCTCTTTTATTGTTATTGTCCAAAAACTCTCAGAAGAAAGTAAAATTTTTCATTCACTAAAATCATCACACAGTTGTAGTTAGTAAAGAAATGTTGAAATTACTTTTGACACTTTTAATCATTATACTGCTTAGTGGCAATTGCTTCAGTGATAGTAAATTGCAATTTCTCAAGATACAGTACACAAATCAGTAGTTAAAGGTGCAGTGTGCAGTATTTAGTGGCATTTCGCAGAACAGACTTGGAAAAACTAGATTGAAATGTTCAAAGGCATGCTTACATAGAAGAGACATGTCCTCTTCCACTGAGGCTGACAACTTTCACTGGTAAAAATTTTACTTCAGCAGCACAGAGCGGAGGAACTCACAAGGGTCATATGCGTTTTCGTATTTACTGAGTGGCTGAGAAGGAGAAAGTGGTCGCTAAAGAACTTTCCCTGTGGTGTTTTGCCTTTTTCTGATCTTTAACATGGACCCCAGTCCGAAGTAAAGTAGGCACTGTAAAATTCAACTACCTCAGATGCAATTTCTGCCTGTGGTTGATGCAAAAGTAACAACCACAGTCCAGGAATGTTAGTCTAAGTACAAGATGAGAAACATGATAAAAAGTTTGAATATTATGGTGTAGTTTTGGTCAAAGTAACCATGTGGATGGTTTTGGGATTCCATATATATGTGGTCCAACTAATGTTTACTCACTGCACACTAATAGCAAATTCCTGCAGAGAGAGTTGTGAAGTTATGGTGCTTTTGTATTATTCTTGAAACTATGATAATCATTCATGTAAAACAAATGAAAAAGATCACAACTACTGAATTCAAAGAGCTTGTGTTTCTAATTTCAGTTTCTTTACTTAAAAAGCCTCAACTACTGGACCAAGAAAGCATCTGCATAGGAACATGTTGAGGCTGATTCATTCTGCACATCCACACAAAAACATAGAAGGTTTATGATACAGGAAACAAACAACTCTGAAATTGAAAAGCTCAGTGAGTGAAAATAAACTGAACCTGTTTCACTTTCTATTCCTGCTCTCTGAAGACAAAACTTAACTGAAGGGTTAAAACAAGGAAGGAGGCGGGTGCTGTGCTGTTCTGCCCAGAGCTTGCAGAGAAGTGGAAAAAAAAGAAGAGGTTTCACTCCTTACCAGTTGGGAGTAACAAAATGGAAAAGAATTCCAGTGAGACACCAGTTTGATGTCAATACAGAAGCGCACAGTGAAACATAGAAAGCAAGAAAACTGGAACTTTTGAAAAAAGCAAATCTCTGGGTGATCAAATTGTCTCTGATTAACTGCATGTCATATCAACACTGACAGAAGTTTTGAGTGTCTCTGTTTCCTGCACTCCTGCATCGTTCTCAGTGTGTGTAGTATTTTGTTTTTATCTTAAAGCTCCCATGAGGAGTTTCTTTACATTTCTGAAATAGCCTGAAATTTATATGGATGCTTTTCATGAAATACAAAAGCAAACAAAAACATTAGCAACAAGACTGACAATATTCATATCCTGGTTTTTAATGTTTGAAACATGTGTGAGACATAAGTGTCAGCTCGGCAGCTGAATGAACGCCATGTTTTTATAATTTCCACATAAGATATTCCCAATTAGTGATAAGTTTGACCATCAGACTGTTTGTCCATAGGATGGCGCCATAGCTGACACATAGTGAAAGTTCCTCACGGGAGCTTTAAATTATTGTATTTGATGAAATACACACTTGATGCTGTCTCCTATCCCAAAGTGATAGTTTCAATCCACACTGGTGTAGCATTTATTAGAATAATAAATATAAAATTCAAGATTGTAACATACATTTAAAGTCATTTATTTGACTCCTTAATCAAAACACTGGTAAGAATGTTAGATAAACTGTGGCAGAGTAATAGACATTATCAGTTTTTAAGGAAGTTAAAACATTAGATCAGGTAGGTTTGGTATAGTGGGGCGGGACTGTTTTTAAGGTGGTCTGGATCAAAAATATTTGATATAACATGACAAAACTCTGTACATTTATATATAAAATGTACCAAGTGTACATGATTTCAGGCAACAAGACCAATTCATACCAATGTATCACAGGAAAATTATCATATTTTTGTTCACTAAACTTCAGCCTGCATGCAAATGTGTCAGATAGCTGGTATTTAGTTATTAACATAGTCTAAAACCAAATGTTTTCTCGACTTCTTAGTAATTTTATTTTCTTATCATTACTATGTCAGTACTCTGGAGCTGTATTCATAAATGTTCTGGCGCTTGTAAAAACAGCGAAGTGGTGCGTCGTTATTATAGACGATCTTTGGTACAGTGCGGAGACACTCCCGGCGGCTGACCTGAATCATGAAGGAGTGTTTTCCCACTTCTTCCTGCCCTAAAACTGCTCTCCAGACACATTTTGTGACTTTTATATGACTTTATAATCTCTCTGAAGAAAACCGAATGGATCAACAGACATATTTTTATAGGAGAATATAAAACTTGTTTATATTTCTGGAGACTTATCACCGCCGGTATGAACTTTGTGATGTTCAGATTATTTGTACATTTGTGTTAACGAGCTTCGCCGGTAAAACCTCAACAGTCTACTAATGGAGACCGAAGCAGAAGTGTCACCGGAGTACCAGACTGTTTACTCTGCCGTTAAAACTCTGAGTGGATCAAACTCACAGCTGAAGAAACTACTGCATTTTAAAGTTTATAAGAGGAGGTGGTTTGTTCTGCTCGTGTTGTGTTTGCTGAACTGCTCCAACGCAACGGTGAGTTTACAGGAATAATGTTCACGATTACCTGACAGGTCATTGTTTTTATTGGCTGATTAAAGTCGATCTCACCTGGAAAAAAAGTTATAAAACACTGTGTACTGTATGGAGGCCCAATAGTGCCAAAAGGGAGATGGAGGAAATATTTACACAGGCCACTCAAAAGTGACCTATGTTGAAGTTAGACTATTAAACTATAAGTATATGAAGTAGGATAAAAGAAATAGGTGGACCACTATGAATATAGTGTTCATTTATTTATGTATAAATCTATACGTTTTGTTTACGTCTCTATTATTGGTTGAAAAACAGATTTTCTTCCCTTTCACCGTGAAGAGGAGATAAGGGTCCATGTATTATCCACCCATTCAATTATTCCATTCAGTCTAGTAAACAAAAAACGCAAAAAAGAGTCAATATTTTGTTTATCTGTTTTTCTGTATAAAGGTCCTTTCATACTGGGACCGTTTTTGTCGTGTCAATATTTTTTTGAACCCGTATCCTGTCAATACAAGTGTTCACATCAGCAACGTTTTCCCGTCCTGCGATATTGCGGCATTTATTCTTTTGGATCATGGTCGATTTTTTAAAGTTTTGCATATTGTGTGTCCACTTCTGACCAATCAGATTGCGTGTTGTTGCGACGTCTGATTCACCGGTATATCCAACATGGCCGACCGGCTGATTATTTATGATCGTTTCCACAAACATTACAAAGATAACGACGTGAGGGACAACTTGTGGAGAGTCACAGCGTTGGATTTCTGATATGACAATGTGCTTTAACAGTTTGCTAAACGTCTTTGTTCTAACTTTCATCTGTGCTAACGTAAGCTAACGGTTGTTACTATAGTTTCATGTGCTTAACTGGAACTGGATATTAAACTTAACTGTTGCATATTGTTGGTCAGCATTTGGTTATCATGGCCTCTGCAGAATGTATTCAATAGAAGACAGTGACTTCTGTTTTGGCTGTTCCTTTTCATGTAAACATATGTATGCTACATTTTCAGATGCTGAAAATGCAAAATAGGATCTTCTGCAAAAGCCACCTGTGACTTCTAAGCTGACTGTGTTTGTTTGTGCTCAGGGCCTTGTTTAAGACCACCTGTATGTGACATAAATCACAGTGTTTTCATATGAACACAGACCTTTTAGGGGTACTTTTTAGGCATTTTTGTCCCCTATTGGATGGTACAACTAAAGTGAGAGAGGAAATGTGTTTGATCGGTCAGAGGAAGAAGGTGTGTGTGTGTCTGAAAAGCCAAGGGACGGAAAATGCACCACAACAGAGAGGTGGGATATCCAGTTAAACAGGCGAACTGTAAAACAAGCTACTGCTTTAAATGAACGCTGTGCTGTGTTTTTTCTCAGATGTCAGACATCTTAAATAGTTTAAATAGCAGCTGTGGTGGTGAGCAGTGTGCTCTATTGACGTGGTGACTCTTTATGTTCACTGAAACTTGATATTATTCCCCGGAGATGTTGTCATTGTAAAGCAGAGTGTGCCTGGAGGCAAGCGTGCTCGTCTCTGTCATGCAAACCGAGGCCCCCCTCACCTTTCTGCAGCTGCCAGGGGACCAGTCTTCTCTGTGGGAGCCATTGTTTACACGAGGCTGGTGTTCACACTCACAAAGGATCCTCAGCTGGCCTGAGACTCAGTCTTGATACAGCTGATGAGCCTGTTAGACATCAATCTGTCGGATATGAGCAGGGATTAACAAAAGAAATCCTGCAGTGGGCTTTTGAGTTTGTCTCATGAATTGATTTTAGATGAATTTGAAAAAACAGATTAGCACCATTTGATTGTTTTCAACCTGAATAAGTTTCATTTTCACAGGGAAAGACACCTATAACTGGATTTATAATATTAAAAGAACAGCTAAAACAAACATTGATATTTGTATAATATACTCTGTCTTTAAATCAAGTTTTCTATAAAGATCAGGCACACATTGACTGCTGGGTCACGGTCTTAGCTGGGTTTACCCGAGAAAATTCTCTGGGCCTCATGGAAAATATTTAGTCAACCACACAATGAATGTAAAGAACTAAAATCCCAGATCACGCTCAGCCCAGATTGTAGATTTCTTATCAGATCATTTTTATACTGTTTTTATGCTGTTGGTTTTGCACAGTTAATGAGAATTATGACAAAATCCAACATTAAGAGTTTTATAAAGAAGATCATTTCTTTTCTCAGGTTAACTCCAGTGGTAAACTTTCATATATTCGACATTCACTACACATTAACTGAAATATTTCAAGCTTGTTTTTTAATTTGAATGACTTTGACTTGGAGCAGAAATATTGAGTATTTTCTGAAATTAAAAGTTACAATATAGAAATTTCAAACTTTAATGAATTTATTCATTTCTATATCAAATGCCCAAAATGTTTGAGCCTCTTTTCCACAAATTACTGCATCAGAGAGGTTTTCCATCCTCATCATGGTCCATCTCTTTGTGTTTCATGAGATTTCTGTGCTGATTAATCAAACACAGCGGTGTCAGTGACCATTTGGCGGTAGATTTGGCGCTGTGGGCAGGTGCTAAGCTATTCGTAGAAGGTGTACTGTGGGCTGAGCTTGGCCTGCCTGAACTAACTCTGACTCAGTGTTAAATCACTGCATTGATTACTGGATTATTACAGATCAGGCCTTTTCTCAACTGATTTGAAAGAACTGCTTAATTTGCTGTGTTTCTGTTAAAGCTCCAGTTAGGAACTTTGGGTCTGTGTTGAAATGGGCACCCCCTGTGGACAAAGCGATGTTCACTTTTCATCCTCTACCTGCTCGATTAGTGTTTTCTGAGAAAATACTTACTTTGCTAACTTTTGACAATCAAATGGATCATTTATTGTTAATATTTAACATTTAGAAAATTAAAAAACTGTGTCCTCTGCTGTTTGGCGGACACCTACCCCCCCAAAAATGTATTTCAGACATCAAAATTCTTCTGTAAAAGTGGTCAATCTCATGGCTCATGGTGTTTTTGCCTCTGTAATAAAAAGCATCAGTATTCGTTCCAGTCTGTTTCATACATGTCAAAAAACTGCTAATAGGAGCTTTAAGTATAGTAGTTAATACAATATAAAGTCCCAGCAGAAGAAACTGCAAACATGCTGGTATGTTGATGAAACATCATTATTAGATTTTGACCATTAATTAGATTTTCCTAAGAGTGAATCCACTTCTGTGCAGGACAGATCATGTGTCCAGAATAATTCAGTTTGACTTAAATAAACCTAGACTGATGCTGTTTTTGTAGTTTCAGAGTTTTGTTTAAGGGTCAAGTCAATTCTCTGCTTGCTTTCTTTTACATCCCATTCTCAGGACTCGTTAAGCAGCGGTCACATTACAGAGTTCATGACTGTGTTATGATCAGACTTACTGTTTCAGTGTTAAAGCACGAATGTTTAATACAGTCTAAAGAAAATCTGATTTTGTTGGTTATTCAGAAAATTCTTCAGCCTTCACTGCAGTGACCTGTTGCACCATGAGGCAATGAATTAAAACCCTTTGAAAGGCTTTGAAGTGAAAGCTCTCTGTAAATGCTGCTTTAGTGACATTTGTGCATTTGACAAAACCACCTCAATCATAAATATCCAAACATCATAAACACGTCTTATTTTCAGAATATTTCATTTTTCAAATATCCAGAGCGATCACACTAACTAATATTTCTCTGTATGTTCATCCTCCCCAGTTATGGCTGACCTTCGCTCCAGTAGCGGACCAGTCGGCCCAGTATCTGCAGGTCTCTCTGGAGGACATCAACTGGTTGTCGCTGGTTTGCATGGTGGTTGCTGTCCCGCTCAGTCTGGGGACCACATGGATGCTGGACACCCTCGGTTTACGAATCACGGTACAAAAGTCACACTAGAGGCTCCTTTTGAGTCATCGTTCGGGCTAAAGTTTCTGTACTTTTCTCTCTGAGTATGTTAACCTCAGAAATGCCATTTACTGGTTTCTGAGGCGGCGTTTTGAAGCCCAGAGACCACAGTCGCCACAACAGAGGAGTGAGACAGCACGCTCTGTTTCAGGAGTCTGCCTACACAGCTGCACAACAACACACTTTACCCAGCTAACACTGAGCTTGAGTTTGTAATGCACTTTTTTGAAAAAAAGTCAAGGTGAAAGTCAAGAGCATTGGTGCTACTGTAGATGCCAACAGACTACCAGCAAACACAATGTTTGCAGGACTTCTACAACTAGGATAAAGTGACATAGTCCAGGACCCGAGGGAGGACAGTTTAGCGATGGCGCTACAACACGCTACAGCAGGTCCGTTTGACAAGGAACACTTCTGTTACAGACACTTGTCTTACTTTGTTAAAGCGGTTTACCTGTCCAGCAGAAAGGTTACAGGGTCATGAAGATCCCGAAGCATCTCCAATCGTTGACCCGGCTTTTTTAGCTCTTGTCCGGTCTACCTCCTTTTTAAGCGCCCGTTATTCCTCCAGAGTCTCCGGTATTTACTTTGTTTTCCTGCTTGTGTTGTCAGTCGTGACCAAAGGAGGATTCAGACAATTTTCCGTACTTTGTGGTTGGTTTCTACTGTCCGATATTGTAGCACGCTAACTTTGTTTGGGCTCGTGGACGTTATTCGAGGATGTGGAGCGTGCCTGACAACACGATCATCTGCCTCACAACCAATCAGGTTGGGGGGGTTGGAGAATGGCTTTGTTTACAGTCAGGAAGAGCGGGCTGCTCAAAGATTTTCAAATGTTGACTACACAGACATAACAAAACACAGCAATATCATTATTTCACCAATAGCTATTAATAGCTATTGACTGATATTAAAAGCTTTTTTGTATATACACCATGAAAAAAAGATGCTTCTTAAACAGTATCCTGCCTACTCCACCTTTAAGAGAGGGGAGCTGGAAACAGGAATTAAAAAAACTGAATTCTGTTTGCTCATAATTATTTTTACCTGTCTAAGCCCATTATATACTTCTCCAGGTTTGTGTTTCACACTGATTTGCTAAAAGGTCTTTAACAAAACAGTTGAAAATTAAATAGTGTCTTCAGTTTTGGTGCTGAAAATGAAGAACTAGGTTTTAGAAACAGCTCAGAATCTGTATATGCAGTTGTGTACCCTGTTGTGCGTGAGTGAAACAGACCTACCATGCTCCCCTCTGATCTCTGCAGCTGATTCTGGGGTCCTGGCTGAACATGTTTGGAGCTCTGCTGCGGTTCTGTGGGACTCCGCAGACTGAGCCAGCCATAATGCGGTACCCCATCGTGATGTTTGGACAGACCCTGGCGGCCTTGGCTCAGCCCCTCATCATCTTCGCTCCCACAAAGATGGCAGCTCTGTGGTTCCCGGACCATCAGCGCGCCACAGCCAACACCATCGCCTCCATGTGTGAGTGACCTGTGAGCTGAGCGTGAATCCATCAGTTTAATCCCTAAATTTATTTCTTTGTAATCTTGTTGTAGAGAAATCCTGCGACTTCACCAGCCTCCACTGTGTTAACTTTCTCTTTGGTATTTATCAGGCACGATTAAAAAAGAGAGACACAGCTGCCAAAACAAGTGTTCAGGAGAGGCATCTGTTGGCACTGTGCTTTTTACCATCCAAAAATCCATTGTTGTAGCTTTAATGGGTATTATGTTTTACCAGAAGACACTCTTTAACAAGATGTGGGATTATATGCAGAGATTATGTAATTAAGAGGATTTCCAAAAAGGTGTGTCTTAGAAAATTAAAAAAAGAGGTCAAGAACAACTGCTGGTATTATCAGCTTTACTTCAATAATGAATAAAAAACTATTTTTTGTCTTTTCTCTGAGGGAATTCACGTATTTTGGGGGGTGGCTGTGGCTCAGCTGAGAGCAGGTCGTCTCTAAATTCTCCTCTGTACTATCCTGCACCATCAGTGTAGAATAAAAGAGCTTTGAGCGATCAGGAAGACTGGACGGGTTTGTTTAGTCTGAGTCTGTTTACGTTGAAAATAAGCCCAAGAAACAACAGAAACACACTGACATTCATTCATTCATTAAAGTACATTAAAAAAAACATGAAATATAAGCATTATAGGTGCGGTCCCACATGTAGAGCTGGAGACACGGTATCCATGGTTTCCAGATGAATGTCCAGTCTGAGTCATTAGACCACAGGACAGTTTTTCACCTCAACTCAAACCCAGAGAAGTCGTTGGAAAGTCACGTCTTTGTTTCCCTCTCTGCATTTGCGGACACAGCAACAAACTGTTATAGGAGTGATTGTGAGCAAGTGTTGTGTGTTTGTGAACGATTCATTCAAAAGAACCGAATCCTTTAAGTGAACGTACTGAACCGAATCACTTCCTCAAGTGATTTGTTCGTTTTTCACTTCAGTTGAGCTGTCAGAAGCGCACCTCCAATTCTGTGCTCACGATATAATCAGACAGTTAAATATGTAACTGTAGCCCTTTGGGAAATTAGAGGAAGCGATGGTCGATGCAGCTCCTCCGATCATGCGTTCAATCGGTTTTCATGCTGTGTAATAAATAGAAGAAGGAAGTGGGTCACTATTACCACGTGCGTCCGATGGCGTGGAAATGCGTGTTTTAGCTCATCAGCAAATTCTCATGCACGCTCAGCAACATCTTTAGATCTATAGATTTGAAAATGTTTTAAAGTTGGTTTAATTGATACAGTATTAATATGAATTTCATGTTGTTACCAATACGGAATAGTAAGAAACAGGATAACTGAAACAGGGAACTGAAAGTGTTGAATCTAAAGAGGACATGAAACAGAATAACCCTGAACTCCACTTCTCCTTTCTCTCCACAGCCAATCCCCTGGGTATCCTCCTCGCTAACATCATCTCCCCCATGATCGCACAAACATCTCGACAAATCCCGTCCCTGGTGAGTGAACCTCAGAATAAAACACAAATTCGGGGACAGAAAGTCTGCTCTGAGTGGTCGGAATATTTCTAAACATGAAAAAGCAAAGTAATATGTTTTTTAAAAAATAGGCAAGTAAATAATTCTACTTCATTTTACTCTTTGATAAACACTTGATAATTGCTGTTGAGTTTTCAGCTCAGTTTGCCTTAAATACACCCAGCAAACAACCAAGGAAGAGGCCGTTTGTGTAGCGAAGAGACAGGTTAATACTATCTCAAGGTGAAGGCAGAAACCATTTTTCATGCTGTGAATGTAATAACTGCGTATAATGAAAAGAAGATTGCCAACAAAGTGCTTCCATCCTTCTGTAATTCAGCCTTTTGGTTCGACACGTTCATTAAAGCTTCTTTCACACATGCACTTAGACGTTCTAAAGAGCGTCTGCCCACAAACTTTTGCAGAGTTTCTTGTTCAGGTCTCATTATGCACGGGAACTCCAGGGGTGCTGAGGTGTAATATTTGCAAGATATCCGAGACGGCAGGTGAATAAAAGAGACAAATCTATCTGTTAGAGGTTTATCCTGGAGTGTTAAAAGAGCTAACTGCAGCAGCTGAACTGTGCCCCTCTCTGGCTCTGGTCCCCTCACCTACTAATGATGATAAGTTGCGTCTGATTTAAGGTGCTGACATTCATTTATCGACACCTTTATGTGTGTGTTCTCTCCCCCTCTTGTAGCTGCTGTGCTATGCGATCCCGGCGTGCATCATCTGTTTCCTAGCAACAGTGGGGATACGGAGCAGCACCCCACCAACGCCGCCGTCAGCCAGCGCAGAGGCGTCCAGCACCGAGCCGTTTGTAAAAGGGCTCAAACTGGTAAGGACACGGGAGGGCGGGCAGGCAAACTAAAACTAAACACCCCGTTAAAACTCTGAATAGTGCAAATAACAGATAATGACTCCCAATCAGACGTGTGGGATTAGGATTAGAATCAGCACACAGGGAAGTCCTGTTTTAGGGTTTGAGATGTTCTGATTTCTCTGTGAACTGTGGAGCATTTAGTATTTTTATGTCGCCTACATCTGCTTCATTACAAAAAAAGAGGTTTAGAAATCTCATTTTGCACAATCTGAAACCTTAAACTTGAATATAAGAAGTCATTTGCTATATGACTCAATCTGATTTTTACTTTACAACAACAACGTGACATTAATCAAATTTCGGAAAAGCATGAATCAGAATTACTTCATTAACTTTACTAAAAACAGAATGAACTTACACGTCATCATTTATTTTGGATGATGTTCAAATTGAGGATTTATTTACATCACCATCTCTGGGATTAAAACTCTTTTGGACACGTTGTTGCCTCATAAAACAAGTGTTTGTCATGCTTTTATTATGAAATGTTCCTGTCTTGATTTTGGTCTTGTGCTTTTATTTTTAAATAAGCTACCACACAGGCAAAAGTAGTATTAACATGCACAAAAGCTGTGTATTTACCTCCAATGAAGTTACTAATTTCTCTATTTGTTAATTTGATAATTAATGAAGTGTTTGAGACGTAGGAGAGACTAGGTAGGAGGGGACAAGGAGACATGGAAGTCAATGAGGGGGTGTATTAGGATGGCTCTTGATTCTTCCTCGAATTTTATTACATTTATTTGTTGTTTTTGTTTTATAACGCCATAAAATTTATAATTTTATATAATACTTGTTTGCCAAATGTGAATAGTTCTAGAGAGCTAGTGCTAGAAACCCATCAACCCATATATGTAAAATGGCAGATGCAAAATGCACGGATAAAACACCTGCGTAAGTCCCCGGTCAGAGACATAATCACCTCCTCCGTGCATATTACTCTCCCAGGTGTTCTCCGTCTACCTGCAGCGTTGATGTCTCCGCCTGCAGGGGTTGACATTTTTATCCTCGGTTATGTCGGCGCCAACTGGGCTGAAGATGAGTTTTATTCCAGGTGATGACATTTCTACCTGCAGTGGCGGTTTTTTCGCTGGCGGCTGTGACATTTCCACCTGAATGTGGCGCTCATACCTCAGGTGTAGCTGCAGCAGGAGTGTCTCTGTGCACCGTCTTTGTCCTGCACCAGGCTTTTAGTGATAAATCACATAACTCCATTGACCCACAGTGTCTCTCTCTCTCTCCTTCAGTTAATGAAGAACAGAGCCTACCTGATCCTGCTGCTGTGCTTCGGGGCGGGCATGGCTGTTTTCAGCAGCTTCTCCACTCTGCTGGAGCAGATCATGTGTGTGCAAGGTTACACGAATGTAAGTTTACCAGAGGATGAGACATTAAGTTGATTTCCCTGGGGTGAAATTAGGTGTCATAGATTGACACTAAAGAGACTCTGGTTAGTCTCCGAGTATTTATGTAAAGTCCGAAGGTTATCCCAACTAACCAAAGGAGCAAAATGAAGCTCCTTTGATTCAACTTTTCAACAGAATAATCCTAAAATCTCTTCTCTGCAGGACTTTGCTGGTATTTGTGGCGCCCTTTTCATCGTGTTTGGCATCCTGGGTGCTGGAGTTCTGGGTCTGTACGTGGACAAGACGAAGCACTTTATCGAAGTCACAAAGATCAACTTGAGTCTGACAGCTCTGGCGTGCATCGCCTTCTCTGTGGTGAGCGCAGAAATCAGGCGTGGTGTCATACCTGGTTTTAAAGGCGTGACTCTGACTCTGAGTGTTTCAGCTTTTGTGGAAGTGACGGAGTGGGAGGAATTAATCAGATTCTCATCTCTCCTCCTCCTCCTCTTCTCAGGTGTCTCTGTTACGGGAGCAGAAAGCCGCCATCGCCACCGTCTGCTCCCTTTTCGGCTTTTTCGGTTACGCCATTTACCCAGTGGCCATGGAGCTGTCTGTGGAGTGTTCGTATCCTGTGGGAGAGGCCACGTCAGCTGGACTCCTCTTCATATCGGGGTACCACAGTCTTGGCTTCACTCTCAGTACACAGATGATTATCAGTCAAACGATGTTTATGTCAAAAATAAACTTTTACTGCAGCTCTTAGTTTAATTTTGCCTTTTATGAGGAGCAGCTGTAACTTCATAAAATTTAAAGAGAGATTTAGGAAATAGATTTGGAAGAGCTAAAATTACAAACCCAACGTTCTGATAAAAACTGGTCCTGATTGTGCTGCTTATGGTAGTTTTAAAACGTTATCACCACTTCTTTTTTATCTTTTTGATCGTATTTGATTTCCAAACTCTCATCTATCTCTTATCTTCTTTTGTCCTCTCCAGGCAGGTTCAGTCTGTTCTCTACATAATCCTGCTTCAGAGTTTGACCACACGGCTCGCAGACCCTCCCTGGTCCACATGCGGGAACGCCGTCCTGAGCTGGAGAGGTAGGTCACGTGACGTTACACGGTTTCTGATTTGATTCATCAGCCTGTGAATCTTCATAAACTCGTCTCTAAACGCCGGTATCCCTCCTCCTCTTCCTCCTACTCAGTGCCTCTGATGGTGCTGGCCGGTCTGTTCAGCCTCTTCACCTGCATCTTTGTGCTCTTCTTCCACACGCGGTACAAACGACTGGAGGCCGAGGAAGAGGCAACGTACGGGACCAAACCGGGCAGCGGCTCCACGACCACTGAGCACTCTCTGAGTATTAACACCTGAAACTCCTGAGCGGACAGGCAGAGGGCATTAGGGGTGTTTTTCTGAGGGTCTTCCTACCAAAACGTTCCTGTTATTGTCGTTTATTTTGTGTCGCATCAGGGCCAAACTTTTTTTGTACTTTGATTTAAAACAGCGGATGGTACATTGAATCTGTTGCTGCTGACAGTTGGCATTTTATATAACTTAAAAATAAGAATAATGCACTTGTAAATGTATAATTTGACAGATATAAAAATCCACTTTTGTAGGTGTTCTCAAAATTACACTTGGGAAGTTAACAGTTACCATTCCAGTCCTGAAAATACAGTTTTATTGTTCTTCATTTTTACTCTCATGATGTTCATTTCCAACCAAACTACATGTGACATGATGTAGTTTGGTTTTTATTGACATGATAGGGGAGAAAACAGTTATAAACAGATTCCTATGTCTGTTGTGACCTCTAAACGGTTGATTGGTCCGAATCACAGCCGGTCTGTTTGCTACAGAAACTTGTTTTTGACTTTCAGGTGGTTTACAGTTTCGTTTTTTGATCACTGACACTTTTTTTGCCATCAGACTGCACTGAAGATGTTTGAAATAACGGAACGCACGATGAAAAGCCCAGAGCAGAAAGTAATTTTTCATATTTAAACTGACTGTCTAAACTAGAATACTAAACTGCAGTACCACATCCTTCAGTCATTAACTGTTTTTCTAGGGGTGAAAATCCTTAATGGACTTTAATTAGCTGTTATAGGTGATCTGAGGAGGGGCTGCAGACTTTTCTGAACAGTCCTCACAGACATCGAAGTGTTACAGTTTGGAGTTTTTGTGCAATAATAAACCCACTGACACAAACACTGGTGTGCCTGATGCAAAGATTATCTACTTCGGCAGAGTTTTTGACAAACTCTTACTCAGTGTTATTCAGGTGTATTGAAAGCTTCTTTACTCGTTCAAACCACTTCATTTGTTAATTTTCTTTGATTTTGTATCATGTTTTTTCACATGACCTTTTAGTTTCACTGCTACTTGTTTTGACCTTTTAAAACCTGTTTAGTAAAGGGTTAGAGGAAAATACTGAACTGAGGTTGAATTGAGTGAAGGCTCTGAATCTAGAAATGGATCCTTGAAAGTATTTCACATTATTTTCTGTCCAAATGCCTGAAAATGTCAATAAAATGGTACACCACTTTTCAGTTTCTTGTGCGTCAGTATGGAAACATTTTAACATTTTTCGGCGGTCTCTGACTGTAAACAAAGCCGTTCTCTGCCTCCCCAACCTGACTGGTTATGAGGGACACTCTACGTCCTCGAATAACGTGCACGAGGCGAGCCCAAACAATATTAGCGTGCTACAATATCGGACAGTAGAAACCAACCAGAAAGTTCGGAAAATTGTCTGAATCCTCCTTTGACCACGACTGCCAACACAAGCAAGAAAACAAAGTAAATACCAGAGACTCTGGAGGAATAACGGGCGCTTAAAACGGAGGTAGACCGGACAAGAGCTGAAAGCTGAGGTAAAGAAAGGACACGACACGGCAGAGCAGGCAGATAAAGACTCCGGAGAGTTTTAATTCTTTCCCAATTCCACATAAAACAAATATAAAAAAGTAGAGCGCTCTCTAGATTCAGAGTTAATCCAAAACAACCTAAAACTTCTTCCTCTTCTGTCCATGTGAGCACCGATTTAAAAAGACCCATTCATAAGAACACGAGCAGGTTGAAAATCATACGAAACGAAAACAAAACCGGATCACTACAGCGAAACTTTCAAACGGACTGAAGTTTAAGTTTCTACGTTGGAAAAAGTCCTCTGCTGTTGTCGCACAGAAACACCTGAAATGGCACCAAACACAAAAAAGGTCAATTAAAAAAAAAAAAAAACATGAACGAGATTCTTGATGCAAGAGCTGGTAGTTCCTAATATGTTTAGCTCAGGTACTGTGAGAGCACGAGTACATATTCAATTCATCCAATTATGAGTGTGTGTGCACGTGAGTGTGTGTGTGTGTGTCTCAGAGCTGCAGGGCACAGAACTGCTGGTAGACGGCCAGGATGTGGTGGTCGAGCTCTGCGGTGAACAGCAGGTTCTCCAGGGTTCCCATGTACTGCTGGATGGTCACATGGTGCTGCAGAAAGAGGGCGTTTGCAATTTCATGAAGACCGTACACTCCATGTGAGACCGTAGTATGAATGTGTGCGTGTGTGTGTAATACCATGAGGAAGATCTGCTGCAGCCTCTCGATGCAGTTCTTGTACCAGGGTGTGCTGATGTCGACACTGCCCGTCTCGCAGCGAACGAGGTGCTCCGTCAGCAGCATGATGAAACGCTGCAGCAGAGGAAACAACGTTCAGAGCAGAGCGAACGCTCTTTTACGAGTCTGAGAGGAACGACATCGTTTGGGTCGCAAATTAAACTCGGAGGGGACACGTTCATGAAGTATAGGGCTTGACACTCAAGCACACAAAGAGGCTTGGCTTGAACGAGTTTAGAGTCTCTGAGACTATAAACAGGTTAAAAAAACATGCTCAGACTATATATCAGTGGTAAATATACTAAAGCAGCTATAAATATCCTCTGGCAGCTTGCCCAGGTATAGTCTGTGTGGGAACTATTAGCTTCTGCACCAGAGTCAACCCAGCCTCCTTCAGCGCTCAGAGCTGCTCCACAAATGTTCCTGATTCACTCCTCGGCTCAGACTCTTTTCTAGAAAGTTTGAAGCTGAGTGAGGCGCTCTCTGAGGAAATTCTGAATATGTATGAATACAGCACAGGTCTTCCTCTTTAGAGAGCAAAGTTTCCACCAAACTATGGAGACATTTTTAAATAAAGGAAAAGCTTAGGTCTCTGTGAGTGTTGATATCTGCTTTCTAAAACTTGAACAGGACTGTTCATTCATGAGGATCGATGCTCGCAGCTTATTCTCAGTCAAAATATGACATGGGGGTTTTGCTCGACTGCTGAGACAGAATCTGACTTCTAACTTGTTCGAGTCCCGCTGTAAAGACTTAAACCCCTCCAGTCTCATTACCTGGAAGATCACGAGGAAAAGGTTCTTCTGCTCGCTCTGAGCCGACTCCACCTTCTCCTGTAGCCTCTCGATCTGCTCCTCCAGCTGACCCTCCTCGTCCTCGCTGTTCTTGTCCATGTCCTCGTCGTCACCGCTGTCCCTCTGCTGCGGGGACAAGCAGACACACAGAAACGCTTCACTCTCATGCTCGAACCTCGTTGATGTGACTGTGACGGATCGGCCCTGATGGATGGAGTTACCCTTTTATGCTGCTGTTTCTCCAGTTTGTCTTTGGCCTCCTCCAGCTCCTTCTGGATCTTCTGGACGTGTTTGTTCATTTTCCGGATGGTGGAGTGGAGAATCTCCCAGATGAAAAGTCTGAACAGGAACAAATTAAAAAATGTTTTATCTAACAGACGCAGGAGAATGAAATCTGTGTTCCTGATGCAACAAAGAAGAGCATAGACAGATTTTTTTGTTGTGTGTTTAGAGAGAAAAAAAATCCAAGAATTTTATCTGGATCTGCTCGTGGATTTTCAAACATTATTTTCTGGTGTTTTTGTCTTATTAGTTTTAAAAAGCGTTGGGTTGTGTCGGTGTTTCATGCCTGACCTGGTGAACTCATGAGCCATGTCCTGAGAGAAGAGCCAGTTAGCAACAGCAGCACAGTCCACAATCTGTGTCCGGATCAACTTGTCCACCAAAACTGCGATCATCTGTGAGGCGGCAAATTAACATGAACGATCATTTAGACTTCCTTTCAAAAATAAAAGAATAAACCGAGTTCAAAAATCTCTCTGTGGTGTTTGTACCTGTGGGTGATTCCTCCACACTTCATAAACCACCTTGAGTAAGTGAAGTTTGCCCTCATCGCTGTCTGCAAGGGTCTTCAGGATTTCATGAAACCTGGAGGGGTTGAGACGCAGATATGAAGTCAATCGGTACCAAACAGCTGAGCTGGTCCAGAGCAGCTTTAGAGGAAGTCTTCAACTAAGGCTGCACGGTATTGGAAAAAACTAACATTGCAATTCTTTTCCACCCTGCGATATAAAAAGATACAGGAATTTTCACCAGATGACCTGAAAATCACTTTATGCTGAAATCTTGTGGACAGTTAACCTGCACTGATCTGACCTCTTTTTGTGAATCTTAGTAGAATGGTTTCTGTCTGTCTCTGAGATATTTATATTTTTTATTGTGCTGAGACGTTATCGTGGCGACAGATGAACACAGAACACGTGTTTGGTCGACATCATCCTTCTTGTAACCGAAATAGTTCCAGAAATCTGAAATTGCTTTTCTTTTTGGCAACAAATCTTCATTTTCGGTGGTTTTCTCTTGTTTGTTGCTCATTTTGCAATCGTTGTTAACACTGTTGTGCAGAGAAACGTATGCACCTCACAAAATGCACACCGCTTATAGTAGAGTGGTCCACGGAAAAGTACAGTTTAAAACCCGTACAATTCTTATTTGTGAGGAATGTTCCGAAAGTACGATGAAGTAGCCACACAGTTTAAGAGTCAGATAAGTTTTCCATTTCGACTACATATTCTGTTTTTTTCCAGGCGGTGTTTGTAGGAAACCTTAAAACTTTCATCCCTGACTCTAAAAAAGCTGCTTCTCATGACCGGTCACTCACTTGCCGAGGGCGCTGAAGGAGTGGCTGAAGGATTTTGCTGCCAGATGGAGCAGAGTCTGCAGGAACACGTCGATCTTCAGGGGGTTGAAACTCTCACCCTCGTCTGAGAGGAGAGAACGACAGAGGAATAAAGTGAAGAGGAAGGGGCTTTACTTTGCAAACTCAAATGATACTGAGCTGAAGAATAAACACTCTACAAAAGAAAACTGGTGCTTTTTCAGGCTGTGCCATCCACCCACCAACCCAGAACAGTGATAAGAGGTAAGTTTTTTAAGACAGTTTCTAAAAGTCGCTGAAAAACTCTTCAGAAGTTTCATCACTTGCTAATTCTTTACCCTCTCGTACATATGAGATTTTTTTGTGTATTTTAAAGTTAAACTCTTCTTTTTGTTAAAGTTTCTCGCTCTTGTTACTGTTCCGGTGTGAAGAGGTCAGAAGTCAGAGAGCAACACATGACCCAAAAGAAAAACCAAGCAAGATTCAAACCGTCATCGTCCTCTTGGTTTGGGTTGGGCACTTCTTTGAGGATGGTCAGGATCTCTTCGTTGGACGCTCGGTTCTTGATGGCGTTACCGACAGTGATAGATACCGGGTAACCTGGTAACGAAGCTGTGAGGCGGGAGAGACGTTCAATCCCTCTAAACTTTAACTTCAGCAACACAGCGGATTTACATTTTGGTCCTTCCTGTCATGTACAAACTGGACATTCAAAGCGCTCTTACCTGCGTTTTCTTCGACATATTTGTAGGTGAACAGAGGCTCAGCTGGGATGAGCGCCGAGAAGGTCGAAGGAACGATGTCCACTATGCGCTGGTGGTATGACAGTCTGCCAGATGAGAGAGGAAACAGATTTTTGTTCAAGGAGAATGAAGTATGAAAAAATTTAACATTTGTAAGAGAGACGAAGTGGAAAAGTTTGGGGAAATGCAACAGAGGCTCCACTAAGTAACCAAGAGAAAATAAGAACTCCAAAACAGATGGAACGAGCGGACAAACTCTAAAGTTAGAAATGGAATAATTTTCATCAAACGCTCGACTTCTGCAGAGTCAGTATGCTGAGGCTGCTTTTCACTGTGTTCCTCTGAAAGCTCTTCATTTCATTTTTGTTGATGTTTCAGGCCTTTCCATTAACTAACTCATCATCTCTGGTGCAACACTTCCTGAGCTGAATCAACTGCTGTGAATGAAAAGAAACTTTGGAATATATAGGAAACACGTCAGTGATGGTTTCATACCTCATGGACTTCTCAAGAACCTCCTTCACAAACTTGGGTTTGGGCTTGTCGAGATCGACAGCCAGACAGTCAGACCTGGATAACGGAGACACACGATCACACCAATGATTCCATCAATTCAAGACAAAAAGAGGCGTCTTGAAAATCTGGTTAACAGTCTAAGAATCCCTCACCAGTCGTCCCAGCTCCATCGAAACTGGAAGTTGCTCAGATGGTGAGAAAACCAGTTGATAAGTCTAGAAATACAAACAGAGAGAAGATCATCAGAGCTCTCCTCTGACTCAGGTTTTCAGTCCAATCAAGTCAAAGGTGTGGTGATGTTACCGGTCTATGCAGGTGGTGTTCATGGTGTCCAGTCTCATGTACAACATCTCTGTGGCTTGAGCCAACTAACGAGCAGCTGTTAAGGAAAACTCTCCTGCAGTATACTCAATACTTTATCACTCTACATTTCAGCATTTAATCTAATTTAAAGATTGAAATAGGTTAAAGGGCTTTTTCGGTATCGGCTGACGACCGGCGGAGAGCATCGAATACATGTGACTCCTTATATTTGATTATATTTGACATGTTGCTGGTGTTTCCACCTTTGCATGTTATCACTGCTCAACAAACGTTGCACTGTTGTCCTCTTTCTCAGTAAAATTCAGCCACACATCAGCTCGTTTCTGCCTACTTTATGTACCATCTTAATCAAGGCACCCAGAAGAAAGGAATCGTTAAGGGAATCGTTAAGATAGAATGTAAATGATGGATTGAACCATTTGGAACCAGATCTCAACAAGAACCTGTTCTCGATTCCCATCCCTAGATGAGGGCTTGGTTGGAGTCTCAAAATGAGCTGAATTACGTCGCAGACTCGGCCCCATCTGCAGAAACAGTCGCCTAGCTTGCGTCTCAGTTCTCATTATTGGAGCAGAAGTTAGTACCACTTAAAAATATACTGGAATATCCCTTTAAATACACTCTTCACCTGATGGTTAATTTTCTAATATGATAACAGCAGTTTAATGCAGAATCCCTACATGTCTATGACGTTTTGATCAAGTACAAGACTGTCCGTATTTTATACTTTTTGAACCCAGTATTGACCAAACAGATGAATCATCAGCCAGGTGACTGTGTTGACTTTAGGATACAACTTGTGGCAGTGATCCAGGCTGCAGTTTGCAGAGTTCAATGAGCAGTGTGGTGTACATGACGTCGATGTGAGGCGGGATGGGTAGCTGGAACAGTTCCCCGAAAATCACCTGAGAGAAACGGAGACGGAGTGAGACATTTAAAAACGGATCTATTGCACATATTTTAATTACAACTAAAAAAATCTAGCTTTTAAAAACATGCGTTACCTCCACGATGTGATAGTTGAGAGGAATCTTGTTCTTCCCTGGATAACTCAGTAACTGGGCGGCACTGGGAAGTGATAAAAGCACAGGTTAAATATCAAATCTGATGAAATACAGCTCTCATGGATCTTTGTGCTCACCATGTTTTCCTTTCTTTCCAGTGAGTCTTAATAATACAGTGCAGGTTTTCCTCAATGACAAATCTCTCCACAGAATGGCTGCCAGGCATCACAGGGCCCTGAGGACAGAGGATTATTGACTCTGCGCACAAAGAAACTCATAAAAACTCGTCCTTAGAGGCAGTTCTGTTCTTCAGTGTACCTCTGGTGCATCAGTGTAGTCAAACATGCGGAAGACGACCCGGGGCATGGGGTACTGGGCGTCTGGCATGTGGCCTGGAGGGGTAAACGGGGGCAGGTTGTGTTGCAGAGCCTCACACAGCACGCTGTCAAAAGCAATATATGGACGAAGGATGTGTCGCTCCTGCCAGCGGTCTTTCTTCAGCTTCTGGATCTGAGCCCAGAGGCAGTCAAGGTACTGAGTGATAAACAGGAGAAGAGAGGAATGATTACAGGGGTCATCAGATACTGGGACTCGCCCGGCAAGCAACAATCGATTCAGATTAGTTATTTTCTTAACAAGAACAAATGCAGCTCTTCATTTGTCTCACCTCCTCCTGTGGGTGAGGCTTCTCTGCTGTCCACACCTGCAGCATGGGGACGTGTGTCTTTACTCGGCCCCTCAAAATCAAAGAAAAAAACGACATAAATCAGAAGCCCACTGATTCACATGAACTCATTTTAAAAAGGCGAGTTATAAAGAGGCAAGGCAAGAAAACGTGGTCTCGGTCTTACTTGAGGTAGCCTTCGATCTGGCTGAGAAGTCGGTCCATCTCCACGTCTTTCTTCTCGTAAAGTTCCTTACCGACCCAGGGAAGACAGGACAGAACCACGTACACAAACCAGTCTGAACGGACCTGAGGGAACAACCGAGACCACTTTGAGTAAATCATTAAGACCACTGAGAGTATATTCAGCTCTAGATTACAGGGAGAGGCAGCTTCAGTGTTTAAACCCCAGATATCTGACACAAACGACCAGAAAACGTCTGTTCTGCCGAGACTTTCAGCTCCTTTTTATTAGATTAAATTAACAAATCATTCAAATATCCATCTTTATTTTTAATATACAAAGACGCACTGTCTATGTAAAATCTTCTGTTTTTGCTCTTATTATCTAATTTTATTTTTCTGTCATTTTTGATGGCTAAAACTAAGAAAAATAAATAAGAATAAGGTTAAGTGTGATTTGATTTGTGAGTAAACAGTGTTGAGAAGAACACCTTGAGGGGGTGTCAACAGGTCTGAGTCAACCTTGGGCTGTGACTCGACACAGAATGAGACCAATGTGTGAGCTTTAATCTTCAAGAAGACGTCTGGGATTCATTCGTTTTAAATAATATAAAACCAGTTTGTGAATCTGTGTACGGCAGAAACTCAAGACTATCAGAAGGACATTTGTGGCATGAACTGAACAGATTACCTTAAGAAGACGTCTAGTATTAACAAACTAACATTTTTTTGTTCTTGTTTATTTTTAAAAAAAGTAAAAATCATCTGTAACAGAATAAAACTTTAAGTAAGCACTGGGAAAGATGACATTAATGTGACTGAAATGGTTTCATGGTTTTTAATTTTAACTTTTGATCGTTTTAAATGTTTTCTTTCTTTGTTTTTCTGACCCTCTGGACTTTGGAGCACTTTGAACAGCCTTGTTGCCAAACTGTGCGGAAATAAACTTCGCCCTGTCTCGGTTTTTCAAATCTTACGTTTTAACCTGAATTTTGTACCCACCTGAGGAACATCTTCTTCCTGTGTAACACTGACAAAGTTTTCAAACATGGCCACCATCGAGGGAGCAGCAATCACATGGCAGTTCACCAAGTCTGACAGAAAACGCACCTGAAAGCAGAAGACATGACGTCAGAACCGAATCAAAGGTCAAAGATTCATTCTAGATTATTAAAAGTCAGCTTACCAAATACACCGCTTCATTGTACAAGTTATTTTTCAACGTCTCCTTGAGCTGTCTGATCATGGCCTCCACAAACTCGCCCCCAAAGTTGTAGTTCCTCGCATTCAGCAGGCCGACTAGAGTCGTGTACACGGTCAGCTTTTCAGGTAGGAGACGAGCGCTGAGGAGAATAAATAAACCAGTAAAAATCTACAAACACACACAATTAAATCAGTGAAGGGGTGAGAGCAGGTCTGCACTTACACAGCACATAAAATGCGCAGGATTTTGTTTTTGTAATTTGGGAGGTCGGCCTCCAACACGCCTGCCAAGCCCTCCAGGTTGCTCTCTAGAGATGATGTGCTCTGCAAGAAAAACAAACGAGGTTTGACAAAGCAGGTTGTGGAGATGCAGAACCCTACAGCTCAACGCACTGCCACAGATGTTTGTTTACCTTCTCCCCGACACGACATATCAGCGACTCCAAGCGGTCTTCGATTTCAATGGGCTCTGATGTTCGCCTTCGTTTGTGGGCCTGACCTCCTGGAAGAGTAAAAATTATCCAAATAATCACACAGAGAGCAAGAAAGAGAAACATCACCAGATTTAACCACAGAGATTATACAGTGAGAGCAGAGACACACAAAAGATTATACACCGAACACAACTCACCTGCTCTCTTCCAGCAGCTGCTTGTTTGTAGCGAGACCTTGGGCCAGTCTGTTACGGACTACAGCGGGGTGACGCAGCTCAAGGAAGAACATTTATGATCATTTCTTTATCATTTCCTTGAAGTAATAATCACCATATTAATCATTTTGCAGATGCTGTAGTTCTTTTGTCTTAGTGTCTCGGTCTGATTGTATTTCCATGAAGAAATTATCATAAATGTTCTCTCTTGAGCTGCGTCACCCCGCTGTAGTCCGTTATGGACTGGCCTGAGGTCTCGCTACAAACAATCGGCTGCTGGAAGAGAGGCAGTGAGTTGTGTTTGGTCTCTTTGCTAAAGAAATTAGTCAAAGTTAAAAAGATGTTTGTTGGCTAGTACTATGGCTGGGACTCTATATGTACTGTTGATGAAGTTAGGTGCTGTTCTGAGCATTATTTGTGGCTATGTATGGGTGGCTTTAATCTCATTGTACTGCATATAATGACAATAAAAGGCATTCTGATTCTATAGAGTGGCGTTTTGAGCGGCGTTTGGTGTTTAGAGTGGCGTTGAGGTTTGTTTATGGCTCCTCAGACCGCTGCGTATCGCTATCTCATTATTTTTTACTTATTTTGACTATTTATCTCTTTATTTTTACTTATTTTAATTATCATTTATCTCCTCTTTCTACTTTATCTGCACTGGAGTTACTGTGACAAAAAGCTATTTCTCCCTGGAGATTCTTAAAGTATTTCTGACTCTGAAATAAACAGATATGTTTAATTGATAAAACCTCAGAAGCTTGTAAAATAATATCATTTTATGTATTGGACACACATACATTATACGGAATATCTTAACTAAAGATCGACATTAACCAGACAGTTAAATGAATGTAAAGACCGAATAGAAAAACTAAAAGGATCAGTATAACATTTAGCACCTATGAAAAATGAATGTATTTCAAGTTAGCAAGCATAAACGCGCGCCGGTGTTTCAGTTAAAACGGTTACCCTGTTAACTCACGACCATCCGCCAAACGCGTCTTTTGTTGACGTAATTATAACAACTACTGAAAACTTGTTCCATTCAAATTTGATGTTAATTTTTCTCATTGTTAGGAATAAACTAACAAGTGTGCTTTAGAAAGGGCTGTTTTTGCGTTTCAACGGTTATATCTACGACAATCACCGGCGCATCCGGCTGAGAGCCGCCTTCTTACTGGGTAACGCTTTAAACCGAAACACCAGTGACTTTCTCATTCACTGGGACAGTTCGCTCTAACTTGTTGGTATTTCAAAGATGTATGTCTCATAAATAAGAGGTGATTGTTGGTGTTTTATGTAGTAAGAGTATCAAAAATCAAACTGCTAGCCTGACTAAATCCCCATTCAAACAGCAGTCGTGAACAAACGTTACTCTCACACGCTAACCTCCGCTAGCCTCCACTCGTTAGCCCCCCGTCTTAACCACACATTCATCATCTGCTTACCGTCGTTCTCGTCGCTGTGTCGTCTCCTGGACATCTTCGAATCCCTGCAATAGTAAAATTATCCCGCCGCCGATTGAATATAGCGCAAAAACAGTTTTTGTGCGAGAACAACGTTTAGAAACGATTCTACCTGGCCGCTACAAGCGAGCGCAGAAAAATAATAGCGGTCCGATTCAAGTGAGGCACATCCGGTGCACGTTAGGGTCAACCGGAGTGTGCGTCATCTTATTTCGTCCGGGTATAACGTGCGACACGTTTGTTGATAGCAGGATAGATGCGTTTACTTAGAAGATTTATCACTTTACATGAAATATTTATTATTTTTTAAAGCTCATATGATGTTACAACCCAACGCGGTACGATACCAAAGTGGTAGGAGCTCATTCAGGCTTTGAAAAGAGTTTCATCTGTCAGTAAACATGGAGCCAAATGACTCCCCGTACTCTGAGTTTCTAGACTGGGAACCTGATACTGCCAAATCTAATGGACTTAAACAAGAGAAACAACTTTCAGCCTCACAAAGAAGATATTACAGCTTTTGCAGGAGGAAGGTAAGCGGGAAGAAATCACTTTTCTTTCGAGTGAGGTTGTATGACTGGGGGGAGTCCAGAGTTAATGGTAGGGGAGAGTAGGGTAAGTTGAGCCACCCCCTGTTGCTTGAAAATGGTCAAAGAAATTGATCATGTGACCAAATATTTAGGAGATGGGCATCAATTCATGGAGTCTGTGAAGATTAGAGGCACATGAGTGAAGGGGTTAGACATTTATTTCCAAAAAAACAAATTTTTCACTCTTGGAAGTGAATTTAGTCTATTATAAGTTTGATTAGAATTGTGTTCAGACCAAGTAGTAGGGATACGGCTCAACTTAACCCGCTCCTATGGTCAACTCACTCCATACAAGGGGTAAGTCGACCAGAGGAGACCAGTTTTTTTGGCATGGTACATTATCAAGACAGTTCTGTTTACACTCATTCTGTTGGTTTGCAGGGATGAACGAAATCTTGAAATATATGCAGATACACTAGTTAGAGACAAAACTCAGATTGATTTGATGTAGTGATCCAAAACATGAAAAATGTCTCATCTTACCCCACTCTCAACAAAACAGTTAGCCTGTCAGAATATTGGATAATGTCTTCTGATACCCACTTATATGAGTATTTTTACCATTTATTTTATTTTTGTTTTGTGAATAAACACATTTGCAAAAATAATCTGTATTTCATTTGTCTATTTTTTTCAGTCATTTGCTGCTTTTGTGGCATCAAAGCAGGACAGCAGTCCAGAGGAAGGGGACACGTTGTGGTGCTGCTGTGGTGAGACCTTCAGGGAACACTCGTCCATTCACAAACACGTGGCCAGGACTCATGATGCTGAAATGCAGCAGCTCACACGGGCCACATATGAGTGTTTATTGAGTCAGCTGGAAGAGGAACCTGAAACGCAGTATGGGAACAAGCGTGAAGCCGAGCAAGTGGATGTCTCTGCGTGGATCCCTGAAACTGGACACATTTCTGAGGATCAGCTTCAAAAGTATGGTTCAAACTTTTCTTCTGCTGTCTTGTTTCTGTTACCACCCTACAACTTTTTGTATTATCTGAAATGAAAGCCCAGCTGATGTCTCCTGTTATACTTTTTCTCTGCAGGGGTCCAGGAAAAGTTCTCCTCTACTATCACTACTGTCAAGTGGACGATCCACATGTCATCTGTGCTTGGCAGAAAGCCTTGTGTGAGAAGCTTAACTTAACTGGCAAGGTGAATAAATCGATGGATGTGGAAAACAATGAAAAATAATTTTGGGAACAAGACTTTGAAATATGCTTTCATACATAAAAAAGAAGGATAATGAATTTGATTGACCTGTTGCTGATTATATGCCATTGTGTTTTGATCAGGTTAGAGTGGCGACTGAAGGCATCAACGGGACAGTCGGTGGCACCAACATGGCCACCGACATGTACATTGAAGCCATGTGTTTACATCCTCTGTTCAAGATGGAGAGGGAAGATTTTAAGGTACCTCATTTTGAATGATCAAACATGAAAACATGTCAGAGTACTCAGTGAAACAAGAATTGTAAAATTTTACAGCCATAAAGTACTTTAACTTTTACCTGTTGCTGAATCAGTGATTTAATTTCTCTCTTTTTGTGTTTGTGTGTGTGATCAGACAAGTGATGGTGGCGCAGAGTGTTTTACTGATCTCAGGGTGGGAGTCTATAAGGAAATTGTCCCAATGGGGGTGGATCCAGACGTAATCTCTTACAAACTGGCAGGTAAGAGCAAATTAAAATCTTCATATAACTCGGTTATTTCTCATTTAGTTTTTCTTATTTATCCACCTGTTTGTTTTTATAAATGTTTGTATTTGGTATGGTGGTCTTTAAAGTTACTCAAAAGTGAGTCTTTCCTCTCAGGAGTTCATTTGGAGCCGAAGGAGTTCCACAAAGAAGTGGAGGCTCTTTTGTCTAACGAAGATTCATGCAAAGACACCATCCTCCTGGACTGCCGCAACTTCTATGAGAGCAAAATCGTAAGTGCCACATAAATGTTTCACAGAAAAGAGGAACTAAAAAATGTTTTCCAGGTTGTATACACTGATTAATTTTATCTTTTGGCTGTTCTCCTGTTAGTGTTGCACCAGGTGTTTTAAAGAAAAGGTGCTGTTTAATCGGTAGCTCTCAGAAAATTTGCCGATAATGCTTTTAGACCAAATTAATCCTGATCGTTTTCACTCCAGGGACAGTTCACACAATGTCTGGCCCCAGACATCCGCAAGTTCAGCTACTTCCCAGACTACGTCGACCAGAACCTTGAACTGTTCAGAGACAAGAAGGTTCTGATGTACTGCACAGGAGGGATCCGCTGTGAGAGAGGCTCTGCTTACCTCTGCTCAAAAGTAAGCTTGCAAATCCTGGATGTGGATTGAAAAAAATGCCGCATTAATTGATCATTTTTTCATTTAAGACTTCTTATTAAATTATTGTCTCACACTTGCTGGTTTTGGATTCTCCACTAGGGGGAACATGTATCACTAGTTTATTGGAAATTGTAGATGTTATTTTTTTTCCACCATGCTTGTAGGATGTGTGCAAAGAGGTTTACCAGCTGAAAGGTGGAATCCACAAGTATCTGGAGCAGTTTCCAGATGGTTTTTATCGTGGGAAACTTTTTGTGTTCGATGAACGCTACGCCATCTCCTCCAACAGTGACGTCATCTCAGGTTTGTCAGTCACCAAGTCTTTTTTTAAGCATATTGAGTAATAAGTTCCAATTTTAAAGACTATCTCAAAGCCCTAATATTTACTAGATGTTGTGATCAGGAATGTATACGGATAAAAAGTCTGTGTTTCTGTTTAGACTGCAGGTATTGTGCCTGTCCCTGGGATCAGTATAAGCTCTGTACCACACAGTTCTGCTGTCAGCTGGTCCTGTCTTGTCCCGGCTGCAGAGAGGCCGGACACACGGCCTGCTGCCCCACCTGCCAAACCAAAGGACAGGCTCAGAGTGAGAACTCACCTGTTCCGCAGCATCATAAAGAGGAGTGTGAATGCACAGGTGGACGTCCCAGAATTCCTCAGGATGTGTAGTAATATGACAAAATAATACTGTTGGTCCAGGGATATGAAACAAAACTATTATTGATGTAAAATTCCAGTTTACTTTTAAGTCATGAATTTTTATGAGAATGTTGGAAATGGTGACTTATTATTGATCATTTTCATTGAGTATTTGTTAAATTAAACAGTCTTGTCACATTAGTTTGTAAAATATTGACGCATCATTATTTATGAAAACTTCAGTTCAGCAATGTTAATATATTGTGGTCGTGCCTTTTTCAGTAAAACGAGGATCTATCCCTTTTCCTTTTATAAATCATTCCTTTGTCACATATATTATGTGTCCCAATTTGAGTGTTTACAGCCTCACATATGATTTAAAAGTGATGCAACATGACAAATTTCTGTGTAAAAACTGAACCAAGATTCAAATGCATACACACAAAAAAAATGAAAAGTAACATCAGTTATCTTGTGGTCTTTGAGCTGAACCGTCTCTCGCTAAAAGGAGGTTGCTGAAGCTGCAGGTGTGGCTGAACTTATTTGAAACCACAAGCTGCAAACACATCTTTTTTCCACTGAAGGTCAACTACACAAACATGACTGAAAACCATTGAAACACATTTCACACAATGCACACAAATATTTTAAAAAATCTAATATGCAGAGACGTTTTATAAAATACAAAAAGAAAAAAAATCATAAAAATTGAAGAAGGTATGTGTTTAAATAACTTTTGAACAATATAAGGTATAAATAAAGAAATGCATTGACATTGTATAGCATATAAAATGGATTATATAGCCTTAAATCGATAATTTTATTACAAAAGATTTTTCAATTTCATGATTTAACTGGTAAATTCAATTAGTAACACATCCTTTCGTGGAAAATCCACCAGAGGGAGTGATAAGACCACAGCCAGGAGCCCGTCAAGATCCTCAACATCATCCGGCTGCAGGCTTCAGCTCTCAGCCGAGCGGACCTGGCCAGGCTGCCCGGGTCTTCACCCACCAGCAGCAGCCTCCCTGCCGCAAATCTGGGCGACATCAGGGACTGGGGATAGTACAGCTCATGTGTAATAATCCAGCCGTTTATCTGTGGGTATAAGGACGGGAGGACCGAGCGATGTCTGCGCCGGGCTACACAAACCTGAACAGCTCCGTCAGCTACAGCCAGAACTCGACGCCGAACGGCGGAGCGGCGCCCCCCTATCAGAACGGTACAGCAGGCCGGTGTTATAAAGGAAAATGTGTCTTTGTTAATTGGTGACTCTCAGCTGAATGCGTCTTTGGTTGTCGTAGTTACAAGAGTTGTTGAAGACGTCCACACGGACACCACTTAGTGTAGTTTTCTCCGTCTAAGCATCTAATGAGTATATCTTAATGGTAGTTTGAAAAAACAAACCACAATAAGAGGCATTAACGAGAGGCTTTTTGTGTGAGCGTACCCTACGGCAAACACTGACAGTCAGCTGAAAGTCGCCAGTTTGCAGGGTCACTACTTTAACCGGAACATCGGGTGATGCGATTAGCTACCGGGCTAACATTAGCGTGCTATCTCTAGGTGATATCAGATTAGTTTGTCGAGGTTTAATCTTTTATTTTACTCTCAACAACAGCTACTTTATAGCAGTCATAACAGTTAAATGTATTATCATTTTTAGTGGCCGAAAATTGGGAAAAATGTGTTTCGGCAGATGCTTGGTGCTAACACTAGCTAAGTTGAAGGCTAAGAAAGGTATTGAACTGCCATGGAGACAGCTAACGGTAGCCGTTAGCTAAGAACAAGACCTCAGGATGACAGGTGGCGCATTACCGTCTAATAATTTTTACTTATTATTACTCGTTACTTCTGGATATATACAAAAATATTTGACTTTTACTGGTTGCTGAGCTGTGCTGTCAGGTGCTAGCTGGATATGAACCCCCTCACTGCTGAAGTAACAGATGCTGATGAAGTCTGTTGTTTACAGCCTCTGATAGATTATCTCTGTCCTGGTCTTTCTTTGTCTTTGTGAGATCATTAACCACACAACAGTTGTACACTAAGCTCATTGAATGTGTGTATTCTCTTCTCTCCAGGTCCTACACAGGCATACCAATCTATGAATCCACCTCCAGGCTGCTATGGAGCCCCACCTCAACAACAGAGCTATCCCACCACCCCTGCCCACTCCACTCCTGCTCCCGGTAAAGCATCCATTACGAAGAGTGCCCACAGTGCTAACTACTACCAGAGCAACCATCAGCCACAGCAGCAGCAGCATCACCACATCCCTCAGCATCATGTAGCACCATCTCCATACAATGTTCCTTCTTCTCAGTCATATGCCACACACCCCTCTTCAGGACCACCGCCATCAAATGCCCAATACAACCAACAACAACAACAGCAGCAGCAACCTCCATATGCCACTCCAGGATCCTACTATGGACAGCAGCTGTACTACCCTCCCCCAGGACAGCACTCCTCGCAGCAGCAGCAGCAGCAGCAGCAGCAGCCCACTTTGGTCACAGCCCCCGCCAGTGGCCCTGGAGCTCCCCTTTACCCAATTGTTTCCTACCCCTCTGCGCCAGGAAGTAGCCAGTATGGCACCCTGAGCTCCACCCAGAGCACCTCAACACCTGGAGTCATGCCGACCCAGATGGGTGCACCTTTACATCAGTACAACACCTCCAGGCCAGCCTCCACAACAGCAGTGCAGCCTGGGTACAACGCGGCTCCTCCTAGTCAGTTGGCACCAACAGTCAATGGTCAGGGAAGCACAGGTATGTATAATTAGTTGAATTTAGACTTGAGTAAAGCTTTTGGCTTTATTAGTGGCAAGTAAAACATTGTGTAAGGGTTCCTTGATGCCCTTTAAATGTTCGGTCTCTTCCAAGGACCATACATGTGGGTCGCAGATGTACAAGCATAAATGGTCAGTGTTTTCAGAAGTAGAATGGGACGGAGGGGATTAGGAAATACTTCCTACCTCAGGAGACTATGGTGGAGAAGAGTCCAGCTAAAGTGCATTAGTGTTCCCGAAAGAGCTGAATATTTAGCTTTTTATTAAAGGTAGGAAGGGACACCCCAGATGCAAAAGAGTCGGGAAACTCTTTCCACCTCCAGGGAAGAGTCTGACGAGTGGCTTGGGACCCTGCTGTGATGTGTCATTGTGATTACTGGCAGAGCATAGAGCGGTATAGGGCTTCCAGGCAGGTAGGAGCTGTTGTGATCCTGTTTTACAAGCAAGAAGTAGGTTTTAAATTTGATGTGAGCAGCAATTGAAAGCAGGTGAAAAGACGCAGCTTGGGTGCTGTTTTGGGTTGTGCTTCATTGTGGATCACCTGCAGAGGTTTATGATAAGGACTAATGTTGGTTAGTGGAGGCAAACATCTATTAAACATCTCTAAATGTTTTCTTCTTTTTATTCTTTCTCCATCTTTTCTTTAATTCAGCCCACCAACACTATGACCAAAGCCATCAGGCCTCTCTGAGTTACAACTCCTACGGCGGGGTCACTCACAGCAGTGGCAGCACTGAAACAGACCGACCGCCCTCAGGGACCCCCTCCACTTCAGTTCATTCCTCACCGGGACATCAACAAGGTAACAAATCGTTTAGTGAGTAGGTTTTTTTGAAGGGCTCTTACACGTCACACACAAAGGATGAATCAGCTGTTTCACTGCTCTGTAGTGTTCCTGCCTCTGAGAAATGACAGCTTGTAAAGTGAAGTTGTTGAATGATTGAACAGGGATGTCAGCACTCGTCTGTTGAATGCATACAAAGTTGAACATTTATGAGCTAAATATGCTTTGCACTTTTCCTAAAACTATGGGGATGTTATATGTACAGCTTTGAGTCTGTGAATGGTTTTATGATACTAGTGCAAAAATAACACTACATACTTGAAATGACGACAAAAAAATCAGTTTCCTGTTCTGTCAGTTTCATGCTCTACTAAGGAAAGGCTTCTTTAGTCAGTATAAGGTTATCATAGGAACAAATTGAAGCTCGGTTTTGCTCATTATCTGGTGCACATTCTTCCACAAGCCTTTTTTTAGACATGGGGTTAAAAATCCTGTTCTAAAATTACTGTGCAAATGTGTGGGAATGGTTTTCATGTTCACACCTGCACTCCTGCATGTGGCACACATAATCTATTACACACACACACACACACACACACACACACACACACACACACACACACACACACACACACACACACAAGTGTGCAGGTGTGAGATTGTATGTAAATTTAAGAGTTTCAGGTTGGAAGTCAACAACCAGCTGCTGAGTTTGTGAGCTTTAATGTCTGAACATTTCCTCTGTCATTTTAACCGGTTGAAACCGAATGAATCCTGCACCAGCTGCACCTGCATTTAATCATTATTTGAGTTGCAAAAACAATGACTTTGCATAGTGATATAGTGGTACAACGATCTTTGCAGATTTGTCATTTCTATGATGAGTAAAATGTGTGAGCGAGTTTTTCTCTCTCAGTCATATTAGCCTCAGGGAAGAAAAAAAAACATGCAGAACAATAGAAATAAAACTCCAGAACAGACAAAGGCCACACCCCTCTTTAAAGGCTTTCATTGTTGTAAAAGGTGTCCTAACTGGTTAATTAGTGTCAAATTAAACAGTGTGACTGTAAAGCTACTTAAGAAACATAGACGACTGCGGCTGGTTACTTTAAGGACATAACCTCTGCTTCAGCTTCAGGGCAGTTAAGGCCTCACACTGGCACACTTAAAAAAAACTTAAATTACTCAGATATTCAAAGTCTGTTCTGATTGTTTGTGCACAGTTTTGTCTGTGAACAAAAGCATTCTTGTCCTCAACATGTATAACTAGTGTCTTCTGACCAAAAACCTCAGATAGCTGTCTTTTAACTTTGAAATGTATGATTTATTGTGAACATTTTGTGTGGAAATAGTAAACACAGGGCTGTCTCTGTAGCTGCTTAGCTGACTCCTGCCCCCTCACAAAGATTTAAGACGTTAAAATAACAGATGACAATTGTCAACCTTGTCTTAAATGGTCTTATATGTTTTCATACACCATAAAAATACATTAGTTTGAATTTCAGGTGCTTTAAATGATATGACACAAATACCAAAGTCGTTTTCATTGTTTGTGAAAAGTGAAAAATTTCTGCCTGTAAGTCAAAAAGTTAATTTCAGACCCTGAAATGACCCTTTTATATGTAAATGTTGGTTTGGAGTAAATGCGAAGCAGCACGCCTTAATGCAAAACATGCTGTCATTGCTGACCCTGTCTGTGCCAGAGGACATGACCAGTCCTGGATCAAAGTCCAGCTATGTTCTGCATGAAGCCATCAAATGAGGCCACAAGGAGGGCTTATTTTTTTTATGCATCACCCCAATTTCTTGAATAAAAGCAACATTTTAGGGTGAATTTCTTTTAAAATGGCAGCAAAAAAGCTTTTTAGACCAATGTTGCTTTGATGTAAATAAACATCATGGAGATTTCAGCCGGTTCGTGTTTAATGTAATGATGTTCAGACTCAACCTTTATGTTCACAGTTATCCTCTTGTTGGAAACAGCTTTTTTAAAAACACATTTAAGTTTGGAAATCAAAGTTGGGACTTTAATTTTGTTATTGTCATGGGTGAAAAACAAAAAATCTCAACCTTCTGTTTATCATGAACCTCAATTTCATCCAGTGTAGCAAAATCGAACCCTCCTCTGGGTTTAGGGAGTAGTTTCTTCAGCCCTCTCTTGTAATTTGAGAAAACCATCTGCTACTTTTACCAAATAATGAAAGACTTGATGTCAGTTAGTGTATCGCCTGAGCCCCGCCTCCCTGTCTGCTGTCAATCATTAAAAAGTCTAGAAAGTTTTCTGATGTTCCTTTCCCACCCCTCCCCCCTTCCAACAGGCGTGCAGTACGGATATGTTGCTAATAGTGGAGCTAGCTCTGCCCCCGCCACCACCTCAGGCCCAGCCGCAGCCCCCTCGTCATCCAGCTCTGAGGATGAGGATGATGATGATGAGGAGGAGGATGAGGAAGCAGGTCTGCTTTAGCTTTTACTACCTCAGTCGCCCCTCTCCATCCCTACAAAGTCATTCAGTGCTTTTAAACTTTTTCATCCCCATTTGAAGACAGAAATGCGCCTCTTCCTCCTGTTTTCATGCTCTTTGTCACTCTTACTCCACCTGTGGACATGTCTTATCATCATTTAAATCTCCACCTCTCTCTGAAAAGCTAATCAGATCATTCCTCCCCTCCCTGCTGCCTCTTCACCACCTTTTCCTCACGCAGTCATCCCGCTGGGCACTGGACCATCTCTTAATTCTGTCTCTAATCTGCTCTGTTGTTCCGTCATTGAAAACTGACGTTTCATTTAGTCTCTCACTAAGTTGTGAGGTAAGTGGGCCACGCCTGTCTTTAGCAGCTCTGGCTAAGTTCACCTGCTTGTCTTGATTGTCATGCCGTGGAGGGAGCACGCTGTCTTGTTGTCCGTCACTCAGTAGTCTTCGGGATCTGATGATCCCTCTGTTAGTTCTCCTCTGTTTACCAGCCGCAGCCAAACTCTGAATACTGATAGAAAGAAAAGTCATGAGCTTTATTTCACTTCTTTCTGGCTGACCCTTCAAGACCTCAGATTACTGTGGAATTACATGATATTTAACTCGAAAGATTACACTCAGCTGTTATACTATAAAACTCTGAGATGTTTGCAGCTGAAACAAATAACTGTTACACCGAACTTTAGTCAGCAAAAGTTCAAATAAAGATCAATAATCTGTCACATTTATTGAAAACAAATGCCTGATTATAGTCTCTGAAATGCAGGAATTTCTTCTTTTTTCCCCCTGGTTTTAAAAAAAAGGATTAAATTGAACTCTTATAAATTTAATCTAGTGTTTTCAAACAGGGCCCGACAGATTTATCGGCGAGCCGGTTAAATCGGCCAATTTTAGCCTGTTTGAGACTAATTGGTAATTGGCCAAAACTCGCAGATTTTCGCCAATATTTCCCCCCGCCCCAAAAAATCCACATCGGTCGGGCCCAATTTTTAAATGGACAACCACCCAAACTTTCAAAATAAAAGTGCATGAATGCTCCATTTTTAACAACAATAAAATAAAGTAGATTGTATAACTTAAGCTTCAATTATTAAAGTTCAAAATAAAGAGAGAAATTCAACATTGGCAGCTTGTAAAATTCATGTAATCACTGAAGTTTTGCATCAACTTTTAAACGTCTTACCCCAGAATACTCCAAACAACTTTGGTTACTTTGTTTAAGTAGAAGCTGTTGGTGGAAATACCTCAAAAATGTCTTCTACTTCATTTAAGAACATTTAACCAATCCTGATAATGCTATAAATCATTTAACCGCCGGGAATAAATCAACAGAAAAGCTGCAACTTGTTGGATCGGCATCAACATTAGTCACCTATTTTTTTTAACTTTGTGAAGCCCTGAATAAATATCTGCTTTTGAATAACACTCAAGAGATCAACCCATCAGGCAGTTGTAAGTGCAGCAGATCAAATCTGCTTTTAATTGTGAAGAATGAAGCTAAACAGAGGCCGAAATATTTAAAAAAAAAACATCATTTGCAGCTCCAATAGTGTTAATCAGTAAATGGCCTTTTATGTTATTGTGAGACACAAAAGTGTTGACTTAAAAAGATGCTTAAAAGTTGCACTCCTCTGTACCACCTTTAAAAGAGTGAATGAGCTGGATTCAGATCCAGATTTTGGTGTTTTTGTGAAATGAGACTCTAACAGTACAGTACTGTTCTTGAACAGTCTGTAGCCCATCTGTGTGATGTACCACTGGGGTGTTCTGCTGATAACTTTCCCTAAGGAGCTGTGTCATCAGCCAGAGGTTAACAGGGTTTTAAATATAAACGCTCCCAAGCCGTCAGGTCCCAGCTCTCTGGGTGTGTTTGCTGACTGTCCCGGTCCCTGAGTGAACACGAGCAGAGGAGACTTTGTCCACGGTTAGCACTTATTTACACGACTGTAAATACAATCAGGAGCCTGTTTTAGCAGCCAGTCTTCCCCCATGTGATTCTGCCGGCTGTCTCTTAGATGCAATAAAATGCACAACATGAATTCCCAGATGTCGTTCGACCTGACACCTATTCTCCCTGTATCACTTCAAATTTAATGGATTTAATGAGGAAAAGGTTTTATATTTGTTGATTTCTTTATTTGGTGATGAAATCTTCATTTAGACGCCCTTGTCCTTACTTTTTTCCAGAACCTGAAGAAATCTGCTTAACGGATAAAATGTCAATGTCTTTATAGTCAAAGGCTGAGCAGACTCTATGAATCACACACAGACTTTTTCATCTTTCTTGCGTTTGTCCTCGTGTCCCTTTCCCAAATCCTGCTGAGTCACCCTGCAGCCTGTCCCACAACAATAAACTCGTCTCACATTAATGACACACCGCCGTGCACCTGTTGTCATGGCAGTGCCGTTGAAGCTTAACCCATTTATCTGAGTACATGCTGCATCTCCTCAAAGTACACTAAATGTGGGCTCTCTGGAAAAATCTAGAGACTCTTGCAGCTTCTTCCTGTCCGCTCACACTGACTGCAGAAAATCAGATCAGTGTGAATTGCTGGAAACAGATTGGAGAGGGGGACACTGTCAGCAAGTATGAATGGAGCTTCAATTATCAGTCAGGGTGACCCCAGCCTGAAGGTAACTGAAGTGGGCTTGTGACTTAAAGTCCTGAGACCAGTAGCAGAGAGTTTTAAGAAGTTAAAAACCTCTGTGTCTACTGTATGAATGTTTACAGTCGTGTTATTTCTGGGAGCTTCCCTTGACAGAAGTAAGAGGCAGAGGAGACAGTGGAAGAATCCTGGTGGAGGTGGACTAAGCCATCTAGGTTTCCTCCTCCTCCTCCTCCTCCTCCTCCTCCTCCTCCTCCTTCTTCTTCTCTAGAGGAGATAATCCAGTAGTCCATTTAGTTGGAGGTAATTGGATCCCGTCCCGTCCAATGAGCTCTCCGCCACAGTCCTTTTCGTGTCTTGGTTTGCTATAGCTGATCCCTCCTTTCGGCCAGCATGGATTAAAACGGGTTCATTCAAATTTTCTACCCATGTAATCCTTCTGAAAAAAATATTCATGAGAGAAAAACAGGTCCATAATGCAATGCATCTACAAGACTTTATTTGGGAGGGATTATTTTTTGATTTATTTGATAGAGTACAGCGGAGAATCAGAGAGGAGGTGTGAGGACAGTGAGAGAGAAAGAAAGTGGGAGGATGTGTCTAACCAGGACATTATGATGGCAAAGTAAGCTTCTAAGGCGTCATTCAGACTGGAAGGCTAAAGTGGGCAGAGATGTGAATGTTTGTACTCACATGTGACTCAGGAAACACTGATCACATGGAGTCTGATCCTCCCAACCCTAAATTTGACCTCTGTCATATGAGGCATCAATCTGGGAAAAGAGTGATTTCCACTTTGGCTTCAGTCGTGTTAGCGTCACTTTGGGTCAACATTCATCACAACTTTGCAATAAAGCGTCATAGTTAGAGTGATAGTCATTTTGAGCATGTGAGTAGGCTCAGTGTAGTTCAAGACTTCAATATTGTTGGATTAAGGCAAAACTTGTCTAAACATTAAAGGGATATTCCGACGTAAAATTAATTTAGGGTCAAACACAACGTAACACTGAGTTAGACACCCCCCCCCCAAGAGATGAATGTTGCCGACTGCTTGCTTCTCTAGTTATACCAACTTTAGTAGCGACTGCAGGGGGAGCCCTGACGAGTCGATCACCGAGTGCAGCGGATCATTTCCTTGAAGTAATAATCATCATAATAATCATTTTGCACTGCAGACGCGGTAGTTCTTCTGCCTCAACGTCTCGGTCTGATTGCATTTCCTTAAAAAAACAATCATAAATTTTCTTCCTTGAGCTGTGAAACTCTGCTGCACTTGAAATCAACTCATCAGGGCTCCCCCCACAAACAAGTGGCTGCTGGAGGAGAGTGGGTGAGTTGTGTTTGGTCTCTTTGCTAAAGAAATCAGGTGAAGTTAAAAAGATGTTTGGTGGCTAGTACTATGGCTGGGACCCTATATGTTGATGTACATCGACTACTATAGAGTGGCGTTTTGGTTGAGGTTTGCACGTGGAGACATAGACCGCTGTGTATTGCTATTGTGCGGTCGTTACTAAAGTTGGTATAACTAGAGAAGCAAGCAGTCGGCAACATTCATCTCTGGTAGGGGTGTGTAACTCAGAGTTACGGTGTGTTTGACCCTAACTTAATTTTACGCCGGAATATCCCTTTAAGAGCCTGTGTCCACTGACTGCGAACTCTTTACATTAAACTATTAGAGTTAATCATTTCAGGATTCTGGGTCCAGTTTCATGTGTGGATATTTTAAGTTAAGAAGAAGTTAAACACAGATTCCTGTCGTATAAAGAGATTATCGAACCAAACCACCCATTCTATTATCTTCATGGTTACCTTTGCTTCTTTGCTTCCCTGACCTCCATATTTTCGTCTTTAGAGGCTTTCACTTTCCTCCATACATCCACATGTCATCTTTTGGGAGTCTTAAGTGCATCCTCTCATCGTGTTCTCTTCACTCGTCTTTCCTCGGGGAGTCTGAACACAGCACTCACCACGGCTAAACAAGAAACTTATTTTTTTCATCCTTTCATTCCACTAATGTTTTGTCTTGTTTCTCTCCATCTTAAGCTCCTCTTCTCCTGTGTTTTATCTCGACCCCTTTCCTTTAATATAAGTAATTCTATTAACATCTCAAACCTCTCCAGCTTTTGCTCTTTTCAACTTTATTTGATCAATCCCAAAGGGCCTGTCGGACTGTTTCATCTCTTTTCTTTCTGTCTCCAGTCCTCAATCAGTCTTTGATTTTTAATTCTGCTTTTAATTGTCTCCATGTCTCTCTCAGGTGGAGACACATCATCCTCTTCTACTGGCAGTGCCTCTCCGGTGCCCAACAGCTATGATTCCCTGGAAGGAGGCAACTTTCCGGGTATGAAATAATCACAGATAACTACAGATTTCACTAAGATGTTGTCGCATTGATAAAGATAGCGGACAAGAGGTTGTCAAAGTCTTTAAAACTTCAAAATGATCCAATATCTGTTGTTTTTGTATTTGATCGCATTGACAGTAAGGCTCGTGTGACACATAATTTGGAGCTGAGGCCAGGCAGAGAGAGGGGGCTGCAGTGGTCGATTAACATCGAGATAAAGTGAAGAGCGAATGTCAGAAATGACGGCTTACTTCCTGACAGTTTCACACCAGTTATGCTTTAAAAGTCAAACACACCTGCAGTAAAGCACAAGGAGGGGGCCGGATTTGGTTTGCTTGCAGCTGAAGTCCTGCTTCTTCCTGCCTGCTGTGTGTCAGGCTGCCCTGGTACAGTTCCACCAACCAAAGGGCCATGTTTGCTTCAGTACAGTGTGGTCCTGTTTGGTATGGTAGACCCTGATCCACAGCAGACTGTGCATCACCCAGACACTTCATGCAGGAAGCGCGTTGGCTGCGTGGCAGCCTTGAATGGCTTAACTTTTGGCGTGCATGGTAGCAGATTGGACCGCCGAGGTGAGAAGGGCACCTCATCCGATTTAATTTTTTTTTTCCACAAGCCACGCAGATTTCAGCCAAAACTCCACATAAATAATAAACTGAGGGCTGTATTCACTCTGTGCCAGCCATGAAAAATATACTACGATTGTATTCCCACTATTTTTTCTTCTCCTCTTGTTTTCACACAACCTCTTATTCTGAAGTCTTGTCCTGGACAGTCTTTTATTCAAGCATCTGAACTTTTGTTGGAAAAAGTTTTAATTAATTAAATCACACTGGCTGTAGGTGAACGATGTTGGTCACTTAACAACATAGGAAATAAGTAAGACAGTAGATATATCAAATCAAATCAGGTTAATAGAGATGTAATTCAGTGTTATCTCTCATTTTCACCCCTTTAGTCTGCAGATTTCTTTAACATTAACTCTGTTTTTCAGACTCCATGCCCTCCTCTAACGACATGACCAACCAGGCTGCGTCCTACGGTAGCTATGGTTACTCCAGCATGCAGCCAGCCTATCACCAGGGGCCTGCCTCCCATGCTGACTCCTCCCCCTCTCATGATCCGTACGGACAGTCCAGTTACCAGCAGTATTCCCAGGTGAGGTCGCAGCCTTCATGAACCTGACTCTGAATGTTTTGATGTTTTTGTTTTTCTGTTTGCTGGATCCCTGGATTTCTCACCTGAGTTTAAAAAGTGCAGGGGGAGACATCTTGAGCATATCAGTTGAAATATATAGTTTCACTCTTCTAAAAACTGTAAAATCACATTAAAAAGGTCTGCCACTAATCATTTAATAACTGCTGATCAAATTGCAGTCAGCCCTGATCCTTATATTTTCAGTACGGCTGTGACTAACGCTCATATCTGAAATCCTCAACCTGTCTGTCTGTCTGGCTGCTGCAGCTGCTTTCTTGCTTCGTAGTTAAACCGCTCCTGATTTATCACAGGAATAAAACCGGTTATGTCTCCCTTCTCTCTCTACAGCCGTTTCCAAACCTTTCCCAGCTGTCTGCGGCTCTGGGGGGGCTGAGTGGGGTACCTGAGCTCGAGGTAGAGGCCCTGAGGCCGGTCAACCTGCTGCAGGAGAGAAACCTGCTGCCACCCAGACCCTTAGAAGCCCCCGAACCGAACCTCAGTCCCGAGCTGAAGAAAGTCAACTGCAGCCCACAGTGAGTAAAGAGCAGACAGTTCATTATGTAACTCTTTTTAACCACCTTATTTTTAACATTTTCTGAGTTATTTCGAAATGTAGAGTGAGCGATGTGGAAAGGTGTGAAAGATAACTGTGTTTCCAAGGTGTGAAAATCTCTCTGGTTTGAAAATACCTCTATTTATGATGATATTTCAAGATTTGGTTCATTTTTAGAATCTTTTTCGCTCACACTAAATTTCTCAAGTTTTCTGTCTGTGAAATAATTCTTATGTTTTCTTGTTCATCAGGACCTTCAGGTGCACCCTGTCCAGCATCCCACAGACCCAGGCTTTACTCAACAAGGCCAGGCTCCCCCTGGGCCTTCTCCTCCACCCCTTCAGAGACCTCCAGGTAAGATCTGCTGCCACAAAACTAGAAAAGAAAGTGGGATATCTGGACATCAACTTTTTTAAACTTGTGCCCAGTGATTTTTCTTTGTTAAATACTCTCTGGTACAGTCTCATAGATGAATTAGATTAGGATATGTTAAGATAATCTGGATGTATTTCTCTTTATCTTCTACAGCTGAAAGATCTTTGGGGACGCGACCAGGCGCAAATATATTTTAATTTAAATTTGATTCTTCTAGACTGAGGGGAAAAAAAAACATAATTAAAACATTTCTATTTCAAAAAAGCTGAGGCTGCCACAAAAACAAAAGATTTTAATTTAAATTGTCCACCATTGTTTTGAAATTTGTCCAAATATTGTGCTACTTGGTGTTTTTGTTGCCGTCACACTGTAATAAAAGGCCTTCAGTGGAGGCTGCTTCTCCTGGAAATGCTTCCCCTTTAAAGTCTCTCACCTGTTTGACATTTTCTGAACAGACCTCTGAAGGTTATGTTCCTTAAAAATACTCCAGACCTGTGCAGAGAAGACTGTAACCATTCAGGGGAGCAGCCAATAGTCAGGTCTATACCCATCAAGCCTGCAGGATTTGGTCCACCATTAAATAAGTCTGTCAGGATACTGAATATTTAGGATCCTGGAGCCACAGCTGTCTCTGCCCTTCGCTCTCTCACATAAATTTAACATGTATCTTCGTTAGACGTCCATAGGGACTTTATAAAACACTGACCCATGAATGACAACAGTTTGGGTGTTATGTGGGCTTGATGGAGAGCCCACACAACACCTCTGTTTTGCTCCCAGCAGCTCTAGGTTGAAAATATGACTATAGATCTTGTTTTTCGTGAGCTTTGAGTCTTTTAAATCCCAGAAAACGTACAAATATTGTGTCAATTTAAAGCAGTAAAACACATTTTCAACCTGAGCAGTGATGTTCAGTTCATACCGTCTTTGAAGTGTTTGTGAAAAGCCGCAGCAGTGAGAGCGTGAATGTCAGGAGGAGGGATGTGATTGTGGGCGTATTAATAGAAGTGTTGGCTGATTTGCCAGAAGGCATGAACTGATAAAGTAGAGGGATGCACTGATACCACAGGAGAAAGCAGCGAAACGATGGTGATGTGGAAGGATTCAGTGGTAGACAGGAAAAGGTAGGTTATGGTTCGATTTATAAAAACACGGTACAGCAGAGTTATTGGACTGACGCTGAAAAGTGGAGCCGCAATCTTTGGTGGCTAAAATGCACATTTAATTTTCTGCTGTCATATGAAATGCCTGAAACTAGGGCTGGGCGATAAATGGAAAATTTACTGATACCAAAATTTACGACAATAACCAATGTCATTTTGCGGTTCAAAAGTTGTAGCGGCTGAAGTAGATGTGGAGTAGTTATCGTCCATTTATCGTTATCAAGGTGAACTGATCAATATATTGTGATATTGATATGTGGCCATATCGCCCAGCCCTACCTGAAACTCAACAGCTGCAGGTTTAGCAATTTTCACTCTGTACTTATTTATGAGACATCTGCTCTTTAGCACAAAACTCAAGCTGGGTTCACCTTTTTGTCTTGTAAGCTTTTGCGTGAATGTTTGGTTAAAGAGAAATATTCAACAGAACAGAGTATGTGTTAGAAATCATGTATATGAAAACATTAGAGCTCTCAGGTACACCAACAGGAGAAGTCTTTGAGGAACTGTGACAGAAACAGGAAGGACAGGGACTCTGAAATGGGTCAAACAAAGATTACAGTTGCATAGATTTTCTCATCCAGATTCTCCAAGAGACAGAAACAGAGCGTCAGCTATTCAGCCGAGACATGAATAGAGGAATCTTTGAAAAGGTCACGGCTGGAAAATTGAGGCGAGGGAGGAAAACTTGGCTCGATATGTTACAAGTACAGCCCACGAGATCATTTCTTCTCTCTTTCTTTTGTTTTTTTTACTGAATTTCTTTCCCTATTTTCTCTCTGTCTCCCTCTGCAGCAGCTACCGGTGATCACGTCAAACACGATCGTGCGCTGCCGCTCCTGTCGCACCTACATCAACCCGTTTGTCACCTTCTTGGACCAGCGCAGGTGGAAGTGCAACCTCTGCTACAGAGTCAACGATGGTGAGAGTCCAATCAGGAGTCAAAAAGGATGCCTCTGGTTCCACTTAGTCTCCAGGTTTTACACCTTTTGTTTTTCTTACTTGTTCAGTTCCAGATGAGTTCATGTATAACCCGGTCACACGGTTGTATGGCGAGCCACATAGAAGACCAGAGGTCCAAAACGCCACAGTGGAGTTCATCGCCTCGTCAGACTACATGGTAAATATTCCTCTTTTTCTTATATTTTAAGTTGGATGAACATTTTGTCCACTAGAGGGCAGTCTTGTTTGATGTGTATTGTCTTTGATTTGCCAGATAAAAGAAAAAATCAACATGTAGACAAAAACTCTTTAAATTAAACGGATAAAACACAGATTTGCATCAGTCTATGTTGTTTCTCTTGTGTGTCCAGTTGCGGCCCCCTCAGCCGGCAGCATACCTGTTTGTTCTGGATGTTTCTCACAATGCTGTGGAGGCAGGTTACCTGAAGTACTTCTGTGATTCACTGATGGAGAACCTGGACAGGTGAGGGATTGATAAGTAGTAAAAGCCAGAACTGTTATTTTGACTCATTTCCTTTTTAAGTTTTTCAACTATGTGGTTCTCGTTTTGTTTTTGCCTCAGGTTACCCGGGGATTCCCGCACCAGGGTGGGCTTTCTGACCTTCGACAACACAATCCACTTCTACAACCTGCAGGAGGGGCTGTCTCAGCCGCAGATGCTGGTGGTGTCAGATATAGACGGTACGTCTGAGCGCTGGATCTTTGTCTTTGGTCTCAGCTGAAGTCTGGTCAACATGAGTCTGGTTCTGCTCGAGGTTTTGGCTTCTAAAAAAAGAAGTTCTTCCCTGCTGCTGTAGTTTACTTACAGAAGATTGAATCCCGTTTTTGTAAACCATACAGTCATTTTTGTAAAGCATCCTAAAATAACATTTGTTGTGAATTAGCCTCATGTAAATGATCCTGATTGATAAAGGGATTTTTTCTCTGTAAACAGTAGGTGGCAGCATTGTTTAAAAAAACTTCAGTGAGTCCTGTTTCAGCCTGTCCACCAGAAAACTGTATTAAAATTTGCAGATAGTTTTAAGAACTATGAACTAGAAGATGAGGTGAATCAGCTTTAGCTTCAGCTTGGGCGCAAAAAGAAGGAAAAAAAGGTCTAAAAATGAGAGCTAACATATTTTTACAACAGATCTTACCTCCAAGTGTATTTTAGATAACCTGATCCGTCTCCAGCTGTGTTATATCTCCAATCCAAGAGACTCTGTGTCATCATCATACAGCCCTCAGTCCTGACGGATGTCTTATGTGTCTATTTTTTTACTTATTCAGAGAGGATAAAGCTAAATCTTTCCTTCTGTAAGGATTTCTTTATCATTATTCCTGTGATGCTTGAATTGTGCAGGTGCCAAACTGTAATTGTGCTCCGTTTCTTGTGTTTTTAATGAAATGATATGAAGATCTTCCAGCCGTAACTTTGATGAATGTTTTTTCTTTATGTTCCTAGACGTCTTCATACCGTCTCATGACAGCCTCATGGTGAACCTGAAAGAGAGCAAAGAGGTAAACTCTTCCTCCTCCTCCTCCTCTTCACATCACGCCTTCAGCCTCTTATCCTTTCCTCTTATTTCCATCAATCTGAATTTAATTTCTTTGTCTCTTCAGCTGGTGAAGGACCTGTTAACGTCTCTGCCGGCTATGTTCAGCCAGAGCAGAGAGACCCACAGCGCCCTCGGCCCGGCTTTACAAGCTGCCTTCAAGCTCATGTCGCCCACAGGGGGCCGCGTGTCCGTGTTTCAGACACAGCTGCCGACACTGGGGGCTGGTGCGCTGCAGTCGAGGGAAGACCCCAACCAGCGCTCCAGCAGTAAGGTGAGGAAGGAGAAGATTTGCAATTCAGGCACTTTGGGTAGCGGTTTTATTTTTCAGAAACGTTTTACCATCTTTAACAAAATCAAGAACCAACTTTTCATATTTCATATCAGTTGGATCCTTCGTGATAGCTGTCGTTAAGTTCCCTGTGATTTATGAAGCTTAAACCAAACCATATGACAGATGATATAAAGCCAACAAATAACTCTCCCCCGCCCCTCATCCACTAGATTTATACTGATTGTTTTGGCGTCGTATCTCTCAGCTTACAAAGCTGTGTATTTGTCATCCCAGGTCTGTGATTTATGGATCTTGATCTTCTCTGGTCTATTTTTGACCTGAACAAACTGGCGGGGATGTCCAAAAAAAATGTGTAAAAATAAAGCAAACGGAGAACAGATGTACTTTCTTCTCCGTGAGCATGATTTTGTGTTTTTAGCTTCTGAGCTTTCTGGAGGATTTTGGGCTGGAGATGATAGAGAATATACTTCTGACAGACCCATCTATGAACAGATCACTCCTTGAACAGCCGGCCTACAGTACTCTCAGTCTGCGTCCTTACCACATCATAAATCATATTGTTGCCACTTAAGTTAAAAAAAAAAATGCAGCCAGAGTATCCAATAACACAGGAAGCTTTAGGGAAGGTAATACCACATAAACATGTCTGCTTCCTTATTTTCACAGGGAGTTCAGCACCTCGGCCCGGCCACAGACTTCTATAAGAAACTGGCGCTGGACTGCTCGGGTCAACAGATCGGGGTTGATCTCTTCCTGCTCAGCTCCCAGTATGCTGACCTCGCCTCAATATGTAAGTAGCCCTGAGTCATTGGGTAGAGTTCAAGAGGTCAAACCAAAAACAATAAACTGAGAGGCCGTGGGTGGACTGTATCAGAGGAATCCATTAAAAGAAGTCTTTAGAGAATCAGCAGAGACTTTGGGGTTAATGAAGACAAAGATTCACAGCTATGAGGTTCCTCGTTCTTTATACAAAACCAGCAGTTTTACAGCTCAGTTTCTTCACTGCGTTCACAGTTGTCTCTGTAGAGATCGATTCAACTTTTGGTACGCAAACATAGCTGTCTTTTTCACTCACAAAACTGTTGAAAAAAATGACCGCCATTGACCTGACTCTGAAATCACAGAACAAAATTGTCGAGCTGATGCAAAAATCACTGAAAGCTGATGACTTCAGACCTGACAAAACTGTGACCGCAGACTGAATGTGAAAATCCTCTTATATCTGATGACTGTGGACTAGATCTAGACCTTGACAGGAGCAGACTTGGCACAGAAATTATAGAAATCTGTTATGACTGCAGATTTGACTCAAAAATTCGAGGACCGTGGATCTGATGCGGAAACATCCGAGTCTGAGGATGTGAAATCCCATTTGATCTGAAGTATACAAAACAGACTTAGCACCTTCCACCAAGCATAAGTGAAGAAACACAAGACAACTTTGAAGCGCTTTGAAATTGAGGGTATGGCCTCTCTCAGTGCAAAAGATGACGTCAGTGGACACAGGCCCTAATAGTGAGCTCAGAATTAGAGCATAAAAACAAGTCTTGTGATAGTTTTGTAAAAGTTGGGCTTGGAGGACTGAAATTGACATTCATGCCTCAATATGACCCACCAAAGAAAACAAGACCATCAAGAACAAGATGAACGATTTCACTGAAGTTATTTAGCTCGAGTCAGACCGGGAAAGTTCTCACTCACTGCTCCAACAGCCTTCTTTCTACATTTTTCACAGCATCGGTTTACAGTAAGTGATGTTTTCAGTGTGTTGACATGTCACAAATGTTTGAAATGGAGTTCATTTGAAACAAATCAGCACAAAGTTCCTCATTTTTTCACGTGTGAGGATCTGCAGTAGGACTTCTACAGAAGTTAAAGAGCCACTTTGAGAAGTTTCTTTCCCCCGTTTCCATAAGTGGGAATAAAGGAGTAAGTTTCTTCTTCTTTCTTTTTCAGCATGTATCTCCAAGTATTCAGCGGGCAGCATCTTTTACTACCCCTCCTTCCATTACATCCACAACCCGGCTCAGTTAGAGAAGTTCCAGAAAGATCTGGAGCGATACCTCACCAGGAAGATCGGCTTTGAGGCGGTCATGAGGATACGATGCACTAAAGGTAAGTGGGTCGCCGCAGTCGGACTCACAAAGACGCTCTGTGTTCATGCTGAGTGTCGAAGTTTCTCTTCTGTGTTTGTTTTTTTAAAGGATTTTTTTCTAACATGTGCGCTCGCCCTCAGGTTTATCCATCCACACCTTCCACGGTAACTTCTTTGTGCGATCTACTGACCTTCTGTCCCTGGCTAATGTGAACCCAGACTCTGCCTTCGCTGTCCAGATGTCAATTGAAGACTCTCTGGCAGACTCGTCTCTGGCCTGCTTCCAGGCTGCTCTGCTTTACACCTCCAGTAAAGGTACACAAACAAACACCCACAATGTTTGTCATGTCGGGGAAATCTGTGCGGATCAGTGATCAGAGACTGTCAACGTTTCCTTAAGTCCTGGGAAAGAGCCTGCCGTCTTTTTAGGCTTTCCCCTGTTTTTTTGTATTTGACGCAGTGTTATTTTGAAGCAAGACTCCTAAAACGTGTGAACTCTTTTGTTAGATTTCTTCAAATAAACGAAGGGTTCGAGTTGTACAATAAAAGGACTGTCTTCAGAGCACAAACAGTGTCAGCAGATCAAAATGTCTTGAGGCAAATTTTTGCCGACCTGCTTTTATCCTTGAAAACGTGTTTCCTTCGTACAACCCTGTGATGATTGGAGTTTGAACTTGCGCTCCTCTGTTCACCTCTGTAGGAAAAAGGCGAATTCGAGTCCACACTTTGTGTCTGCCGGTCGTCAACCAGCTGAGCGACGTGTACGCTGGAGCTGATGTCCAGGCCGTCACCTGTTTATTAGCCAACATGGGTGAGTCTCGGCGAAGATACTATTTACAGGGTTCCTATACTTGAATTTCCATACTTTTCCATACCCTCATTTTTAGAATGACTTTTAGAAGAATACCTTCATTTAGATTTTAGAAAATAGTATTTTAGATCTGTGGTGATAGTCTGGAAACATAAATATTTTTCCATACTTTATTTTTCATTTTCCAAAGACCTGGAAATTGATCAAATTTATTCCCATACGTTTCATACTTGCATAGGAACCCTGAGATTTGATGCTTTTTTTCATACTTCTGCTTTTCAGATCCACAAATTTGTCCTTCATATCTTGAGGGTAACACTTTGCTAGACACCTATCTTTATAACACATTATAAATATATGTATAATGCGTTATAATCATGTTAAAACACTGTATAACTATAGTAATAAACACTCATAAATGATCATAATGCTTTATATCAATATTAATAACACATTATAAAGCATTTTATCATGACTTACAAGGTCAAGTATTATAATAAATGTGTTATAACTGTTAACAACAGCTGCATTGCATTATCTATGTGGGCATTATCAGTGAGTTGTTAACAGTTATAACACATTATAATACCTGACCTTGTAAGTCATGATAAAATGCTTTATAATGTGTTATGATTATTGCTGTAAAGCATTATGATCATTTATAACTATAGTTATACAGTGTTATAACATGATTATAAAGCATTATACATACATTTATACTGCTTTATAGAGATAGGCGTCAAGTAAAGTGTTACCCTTGAGTTTTGTAAACTTTTTTAAATTCATTTGAATTGAATGTGGTTGATACAGGCAAAACGATTGAAATGACTTTTGTGTTTTACTCAATAGAAAGTCTGTCTTTGCATGATGAGCAGTAAGTGTAACCGTAGATATGACCTCCTGTCTGGATTTCTCTATGACCTCTAACCTATCCTCTTCGGTTTCCAGCGATTGACCGGTCGATAACGTCCAGTCTGTCTGATGCCCGGGACGCCCTGGTGAACGCTGTGGTGGATTTGGTCAGCGCCTACAAGAGCAACGTCTCAAACCTGCTGCAGTCCGGCCTGGTCGTCCCCGCTGCTATGCGCCTCTTTCCCGTTTTCATCCTCGCTCTGCTGAAACAGGTGTGGCTCAGCGCGTGACACACACTCCCAGGAACACTCATTAATCCACTCCCACAGCAGTCTTACACATCCTTAGACTCCTTCAACTCCTTTTACACCGACTCTACCCTCCCCTCCCGCTCTTTGTATTCTCAAAGACTGTATTCATCCACCCAGGACTCGTTTATTCATTCATTCATTCATTCATCCAGGGTGTGTCCACCTCTGAACACAGTCTCGTGCCTGCACATATTCTAGGAAATATAACGCCTTAGGTCCGGTCACGTCGGGGCACACCTCTAACACTGAAACTCAGTTCAAGTTTTATCCCAAACAAAGAGGGTTACAGTTCAAGCTGATCGTTGTTTGAGTTCAACTTCCTCTGATGTTACTTAAGGATATTTTAACAGGCTGAAATCATCCTTAGGATAATATTTTCTCTGGTGATCAGAGACTCTAAATGAGATTTAATCTTAACCTCATGATTGTCTACTGTGGAGCGTCTCAGTTGATATATCGCTATAAGGTTACAAACTGAAATGGAAAAACCAGAATCAATAAAGTCAGAGTCACTCACAAACCCGTGTCGTATATTTCCTTTCAGAAAGCGCTGCGGACAGGCACCAGCACACGCCTGGACGAGCGCGTCTTCGCCATGTGTGAGTTCAAGACGCAGCCGCTCCAGCAGCTGATGAGGATGGTTCACCCCGACCTGTACCGGCTGGACAACATGTCTGACCAGGTATGACAAAACCAGGTCAGAGCGAACGTTTAGAGTTCAGACAGAGGAGTGAGAGTAAAATAAAAACACGGTGCTTCTTTATATTGTAGTGATTTTAGTATTTACATGCAGCTACCAAACATGACATGAATGAATACACTTCTCTGTGTCTCTCACTTCTTCAGGGGGCTCTTCATCTAAATGACACCGTCGTCCCTCAGCCCCACCTGCTCCACCTGTCCGCTGAGAGAGTGAGCAGAGACGGGGCTTTCCTCATGGACTGCGGCACCGTAAGCTTTCTCTGTTATCTTAGTCAGCACACTCAGAGTGTTACAGGGTGAAAGTTTACTCCTCCTGATTTGTGTTTAAAGTTCATCTCGTTTGCCTTCATAATCGTAGGTGATCAGAAACCTTTGAGTCGATTTCAGGTCTGTGAGAAGTCTTCATAAACAACACAGTCCGAACCTTTTATGGTACTTTATTTGGTCAGTATGGGATCAGTATCACCTGTGAATAACTCCCTTATGTCAGTGTGTGGTCAAAGTTTGTAATTTACTAGAATAAACTGACATTTCTGACTCTCTTTAAGATGATTTCCACACAGCAAAAAGAAGTTGATGTCAAACAGTTTTTCCAAGATATCAAACCCCTCACCTCCCCTGCTGATTGATATTAATACTGTTAATGCTAAAAAGGTTTTTACCCCACTTAGAAAGATCGATTTATTGACCACATGCTGCAGAGGATTTTCTCCACCTCATCTGGATCTTTGGTTGGATTTAAGTTCGCTGTTTCTGCACACAGGTCTTCATGTTACAATCTTCAGGGTTTCTACTAGGTATTAAAATATCTAAAATTCTGTGAAAACCTCATAAAATGTCTTAAATACAAATTTAAAAGGTCTTAAAAATTCATCTATGTTACTGATTTGGAGTTAGTGTAAAATGTTTAGATTTCCCTTCATGTCTTTTGTACATTTTCACCAGTATGGATGTAAAATGGATCTTAAATTTTATTCATTATGGTCTTAAAAAAGTCTTAAAAAGTCTTAAATTTGACTCGCTGAAACCTGCAGAAACCCAGAGTCTTATGATGCGGCTGATTTTGCACCTAAAATGCTGCATCAAACGCTCTAAACCTCCAAGACCAAAGAAAGGCAGAATGAGACTCTCCCTCCTGCCCCACGGTGCTCACATGCAAATTTGTGTTAATTTTAATGTTATAAAAGGATCTCTATGAAGTGATTCACCTTTTAAGTGAAACTGTTCAAAGTTCAGACATGATCGATTTGCACAGAATTAAATCACAGACGTCCTCCACAGTTTTTACAGATACTTCTGCTGTACACACAGGCTGTAAGATACCAGTCTGATAATAATCTGCTCTTTATTTTTGTGTTCCACTGTGTTTTTGTCCGTACAGGTGTTTTACCTGTGGGTCGGCAAATGCTGCAATGAGATGTTCATCCGAGACGTTCTGGGCTACCCCAACTACGCCTCGATCCCCCCCAACATGGTCAGTAAGAGGAGCTCTGAAACCGAACCTAATGAAATCAGCTGAGTCAAATGTCCATCGTTTAAGAGAAACAGATGAGAGTTAAAACAACAAGAGGTTTCATCTACATATAAGAAAATAACAGAGAGTAAATGTGGTTATGGAAATGCTGGGTTTGTTTTTCCATTATTGCATAAATACCACCACCCAGTCGGCTCATGAATGATGCAACGCAGAAAATGAGTCACAGATTTAATAAAAAGACTTCTGCTTTTTTCTCTCACTCATACAGCAGAACCGATTCTGCTGGTCTAGCTTTTCTGCATTTTTAACAACCTGTGCTGTTACCTAGAAAGCTCTGTCATGACCACAGCGCGGGCGTGAGGGTGACACCCAGAACAAACAGCAGCCGTCAGCGCTTGTTTATACTGCTTATTGTATTTTTCTAGAAAGGGGTTGATGTAACCCAGAGCCACCTCTGAAGCCGACACTCCTAACCACACAGGCATATTTCTGTTCACCACATTGTGTAGGCGAGATGTGGATCTGCATTATCTGAAGCACACGGTGGTGAAAAACAATGATGTTGATGTTTGTCTTCCTCTCTATGAATCCCAGAGTCACATTCCTGAGCTGGAGACGACTCTGTCGGAGAGAGTGCGAGCGCTCCTCGACTGGCTGCAGGACAACAGAGCCTTCTGCTCCACGATACACGTCGTCAAGTAAGCACAGCAACACATCTGGATACACATCTGACTTTTACTAACACTCTCAGGCTCCAGACATCTCCTGAAATCCACATGCAGAGAGCGTCTGTCTTTTCTCATCTTAAAGTCCGATCACATGTTTTAATGGTGGCCTGATATCACCTGCAACAACACGAGTTTCACTTCCTCAGACGTCAAATATAGGAATTAAATCAGACTTTATCATCTTCTGCTGCTGTCACCCCTCGGTGGGATCTGTAGAGGGTATCTCTTCTGTAAAAGGCCGAGATGAGAAAACATGACAAACTTCTAGGTTGGTGTTTATTTTCGTGTCTTTCCCCGGTGCTCAGAAAGCCACACAATACCCGGTTTGTTCTTCACACAACCCAAAAAAGCTGTAAAAACAAGCTGACTGTCAAGTGATGCTGCCAAGTTACCAAAATATGGATCGTAAAAATACGCTGTATGTATTTTCATTCGCTGAAAGTGTTCGGAAAAACAGCGAAAAGTCACAGATTACAGCCTTTGGAGTCAAAGGTCAAAGACAGCTGTGGTCGTTCCTCTGAGGCAGGAAGGTTTCAGGCTAATATGACAATATTAAAAAAAATGGATTCAATGTTCAAGTCCGAGTTACTCAGAGCACTCTTGTTACACATTTGTAGCCTTGTGTTGTCAAGCTCAGATACACCAGACCAATCATAGTCCGTTATTTAGAAGTGGGACCAGTAAAAAGAGAAGACAGGACCAGTACTCAGCTGTTCCCTAAACCACCACACAGCATCTCCTGCTGCTTGGAGGTCCATTAAACTGATTTAATCTAACAACTACACTTACAGTATAATTATCAGTATTTGAGATTTGGGTGATGGTTGGAGGACCTGAGGAGCTTTACCATGTCTCCCTTTTTGCTAATTAAAATGGGGGGGTCCGATTACCGATTTAAATTTTGTATTTAGTAAAAAAAATATCTACAGTATACTATATACTGTTGATATACTGTAGGCTACTGCTGCTCTTCATGCCGACAGGACGACCGACTGATCAAACTTGGACCAGAAAATCGAAGATCGGTTCCTCTGAATCTTAACTCACTTTACTTATTTCTGGTCAGGTCGCTGCGCCATCTACTGGATAAGTCGGGGAACTTTTCAAATGGTGGAACATTTTCGAATGGATCAGAATCTTCCGATCGACATGTTAACATGATGCACTTTTATTCCAACTATTTGTGCGCATGTAAACATGGCTAGTGTCAGTAATGAGATGTGGGCGGATCCACTGCCCACAATCAATTCGCTGAGACTCACTACCGCCCTCTACTGGTCACTCATGGCCTTAAATTGAGGAGTCTGCTCTACCAAACCAACACCCCACCCTGTCTTTTTACTTAACAGTCTACCACCGTTTTTCCAAACATCGTCGTCCCCCTCATTAAAAACAGAAACAGGGTGTGACAGGTTTCAGAGTAGAGAGGAATCTGAGGTTGACTGAAAAACATTCCCACTGTAAACACGTAGTAAGCAGTGAGGTCACTGATTGACAGCGGTGGCACAGACTTCCACAGGGAGCTCATTGTTTCGGCTTCCTGTCTTTCCTCCTCTGTGGAGCGGCATTGTTACTCAAGCGCATGTTTACATCAGTGTTGCGGCAGAGGACAGCTGATGTCAGGGCTCATAGACTGAGAGGCAGCTCAGTGGATGTTTTGAATCACTCTGACGGACGATAACATATGTGAAAAACCGGAGGAGGTTTTATTCCAGAAGTTTGACTCACCGCTTTTCTTAGATTTTCAATATGAGTCATTTTTAAGTCAGTGAGAGTCTTTAGTTTTGAATTAGACGGAAATACCAGACATTTTACATCTTTACATCATCAAGGAATTTAAGGTTTTTTCTGATACAATCAATGACTTAAAAAAATGAGATTTCTAGTGTAAATTCATAGTTTAACAAGAAAAGTGAGAAATTATAAGAATAGTTTCAAAATATTACCCCAAAAAAAGTCCATTAACTAAAAAACAAAACTAATTTTACAAGAATAAAGTTTGTGGGAAAAAGGTAAATATCTTTGAGACCTGTGAGAGGAAAAATAAGTTGTAAGAAGAACTAGAAAAGTTGTAAATTTGTGATTTTACGAGAATCAAGTCTTTAAAATAATGTCTCAAAGTACAGAGAAAAAGAGGAGCACATTTAGGAGAAGTAAAACAAAGATTTCCTGAGAATTAAGTTGTGAATTCGTCATGAAACTGATATTTTAAGAAGAGGAAGTTGTATTTAAAAGTCATGATTCATCTTAATGTAAAATAATATATGTGAGGATTTCAAAAGAGCAGCCAGCGCTAAAATCTGGTGAAGTTATACTCATCAGCTGAGGACAAAGAGAGACCAGAAATATGATTATTTTAACATAAATGAACAAATTAAATCTCAAAATCTTTTTTTTTTCTTTCTGTTATCTTGTACTTTTTGTAATACTTCCTGTTTGGACCGTCGTGGTAAAAACTAAACGGACTTAAAGTACATTTTAAGAAGATTTAACACCATTTTAGCACCACCATAGCACTGATTTTAAAGGAGCAGCTTCCCTCTTCTTGTTGTTGTGATAATAGAAACGGTCCCTCACTCTCATGTCTCTGTTTCTTCTCTGTCCTCCTGCAGGGACGACACGTCAGCCAAGGCCACCTTCTTTCAGCACATGGTGGAGGATCGATCAGAGTCGGCTTCGTCCTACCACGAGTTCCTGCAGCACGTTCAGCAGCAAATGTCCAAGTAGGCTCTTATCGCGCAGAGACAAACTCTGAGTCTTCGAAACCAGAGCGAGAAAAAGGATTTCAGTCTCGTAGAGTCAAACTAGCGTTAGTGGATGAACAGAGAAATCCTTTCAGTCTGTTTTTAACGGGGAGAGTTTCCTCCTCGCCGAGACAGATCCACCGTGAAAGCTCATCGCTCAGACGGGATTAAGGCATGAGAACGGGATGATTTAGAGAAGAATAATGAATTATAGAAAGAAGAACTAAATGAAGAATGAAGGATTTTTTCCCCCACATTGAAACAGTAATTGTAAACGCTCCTCGGCCTCTCGTTACATCATCGCTTCTGAGAAAACAAGAAGAGGAAAGTCGAGCCAAGAAGATGCCACTTTGACACGTTTTACTTTGATTCTTTTGTGAGCCTCACATGTAGCTAGTGCTGTCCTTTTTTTATTCCTATTATCGTTCTTTTCTAATTTATTCCCCTCGTTCTGCTCCTGCTGAATTGATTCAAGACTCTCTGAATACACTGGAGAACAGAAACAAGCATTCCTCCTCCTGTTGTTTTTTTGGCATGTGCTTTGAAGTACGAGTCGCATGTCACTGTTTAGTTCGCTGCTAGTCTGAGGGTAGACGACAACCACGAGTCTGTGTCTGTATCGGGAGCAAACTGTCAGCGGTGTGTGGATGTTCAAACTCCTCGTGTCGGCTCCCTCTCTCCTCCTCCTCCTCCTCCTCCTCTGTCATGTCTGATCATGATTTCTTGAATCCTCTCTGCTCCCAAACTCTCAGAAATCTTGTCATTTGTTTTACTTTTTCCAGGCGCTAACTGAAGTTGCTATCCACTTTGTAACTACTGAAAAGAATCTTTTATGTGCGATAATTTATGAACCAGCTTATTAAATAAAAAACAAAAACAGATTTCTGCTTGTTTCATGTGACGCTGACGTCCGCACAGTTTCCATTCACAAACAAACTTTTCAGCCTCTTTCTTCTGAGGCTGATGTAACGTCCTTTCCTCTCTGATCTTGGACGCCTCATGACTTTCTTTCTCAGAACAATGACTGATCGCTTTCATGTTTCTGCATGTTTACATCACAGGTCGCCGTGTGGATGGATCACATGATTCCTACACGGCAGCCGTCCTTATCCTGCAACACGAAGTGACAGAAAAACCGCAAATTTGGTTTCGTTTGCAAAGTTGCTGCAAACAAACCAAATGGATGCATTTCTGTTTCGCAGCAGGGGTTTATTTTCTCAGTGTGTCGTGTTCTAGAAGTAGGGCTGGACGATAAACCCAAAATTTACAGATATATATTCGGTGTCAAAAAAGTAAGTAAATAAAAGTTTGTTTTGGATGTGTTTAGGTAGGCTGTGGTCTCAGCTCTGCTCCTGATCTCTGCTCTGAACTGTCAGTGGTTAGGATTAATAAAATCGGCCACATTTCTGGATAAACGGGCTGCTACATCTCGAGTGGGATAAATGCCGTCCCGACTAATCAGACCAGGCTCGCCCCGAAACGACTTCCAATTATCAATGCAGCCCACGCCGTTTTGCGGACACCACCTCGACAGCCAGCGGTTGAATGACAAGATACGGCGACACATCTCATCAGTTGTCTGATCGGGCAGAAGACCAGAGAAAACTACTGAGTCTGACATGGTTTTGGCGAATTTACACACTGTTCCAAAAACTCAGAACCAGGTCCTCGAGTTAACTTCATATCCTCCTCTAGAAATGAGTGAAAGCCACATCTCTTCTGATTTTCACTTATAGACCATTTAAGGAGAGAAAATCCCGCTAACCAACTCTAGAAACTCCACATGTGTGTCACTGATTTCATGCCAGCGGGAAAATAGTTTTAGATTCTTGTCGGTGTTTCATCTCCTGAAGGGCGGGAAGGGTCCCAAACGGCAGTAACACCACTGAGACTCCTAAAATATGCGTCCATATTTAAAGACGCCTTTTTATAAACGGGAAAATCTTATCAGCAAACACTAACGCAGTTTAATGGATGTAATTCAAAGTCTTTCTCACGCCTCTCCACACCATTTAAACTTCTAAATAATCGTTTTAGAGGCAGACTCATGTATGAGAACTGTTTTTTTTTTTTTTAAGTGAAGTGGGGCTTCTTAAGAAGGAGCTGTAAAATACTCCAGAACTAATCTTCTGTAGTAAACACACAAACAAGCGCTGAACTGCTCTCTGCTCCATTTGCAAACATATCTGGCTCCCATATGTTCGCTCTGCTGCTGTTCTCATGGAAAACTGCTCCCTCAAGTATTTCACCCGGTCACGTTCCCTGTGCCAGCTCTACAGACGGCAAACAGTTACAGGAAAAAGTTTTATTTCTACTTTTTTAGTTTGAAAAGGACAAAAACGTGTTAAAAATATGAGCGCAAGTGGAGAAAACATCCAAATGTAGACGGAGAAGAGGCGTTTTAGAGTTGGATTTTACATGATTTACACAAATCTTAACATCATTAGACTTGTTCTGCCTTCTCACACTCTCTCACACACTCTCACACACGTGCACGGACCATTACAAATCGAGCTCAGGGGTTTTCTCTGCAGCGTCAGTCCCTCAGCTCTCCCCCATGAGCCCCTCCTCTCTTTTTTTTTTTCACCCGACAAACAACAAGTGCGTGCTGTTCTGCTCTGTTCTGGCGGCTATATTTAAACTCCTCTGTTGACTGGTCCAACCCTCCACACACCCACTTCCAGCAGCTCGAACCCCACACCCCACCCTCCCCTCCCTTACACCCCGACTCACCCCTCACCCACCTCAGCCAAAACTCTGCTCCAAGTTTCCCTCCAACTACAGACCCTCTTTGATAAATCCAGGATCATGAAGTCAGTTTTCCCATCTGGCTGGACGTTCCCAAATGAGAAAATAACGAGCAGCTAATAAGAGAGGAAGCCAAAAAATGAACATATATGCCCGTACTGTATTATTTCTGATCTGTTTTTGGGTGTTTCTTTTACACTTTTCTTTTGTGAGGTTCATAAAAAGAGTGAAAACAAACTTTCCTGTAGCTGTAAGACTGAAACACTTGTGTAATATCCTGAATCTTTAACTGTTCGCCCCAACATTTTAAGTCATGGAAACATCTACACCTACTTTTACCTGCTGAAGAGTTTAAAAACCTTCTTTCTAAAGGGGTTTGTCAGATTGAGAGGGACTAAAATCTCAAAAACTCCCGTCAAATTAAAGATGAATATCTCAAACGCCAACTCAGATTTGCTCTGGTGCCAAAACGTCAAAACAAATCTTAAACATTCAACATCATAAACAGGAGTAAAGAGTTTTTGTTGTCCTTATTTTTGTTTGTATTTATCTATTTATTAACTGAAATACAGAAATGTAAAAGTCAGACAAATCAGTCAACTTTGGAACAAATTAAAGTTTAAAACTGAGTTAAGGAAGTGAAAAGGGAGAAAAAATATATAATAATAGACTCAATTAGTAAAAAAGTTCCTAATGAAAATGAATCTTTTTTTTTTTCTTTTTTTTCACCTTCAACTGATTTTTGTTTAATAAAATGACAATAGCTCAAAAGTTTAACAGGATGGTGATGAGTCGAGAAATTTACGAATATGAAATTTTGCTTTTAAGATAAAAAGGTTGATGACAGTTTTTTGTCTTTTATCGGTAAAATAAGTTTTAAAAATTATCCTCAATATAAATCACATTTTTTTGTTTTCATGTAAAAATTCATTTTCAAAAAGTTACATAATGAAAAATTAATGAAATACAGTTTCATTCTGCAGGAGTTGATAGTTGACCATCTACACTTACAGAACAGTTTAAGTCACAAAGTCATGTGACATCTAGCCAATCAGATGGTGTTGAGGACGGAAAGATCCAATCACACTGGAGCCTAAACAGCGCAGCTCTTAACTGATGGATTTGATCACCATCGCCATCTCTCACAGATGAGTGTCTACAGTAGCTTAGAAGGGACAAACTTGTGACACATTTGAACACAGAAGAAGAAGAAGAGAGTGGTTATTTTTGTTGAAGCTGTCATGTATCACTGCAGGTTTTTGTCCTTTAAGGCCACCGTCCCTTCACTAATGGGAGGGGTGAGCAAGGGAGTTTTTCGATCTATAATCTAACAGTTTGATTAGACTTCATATTCCCATTTTCGCACACTGTACCTTTAAAACTCCAGGGATTGCAGTATCGTCCTTCTGAATGAGGGTGGATTAGATGGTGGCGATTTTTAAAGAGGTCTGTGTAACATCAGGGAGACTTTAAAGCCGAGAAGAAGATCACTGTGGTCCACCTTGGAACCACCAGAAAGCAGTTATTTAAAGTTTTTCAGTTCTGATTTCGAGACAGAAAAATCTCTTAGAAGATAAGCATCCTGCCTCCTCCACCCATCTTCCTCTTACACCAGATTTTCAGACACATACGCAGCTCCGGTCTCGTGCACTCTGAGGTTATCTCCAGCTCGGGGGTCTGTGGGAGTCTGTTCTTGGCTTCACTCGAAAGCACTTTCTGTGTTCATCCTGTAAGCAAACAATGGGGTATTGTTGCACCGGATATACTTTGGATAGTCGCGGTCGGCAGTCAAAATACAGAGAAACGTCTTTTTGTAGTCGGTGAGGGAAAGTATTTGAGTCTGGGGCCAGATAAGGAGCTCATGTGCCTTGTTTTTATTCCTGTGGTTTAGTAAAGCGCGTCTGTTTCATAAGACATGCAGGATGAAGTTTACTCAAATGTGGTCACGTCAGTTGTAATAATGATCTGGTTCAAACATGTCGCAGACTCCAAAGATTGAAGCTTCACTGAGGACAAACCAAGGCCAGGTTTCATAACACCTGTCTTTTATCACCGGGAGGTTTTGGGACAAACAAACACCTCTGTTTGTTCAGCTTTCCTGCAGCTCGGGCAGAAACACGCCAACCCCTCTGCTCCAACATCAGCCTTCAACTGTCAGGAGGAAGAAAAGGAGAAGTCCAGCTGAGTTTATTTTGATGAGACGAGCCAGTCCTCAACTTGAACCACATGCAGAACGACATCAGAGAGACGGACCGTGCCGAGGCCTCAAACAGTCCAGACTGCGGCAGTCTGTAAAAACTGATCAAACTTCAGTGGAAACATCGTTTTCCACTCATCCAGGCCACTCCAGCTGACTGCGCCTCATACCAAAAGAAATAATTTCCTACAGAATGATCTTACATGAATAAAGACTCGTGTGAAAGCTTAAGATTTACATCGTTACTCAGGTGAGACCAAAGCTGTTGCCGTGACTCGTCGCTATAGCACCAAATAAGTCATTTTTAGGACACAAGATATTAAAGTTTTTAGGAGAAATCTTGACTGTAAACTCTACCCCTCCCAACCAGTTTTCCCCTCAGCTCCTCCTCTCCCCTCCCTCTCTGCTCCAACAAGCCCCGCCCACAAACAGACGCTCCTGCTCGCTCGTATCGTTCCTGTTAAATTCAGATATAATGCAGATAAATACTTCAGATCATTACAAATGGGGCCCAGTCAAGGTGAAAGTCAAAAGCATTGGTGCTACTGTAGATGCCAACAGACTACCAGCAAACACAATGTTTGCAGGACTTCTACAACTAGGATAAAGTGACATAGTCCAGGACCCGAGGTCAACAGTTTAGCGATGGCGCTACAACACGCTACAGCAGGTCCGTTTGACAAGAAACACTTCTGTTACAGACACTTGTCTTACTCTGTTAAAGCGGTTTACCTGTCCAGCAGAAAGGTTACAGGGTCACCAAGATCCCCAAGCGTCCCCCATCGTTTATGTAGACCCGGCTTTTTAGCTCTTGTCCGGTCTACCTCCATTTTAAGCGCCCGTTATTCCTCCAGAGTCTCCAGTATTTACTTTGTTTTCTTGCTTGTGTCGGCAGTCGTGGCCAAAGGAGGATTCAGACAATTTTTTTATACTTTCTGGTTGGTTTCTACTGTCCGATCTTGTAGCACGCTAACTTTGTTTGGGCTCCTGAACGACACGGGGGAACAGCGTCTGCCTCACAACCAATCAGGTTGGGGGAGGCAGAGAATGGATTTGTTTACAGTCAGAAAGGGCAGACCATTTAACTAATATGTAAGCTTTTTTGTATATACACCACAAAAAAAGATGCGTCTTTAACAGATTCCTGCCTACCCCACCTTTAACTGGTGTGGACAAAATAGTTTTTGAATTTGAGTTAATGTGCACGCAAGATAACCTGCATTTAAGACGTACAATGCAAAAACTTTGAATATCTTGCAGGAAAAAGTTGTAATTTCGCGCATGAAGGCCATAACAAGGCCATCTTAATTTACACAAGAAGATTATACGTCAGATAACGTGAAAATTCCATCAATCTTTGAGGAGCAAGAAGGGTTTTTTTTGTGCAGATATTGATAATATGTTTGCACGAGCTCCCAAGTTAGTATCATGTCCACACAGGATGATTAACAAGATGTTTTCTTGTATCGGAGTGTTTTCATTGGGGGCTGATCAAATTTCAGTTGAATATTTCTGTTATAGAAGTTTTCTCTGGGATTCTGTCTGATTTCAAAGATGTTTTCTTTAAGACGACTGTGATCTTTGACGTATTTGTCGCTCATAATGAAGTCTGGGATGTAAAGTTTTGCCACCTTCTGTCTCATAATTTCTCTGGAAAATATGCGAAAAGGTGAGGACAAGTTGGTGCCTGGTTTAAAGAGTACGTTATTGTTCTGAAAAGTTTGTAGCTCGTATGAATCGGAGCCGGTGTTTAACACCCCGACAGGATTTTCTGCCCTCTGACACAGCCTGAATGTGCCAAGCCCGAGTTTAACGGCTTTGTTTTTGGACTTGAGTTTAACTCTCCTCCATTTAAGAGGTGGCAGCTCTCCTCTCTGTTACTCCGGCCTGTTGTGTTTGGCCTGCAGATCCGGTGACTTTCAGACCCAACCCCTTCCCCAGAGGAGTCAGTCACTTTCTGAGGGCCCCCCGTGTTTGACGTGGAAAATATAAATCCACCCAGTTACGTAAGGGATCCTGCCTTTATGCAGCTCAAAGCTCTCCTCTGAAGCTCTCGGCTTCCTCTGTATTGGTTGGATCCCCAAACTTACTCGGGAAGTTGTTTCCTGATGTCGAGTCTTGGCTTCCTTTTCTGGCTGCTTGAGCGTCTTTAGCGCTTCCTCTGAGGAGGTCTGCTCAGAGTCTTTGAGGAAAACAAACTTATAGAAATCTCCTCGTTTGTTTTCCATCTTCCTATAAGGCTTCAATATGACTCTCCTTCTCTCAGTTTCCATCTTCCTGAGGAAAGCATGCTAAAAATATGAACTCACATCATGTTTAAAGTTGGTTTATATATATTTTTAATCACAATATCTTGTGGATGTCTCTGATTTGTCATCATGGTAGGAAACTGAACAGACCCAGTAGAGAAAAATCATGTTTCTACAGGACTGGAGATGCAGCAGGACTGTAGGGACGAGGAAAGACTAAACTTGCATGATAGATCTGATCCTGGACTCAGTCTTTGTTATTGTCCAAAACTGGTTCAGTATTATCTGGGGTCCTCTGGTTATTCATGCATTACACTGTGAAGTGAGGTAAATGCACCAAACAAATGTTAATGTGACATTTTCACTGGATAGGTGATTGAAAACACTGACCACAGCAGACAGAAATTTGCTGTCTCTGCAAACAGATCTTCATACGGAGTCGTAATCCAGCTGAATCTACACCCAAATGCTGCCAAAGCCTTAGTTTACATTATGCAATGTAGCGTAATGTACCTTTTATTGTGTTGCATGCTGAGATTAGTGCTCTATGTGTTCAGCCACTGCAAAAGGACTCTGTTTAATTTGATCTAATATGATCGGTACAGTCTGTCACAGATACACGGGCCCCAGAGATTAAGTCAAAGATTAAAATTTTCCTGAATTCGCTCTCATTAAATTTACTCCAGGTCTTCACAGACTGATCGGGAAATAACTTTGAGGATATCTTACGGCATCCTGTTGACTTCTCTTCCATCTTTCTTCCTCCTGACTCTCAAAGGTACAAACAGGTGCCTGTTTGAAAGTGTTCAGTCTATTTACAGTTGGGTTTAAGCACCACCTCAAGTAGTTTGGCAGCTAAACACGTCTAAGCTGGTTCAGAATATGTTGTATTGAAGGATTATTCAAAGATCTTTCATGAGGACACACCAGCTCTGAGTCAGTATAAAAGTCCTGCTTATTCTTCTGGGCTGGGTTTATTCATTTCTTTTTTTACTTTTGGCCACTAGTCGAGTCTGTTGACTGTCAAACCTTCTGGTTCTTGTTGCAGCTTGAATAACTTGTCTCTGAAAAATAAAACGGTTCTGGTCCTGTCTTCGGTCCTGGTTTTGGCTGCCTCCACCCCCTCCAACCTCACATGTCCTCTTCTCTCAGCAGTCTATTGTGAGCTCTTAATAAAGCAACAGCTCTGTTTCCGCCTCTCTCAGGTCAATGTGAATTGGATTCTCGGTTGCCAGATGTTTTTATTTGATGAAGGAGTGGGTGGGCAGCTGGGAGCTCAGACTTACATAAGAGCCATGAGCCGACCTCGAACCTCGGCCAGTAATGAGTTCTGTCCTCCAGGCGTTTGTTTCTGACTTTAATGAAAACAAGACTTTGTGAATTATGGGGGTTAAATGGTAAAGATGGAGGACTGGGCTGGTGGGACGACCAGAAATCTGTTTTCTCAGTTTCCCACAGGAGCCGCAGATTTATTAATAGTAACCTAGTGTGCGTATCCGATTCTCCATGGATTTACTGTCTCATGAGGAGGATCAGGCTCCTCTTCTGAACACAAAACCCTGTGTTTGTCTTGGATTTCCTCTCCACACCATGGCTAACTCGCGGTGGTGAAACATCCACCTGTATTATGTAGCCATGGTTTTAAAAAGTGAAGCATTTATTTATGAATATTTCAGCCTGTGTTTGGAATGATTAACTGTACAGACCGTGTGCCAAAAACAGAGGTTTTCAAACACTTCCCCCAGGGTGACCATACGTCCTCTTTTTGGGGGCTGTTTGGGGGAGTTTATAAAATCCTTCAAATGAAGTTTTGAGTTTGTGTAGAGTAGACTAACTGAATTTGAAGCATTTAAAAAAAACGCTCGACCCGACCCGAAAAACCCTCAAAATTTTGTGCGCGCAGAAGAGTTACTGAGCTTGACTTTAGCCATATAAAACACAAGTTATTACTATATATTCAACAAGTGCACCTCCAAATATCAGGAAAAAAACATGAATTTTCAGTGAAATCGTGTCAAATTTTAAAATGTTAAACTGACATTTTATTACGATCATAAAACCCCAAAATTAAGTAATCTCTGCAGCGGGGTGACGCAGCTCAAGGAAGAACATTTACGATCATTTCTTTATCATTTCTTTGAAGTAATAATCATCATATTAAACATTTTTCACTGCAGGCGCAGTAGTTCCTCTGCCTTAGTGTCTCGGTCTGATTGTATTTCCATGAAGAAATGATCATAAATGTTCTTTCTTGAGCTGAGTCACCCCGCTGTAGTCGATGTACAAACAAGTGGCTGCTGGAAGAGAGTAGGTGAGTTGTGTTTAGCCTCGTTTCTAAAGAAATTAGTCAAAGTTAAAAAGATGTTTGGTGTCTAGTACTATGGCTGGGACCCTGTATGTACTGTTGATGAAGTTAGGTGCTGTTCTGAGCATTATTTGTGGCTATAGAGTGGCGTTTTGGTTGAGGTTTGTTTATGGCTCCTCAGACCGCTGTGTATTGCTATCCTGCGGTCGTTACTAAAGTTGGTTTAACTAGAGAAGCAAGTGGTCGGCAACATTCATCTCTCGAGGGGGTGTCTAAACTAAGTGTTACGGTGTGTTTGACCCTAAATTAATTTCATGCCGGAATATCCCTTTAATGCCGGATCATGTTGAGTAATGTCTAAAGCTTGAGTACAGGCTCCATAAGTCTTCATCTTGCTTTTGTTCCTGTAAATGTAATTCATGACCTCAGTGGACTGAAGTCATAGAGCTCCTCACATCATCCATGACTCAGCAGTCCACAGCTGTAAAAGTGACTCATCATCTGTATCCATGTCGCTCCGACTGTGAGAAATCCCAGGAGCTCCGCTGCAGACTGTTCGTGATGAGATTTTGACACTTGTACCTGTAATTATGTAAGAAAACAACACTTTACCACATGCCAGCATGGTGCAGTAATCCGCCTCTGCAGCAGACGTGTGAGGAGATGATCAGGAGCGACACGCGGCATCACCGTGACTCAGAATGTGTCGGGAGTGTGATTACCTGAGGGTTGTTTTATCTCCAGGTACAAACTCACATCCTGAGGGAGCAGAGGCCTGATTCTGACCTCGATAATACAAAAATGATTAAAACTGAGCTGATGTTGAACTTATGAGCCACATTTGAACATTTTTACAACCCGAAATAGTTTTTATCTGATTATGTAACAAATCAAGACTGTTGCTTCATTATGACTTAAAAAAACTAGACCATCAGCAAATAGACCCAGATATGTGTTCACACAGTCCTTTAAAAGCAGAAGACAAAGACTCATTGAGCTCCATTCCTGTCTAACAACACAGCATGTGGCTCCTCTGATAACAAGCTGACACTTTATGACTGACAAACATAACACACACACGGCTCTGTGGAACATTGTGTAAAACATCCTGTACATAACACGGCTGCTGCTGTCCTGTGATTGGTTGCTGCAGTCGGTCCAGGTTGTGTTTTATTGATAAGAAAGGTAAATCCTATCTGTGTGAGCCAAAGTTCACTCTGAGCAGCTTAATGTAATCTATACCTCTGACTGCGTGACGTTTACTTACATTAAAGATGTGAGAGTAAAAACATGATAACAAGACTGAGCTGAATTTTAACTTCAGTGATGCAGCTTCTTTAACAACATCCTCATCTTAGACAACAGATGACTTATTGACTCTGAAAAGACCTTAGAGAAAATGGTTTAAAAGATTGTTGCGTTTTATTCTTTCTTGATTCGGCTTCTTTCAAAATATATTTTTCATATTTTAAATAATGCAAGACGGCCTTCGTTACTCATGACTAAGTTCATTTTTGTTTGCCCTTTTCTGCATTTTTGTTCAAGAACAACTCAATCAGATTTCAAGAATCTATGATCAGAGTTGTGTTTTAAAATGAAAAGCTATTTCAGATCTTCTAAAAGTGATCTAGTGCTGCGTTTGAGTTAACTCAGAAGTCAGATGTCAGAGTTGGAAATGACGTCACACCTGAGTTACCAGCTATTCAGTTACAAAGTCAGAAAAAAGCAAAACTGGAGGTAAAAAGAGGACGGCTACATCTACAAAAGTTGATGCTAAAATAACTTAAAATAACTAAAATAATAACCTCTAAAATAACTGTTGTAGATGTAGCCATCTTGTTTCTGCCTCTGATTTTGCTTTTTTTCCACTTGGTAACTGAAACCCTGGTTACTTGATTGCGATGTAATTTCTAACTCTGACATCTGACTTCCGAGGTAACTCGAATGCAGCATATTTGTGTTGTTTGAATGATGAAAATTAAAGGCACTATAGGGAGTTTTTTTCTGCTTTTGAAATAGTCCGACTCTTGTACTGACGCTTCTTCATGTGATGAAGTTTCTACAACGTGGCGGATAAAGTTTGAGTCCTTTATTTGTACATCCTGTTTTGTAGTCGTGGCTGATTCAAAAACCTCTCTGTCTCTCCCTTTCGCTCGATCTAACGAGGTGGGCGTGGTCACTGGTTACTCTAACTGTTAAGCTTGGATGAGCTGCAGGAGCTCCCTGAGTGCCTGCCCAGTTTGGCCTCTGTCAGGACATGCCCAGGTCCAAGAAGAAATTCAGTGAGTGAGATTCAACAATCATGTTAACTACTCGTATAATCTGAATAACCAGTTCAGCAAACGTGTTTTGTTCTCGTGCGTGTTACGCCGACTTTTCCAGACCAAAAACGACAAAAGCGAGAATTTCCGCCCCTGAGGAGTTTATTTTATCCGCGGTGATCCTCCTTTAGCTCCAGAGGGTCTGTGTTGTGTCTTCAAACTCTGAATGTGGAGATAAACAAACACAGAAATGCGATACTCCGCTGACACAGGTCGGTCAGCTTCCTTGTCCTGCAGGTGTGGGATAACAGGACTTTATAGAGAGTCCTGAAATAGAGAAACAGCTCGATAACAGAGAGTGACGGAGAGTTCAGGCTGGATATGAGAGTAAAAATATCACAGGTCATGACCTCGAGTTTCCAGCCCCTCCAGTTCATGATAGGACGACCAGTTTCTCTGCTCTGATGGTCAACGACCTCATGATATGTTCAAAAACGTCCATGACTGTATCAGAGCGGTCATGAGTCATGCTTTCAGGCTCATTACGAGGACCCACCGGGTACGCAAGCTGTTGACAGGTTCACGAGTAAGTGAAGGAAACTTTTTGTAGTGATTTTTTAAATTAAAGCAGAAAATATCTGACACTTCGGGGAGTGTCCGGACTTTTCTAGGATTGGAGGGAATGACTTCAGCAGGGAGGGAGCGTGGCAGCAGATTAAATATCATTATTTTAAAAACTGCCTCCTCCCTCACTGTCCTAAAATCTCTGCTTACATGTGGATAAGTGGCCATACTGCAGGACAAAAAATAAATAAATAATAATATTTCTTCCATTTGTTTGGGAAGCTTTTGAAAATAAATAAAATAATTAAAAATAAAAATAAATAAGTAAATAAAAACAAGATAAATAACAAATAAAATAAATAAAAATAAAAATAATAATAATAATAATAATAATATTGTTAATACTGACTCAGATTTTTTTCCCTACATTTGGGTCCAACAGAGGTTGTTTGTGGTGTGCAGGGGTAATAATAAAAAGCATAATGGCCTATTTTGTTTAATCAAAGCAACTTTATTAATAAGACGACATTGGCGAAAACAACTTTATATACAGCTGAAAATAAATTTAAAATAACTTCATGAATAAAGAAAGTGAATCCAGGATGGTTGAGGGGAAGAAAAGGGAAAGTATCCCTGAAAATCTGAATAATTGAGTGAATTTTTGTGCTTTTTCTAAAGAATACCATCATGTTTTTAATACTTTGTTCTTTATGGGACGGTTTTTCTCTTTCTCTCTGTGTCACTCTTGTCCACTCTTATCCTTCAGACTCTATCTTTGCCATGACGATGTTCAGAGTAAGTGCTTTCATTCACAGACTGTCCAGATAAGACTGAAACACCCTGTGCTGTTTACATCAGTCCATCTTCACTCACTCCATCTGCCGTGGATAAGAAACCCTTGATAAGTTTTCTCTTGGAGGTATCTTCACGCTGAACTCTGACAGAAAATCTCTCTTTGGGTTTAAAAGTTTCCTTCCCGACCAGAGGATCTACTATCAGATATCAACATCCGTCTTCTTTTACCCATAACTCTTTGCTTTTTTGGGTCATTTCCTCCAGTTGGATTGAATTACGTTTTCACTACAAACAAACAAAAAACCCTCATCCTGTTGAGGAGAGTCGTTTCGGATTTGCTGACATTTTTGTGTGGCTGTTTTGCGACTCGTGACCCCGTGTGAGATCACTTTTCCGAGGCTTCAGGGGAAAGTCTCTGGAGAGTAAATAAACGACTCCTAGCACGCTTCAAAACTCGCCAAAAGACCGGGCTTATGTCAAAGTTTACGTCTTACATAACAGAGCAAACATGACAGCATTAAAGGGTATATACACCATTTAAAACCACTTTAATCTGTCCTGGTTCAGAGGGGATTTAAGTGGGCAAGACATGATTTGCACCCTAAAACCCGGCAAAAAGAAACCCCCCAGAGAGCTTTGCAGTGGATTAGGTTGAACTTCAGTGAGAGTACCACATAATTATGGGTCTAATCAGGGTCTAAAGATAGCATCAAAAGCAGCTCTGAGTAGAAGCTGTGGCGGCATTAATCAGGCCTGTATTTACTGTGAAATTCAACATGTTTCCTCCACAGCAGGCGGTGCCTATCTGATCAAAGTGTGTGTGCTGTAAATAATCCACTCACCACAGTACAGTACAGCACGGTGCACACTGCAGGATCGAGCTCACAGGGGAGAAAAGCAATTAAAGGGTGGAGTGTGAAGGAGCGGGTGAGGAGAATCTTATCTGCACAGTCATGCTTTAACAGGTGCCTCCCAAACTACTGTGCTTAAAGTCAGTCTGTCGACATGTCCAGAAAAGAGAGAATTATGTAACAAAAGGATCAAACTCAGAGGAAGTTTGACTGTTTTCAGGATCTCGGAAAGTACTTTGATAGTCCTCTTAAGACGTAGGCTGTATATGGTATAAGTTTAAAGATAAGGGTGACACTGGCTGAGCTTTTTAAGTGCATATCCAATCTGCAGAGGCAAAAACCCAAAATAATATAACTTAAAGGGATATTCCGGCATAAAATTAATTCAGGGTCAAACACACTGTAACACCGAGTTAGACATCCCATCGAGAGATGAATGTTGTTTCTCTAGTTATACCAACTAGAGTTCAGTAATGACCGAATGATAGCAATACCGAGAGCCACACGCTCAACCAAAACACCACTTTAGCCACAAATAATGCTCAGAACAGCACCTAACTTCATCAACAGGACATATAGGGTCACAGCCATAGTACTAGCCACCAAATATCTTTTTAACTTTGCCTGATTTCTTTAGCAAAGAGACTAAACACAACTCACCTACTCTCCTCCAGCAGACGCTTGTTTGTAGTGAGACATCAGACCAGTCCATTACGGACTGCAGCGGGGTGACACAGCTCAAGGAAGAACATTTATGATCATTTCTTCATAGAAAAACAATCAGACCGAAACGCTATGGCAGAAGAACTACCGCGTCTGCAGTGCAAAATGATTAATATGGTGATTATTACTTTAAGGAAATAAAGAAATAATCATAAATGTTCTTCCTTGAGCTGCGAAACCCCGCTGCAGTCGATGTACAAACAAGCGGCTGCTGGAAGAGAGTAGGTGAGTTGTGTTTAGTCTCTTTACCAAAGAAATTAGTCAAAGTTCAAGAGATGTGTGGTGGCTAGCACTCTCTTGACGAAGTGTCTAACTCGGTGTTACGGTGTGTTTGACCCTAAATTAATTCTACGCCAGAATATCCCTTTAAAGCTCCAGTGAAGAACTTTTAGTTTGTATCAAAACTGGCGCCCCCTGTGGACAAAGCAGTCTTTGCTAACATTGTGTCTTCTATCAAAATTTCAATCTTGTCCCAATGTATCATAATCTATGACAAATAATCAATATTTAAACACAATAAAGAGGCTTTTTTTCTTCTCCAGCTGCCTCCCATCACAAATATTAGGTATGAAAACTTGCAATATCATCATGTCACTGTTGATCTTGTTGTTTGGCATCAATATTTATCTCAGTCTGTTTCATAAATCTCAAAAAAGTGTTTTTTTTTTTTGTTTCTGTTGCTTCCTTCACTGGAATAAGACAAATTCCTTGTTTCTCTTGATTTAGCTCACATTGTAACTCAGTTTTGACATTATAAAATTATTTAAGATGATATTCAAACAGGTTTTGCTCCAGAAGATGTTTTTCCAGCTGTGATTACTCTGCAGTACTTCAATAATGTGCCTTTAAGCGCGGGATGTTTAGGGGAGGGGTTTACCGGTGGGAACGGCTTCGTGACGTTTCCTCTGTTGACAGTAGTAAACCTCCACACATACACACACACTTCCTCACACGCACCCTGCCTCCTTCGTGTTCACACGCTCCCTCAGAGCTGACAGTGACTCTGCTGCGCTGCGCTCCTCCGCGCGTCTCCATCACCAAGCTCCGTCTCCGCTCTGCGCGTCCCGGCTGTGCGCACATCCAAGTGAACCCTGCGCGATCCGGAGCTGAATCTGAACTCAAAACGCTGACTTGGAGAGGAGGCTAAAAGTGGGGGATATGACTTCTAAAGCGATGGAGTGTATGAATCTGTCGGAGGATCAGCTCAAAGTGCTGGAGGAGAATTTCAAAGTGGGCAGATTTCCGGACGGGACGTCGCTCATGCTGATCGCTGCGGAGTGCGGGCTGTCAGAGGAGGAGACACGAGTGAGTAACCACCCAAAAACCTCTCTTTCCTGTCTGTGTGAGCGGGAGCTGATGTACGGGGTAAAGTTTAGGCTGAAACTCTGTGGTGTGGTGAAGCAGATTTGCCATATTATTAGAAATTGTGAGATTATCGGTCATCCTTGTCTTTGGTTTGATCACCTATATCGCTCAACAGTCAGATTATTTAGCCATTAACTGTTATTTCTCATGGGGTTTGAGTGTTTTAAGTGAATTGAGTGCAAAAGTTTTCTGTTTGTGGGTCATATTTGGGATTTTTGGTGCATTGTTTGTCTTTATTTGTACAGTATTGTTATAGTATTGTTAAATTATGCAGGCACTGAGTCTAAGAGCCTCACTTAGCAGAAACCCAAGATAACAAATGACAGATTCCCTGTTAATCATAAGGGTGAGGGTGTCAAATTATGCCATACAAACATAATTTATTAATTTGATGATAATAATAATGTTAATCTGAACTCATATGTGGTTTTTAATGCTGTTTTATCAATGTACTAACCAGTGCTGCAGTAAAACTGATTAAAACTTGAGTTAATTGGTTAAAAAATAACAAAAAATAGTCAAAGGTGACTTGGTATAAGGTAGAAACTTCACTTTGTGACACTCCAACTTAGTGTTAAGAGTTTACAGGTCAGTCAGGTGTCCTCAAAGGAGATCTATGAGAGCTATGAGAAGGAGATAAACGTGTGTGTTTGAGTGTGTTCAAAATCTAAACAAAGCCTCGAATCTGTCAGTCCTGGTGCCGCTCCGCTAACGCTGGAAAGAGCAGATTTGTGCTCAGTTTCAGAGCTTAAAAAGGATCCTCCACGGTCGATAAATCTGTTAAAGCGTCACAGTGTGATGAAATAATCCTCATTACAGTGTAAACTCTGACCACAGAGGCTGCACGGCTACATCGATCATCACTGGAGCTGCTCCAGGCGTGTGGTTTGTCCTGATGAAGTCACGTTTCTGTTCAGAGAACAACTGTTTTTCATTGTCACCAACACCGACTCATATCTTCAGGATGGTTTCCCAGTCAAAGAGGTGATTTAAAGGGAAGAGTATCTGTCAGTCGGACAGTGAGGAAGGGGTCATGACTTCACATTGTTGGTAAAATCGGAGTGTCTGCTGTCCCTGCTGCTGCTGCTGCTGTTTGTGTTCATGTTTCCTTCAAATGTGGTCGGATGTGTTTTAACGATCTGCTTTTGATGCAGCAGCAGGAGAAGGAACTGGAAACACATGTGGTGAAGTGTTTGTCAGACTCACGATATGCAGCGGAGACTTTCATGTACGGCTCGACGAACATGTCCGATATTTCTGTTGTACGTTTGAACACCTGAAACCAGCGCAAAGAGAGAGACGCAGTTTTTACATTTTCCTCATTTGACTCTTAAAATCTGTAGGATGAGATGTTTTTGTTAGACGATACCTCTGAAGCATGAAGAGGACAAGATGAGCAAAAACTAATATGTCCACAGGGGGCGCCAGATTCACTCAGTTCTTCGCCGGAGCTTTAAAACCTACGAGTGGACTTAGTTTGTGTTTGTGTAGGACAGAGCTGTAACTCTTATCCTGACTGTTTTTAAAGGTTATTTTAGGGGCATTTTAAAGTGTGTTTCTGCCCTTTATTCTTAAGTTAATTAATTTAATTATTGATTTTATTATTTGTTTTATTGACGTTGACATACAGTAACATTGGTGCTGCAACATTAAACCCTGCACAACTCTCAGAATAATGTGCTTAGGGTTTTTAGCAAGATGCTAATTTGCAAAATCTTTTCACGAGAGGTTTTATAATTTAATATAATGTAAGAAAAATATAGAAAACACCAAGAAAATACAAAACAGCTGCAGTGTGACAGCCCTCCTCTGCAATTTAGAGGATATTCCCAAATTAAGAAGCTCTGAATAAGGCGCTAATGAGATGTTACACTCTAAAATGATCAAACTCGTCTATAAAACCTTTTTTTCCAGGTTGTAAATAAACATAATCTACAAATCAAACCAGAAACACGGTGGACTCCTGCTTTAAAGAGCCACCAGGCAGGCAGCCGCTATGCAGCAAAGCCCGGTTAAGCTCGGGGTCGTAGTCGTGAAGTGAAGCAGAAAAACTGCCAATTACATGAAACATCACATTAGTACTTAGGTATTTAATCTCTCCCAGCCCCCTCTCCCACATGTAAACACTCCCACCATGCCTCTATCTGAGGAATGTCTTCAGCCCGCTGTAAGGTCAGTGCATCCGTCACATCAGGAGCCAGATGTGAAGCCTCACAGGAACCATAACAACCAACATGATGAGAGCTCTCTGAAGCTCTATGAGCATCTCTGGAAGCTTAAACCTTCTCTCAAACTCTCTGTTAACTCCTGTTTTTCACATGGAGAAGGACGAATTGTTGGTGGGTGTTCCTCTTAATAAAACTGACCTGTTATCTTCGTCGTACTCGCCTGGAGGTTAAACCCAACATGGAAATTCTGCCATTTGAGTTGACGTAACATCAGATTCATTTCATAGGCAAATTTCTGCTGGTGTTTGTGCTCCTGAAGGTGACAGATGGGTGAAGACTGGAGGAGAAACAGATCTGTCACGTGCCGAGGAACGTGTGTCCCTTTTCATAATTAGCTCAACATTTCAGCGGTTAAAAAGCCGTGCATGTCATGACTTACTTGTCACTTGTTTTTCCACTCCTGTGACTCCACAAACTGGTTCCTCTGGATTTCTCAGAGCTGAAGTAAAACAGGCAGATCCCTCGTGAGTAAATAGGTACAATTCATGAAGTATTTTGTACTCAAGGCACAGGTGTGTCCCCCTTTTTTTTACGTCTTGTTGACGCCAACTGCCTGACGAAACAACAGTGAATGCAGCTCAAAACAATCACTGTTGTCACGCGAGTTGGATGGAGAGCAGAGTTATGCTTTGGCCTGCAGTTATTTGCATAAAGAGCGAGTGAAACACAAGCTGCTCTGTGTTTTCAGCAGGACTGATTCAAAGAGAACTGGGATGGTTTAAACCTGCTGGGGGTCTGGATGAGTGTAGGTACAAAAAGAGGAGCCTGGATGTTATCCGTATGCCAGATGTGTCACTGTCGATCCTGTACTTTTCCCCCCAGTAAACTCAAACTCTGATCCTGTCAACCCGACAGAAGGATCAATATAAGACAGACTTTTTTCTGTAGATCCTCAACAAGAAAGAGCTGTTTTTTTAAGTTTTGTAGGCAAGTCACCAAAAACCTTGAGTCTGAAACTCGCCGTGAAGTCTTTACATGCTGATGGTCGGAGCAGCTCTATCGTACTTGAGCGTGCTGTCATTTTCAGCATTTGTGATCCGCATCTAGATCGATAAATCTGATGTTTGATCTGCCATCGCTCTGCAGGACATGATAAGAAATAGAGACATGTCTTCTCTCTTAATATGCATTGAGTCCAGAGTGACGTCTCATGGTGTTTTAATCTCTTTGTGCAGCAGGTTAAAGTTTCCGCACCTTCTTTACAACATCATTATTCGGGCATCTTCTTTAATTGGAGCAAACATTGCGATTTGACTTTTACATGTAGGAATTAAAGAGGGATGATGCAGTGTCTTGAACCCCCAGGTGAATGCTGGGGCGTAAAATCTGAGCGCAGCACTTACGGATGGTGAAAGCAAAGAAGAGGCAGAAACTGTAAAAGCTGCAGCTTGAACAGAATCAAATCCTGAGGATGTGTCTGAACGAGATCGCAGAGTTCGCCATTTTGATGACTTACTTCAGCATCTCTCACACTTTTCCGGATGCTTCCAGGACAGATGTATGTTCAAGTGTGGCTTCTAGTCTGTATGCAGTCAGTCCTGGTTATTTAAAATGCCAAAATCAGCAATGTTCAATATTCAGTTGTCTCCAACAGCGTGCACGCTCGTCCTACTGCAGGCCTAGAGATGTATGTTTCAGTCTCTTGGCTTCAGGGTGCACAGGAGTGTTTTAGTAAAGCGTAACGTAAAGATTGTGTATTTTCTTCATGATATCTGAGATCCATAAGCTGCAGATTTCCAAACAATGACACTCAAACTCTGAGTCTCCACTGGTTCTGCAAAGATAAAACACTCAGGCATCAATCAGACTTTAGTGCACGTATCACCACAACAGATATTCATTAAGGACCTGTGCATGTCACAGAAGGACGGATCATAACTCTGGAGAAATACCCCTGAATTAGAGAAGTATTATAGCTGTAAATCTCAGTAGTTATCCTCAGTGGAAAGACAAAGGTGTTTCATTTATGGCTCCATCTATTATAGTTTATGAATCCAGTTTTCTTTTGGTCTCCAGAGGCTGTAAAAATGTTTATAAATCTGTGCTGAGCTGCTTCCTAATTCCTAGTATTTCCATTCATCGTATACAAAGGTGCAATAAGCCGCTCCGGAGTGACGTAAAGTTCTGGCTTATCATCAAAAGACCTGACTTCATTTCCACGTCATCTTTTCTCTACGCCAACCTTCCTCCTTTCTTCTGCCTTTCCTGTGAAGTGTTGTGCTCTCGTTCACAAAGCCGTCATTGGAGGAGGTGTGAGCTGCAGACACACACCCCGGCCACCACTCCTCCCTCGTTTCACATGAACAACGTTTACAGTGTGCTTCGGCCTCTGTGCAGCATGTTTGAGCTCCTTTTATAGGCCGTTTTATTTGTTTTCAAGGCTGAGAAGTCACTGACAGAAAAGGTAGAGTGGAGTTTGAAAGACCTCCTTATGTAATCCGGGAACATATGACACAAGCAGCATTGTGGAGGTCAGCAGGATTATAAATCTCACCCTTAAGGCAACAAAGGAGCATGTGTGAGCTTTTTACAAGATATTCAAATATGGTTCGCACTCTCTGAAAGGGACCAAAGCGAAAAATAAGAGGGGAGACTCTGCGTTTTTAGAGGTCAGCCTTCACAGTATGGATTTTCTCAAGCTCAGGAATATTTTCACAAAAGTCCTCTGAGATTTGATTCGATTTCGTCTAAGTATTAAGTGCAAACCCAGATGGCTCCAAACGGCAAGCCGCTGTTTTTCCAGCACAAAACTCTGGAACCATCCCTCCCACCAGGCGCGTGTCTTGTTTTTAAGGCCGCTGTTCCCAATTCCTCGTTATCGAAATGATGTCAGCATTGTTGTGAATCCCATGACAACACAGAAACAGCGATGCAGCAGGTCACGGGAGTGTGTCAGTGTGTGTATGTGTGCGTGCACTCAGCGCAGTCGTCATCTGGTCAGAGTTTTCATGGTGCAGTTATTGGTGCAGCGGTCAGATTTGCAGGGAACTGGATCCAGAGGAACAGGCTCAGTCATTGACTGGGTCTTCGGTTCAGACTGCATGGAAACATTCTTCTTCTGTGGTTTCTTTAATACAACTTAGCCTCCGGGTCAGTGCTGCGTCTGTGTGAGTCAGTGACCACATTTACATGCAGAGAGAAATGTGACCGTAATGTGATTATAACAGTCAGGAAGGAGCAGAGCCGAACTTAATGACGCTCTTTTGATCGTAAATTTGATGTTTGGGATTTCGGTGTTGATGGCTGGAGTCTGCTCACAGAGAAGTCTGACACTGAGGAAATTCAACACAGCTGGGATGAAGTTTTCTCCAAAATCATAACGAATCTCCATCTTCGTCTTCGACCACTCTGAAATATTGTCATTCTTTTACCCCGAGCAAAACCGTAAGCTTGATTTAGTTGCCAAAATTGATCTTTAAACCATTATACAATGTCTATCTGCAGTTTGACATGAAGTTGTGTCAATTCCCAAGAAAACAGGTCTCTAGTTTGGGCTCGTTCTGCAGAAATCCAGGGTGAAGCCTCTGTGTAACGGAACTGCACACTGACCTTTTGAAAGCCGATGAATGGGCATTTCCTCGGAGGATGTAATGGACCAAGAAATAACGAAAATGCCTGACGGATAAGTCATGACTGGAAGTTGTTTCACACTAATCGCAGAGTTTACCGGAATTCGCTGAAAAGTTGCTGGAGGCTCCGGTCGCACAGCTGATAGTGAATACAGGGAGACGGGGGGGGGCATGAAGTCTGTGTGCACTCAAACCTGTCATCAGATTTACTAATAGATGCTGCAGTTGCAAAAACACACCCTAATGCAACTTTATCACTCATTAAATAATACATTTCATTGCTGTGATGTTGCCACAGTAATCTGATTAAAGTCATATTTTTGTGTTTTTATGACTTTAATTTAAAGAGGACGGGACAGTGTAGAGGACAGGAAATGAAGGGAGACATGCAGGAAAGGAACCCGGACTGACTGCTCGAGGCAAAACCGCTGTACGTGGGATTGCACGCAGACTGCAGGCTCTTTAAATCGATGTTAGCATGCTGATGTGAGGATGATGTAACTGTCTGCTGAACCAGGTTGTAAAGGAGTTTATTCCTCCTGTAATATGGGGCCCTATGGAGATTTCTTGGCCTCTAGTGGACACTCAAGGAACTGCACTGATTTGCGACTCTACACTTTATTTTTCTTGGGTGCATTTATTCGATAAAAGGACTGATGAGTGAGAAAATGTGGGGAGCAGAGTCAAGTAGACATGCAACAAATGGTCGTGGTCAAGTGTCAAATCAGTGACTACCACCACAAGGACCACAGCCTCTATTCCTGGGATACACACCCCAATGGCTTCTGTAAAGTCCCTGATTCTCTTAGAGCGAGCTGACTGCTGATATTTTGCCGTGCAGAGAAAGTGAGGCATGTTATCCCTCTGTTTTATGACAAATTTGATGCTTTGAGACGGGGGCTTGTGCACAAATACAGGACATAACACACACTAGCTTTTTTCCTGTGTTGCCAGTGATTGCGCTAAAACATGATGTCCATAAATCATCTAATTCACAATGAAATCCTGCAAAAGAAAACTCCAAAGGAGCCTCAAATTACCACCAAACACACCGTTTTTCTCTTGGTTTACAGTCATGGAGCATTACAGTGGAGGTAGATAAAAGCAGAGGCCTGAGGATAAGGAAAGTATGACAATGAATTTGGCCGACCTGTTAGTTTGTACAAATCATTCCTGACAATACAAGAACTCCACCTGTGAAATTTCTCAGGAATATTCATGTCAGCCGGACACGTTACCTCATGGCTCTCCTGTTTCAGCGTCAGGATCAGACTGTGCCAGGCCAGCTGTGCTCTTTATCTCTGAACATTAAAAACCCGCTCTCTCTTTTTCCCCATGCCTCTTACGCTCCTTTTTTCTTTATCTGTTGCCCGCAGAAATGGTTCAGTCTCCGTAACGCACAGTGGCGGCAGGCGGAGGGTCTTCCAGCTGGACGGGGGAAAGTGTACGACTGAAACACCTGCTGGATCGAACCTGATGCTCCGCTCTGATTTTGGCTTTTCCTCCTGGACAAACTGACCCCATCGTTTCTTCCTCATGTGTGTCCAAATCCTCTCTTTTTTGTATCTATGAAGCTATTTTAACTTACTGTATGGAATGTGAAGGTGTTTGTGTGTTGTTGCCTATATAACCGCCATGTTTACAGAAATAAACCTATTATATTAAGTTAAAAATGGCTCTGAGTGTGTTTTAGAGGAGCTGGATTAGTGAGGAAGCAGGGTTATACAATAGTGTTTGGGTGTGGTGGGGGGCTTTGGGGGTGGCATGCTTTTGTTTTCAGGTTTTGTTTACGTCTATGTCAGTCAGCAGGGAGCAGAGCTGGACGTCCGAGCTGCAACCGGACAATAAAAGGTGTAAGAAAGCGCCGGGATCACAATAGATGCTTCTGGAACCAGCTGGGGAAGGCAGACCAGGAACTTACAGGAACAAATCTGGAACATTTCCAGGCGTTAGAGGAGGGAGGGAGGGAGGGAGGGGTTGACATGTGAGCCGGCCGAGCTGAATGGCATCATGGGCTAAACAAATGACAGGTGATGTCATGTCATTGTCCCTTTTGTCCCATGTTGACGCTCTGAGTAAAAAGATGTGATCTCACCGGTGGATTAAAGCTTCACACCCAAAAAGAGGGTTCGGTATTCTTCTGAGAAATTCCACTGACAAGAAAAACTCTGTTTCATTCCATTATGCCCCTTTATAGCATGAAAAATAAGATGTTCCTCTAATAGTCCCACAGGGGGAAATCCCAAAATTACAGAAGCCTAGCATAGATACACAAAGAGAAGAATTTAAAGAGTAAAAACAAGATATGTGCATATGTCATATTTACATCTGTACAGAATTTACATAATAATCTGGTTTATTGCACACTGAGGTTCCTGTTTTGGAGTTGATACCTGCGATACCTCTCTGTCACACACTTTGGATCAGACTTGTGTTAAATTTTTAATCAATCTAGTACAAACAGCACCCCAAAATACTCAGTGTAGAACAAATGTGTATTAATACGCCAAAGAAAATAGTCCCGACAAATGCCCTCATTCCTCTTGTTAAAAATAAACTAGATTGAAAACTTCAGCTGTTTTTTAAGTCAACTGAACCTCTGCAATAGTGAAGTTTTTATGTTCAATATAACATCTTGATATTTTCTCAATATAACAAAGATAACTTTGTCATGAGAACTAAGAGTAAGGAGGTGCCACTTTTAGTATTTTGAAACTGATTGGGATAAAAAAAAAATAGGAGGCTGTATTAATGTGACATAGAAGGAAAAGGACACAAATCAAGGTGCAGTAGGGACCTGAGATAGTTTGACTGACATGACTCTGTCGTGGAAATCACCACATGAGCCTGCAGATAATAAAAAAAGGTCTTTTACTGTGGGATTAATTTAAAGTTTAAAAGGTTAGCTCAACGATTTTAAGTCATGATTTTTGCTGTAAAGAAATGAAAAGGCTGCGAGAGGGAGAGAGAGAGAGAGAGAGAGAGAAGGGCTAGTAGGATAGAAATCCTGACCTCTCTGTTTTGAGTGGGACTGAATCAGGAAAAGTGGAAGAAAGAGAGAGAGAGAGGGAGAGAAAGAGAGAGAGAGAGTGAGGGGGGATATGAAGTTTCCTGCCAAACAGCCTGGAGTGAAAATGCTCTGATTGTGGGAACCGTCTGCACAACGAGCTCGACAGAAACCAACACCGACCCAACAGGTAGTTCAACTGCTCATTAAACACACGGCTGCTTTTTACAGGCTGCTGGGGCTCACTGTTTATACTGGCATGGACACACACACACACACACACACACACACACACACACACACACACATTCATAAAGTACACACACTGGAAATACTGCAAATATGCTCATGTTTTCTATAACAGTTTTACTTCCTCCAAAACCCAGTAAAATCTCCTCGCTTCTGCAGATTTAAAACAAGTTTTTATGTCTTTATGAAATAATTAAAGTCCTCATTAGTGTGTGAAGACTGCACACAAACACACACACACACACTCATAAAGTATGAACACAGACGCCTTCATATTTACATTTACCTCTGAGTCTTCATTTTAACCAGCAGAGCTCAGCTTTAAACCTCTCACTGCGTAAAATGAAACTTTGACTTATTATGAAGGAGGACGTACAGTTCCTCATTACTATAGAAAAACACAGCACATACACACACACACACACACACCAACACACAGCAGTGTCTGTTTCCTGAGCCTGGGGGTGTTTTCCCCTGATTAGCTGAAAAACAGGCATATTTGTTTATAGTATGCACACACACACACACACACACACACACACACACACACACACACACACACACACACACACACACACACACACACACAGATTACGCACTGTTGCTCAAGCTGAAAACACACACTGTGTCTGATCCTGCCTATAAATCATGATTCTATCCCACAGTTTGCGTTACGTAACACCATAAATTATCCTAAAGTGATGTTTTATGGCTGATGTGACAGATAGTTAGCGCCTCCTTTGGCATTAAATTCCCATGATATTGTGTATTTGTCAGTGTGGATGGGTAATAAGTCATCACCTATTATAAATAAAAGTGAGTTGGTCACATACATCATGCAGGTGCAGCAATCACCAGCATCAGTAAGAGAAAACAAGGTAAGTCCACAAAATCACTCAGTGCTACAAGAAGCTTATGAAATCTCTGGTCTTTGTCAGGTGATGGCTTTTAGAAGATGGGAGCCTCTGTAGACTTATGTTTAGTTTATGTTAAACAGTCACCTTTCTCCCTGTTATAACTGCATCATGGGTCTGAACAAACTAAAGGTCTTAGCTCCCATCCAGTTCTACTGTGCACAGAATTAAAGATGATATGCATAGACAAATGCCCCTGACTGCTGTTAAATGAACAGACCAGATTAATTATGGTGGTGTTTGTGTTTTCCAAACCTCAGCTGTCTTAGTAGTTACTGTCCTTTGTATCATGCTTTTATGTTTTTAGCAGGATCTTAACAGGGTCAAACTGTCATTTTAGTGATATCCAGTGACTCTTGTTTATTTTATTTGTTTATTTTTGTCTCTTGACCACGATCAGTGAGCCACTGGGAGTACCTGTCAATGTCTTTGGTCTGTGCTGTTTTAACCTGTCTGCTGCATGTGTCCTGTGTTTTTAATGTTTGTGCATAAAGCTTCAAATGCCTCTTTCCAGACTGCAAAACAAATCTTCCTACGAGTATCAATAAAGTTACTGTTCATCCCCAATTTTGCAGAGGAAACAGAAATCCTTCCACGTGTTCACTCAGTCCTCATATGACATTAATCGAACCAAATCTGGACAGCTGACTCGTTTATAACGGTGGCCTACATTTACTCCAAACTCATTGAAATGATTCTACAAACCCACAATTTCTATATCAACTAGAAACTAGGTGTACATATGAACGTGGTTATAAAATTGGTTATAAAAGGTCAAAGATCACGAAGGCCCGGTGGTAATAAGACGTCCCTGCTCTCCTGCACTGATCTGTCTGGCAGGAAGAAGCGCCTCAGCTCTCTCTGTCCTCGAGTCACTCCGGTAAACGGATGATCACAGCGTCTGATGTTTTGTTTTGAGGGCTGCTGAGTGTGCGCAGAATTTGAATGGACTCTGGTTTTGTTTGTTGCTAAGAGGACTCTGCAGAGCCGCGAGGAATCTGCCATTTAAAGGCTGCCAGGCTCGGTCTGACCCCTACAACATGACTTTTTGTCACAACAGTGTGCCCTTTTTTTATCAGCCAAATTTAAGTCAGGGGGGGATCGTCGGTTTCTTTTTGCACTCTTTGGGTTTATACTTTTTGCACCTCAAACTGAAACTTGCTGTGATGTTATAAAGTTGACTTTGAACACTAAACCAGAAATAAAGAGTTAACTGACCAAAACAAGGAACATAAATCCTTTTTTTAAATCTATGAAAGACTTCAATATGTCATCAAGTAAAATATCATCACTAAACACTAAAAGGTTTGAGTAACAGAAGAGAGAATTATTATCCTTTTTTAGCGTTGTCATCTCTCCTCTGCAACTTGAAAACATGCTGAGCTAAGCCGTTTTTGATTTCTTCACACATTAATGTTTGTGCAAATCACATTTAACAGCTTCTTCACATTTATCTGTACTTTTTAAAATTGGTTTCCAAACACAAATTAAGTACTAAACCCATTTTTTATGTTTGCAGACGCCCAGATTTAATGATATTTGACTTCTGATGCCTTTTTGTACTAAACCTGGGCCAGCACGCATTATTTGCATGTTCAATTTCTACTCATAAGCACAGAAAGTACCACACTGATTTAGTTTTAGAATCTTGCACAATTTCCAGAACCCCAAAAATTCAATAAAGATGTTCTGCACATCAACAAAGATCAGAGCTGACTTTCAAAACATCAACATCTGGAGGACACATGAGGATAATCTGTAGTTTTAGGCAACGCATGCAAAAGGTTGTTGAATTTTTGTCAAATGAAAACTTTGAGGCCTTTTAGTCACCTCAGGTTAACCTCTGACATCCTGGCTGTCCTCTTTAGTTTTTCTCCGCCCCTTCAAAAAGTTAACACCTCCAAGAAAGTCATTTTTCACACATCTGTTTCTCTTGTTTCGGACCATTTGCGCAGGACGAACAAACCACACGGATGGTCTGGTTTTACCTCATCTCACACAGCACAAATGGTGGTGGATTACTGTGCTTTCTGTGTGGAGTCCAGCAGCTGTATCAGTCCAACTGGTTCAGGTTCAAAACCACAGTGAGAGCAGACAGAGTGCAGACAGAAGGCTGCTGCTGCCAGTTTCTCACAACTTCAAGACTGTTTACCAAAGACAGAGTCGCTGTAACTCCACCCTGACAGGGTTGTTTGCAGAGTTAATCCATGCAAATAAAAGCTCAAATACAGATAAATAAACATGTTTTCACTCAGTCAGATATACAGCAGCAGGGCGTCAAATAATACAAAATATTCACTTTTTTATTGTGCTGTGAATTAACAGAAGTTTTAAGTTGTTCTACTTGGTAACAGAGCAGGATGATGGTATGAGAAGTCTCATTTGAACCACTTCCTGTGTTCAAACAAAGGTGTTGGCTGATGTACGCAACATCCTGAGTGAGGCCATTGGCACACAACATGTGACATACCAGTGTAAACTCAAACAGCAGCAAGGAGGGGAGCCGTGCCACAGAGTGCAAACAAGGTGAGAAGCGATGCATGGACATGAGCTTTCTGTGATGTAGTTTCTCATGTTATTATCCTTGTTTTTAAACATGGGTATGGAAAACCACATATGTGCAAAGACCACATATCAAATCATTAAACTCAAAAACTGCGTCTGATGAAAGTTGACTAACAGAAGGCTAGTAACATTACAGGGTTTACATAGAGCACTCCAGAGAGGATGGGTCCCTCAGAGATAAGGATGGGAAGAGGCTCTACAACTCTTTAACTGAGGAAATAGTTCAACACTTTTAGTATCATATTTCTTTGTGTAAAATCATCAAAAGTACCTGATATTGTTTAAAGAGTCAGAGAATCTTAGCAAAAAAGGGTCCAAACTGAAAACCTTTAAAAGAGGACTGTGATCTGTGATTTATCATATCATGCTATGACATTATTTAACATTATATCTGACATTTTTTTTCATTCCATACTAATATTTTTTTCATACTACTATATAAAAAAAAATTTTGACACTAAAATTTGAATTTTTTATCATACTATATTATGTAATTATAATCATACAATAATATGGCTTTTTTTCAAACTAAAATATAAAATTTTTATTCATAATAAAATATTATTTTTTTCATACTTTTATATAAAAAGTTTTAATTTTTACAGACTTAAATATGAAATTTTTATCATACTATACTATGGTTTTTTTTTCATACCAAAATATGAAGTTTCTATTCACACTAAAATGTGAAATTTTTTAACATACTATGATATGACATTTTTATCATATTATACTATCACATTTTTAATATTAAATAGGAATTTTATTTTCACACTAAAATATGAAATTTTCATCATACTATACTATGGCATTTTTATTTTACTAAGCTACGAGATTTTTTCATACTGAAATGTGAATTTTTTTTTCATACTAAAATGTGAAATTTTCATCATACTATACTATGGCATTTTTTCCAAACTATTCTACAACATTCCTTTCATTCTAAATAATGAAATTTGTTATCATACTATTCTAAGAATTTTTTTATCAAACTACACCATGACATTTTTTTTCATACCAAAATACAATATTTTCACACTTAAATGAGAAATTTTTGTCGTACTAAACTATTGCATTTTTTATCATACTTAAAAAAGGAATTATTTGTCATACCAAAATATTACTTTTTTTCATACTAAAATATGAATTTTTTATCACACTATACTATGACATTTTTTTATTAAATTAAAATATGATTTTTTTTATCATACTATACTATGACATTTTTTTCATACTAAAATATAACATTTTTATTCGTACTAAAATATGATTTTTTAATGCTATTCTATGAAAGTTTTATCATACTGCACTATGACATTTTTTTAATGTAAATTACAGTAAGTTTTTCCACACTTAAATATAAAATGTAAATCAAACTATACTATCGCATTTTTTGTTTATTCCAAAAAACGAGTATTTTTTTACACTTAAATGTGAAATTTTTATCATATTATAGTGTTATTTTAATCATACTGTATTATGGCATTTAAAAAAAAAATCTAAAATATATATTTTTTTTCACGCTAAAATATGACATTTTTTATCATACTATACTATGACTTTTTTTTCAAACTAAAATATTAAGTTTTTATTCACACTAACGTATTACATTTTTAACATACCATACCATGGCATTTTAATCATGCTAAACTATGACATTTTTTTTTAATACTAAAATACAAACTTTTTATTTATACTTAAATATGATCTTTTTTCATGCTATCCTATGAAAGCTTATCATACTGCACTATGAGATTTTTTTTCAATCTAAAATACGATTATTTTTTCCACACCTAAATATGAAATTTTTATCATACTATACTATGTTTTTCTTTTTTTCATATCAAAATATGAAAAAAAAAATTTCACCTAAATGTGAAATTTTTATCATACTATGCTGTTATTTTAATCATACTATACTATGGCATTTTTTAAATTCTAAAAAAAAAAAATATTTTCACATTAATTTTTTTTTTTTATCTTACTATACTATGGCATTTTAATCATGCTGTACTATGACATTTTTTTTCATACTAAAAAATTTAATTTTTTTTCAAACTAAAAAATATTTTCATCCTACTATACTATGAAATTTTATTATACTATGCTATGCCTTTTTTTTTCTTACTGAAATGTGAAATTTTTTTTCACACTAAAATATGAAATTTTCATCATACTATACTATGGCATTTTTTTCCAAACTATAAAAAGGATTTTTTTGTCATACTGATATATTACTTTTTTTGTATCATACTAAAATGTGATTTTTTTTTTACTACCTATACCCTGACAATTTTATCATACTATACTATGACATTTTTTTATCATATTAAAATCTGATTTTTTTTCACACTTAAACATGAAATTTCTATCATACTGTACTATGGCTTTTTTTTTCATGCCAAAATACGGATTTTTTTCACACTAAAATGTGAAATTTTTATAAAAACTATGATATGGCATTTTTATCATACTATACCATGACATCTTTTTAAATTCTGAAATATCAATCATTGATTGATTGATTAAAAAAAAAAACAATCTGTAACTTTGCTATAGATATGCACAGCCACATGACATTTGGTACACAGATCTTGAGGGGCGTCCTCTTGAGGGCTGCTATGTCAAATGGAGATCCAACCAAAAATGAGCTAAACTAAATAAACCACAGCAGTCAAAGAAAGTCACAAGTACCAACCATCACAAAGGTTTAAGCTGTTGTGAAGGTCACTGCACCTTGGATGCATCGCAGGGCGTTAGTTTTTATTGGTGTGGCAAACATTGAAAATATTCTGTGGCATTTTTATTTTCAAAAAACCACAAACAACACACAGTTCAGGTCTTACATGCCAAACAAATACAGTTTTTGAAATTTAAGATTTCACTGATGGACAACAAAGCCCTTTTTTTAGAATATAACACAACTCTCTTGTATGTTTGCAAAAGTCATGCCAAACTCCCATTTTTGTAGTCATTACCTCGTCTGAATTTCTTGATGAATAGAGTCATTACTTTTCTAGTTTATAAACAAACACACAAAAAGTTTTGTAGCAGAGAAACACTGACTGTTACCTTCACATTGGACCTAAACTTCACAATACAGAGAATTTTTGTTTGGCTTAAACCGAGCTGTCTTTTTTTATGTTTGTCCCCATCTTCACACCTCTTTGTGGTCCAAGGTCAGGATCGCAGCGGGCTAATCCCAGATTAGCCTCCCAGCAGGGTGTAGGTTCAATCTTCTCTGATGTCTAGTCGAAACGAGTCGAGCTGGGCCAAAAACCTTCACCGGCCCACGCTGTCTTCGAATGAAATTACAGCACAGGGCTACCACCTCAGAGTGTCGTCTTCATCCTGAAGCTCCAGCACTGATGGAGTGAGGGGGATTACGGTGGATTTCAGCCAGCAGCTTCTGTAAACTAAACTGTGGTCAAAACGTGGTCATGACCTCTGAGTGGGGAAAGGGGGAGCTTCTGATAGGCTTTGGTAAATTTTCTCACACTGAGATTACCCCTGTGTTTACACAATAACCCTTACGTAACACTGTTTAAATATGGAAGAGTGAGAAAACGCTCATGGCACATACATACATCTGCCGAAACTTTCAAACTGGTTGGCTCACTTTAGAGAGGAGAGACGGAGAGGAGGTGATGAAATAATAAAGAAAAATGTTTCAGCTTAGAGGTTAAAATACCCTACACATGAAAAATACCAAACAGATGCTGTGTGAGAGGATTCAGATAAGGCAAATGAAAAATCTACCTGGATCACTGTATTTAATCTAACTTCAGACAACAACTACAAATCTTGAAATCTCAACAATCTTTTTACATTCTCACATCTGGACCCAAACTTTTTTATTTCAGGTTTTTTTGTATGATTTTGGTAATAAAAGACAACACTTTGCCTTTTTTTACACTTCAAATGACCTTAAATCATATCAGATTAGAGGATCTTGAGATGGGATTAAAGCCAGCCTAAATAGAGCACAAAAAGAGGTTAATTCTTCAAATCAAGATTTTCATGAAAACACTTAAAGATATGAGAATCACACAAACTCATCACGGACTCGATTGTGATGTTACATGATGCTTTGGATGTTTTTAGGGCTCCACACTGGTTCTCGTGGAGGGATGTAGTCCTTAGAAAGCTGTTTTGGTGCCGCCAGCATCTCAACACGAGAGCTCACCATGGCTTTCTTCGCTGCGTTTGAAACCTGAAAAACACCATCATCCAGGGAGACTTTGAACTATGAAATCTGTAAATTTCCTCTAACAGAATGATAAATAAGTATCCCTAAAACACTGGATAATATTAAGCAGTTAACAGTTCATTGTTGAATCAGACCGGGTGTTTTTAAATGTGCTTCAAATAGTCACGGCTTTTTTATTTAGGCCTGTTTTTCCTCCTAAATTAAATAATAATGATTTTTTGTATCAGTCGGTTCCCTCACAGTCCAGATTGATTCCTCTGGACGTCCGAGCTTGCAGCAGGTGTTGCTCTCCTTAAGTCGTGGCAGTGAAAGCCGTGTGAGTCTCTGAGAGATCTGAGCCGTCTTAGAGGCAAATGTCACAGTGGATTCAGCACTCTGAAAAACATAAAACAACGATAGTTTGATTGTAGCCGGAAATAATCCCAGTGAGAATAATATTTCCTTTTTGAATTAAATGCACAGTATGCCATTTCTCCTGCTACCCCTTAATCTGTTAAATTGTTCTTTATTTTCACACAGATGTAATAATGAAGACGAAGAAGAGCGGTAAACTATCACCTCTCTGTTGCTATGGAAGTCTGGGTGGATCAGTTTGGGGTTGGAGAGCTGCAGGAGTCGCAGTGAGATCACAGCGGTCTTCACTCTGGGCTCAACGTGCCAAATAGGACAGTTAGTCTCACAGTGAGGAGTGTGAGGAGGCCTGAAGGAGCAGCAGAAACACCGTCAGAGGTAAACACCCAAAGAGTCAAAGGATTCAGATCGAGCTGGGAATGATGACGGAAAAGGAGGAATATTTACGTCTCAGAATATATCATAAAGCATAAACACAGTAGGAGATTTCCTCACTTGTATTAGCAGATACTTAGTTAGACTATTACCTACAGATGGAGGACATTACTGAACCATCTCTGGAAAGATAAGCAGCTCTTTCTCTCTCTCTCCAGCTCTCATTTCATCACAGTGGACTCTCTTTTCCCTGAAGGCACAGATTTCTAATTTTAGAAGGAACAATGTTTGTTTTTAATCTGCCATGCAGCTTGTGATACCTCGTGCTCTGTCTGCTTCATTTATTAATATATTGTTGGTTTTTTTGGTGCTCTGTTTTCTCAAGATGAGAGGATTAACTTTTGACTGCTGCTGATTATTATTGTCTATTCAGGGCATTAAAACAGCAATCAGTGTAATGTCTACAATTTAATCACAGAGGCAAATATTCATCGACATGAGTAAGCCTTGTATGAATCTGTCTTCATGCCCAGTAATATGTCCCGCTGCCGTGTTTAGGATTTATAAAAAGACTTCCGTGGCTGTCTGTGGGCGTCCCAGGGGTCCTGAACTGTGGACAATAAGCTCTATTGTCTCTGCTGCTGCTGGCTCTCGCACAGTCTGACTCTGAAATAACAGATGTCCAAATGCAGGCTTCCTCACGCAGCGTGGAGACGTTAGCGTTGGACCGCAGCCTCTGCTCGGCCCTCTCAGATTTAACTCTATCATATGTTGGATTAAACTCCAGACTTTGGTTCATATATGTGGATCCCCTGTGGGAGAATAAGAGTTCAGAGTCACAAATCTGCCAAAATGCAGTGACATGTGAGCCGCTGGAGGGCTAGATAAGGAACTGATCTTTAAAACAGGTCTGTTCAGAAGTGTCCATATGGTACACATAGAAGCTGTAATTTATATATGAAAGGAGGAGAAGTTTATCGTATATTAGTTCTCTCCAGATTTTTGCTGTCAGTGCAGAAAAGTTAAAAAGTAACACTGAACAGCAAAAATGAGATAAAAGATATTAAATAAATTGAGTTATGTGACCCAAAAAATTGAGTTCTTAATCAGCTCAGCCTGTATTTTTCAAAAGCTTAAATCTGGATTAGAATAAGTCAGATTTTAGGAATCCACGATTTCTATCAGAATAATTATTTTTGTCTTGATTTTTCTTACATAACCTGAATTGTATCAGCCAGATAAGATAACCAAATCTCTTAGTGTAAGAACTCTAAATAGAACAACATACTTCATCCACAGGGGGCGCCAAATCCACACAAAATGGAAAATCTTGACTGAAACTCATTATGTTTGATATTCGAGGTGCGATGTGTAATATTTGGCCACTATTAGCAGCCTGGACTTGGAAAAAAAGGAATAAAATAAAAATAAGTATGTTTAAATTAAAATCTTTTTGTTATTGTTCATTTAGGATGAGACTGTTAGATTCATGTAGGAGCAGGTCCTCATCCTCCAGCACTGACAGGTTTCTACAAAAGCACAGGATGTACAAACTTTTAACATTTGAGATTTTATATTTAGCTGGTGGCAGTGAGGACGTAGAAGAAGTGGTTGTAGCTGTGCTTAAAAGTTTTGGTTTTTTTGATGGTGTGAACTTGAAAAGTGGGGGATCACAGGAGCCACTTGTCCTCGAAGGCTACAGTTACCCTGCTGGTGGGAGAGGTGAGCAAGGGGAAAGTTTCAGCCTTAAATCTGACAGCTAGATATTGCTGAATATTTCCATTTCTTCACACTGCACCTTTAACTCCTATTTACTATATGTTGGAAAATTCTGCAAAGGCAAAATCCTGAAAGACTATTATCGAAGTTTTGGTGCCTCATATTATTTCATCCGTAATCCATCTGTTCTTGAGAATAACCCATTTTCAGACTCCTTCCAGTCTGACAAGATACTTTTGAGTCACAGGGCCCCTGTTAACAGTCCTAATCCTGTTATATCTTGTAACTTTAGTCAGACCCGGTTTTTATCTACGCAGCTAGATGTCCTTGGACCATCACATAATCAAACATGTCAGGTTTTGCTTTGAGAATCGATGATATCAGCCTCATCAGTTTGACTCTTAGGTGAGATATCAGCTCCTACAATAAGGCCACAGCTGAAACAGAGTTACCATGTTGATTTATTTGGTACAGGTGTCTCATTCATGTACTGATGGTGGTTGTGTTTCCCTGCTAACTGATCCCTAAAGCTGCCCACTGAGCCAAGTCACCATAAACACCTCAACAGTCATTTGACCTGTAAATATCTGGTTCAGCAGCACTTCTCCTCACTTCCCTGACTGTGTTTGAAGTCTAATGAGACTTTTACCCTGCTTCCTGGGTCCTGCAGCTCCTGGCTTTGGGTGTTGACAAGCGGACAATGTGCTCGTACTGGGACGCCCTGGAGGAAGGACGCTGGGTCTTCCTGAAGAAGCTCTCCTCCTCCTCCTCCTCTTTCCTGAAGGAAAATGAAAGCCATTAACATCCATTATATGTTGTGTTGTGGGTCCTGGACAAAAGAATGTCTTGAGCCAGAGGGACGGAGCAGGAGGAAGAGGGGGGGAGCGCAGAACAATAGATGAAGTGTCAGAGCGTGGATGAGGGCAAAGTTACGAGTGGAATATCGTGAGCAGCCACAAAAACATTTGAATTCTTCAGCAGTGAGATTACCAGGCTTGTTTTTGAGAAGTGGACTTGTCTACATTTCACAAAGATGATTAAGTGTTCATCATATGTGCAAAATAAAGAACGAGGAAGTGGAAGTGGAAGTGGCCTCGATTCCCTGATTCTTGATTTTGTGTTAGAAATGATTAGATGAGGAGCAGACTGTCAATCAGGTAATCAGATTACAAATTAAGAGAGTAGCCCAGACCTCTTGACTGCACAGGGAAATAATTCAATGAGGAGCAGACGTGTAATTACCAGGTCTCAGATACAGAATCTACAATCTGCATTTAGAAAAACTAGAAAACACACCAAACTTGTATGTATCCAGCAGCTTAAATCAGCTGCTCCTCTACACCATCCGTCGGACGCTTTTGAAGCAAACCAGCAGGTGATTGCTGTCATCTTCAGTTACAGTAAATTAACGTTATTTGTTCTGGGAGCCGCTCTTCCTTGTGTGGGCTTCTGATTGAATTACACGGCATATTAGGACGATTTAAATCTGACAGCCGAGGCCGAGAGACAACAATGTACATGTAAAAGCCTCTGAGCTGAAACTCCTATCGCAGCTTCTCCTTCCCTAATCGAGCCTGGCAGCTCTCAGAGGTGGTCACGTCTGATCTGATGCAGTTGGCACCCATCCTGTACATCACTTTACAGTCTGCACTTCCTGAAAGCATAAAGTCATTACCCCTCCAGCTTTGCAAACATTTTCTCAAATATGTGGACGCAGCAAAACATAAAAAGCTTGTGTAGAACGAGCACAAACAGCCCTCCCTCTCATGCTTTTTTGATGGGGTCATCAATAATGTTCAGGCTGCTGTTACCTCTGGTGGTCCTCCCTTGCTGAGAAGTCTCTTTTGTGCCTGGCTAGGTATTGGATTCTTGCACTTGGAGTGGCTCCGAGTGCTGCAGAGGAGACGGGCCATATTGGCTCCTGGGTGCCCCAGCTCAGCTTCTCACTGATCGATGCAGAGAGGAAAAATTTCCAGCTATGATTAAAATGTCAATTTAGAAGCAAAACAAATAATTTCCATGAGGGATATTTCCAAAAGCAACAATGATACTCTCAATCAGATGTGACTATTGTTTATTTTCCCTTCATTTCGCCCTTTAGTCCACACGTTCACAGCATGCTCGACATCTGTCTCAGATTAGGAAGTTTACAAAAATTGCATTTAGGGAAGGAAACACTGACCGCAGGCTCCTGAATTCTTGGACCCAATTTCACACCAGATCAATGAACAAACAGGCAATTTTCATATGACGTAACAGCTGGAGCAGACCAGCGATACTTCTTGTGGTGCCGGACGACTGGTGATTGTTTGAAAGAATTTGATTTCAATCGAGAGCAAAAACTGAGTTTGACTCGGCTACTCACCAAGGAGTCGTTGCCCAAACCGTTTTTGAGGTTTTGTGCTGAGCCAGCTCCAAGATTCTGCCATAAAAACACAAATCAGCATTAAATAAGAGTGTAACTCAGAGACTCCGGGCCTCAGGGGGAACATGCAATCACTCAGTGGGTTTCCCGTTTTTAGTTGGAGGGTTTTCTTCTCTTCTGGCAGAGCTGAGACGTTCAAAAACTGGTCTTACTTCAGTGAAACAGTTGGCTCCCGACTCTAAACCTCGCTGTGACCACTAATCAAACTCTGAGACATAACTGTCGAAGTTTATCTGTGAGTCATACAATACTGGGACAGAGGTTTTTCTTTTCGCAGGCCTGGCTGGAGAGAGGAGTTTGAATCTTTTGACCACTCTGGATTTATACCGACATGGTGACACATAAAAATAAAGTTTTCTCTTTGCTTTTAAAACCTCTTGTCTTTTAAACAATCCAGTTATATGAACATTTTAAGAGTAATTTAACTGGATTCACAGCTTTCCCATAATGTAAAAACCTATTTCAGCATATACTGTCTCATATTGAAGGTATTCAAATACAGCACCATGAGGTTCCCCGGATATCTAATAAAGAACGACTAGGACTAAGAGCTTATGCTAAAGCCTCTTTAGTGAAACTCATAAGACATGAACTTTTCCTTTTATAGTACTGCAATCTTTTGCACTACATGTCTTTCAAATAAATAATAAAGTTAATAATACGAGTAATATTAACATGTTTTTATCAATTACTTCCAGCCACTGTTTTTACTGTAATAAGGGGAGTACTTTGGCAGCCGTCCATTCAGAAGTGTAGCCGACTATGCCTGTACAATTCCAGCGTTAATTAATGTTCGTCCTAAACTGCAAACTCAAATGCAATAGCTTGTTTGAATCAACGAATAAGCCCACACCATACATTGTGTTGAGAAAGCTGATAGCTGCAAAAGAGGGTTTAAAATGTTCACCTGTTTGAGGGTCCAAATCTGGGTCGAAAACCTGTAAAATAAATGACACAGGGCGTCAGCCTGAAAGTACAGGAGTGAAACAAAGCTGCTGCAGGTAAAAGTCAGGAGCTGTACCTTGTTTTCCAGACACCATCTCTTTTGCAGCTGCAGGCCGGCTGTGTCAGCTCTACCTGTTGATGGTGTCACTGTTATCTCCTGCTGTTGCTAAGGAGCCAGGAGTCCTAAGCAACCAACTCCACCCGAGAGTCCTCGATGAAACTGGAGTCTTAACACCCAAACCCATCCATCCTGTCGTCTTTGGACTTCCGAGGCATTATGTTTAAAGGAAAGTGATACCTCAGAGTCCGCGGTCAGGCGGCTGCTGCGGTATTTCTGGAGAGCTGGTGTGTGTGTTTGAATCAGATTCCAGATAGAAAAGCACTCACGGCTCGCAGAGTAAATGTCAGAGACTATGTTCAGACAAGACCCCGCTCAGACTTCATTCTCAGAAAAGTTATTTCTATCAGTTTAATTCTCACAAACGCCCCACTGCAGCGTGTCTGAAAGGTTTTGAGCTCTTACAATGACATGACAAAAATTCACAACATTAAATTTAGTGGAAACTATTTATTAAAGAACAGTTTTAAAGACCGTACAAGACCAAGAATAATATGTTCACACATTCGGTTCATTTTAAAAATGTGCTTTTTCAAAGTTTACACCCCTCACTAAAGCTATATGTTGTCTTTGGGATGACAATTTCTGCTGTGAATCATCAGAGAGTCTACAGTGAAATAAGGTAAGACAAAAAAAAAACCCACAATGCTTTGCTAAGACTTCTCAGGCAACATCTAAAATGTTTGAAAGGAGAGAAAAATGGCTTTAATTCCCTTTTTAAGAATAAGACTAAATAGTTTTCAAACACAACATTAAAGCTGTAGTCAAACAAAAGTCCATACATTCAAAAAAGGAAAAGGTAGTGTTGAAAGTGTGCCGACAGGGTGTCTGATATTCTGATAATAAAACAACAAAACGTGTATTTCCTGAAGTAAACAGCATCTACTGTGTTTTCATAGAAAGTAAAGTTGTGGTGTCCCCTGAATTTTTTTATTGGTAAAGATATTAAATGTAAGTCAAAAGGCTTTAAAACAGTTCCCAAAGCTGTAACGTCTTTTTCATAAAGCTATTATAGTCAAGTTTGCCTTTTGGCGGCCCCAAATGGCAGAAAGAGGTCACTTTTTAAAAAATGAAATAAAAATGAATAACCTTGGAGGTCTGTTTTTATGTACCGTCAACTGAGGACCTTTAAGCTTTTTATTTTGCTTCCGACTTCAGCTGCTGCATCACAAACTGTCGCTGTTTGTTATCTTACTGAAATCTGTCTAAGCACAGCTCTAAGTCCACACGGTGAGAAATGAAATGTTTCTGGATCATGATATTAAAAAAAAAAGTATTAAACAGTCCAAATTACAAAAGCAACAGTAACAGCCGGCTGTGTTTTGATCTACTTTCACTTCTCATGATAAAGGACCGTCAGGCCATTGCATCTGAAGGCAGCTGAACTCTTTAGAGACGCTTGTTTAACGGCATCTGCAGTGCAATATAACATTCAGAGAGAGGAGCAGTCAGGACTTGCAGTCTCGCAGGGTGAAATATTTATGTCTCTGCTAAAAACCTGATTTAATTTAAAGAAAATAAACCTCAGGTGAAAATAAAGTTTTAACACATCCTGAATCTACTCTTTAGTCTGAACTACAAAAAGTCCTAATTTTCCTCATTTATAAATAAGACTTGCAGCCAACCAGCTGTAGTGAAAACAGTAAAGTAAAAGGTCAAAAACACAGGATTTAGAGACCGTGGACTTGAGTCCAGCGTGTTTTATCTGCCATCACAAACCATCTGGAAGATAAGGTCCCGAGCGTCCTGAACCCCTGAGCTGAGCTCTGAGTCTCCCTTCTTGACGTGGGTGCCGATGAGGAACAACTTGCGGTCCCCAGCCTCCGACAGACACAGGTCTTCATGGAGGTCGGTGATGGTCCCGGCTCCTGGAAGATCCTGGAAACAAGAGTAAACAATAATACACACTTTAAAAACTGTCTCTCTCTTCATTTTGTATAGTTAATACACCCTTTAGACAGAACAGGTTCCAGTGAATGTGCCTCCGAGGACAACAGGAAAACTACTGTTTAACTTTTTAAAGTCAGATTTTGACAGATCTGCAAAGAACTTGTTCATTCTTGTCTTGTTTCGAGGGTATTAAAAAGATGGATCCTGTGAGAGAAAATACTGACTTTGGGTTGATTAAAGTGAAAGGAATATATTTAACAGATTTACAGTGCACAAAAATTATGTTCAAAATCTGTATCTATAACATTCGCCGACTTTCAAATAGAGGTGTGCACAATTAGTTGGCTAAATGACTGAACATGATCACCCCGATTTCATCAATACTTTGTCTACAGGAAGTGCCATAAAAGTTCCTTACTGGAGCTTTAATACAGAAAAGTCGGCAAACAGCTTCATAGATTTCCCTTCAATATAAGTTGATCTAAACACTTGAACCTCAGCAACGCAAATCTGCTCTGTTCATACTCATTTTCTGAGCATGGATCTATTTAACAAAGAAAATCACAACAGATAGTGTGATCTAGTTTTAAAAGAAAATGAAAAACTGTCAGGGGTCAATAAAAACAGCCCCTAACTTTGTTCAAAACGCAGATTTATTTCGTTGTTTGCAGCTATTTTCACATCAAAAAGAATTAATTTTGCTCCACAGAGTTTCAGTCAAATAAAACAAGACCTCTTTTTTTTTTATTAACTTTATTCTGACATAATCCAAACAATTTCCTGAGCTGAATTTAGTGCATAACCTCTGACTTCTCGCTGACGTCAGTTATCTTAAAGGTTATTTCAGGACAAGAGGCCCGCAGCCTTCTTTGACAACAGTCTGGAGTGTTTTGCTGTCACACTCACCTGTTTGTGGGCGAGCACCATCACAGGCAGGCTGGGGTCAGTGGCCAGCAGCTCGTGTAAATGCGTCTTAGCCAGAGGGAAGAGCTGCGGCTTGGAGGAGTCGACCACAAAGACTAACATAAGAGCCTTGGGCATGTACCTCTGCCAGTAAGGCCTCAGCTCTGCTTTTCCTCCAACTGACAGACAAACACAGACAAGACAGACAGGTGATTGTGACACAGACTCTTGGTCAGATTCATGACAGGCTCTTCTGTTTACACCACTTCAGACTTACTTTCTAGGAACTCGATGTGCAGGTCCTCTCTGTTTATGGAGACAGCGTTAAAGCCCTCTGTCGGCTCCATGTCCTGCTCCAGGGATCCTGTAGCCAAGCAGTGCAGCAGGCTTGTCTTACCGGCTCCATCCAGACCCAGAACTAGAACCTGCGTCCCAGCTGACTCAACAAGCTTGGACTGCTGCACACACAGACAAGATTTAGATATTAGATACCTGATGTTGAGTAAAGACAACGGTCTTTTTCCGATCATGTTCTGGCTTCTGTAACATAATGTAAACTTTATATCCAAGAGGTTCTGGTCGTTTTACAGACTTTAACCTACAGAGAAAGACTCATCATTTAAAATATGCCTCTGTATTAGCCACAAGACTAAAACAACCAAGACGATGTGCAATAGTATGAGGTTGTGTCAGAGATCTGCACACCCTATTGGCATCTGATGCAGCTCTAAGCTCTACCGCCACACCAGGTGAATCCACCGCATTGAGCTGCACCAGCTGAAAAGTACCAGGCCTACAATCCAAAAGTTCTCCTGCCAGTTCTCGTGTTTTGTGACATTGGTGAAGCAGCGGACTCATGAGGTGCTCTGCAATGATGGTAAACTCAAAGACAGTTGGGTTTTAAAAAGTGTTTGTTATTTTGCACTAAGTAGTGAACTAGCAAACATTATGAGTCTTGTAGGTCAGTAGGTCAAGCTGACTTTAAGTAGCATGACATAATTACTGTAGTGTTACTGTGTCATATTTCAGACCTGACAAGTTCTCTACAAGGTCTCGAACTATCAGTGGACATTTAGGACCTCATTAACCCTAGAACACTATCGCTGACCAAACATGTTCACGTGATTATCATTATGTTGCGTTTGTCTGAGTATCATGGGTCCCTGGTAGCTTCAGCATTGCCTTTGACATCTTTGAAAACCTGCTTTTTCCTACAGGCACATGTTCACAGGGTGATTTTCACCGGACAATAGTGATAGAGGGTAAAGTAGGTTTGGGTGGATTTGATAGCTGCATGTAGGTGAATAAGGTCAGTAAGAGTGGTCCTGGGATTTGCATGCTATATGAATAACTATCGCAAAGTAGTGCTTTTCAACTGAATTCATATGGTGATAAGAAATGTTTTAGTCAGCTGGTCATTTTTACTCACTATACACCATATTTTGGTTCTCTCTCCTGCAGCTGTTATTGTGCCAAGAACCCTGAGTCTAACCAGGGAAGACTCACATGCCCCAGGAATGGGTGGAAAAGAACTACGTGTACAGTGTCTACATATATCTAATTTTTGTTGTTGTTTTTAAGGATTTTTTGTTCATGAATGCCTAATTTCAGTTATTTTGTTGCATTTTTACATGGTCCCTTCATGGCACTTTTTTCCCCCCCATCTCTTTGGACATTGCACAGTTAAAAAATAAAAGAAAACTACTTTAATTTGTCATGTACTGTCCTATTTTGATGACAAGTACTTTTTATTTCGGCAAAAAATCACCGGCGATAGTGATGGGGTTACTAATTTTAGCTATAGTGTTCAAGGTTAATAGTCTAGTCTAAGTAGTAAGGGTATTTTATATCATTTTATATATATGTTTTTATTTTATTTTAAGGATATTGAATGAATGCTCAAAAGTCCTTGAATAGGCGTGTCCGTTAAAGTCAACGGTATAACTACCTCTGGTGCTTTAGGAGCTGCAGCAGCAACAGTAGAAGCAGCAGCGGAGACCACCGCCGTTTCCTCAGCCTCCTCTACGGCCTCCTCTATGACCTCCTGCTTCTCCTCCCTTTTCTTTCCGTCCTCCTTTTGAGTACCGGTCCCATCTCCTTTCGGCCGAGCTTCGCGCTGCTTCTTCCCGTGGGAGGACGCGTAGTTCCAGATTAGATACGCGACTCCCCCCGCCAGAGCCACGGACACTCCGACGACTCCGGCGTCTTTCAGAGCCAACATGGTGCCTCACCGCCGGGTTGGTGTTTTTCTAGCTGCAGCTGGGAGTCTTCTTTACCCGTCTGTTTCCGCCATGTTGTGACTTTTTTCTGAAGTTTGTAGGCAGGGTGCTCGTCTCCCTCTCTCCTCTTCAACAAGTGGATTATCAGACAGACAGGAAGCTGGGGAGCAACTCCTCTCAACGATATTTCCGGGCTGCTTTTTGTTGTTGCAGTGTCATAGTTTCGCCACAGGGTGACGCCATTAATGTTTAAAAGGGAGCAGAACGGGATAGTTTGGGGTTTTTAATCCAATATTTTAATAATAGAACAAACCTAACGGGAAAAAATAGATTAATATCACATTCAACGGTCGCGATGGTGTAGGCCTACTGTATAACGGCACAGCTGTGGTTCGGCCAAAAGACGGAGGGAATCACCGCAATGCTGAAAATATCACTAAGTGTGATTTTGTGTTTGTCTAAGTTATAAAAGTGACATTTAAAGTAAAAATTAACATGTATTTAGTCCATGACTCAACAGAAACAGTTTCGCTGCCAAGCAACCGTAACGTTCTGCTTGGCGGAGTGATACACCAAGTGAAAAAAGTCCCAGTATCGTTCCAATAGCAGCACAACAGTCATGCTTCTTGTCCAATCAGATAACTCATAGGGACTAGCTGTTTTTATAATTACAAACAAGCATAAAAAATGGTGAGCAACGTTTTTTCTGCCCCATATACAGACAAACTGACAAACACAAACTATACTGTATAAACTTTAAATTCTCACATATTTAGAGGTTTTTCAAAGTGAGCTATCTATCTGATGCCATCTTATTGGCTACATTATCTTATTTAGTAAAATCTGCCAGATAAATCTGCTAAACTGTTAACTGAACATCACAAAGATAACTGTTTGTTTAGGTTTTTGTATGTATTTTGTATAAATTCTGAAACTAACCTAGAACACAAGTTACAATTGCAAGTGAGCTCTCAAAATCCGGCTGAAAAGCTGTCTCAGATTACTGTGGTGCTCTGTCTAAATGATGTAACTCGTACATCATTTAAAAATGAACAGTTTTGTCATCTAGGAAAAGACTGAGCAGCCAAAGTTAAAGCAACCAATTTCAGGGGACAGTTGAATAATAATGAACTGCATTTATTAGATTTTAGCTTTACAACGAAAAGTAGAAATTTTTGAATACTTGATCAAATCAAAGCATTCTTTTGCACAACTTTAACCTGAAACAGAATTAAAGAGAACAGAAATATTATATATTGCTGACAGTCTTTCCATATCCTCTCCTCTTTATGGTCTATGAGCCTGGGACCTCTTCACCGGCACCCTCTCACTGTGCTCAGGAGCACTCAGGAGCCACGCCTGAAGTGTGCTCTCCTCCTTTGTCACCCCGAGACTCATCCAGGTCCGAGCCCGCAGAGATGGAGTTTTCCTGGACCGCGCAGGTGCTGTGGCCTCCTGAACTTGCTCAGCTCCTGAGCCTGACGAGTCCACCACCTCGGCCTGTCGATGCCTCCTGGCTTTGGACGCCAGTTGGAAGTTTCTGAAGCTCTTCTGCTTGATGGAGGACAGCAGCTTGGCTCTGGACTCCCCACTGTCTTTGTCCTCCTCCTCCTCATCAGAGTTTTTATCTTTGTCTTGTGAGAAAGTCTTCTGCTGCCAGGTGACAAACTTTGTCATGCAGTCTTGCAGTTGTGTAGCAAAGCCTTGGTGGGTCATAGTAGCCTGGGTGCTGACCTCCTTTGTGGCCCCCTTCTGCTTCTCATACAAGCTTTGGATGTTGGTCACCTCCTCCAGGGTCTCCTCAGAGAGGAGATCCGGCACAGCGGTGGTCCTCCCAAGAAACTCTGCACACACTGGCTCCCTCTGTGGTTTCCTCTGCTTGTTGAAGGTGAGAAAATGTGGCATGGCGGTGTAGTGGAAGGCTTTGGTATTAACAAGTTTTTGGTATATATAAATAACATCAAGATGCCCAGAATCCTTAGTGTCTTTCAGGAACGTCTCAACCGGAGCCCAGTCCCTCAGAGCCAGTCTGATTTGCACAGGTGGGACAACAAGTTGTGTGTGGTAGAAAGCAAACATCAGATACAAGCCTCCAACTCGAATCTGGTAGCTGTATGGAGGCAGGAAATACTTCAGCGCTGTTGCCAACGCCACTCTGCAGAACCTCTTCATGTCACCCCCACTGTTACTACCCCTGAAGACATCTGAGAAGCACATCTCCCTCCAGATGGCTGAAAACACCTCATACCTGACCGAATCGGTGAGCTGGAAGCGAGTGAGAAGTTCTTCCACATCTTCGGTCAGAGGATCGTAGAAGAATTCAGTGTAACTTGGCGGAACACGAGGCATCCTGACTGCAAAACTCCAGAGCTTAAGTCGGAACAGATTTAAGGCAGGTGCGTCTGGTCATTGGCTAATTACCAGAAATCCACACCCACAAACTGAGAGTGAAAAAGGTGATTGACCAACCAGAAATGTTCTCCAGTGGTTACACAGTAACCTTTCTTTTGGCCAACTGGAGTCCTCTTAGCAGGCTTTAACAGGAACTTACTGTATAATTCACCTGTGTTCACATTTTCCCTTAGAGGCCATATCCATGATTTAACAAAAATATCAAAATCTAAATATATATTGTTCTTTCCATTTAAACATTTCCAAAGTCAAGAAGACATTTAAGATGGACTCATTGATAAATAGGAAAATGACTGGGCAGCTCTGGCTTTGCAGAACCAAAACAGTGCCTGTCAAGTTAGAAAAATAAGATGTGAAAAGGTAAAATCCGAGGTAAGTATCAAGGGAAACACAGGGGCCGCATGGTGCTGTTGAGAGTTTTATTAAGACTTAACAAAATGGGACATCGGTCGGTCTCTTTTCTGATTCCTGACACATGCATCTGACAAATTTAAAGAGTTAAAATGAGTTTGCTTAAATTCAGACCAACACAGGGCTTTAAAAATAAATAGCTCTTGAACATCCCGTTTCAGCTGATTTAAAGAAAATGGACAGTTTAAGGAAACATGATCGAAAAATGCTGATGGGATACTCAGATTCAAGACAAATTAAAGGAAAAGTCCCCCAAAACTTAACTTTGTGATACCCCGCAAAGGCTGATCGCTCTCTGACTTTTACCTAACCTTCAAATTAAAATTAATGTGACATAAATAAGACATAAAATCACATGTTTTGTTTACGGTCTAAATCGTAACTTCACTAAATAGAAGTTTGATCAACCCAAAATTTCATTATCACATTTTATTGTGGAAATGTACAGATGTTTCTGAAGGCAGTGTACGCAAATGTACAAAACATTTGGCATACAGTGATAAAATAATACACCCAGGAACACCAGGTTACAGTACAGAACTGAAACTTAGAGACAATATCATTTGATCGTATTGTTTAATTTCACTGTGACCTCAAAAGGGCGCCAGTTTTAAAAAAAAAACTATATGAAACAGTCGTCTTATGCAGATCAACAAAAAGTTAAATTCATTGTAACTTTCCTTTAAATATTCTTTTTTTTCTGTCCTTTTAACAAAACGCCACAAATTAATGACACAGCAGGGCTGAGGGGAGCTTTTGGTTTAACATGTCTGAACGGCCAGGATAAAAAAACATGAAACGAAAACGCGACACGTGAAAAAGAGAAAAGCTTATGATTGCTTGTTGTCTCATCCACACAGACGTCCGTGGATCCCGTGGCCCCTCTTTTTCTTCTCCTTCTCCTTGTGTCGCTTCCTGCCGACTACCAGCCTCCTTTGCCTCCTTTCTTTTTCTTCGATGGTGCCTTCTTGCGTGTGGCGCCCGAGGCTGCGGGCTTCTGCTGTCGAGGGGGGACCATGTTGCTGGCGGTGGCGGTAGATGAACCAGATGCAGAGCCTGGTCTTGGGGAGGTAGGGGGGCTAGTGGCTGTCTTACTGGCGTCCCTGTACCAGAGGAAGGGACAGGTGTAATCACACAACAGTAATCTGAGTTGAAGTGAGTCTTCATGCCATGTGAGCCTTTTTCAGGAATGAGCAAAACCTCAGAAATGAGTCAAAGTCATTATAAAAGAAAACAGTTTCCTAACTCCTTCTTGTGCAAATTCTTCCTCCTAACAAATGAACCTACTCTTACTGTGACTGAGAACATGTTTCTCAGCAAACATTCAAGTCTCTTTCTGCACAGAGGCTCAACATCTACTCTGAGGGTCTCTATGGTGAAGCAAAACTGAGATTTAAGGTGTTTTTCTTCATTACAAGAAGTGATTAATACTCCTGTATTAGAGGAAACTCCACCCACATATACCCTCTCACAGGTGACATGCACGTGTACTTGATCCCCGAGGTTACTCACAGCTCGGCTGAAGCTCCTGCAGTCGCTCCCTGTGTGCCTTTCCCGATCTGCTCCTTCTTCTTTCCCTTCTTCTTGCCTCTGTAGTAGGAGCGCTCCCTCATGGGCAACCACCTCTCAGGGTCAGGGGTCGCTTTGGGGTCGTAGTTCTTCGGCAGCTTGCCTAAAAGTAGAAGGGAAGAAATTATAGAGGATTGTTTAAAGCCAACAATATTGTTGCAGTTCACACTGCTGGCCCATAGGGGTCAACAGTGTTCTTAGATCGATCCAATTTTAAAATCAGACTTTTTAAGACTTTGCAGCATTACCTAGAAACTTTCTTTTTTAAACAGTCACGGTTACCTCGGTCCTAATCAAGTAACGTTGTTCTTTAATAAACAGACCTTTTTTTTTACCTCAATACTCCCATAAACTATATTTGAGAAGATCCATACCCTTCTTTTTCTTCCTCTTCTTTTTGATGTCGCCTTGACTGTAAAGAAAACCAAGAGGTTTTAGTAAAAAGCAGTTCATAAACTTATCGAAGCATCTCCACTCTGTATAGATATTTTAAATACAAAATACTTATTTCATTTGGTGGAGAGTCAAAAAGGTTTTACCCAGGTTCTTTGGGAAGACTTTCTGGTTTGATGACTTTAGCGGCTTTTTTCCTGATGGAAGTCGCCCCGTGTGAGTTCTCCAGCTCGTCAACGTCCACGTTGAAAGCCATGGTGTCTGCTGAGGGGAGGTGTTTGCTGAGGCTGGAGACAGGTGCTAAGGACAATGTACAGTTTCTCTCTGATTTGCATCAAGCTTTCAAATATACATCCTCATTTTTACTACATGAGGCGCTCCTGCTGTCTTGACTTCACTAACATTTTTGTCCTTGTAGTTTGACCCAGTTCTTTTAAGAATAAGAAAAGCAGTTTGATCAACAAAAAAGAAAGTAAGAGAGGAATACCAAAGCTCCATGTGGTGTCTTCATTTTCTTTGTTTTATCCGATCATCTTTATCCTAAATAATAAAGATGCTCTGAGTTCACACAATGTCTGAAACAATGCTTACGCCATCAAATGAGTTTCCCATCAGTAAAAGACTCATGATGTTCAGGTTTGGTGTCTAACATCAAAGTTGGTCAGAGGATACGATTTGGCTTTGTCCGTGTCCACCAGAGAATACGCAGAGATGAGTTGTGCAAGTGTGTGGACGTCGTTAGTGTTTTGCCTGTTTGAAAAAAACAAACACATAAAACAGTTAAGTATCATCATTACAAAACCTCCTCTTCCTCCAGACTGGTCTCCTGCAGCTCACTCTGGCCTCCTCTTAATTTTAGAGCTGATTTTGAGCCAGCCTGAGATCCTCCGGTAGGACCCAGCTTGCTGTTACAGAGTTGTGGAGTAAAACTAAAGGAGGTTCTGCTTTGATCCCAAGGACCCCTCGACATGAAGATGACCTGCCTGAGAGGATAAAGCTCGCTGAGTTAGATACTTCTGTTTAAATCACTTCTTTAAAGTCACTTTTATAGACTTGCTTTTTTTCCATGTTGTCTTTTTATCGTCCTCTCTCTTTATTTTTGCTCTGCTGGCTCGATTTCTTATTATGATTCCGTCTCATTTAAACAAACACTGTTTTACATAGTTGGTCTTGGTCTGGTTTACTGTTGCCAGGTTCTTGGATTTCCTGGGCTCTAATGTTGGGTGTTACTGCTGTCTTGATTGATCATGTTTGTTGAGATCTTTTCAGCTGTTTTGTTTTTTGCTCTTACATGTCTGTCGCAGCACTGTATAAACCCTTGTTGTTTCAAGGACATACATCGTTATTTTTTGGTTTATTTCCTCTAAAAGCTTCTGTTGAATCTGTTTAGTACTCGAGCTGCTTGATTTAAAGCCAGCAGGATGCCTGAACTTAAAGCTGAGAGACAAACCTCTAAGGAGCACATTAATGTATTTTTAATAAACTCATGTTGAACTTCAGAGGGAGCTTTAAAAGCTGACACTCACTTCCACAGCTGCTCCAGATCACTAATGGCTTCTTTTTTCCGTCCGTACTTCAGTTTGAAATTGGCAGCTTCTCGTACGAGCGCCAAGTGTGCAGCAGATCCAGGCTGAGAGGCGGGAACGAAAGGGTTAAAGTCGGGGATTACACAGTGGAAAACATTGACAATGGTTCATGCATCAGCTTGTCTCTTTAAGTCAAAGTATTGCACAAAAGCCTGACTCCTACAAAGGTGGGAACAGAAAGATACTTGACTTCAAGCTGACTCTAATCAAATCAAATCAAAGACATAAAGTCTGCTGAGCTGTTTCTTCCTTTTTTTCTCTGTAACCTCCAAAAACAAGAGGAAGATCAGAATAAATCAAAGTTTTAAGAAGGTGGACGTGAAAAGCTTTCATTTAGTGAAGACAGGAGGAATGAAATCACTACACAGTGGACACAAACCTGTTCAGACTGAAAGTGTTCAATAGCTTGTTTGAAAACGTCAATGGCGCTGTCGATGTCTTCTTCATGGGCGTACATTGTTACCAGAGCTGAAACCTGATCAGACAACAAAACGTGTCAGGCAGACAGTCTGAGAGTTCAACATCGCTACAGGAAAACTACGTGTGAAAACTTCAGCATCTAACCAACTGATATGGGACTCACCATCCCTGATTTGTGCTTGAACTCTTCAATTGACCTTAAGACATCACAAGCTTTTGTTACGTGACCTGAGGACCAAAAACATGACTCTTTTTATTCACCTGAATGCAGCCATAATGTTGGGTAAAATCAACAAAAACTAAATCACAGGACAGAAAAACTGAACTGCAAATCTGAAAATCGGACAACTGCATTAAAATTACTGACGTCTGTTTGTCAAAGACAGACTGAACAGCAGCAGGCACAATTTTAATCACTATTATGCCCTAAAAAGGCTTTTCAGTGGATTATTTCTTATAAAGTAAAAGAAAACAGCTCCTACTTTGTACTAAATAAAGTTGTGCCATTGTCAGTTTGATGCCAGATGCACTCTCTGGATGTTGGTCTGAGAATTGCTGAAAGCAAGAACAGAATAAACCACTTAGTAACAACATAAAAAGATTTCCAAACAAGTTTGTTTCAGATCTGCAGTTAATCTTAACATTACTGTTTCCTCCAAAGAATGTGAGTATGAGCTTAAAAATATACGAGCTTAAATTCTGAATAAAAAAGCCCCATAAAGGTGTGTAAAACAGATCTTTGCATAAACAGTGTGTGTCGACTCTCTGTGTTTGGTCTAAGCTGCCTGAATGTCACTGTAGCTGCTGCCCTTAGATCAATAATCTCAATCATTCACACCTGTAGAAGCTCGACAGCCTTGCCGTGCTGCTTCTCTCTGCACAGCTGAGCCACCTGGATCAGGACGGGTCGTGGGTGACCTGGATTCTGAGACTGAAGACTGGATGAAAGTTTCCTGCACTGGTCAGCCTGTTGGTGGGGGAACAGGGAGGCACAAAGATAGATGAATCATTGATCACATTTCAGGGACCGTGACTCTCTTTCTCAGAGTCAAACAGCTCTTGAACTCTGACTCTACCTGGTTGGTGTACATCGCCAGCAGGGCTTTGTTGAGGTCGATGGCCTGCAGCTGCATCTTCGCCAGCTTGTATTCAACCCCCTCAGCGTTCGTCAGTTTTACCTTCTTCTTTGAGTCGAACACATTTTGGTCCTGCAGCAACATCGAACAACCTTTCGTCAAGCTTGATTTTTTTTCTTTGGATGTCAACAGGCCCTCTATTCACTGCAAAATATTTACTCCAAGTTCATGTATGAGACACTTAACTCAGCTGAACTTGAATGCACTCACCTTGTTTATTGTTATGATGTTGTTGGCAGTCACAGCAAGCAGCCCCACGTCTGACGGCCTGCGATGAGAGGCGTAAAATTAAATAAATATTCAACATCTAAACTAAAAGCACCGTTTGTGCACGGCCTTTTGGATCTACCTGATTTATATCACAACCTCTGCTTTTGGAGGTTCATTAACGTGATGCATGGTGCACTCACTTAAGCTTGATGACCTGGTTGTAGAGCTGCAGCGCTTCGTCTGTTCGACCTTGTAGCTGCATGACGTACGCCATTTGAGAGTGGATGACAGCCAGCTCGGACTCGATGTCCTCCTCGGTCACATCCTGAAAGGGACAAAAAGGTAATGTCGGTGAATAAGCCTGGAAATCTGACAGTTTGAAGGCTCGTAGACGACTGTGCAGCTCAAATCAAAGATAAAAATCATCCTACTGTTTGGATAATATCTCATAAAAAAACAATTTTGCCTTTTCTTGAGCATAGCACATTAATGTGCCAGCAGCATCTACGATCAATAACATCTAGTGTACTAGTTACCATAGTAACTAAATGTTACAGTTCAAACAATCAGCTGACTAATCAATGCTTAAATCATCAATTTAAATTCAATAACTCACCGAATCATCTGCCAAGGAGACTCTGCAAAGCTCTGTGAAAGAAAACAGTCCGTAAAGTTACATAAGCAATAAGCAGAAGAAAAACTTCACTAAAAAGCCGAACAGTGTTGTGACCGACCCTCGGCTTGTTGCAGTTTATTGAGCGCCTCTGTAAGCTGTCCTTGTCCAATCAGAGTGCAGGCAGCGTTGTAGCACAGCTCATAGGTGGACTCTGGGAGACCCAAGTCCTCCTGCAGAACAGAATACACAGGCCAGTTTAGAATACACACAAAACTCATCAATCTAAATACTCAGTTATATTCATAAAGCCTCTTAAAACGTTAAACAAAAGCAGAAGAAACACAATGATAAAATTAATCTGGAGAAAGATTTAAAATCATCAAATATTTGGCTACAATCAGTTTGAAGTGACAACATGAAACCATCGTTTAAGATGAAAATGATTACATTAAAGTTAAAGTGGAACAAAAACACTTCAGATATTTCTACATTTTAGACACTTATACTCCCTGACTTGAAGTGCCAAAGCTCTTTCTCATGTTCAAATCAATTAGACATATGTTAAACAGCAGCTGTACAGTCTGTATGTGATCCACAGCTGTTTCATTTAATTCACTTTGAGTCAATATTTGATCAAGAGGAGGAATGTCAGAGTTTGAATCTGAAATGTTTAACTTTCTACGCAGTGAAAGAATTTTAAAAACTTAACAACATTTCCAAAAAAGCTTAAATATGAAGTAAAACAATTGTGGCATCAAGAGTAAAAATGCAGTTTTGTAAAAGACGACTAACCACCAGAGTTTTCTCCCACTGACTCATAGATGCTACCACAGCTGCGAGGTTTGTCTTCCTCTCCTCCTCGTACTCATCCTGAGAGTTCCTGATCAGATCCGTGTAGACAGACTTGCACTCATTGTAGCGCTCCAGTCTGTACAACTGAGAAATAAAAGAAAAGATCCACTCAGATCAGGAAATCACATCGCAAACTTTGACAATGAAAAACTTCTTGTCAGGTATTAAAGAACTTTCACTCTTCCATCTTTGACCAAAAGCTTTATCAAATATTATTTTACAATAAAGGAACTTTGTCATTAGTTTCATGGCAGTGCTTGATGGTATTTCATATTAATATTTTATCTTATAAGATTAAAACAATTTTAGCGAGCAGCTTTGATGTAAAAGCAATTTTCTTGAGGAATAATCAGCCTCACCACTTGACCGTAGAGCTCCTTTAGTTTGTCTGTTTGTTCAGGGGCACCTTCGATGGTCTTCAGGGCACTTTCCACTCTGTTCAGTCGGTACTCACAGTAGGCCTTCTCAAACACAACCTCACTGAGACACAAGTACGTTTGAAGAGTTTTAAGTGTTCAAGAGCTCATTTTGAAAATACACATTTACTCATTGACATATTTGGCTTAAAGAAATAACCAAAACATGAGCTGGTTACCTGCTGAGCACTTTTGAATGAGTGTTCATAACATTCAGCGCCTCCTTGAAGCTGCTATTCTGAATAAGGCAAACTATTTTACAGTGAAGGGCCGTCACGTCATCCCTGTTCTCGTGCAAAACTGCAAGAAAAAAAGGTGAGGAAGCAGAAAAGTTATTATGAGCTGACAGAAGATGACCAAAACAAAGATCAGTATGGTTCACAAAAAATGGTAATGAAAAGTACACAGTCAAACAACTGACACAAAAATGATGCTTTACGAGGAAATTATGATGAAATTTGTCATTTTATCTATCTTAGCTGCATCTTACTGCTCTTACTGGAAAATATATCATGTAAAATAAAGACACCACTATGTATCCAAACAGCAAATCTCAACAGTTCCGTTGAAAGGTCAAAAGGGGGGTTTATTTTGAGTCAAGCAGTATCAAAATATCACAAGGGTACTTTGAGTTTGACCCTTTACTAATCAACAAAGAATACAGGCGTCAGTGGACAACAGCCAAATAAGCATTATGTATTAAGGAGAATGTGAACCTCCACAGACATGTGAATGAAACTAAATGAATAAGTTAAAGGGATATTCTGATGTTAAATGTTTGTAAATACAAAACAATGAAATTCTCAGCATGCGATTTAAAGGTGAGTAAATGTAATAAAATACTACAGTGTAACAAATAAAGAATATTTTAAAAACGAGTGAATTTCTACATTTGTTGCAGCCCAGCACGATCAGCTGCCATGGATAAAAACAGCTGATCAGGGACACGTCAGTGGTCTGGACAGGTCAACGGGGTAAAGTTAGACTTCTAAACTTTCACTAAAACTAACAAAACCTACCAAACTGGAAACTACATGCGTCCAAAATACGTTACTAAGCATATCAGGAATAAAAGTCTAAATCAGTTTTTATCAGAGTGGAGAGGAGCTGCCGTTAGCTTAGCCACGTGCTAACAGCTGGCTTTAGCTTAGCAAGCTAACCGGAGCGAGAATAAACACCCCGACTGTCTACAGACTCAAAGCTCAAGCTCGTTGTCAGATAATAAATAAAAGTTATACACTCGTACTTTTAGTCAGCGCTTTCAGGGCTCTTGTAAAGTCTCCATTCTGCCCACAGCGGTTGACTTCAGTCCACAGCGAAGCCACAGAGCCTCCTCCGCTCGCCATCTTCGCTGAATGGGCTCACGGAGCGCCGGAAACAGAATGTGTCGACTTCCGGGTGAATGACAAACGTACATAATAATAATAATAATAATAAAAAAGAAATAAAAAAATACACGAATGGTAACACTTATGTTTTGTTCGTAAAGTTTAAATTAAAAATGTGGATAATTATTTTATTTTAATTTCTTTCTGCTTTTTCTCCTCGCAGTAACAGAGCCAAGCGGTGCCTTCACTTACATCATCCACAAACAGACACACCTAAGTGCTGCAGCGATTAGTAATGCACACATCATGAGTCTTAAAGAAGGGGTACAAAATATGAAGTGTTGATTGTACCTTTAGAGCATTTTGTCCTCAGTCGAAAAATTTCTGTGATATAATATAGCGTATTGCATGTATTGTTTCCTCTTAAACTAGCCTAAAAACACAACGGTAACCGAGACTTTGTTCGTACCTAAAGTTTTGACAATTATTTCAGATTACTTTGTCTGTTAAAGTGCACATCGTACACTAAAGATATGTCAGAGATATATGATGAGATATGATGAAATATGTCAGCTTGTTGAAGTTTAGACTGTAATGTAAAAGCACTTAGGCTATTTATTCCTTTCAGAATAGCCAGTTATAATTTGCCACCAGACGTAAAACTTGATGTGTAATAATTGTATCATTTTACACAAGAGGTTCTTCTATCTATCTATCTATCTATCTATCTATCTATCTATCTATCTATCTATCTATCTTCGTAGATAGAAACTCAGTTCGTTTCTCTGTCACTTACCTGTTATTTGTTGTATGAGATTTTCTCTCTCTCTCTCTCTCTCTCACACACACACACACACACACACACACACACACACACACACACACACACACACACACACACACACACACACACACACACACACACACGTACGTACTTAAATATGTATAAATATGTGAATATATTTATTTATCTATTAATAATAATCCGAACAGCTGCTCCAGAGTTTTTTACAGCAAACATGACACTGACACTATTTATTCATTATAGTATCTGGTATTATTATTATTATTATTATTATTATTATTATTATTATTATTATTATTATTATTATTATTGTTATTATTATCATAACAATCATAATTGTTATTGTCGTAATTATTATTATTATTATTATTGTTATTATTATTATTGTCGTTACCGTCATCGTTGTTGTTATTTTTGTGTTAAAACGCTTTGATTGTAGTAACAATCATGCCAATAAAGCTAATTGAAATTGAACCAGAGATTGAGAGAGGCTGTCGGATGGGGGTGTGAGGTTTTCATAAATCCGTTCTTTCTTTCGGCCCCTGAACTCAGCAGCAGTAGCACAGCAGATAGGGTTGTAGGTTCGGCTGGACTCGAGCGCCGAGGAGGGGGGCACTGTTGTCATCCGTCAGGGCTGTGAGTCGAGCTTTTGTCCAGAAGAAATGGCTGGAATTAAAGGTTAGACGCTTCAATTTCTCTTTTATTTTAAGAATCCCTTTTAATCTGTTTGTAATAAAAACAACAGGAACAAAAATCTCTCACAGACAGAAGGGCGCGTTTGTCAGCTCCAGCTAGCTAACGGTTCCGTGGAGAAGTAGTTAGCCGACGGGCCAGTGCAGCCGTTAGCCTGAGCTCTATAGGCTTCATTGGTCGGAGGAAGCCGATACTCGCTGTTTAATGACTAGTAACCAAAAGCTAGTTCACAAACTGCAGCATGTCATATTCCAAACATGATGTATAATAAATGTCACAGCCGTTCAGGATCGTAGTAACGCAGTTATTGCTAATGTTAGCTGCACCTTGACTTCAGTCAGCAGCACACTGTGGTGCTTGTTGCGACTGAGCTGCTTAGATTAATTGATGCTAACCAACCACACTGACTGGGCTGCTATTAGCGTGTAACATGCGCTCTTCATGGCATGCTTTCGATAGCCATTGTCGCTGTTCCACGTGAAATCAGCTGATTCATCACATGATAGCCACAGCAGCCGGGGGCCCTGCTGCTGTGATGTGAAGACTGAGGGATGCTCACTCGCCTGTTTGAGAGGAAAAATGTAAAAACTGAGTCCACACTGATGTGCTTTTCTCTGTCTGTTTCGCAGCTCTCATTAGCCTTTCATTTGGAGGGGCCATTGGCCTCATGTTCCTCATGCTAGGATGTGCCCTCCCTGTGTACGAGTAAGTACAAGCACCTCACACCATGTGAGCTTGATAATGTGTGTGTGTGTTAGTGCTGGACGATAATTCGATAACAATATATATCGATCGATAGACGTGTGCTGCGATAGAAAAAAAACGGGTCGATAAAACGTTCGATAGAAAAACACAGTTTCCCTTTCTTTTTCATCATAGCCTATCATGTAGCTTTTACTACAGTCATTACTTCCTCCCAACCAATCACAAACGCAGACCCAGGTACGCTACGGCACCAAGCCCAGCCCCTATCAAACCACAACAGACAGCACGTGTATTAGAAAAAATGATACAGCAAGGAGAGGCGGAGGACATTGTCAGTAGTTCACCAGCATGGCAATGTTTTGGTTTTTAGAAGTCTGACAAAAAGCGAACAGCGGTCGTTTGCAAAATTTGCAGAGAATTAGTAAAAACCAAGTCTGGTAACACAACCAACTTGTTTTACCATCTAAACCGGTCGCACCCGCAGGAGTACGAGCTGTGTCGGCCGCGCCGCGGCTCCACGTCGTCGGAGGAGGAATCCTCTGGAACCGCTGCCAGCACCAGCACAAAGCAAGTGAAGCAGACCAAACTGGACTTCGTTTCTTGCCAAAATACGACAAAGCGTCCGAGCGGCATAAGGACATCACCCATGCAGTAACATGCTGCATAGCGAGGGACATACTGCCAATAACTACCGTTGAAAAGCCTGGCTTCGACCAGCTTCTAGCCACTCTCGACCCGCGATATGAAGTGCCCGGCCGCAAGTATTTCTCAAACACAGCGCTTCAGGCATGAAAATGGGTCAGGGGTTGAAAAGGTGAGAAGAATGCATCCCGTCCACTCATTAGCTTCTTAAAGTGGAAGAAAATGAGCTCATATTTTACAAAGACGCGAGTATTTGGATCATGGCTACTAGCAGGGGGTGCATTCGGCAGGGGTGCATTCTACGACACAACACCGGCGTGGATAAGTCCTGCTTCTCGTGCTCAGTTTGCGTATCAAGTCAATCACATGATGATTAAAAATAAATAAATCTCCCGACCCCGGGAGAAATGTTTCAATGTTCAGACACCAGGCTGTGGGCAGTTTCTCACACAGTTAAAACTGGTAGTATGTTATTCCCACCTAAAGCTATTCTGTTTATTCATATATTTGTTTGTTTTGTTTATTTTCATCAAAAGACTATTTAAATATTTATTTATCAGATTTTCTGGTCACTTTAGTCTATATGTTTGTCAGTATTTACTGACGTCACTCAGGCCCCTTAAGTTGATTTCTTTTTTTTTTTTGTTCTTTTTTAAAAAACTTTCAGTTGTGGTAAAATAAAAAAGGTGGTTGAATAAAGGTTTGAATTTGAATTCAGTGCTTCTGTGTTCTTTATTAAAAGTAGGTCATTAAGCAATAGCATAAAACATCAAGGGCTGCAATTAAAATATATGTTAAATAATTATAATAATTATATCGATAATTATCGATATCGATCAATATGATTTATTTTTTATCGATATGCTTTTTTTCTATATCGTCCAGGCCTAGTGTGTGTGAAACACTGCTCACACTTGGCACTCACTGACACGCACCCCAGGTGATCTCATCAGAGGTTTACAGCTTTAAACACAGGTGTGAAAGCATGACCGGATTAACTCACATGGGGGCAGAAATTAGCTCCAGGATCTTTACTAACCTGCTATAACAATGCTGAAGTTAACATTTGATCTGCAGCTTCGGTTATGAAAACAGGCCCCACTGCGCCTACACATGTCAGACCTTGACAAGATTACCTAAGAGAGGCTACAGACATCTAAAAACACAGATTTATATTTGTGGAAACCTTCATCCTATTTTTGGAAATGCAAGAAAGGGCCATTTCTAGTGATGGGCATGGCAGTTCTTCACTAGAATCAGTTCACTTAAAAGATTTGTTTGCCAAATCACCAAATCATTTAGCAGGGAGCCTGTGACTCCGACCTCCTGAACTGATACACAGCTGAATGTTCAGGATTCAGTTTAATTCAGAGCTTCTGGTACCGGGAAACAAGAGTGCTTGGTTGTGTTGCTTTGACAAACAAGTTTGTAAAAATTAACTTGTTTATAATTGGGCCCGACTGATATGGATTTTTTAGGGCGGATGCCGATACAGATTATTAGTGGGAAAAAATCCAGAGTTGTTGTGGTGGCAATTTAGCGGTTAAAAAAAAAGGTAGTTTTGTCCGACAAAAATGATACTAGAGAGTGTAGTTCAATGCCTGATTCGTTCACCAAGCCATTCAGGCGTCGGTACAGCGGTCCCTCGCCTGGCAGTGCTGCATGCTATAGCAGCTGCGCTTCTGACAGCTCAACTGAAGTGAGAAACGAACAAATCACTCGAGGAAGTGATTCGGTTTAGTACGTTCGCTTAAAAGATTTGGTTCTTTTGAACGAACCGTTCGTGAACGACACAACACTAGCCATTTCACCACTATTTTCACTTCTGAACCACATCGGACAAGGTGTGATCCAGATCCATGTTACTTGGACTGCTCAGATCGGGTTTAAAATATCCTAAAGAAGCTACAGACTCTACGGAATTGTGATACCTTCAGCCTACTGACTCTGACACAGTGTCAGATTTGTGATACAGTCTATTTTTAAAAATGCAAGAGAGGATGATTTCGCTGCCTTTTTCTCAGAAGACTGTTGACTCCCTTTGATAATCAAGTCCAGCTCTGACAGGTAAAGATGCAGTGGAGTTTGATCCGGACCATGTTTCCTTAACCTGCCCAGTAACAGTCAAATAAGAAGCTGCAAATGAGACATTGACGGGGCACTTTTTTCACCTTAGTAAACAGCAGATCTGACCTTTAGTGAATTCTTTCTATGGTAAGATTATTACATCGTCCGCCCAGCTGCATTGTGGGGTAGTTTTTGGTTGGTATCTCCTTTGATGCAGAGATTGCACAATGGTTAAGTGGGTTTGCTTTTTGAAGTAGTCAAAGAAATGGGGCTATTATTACTTGCAGCCGTTGTTGTCAATTTAATCTGCACCCCTTATGTTGTATATGTTTTTATTAGATAGGTAAACATTTACACTTTTAATAAATTTCACAGCTAATGTGGGTATTTGTTCTCATCTTTTCTTTCTCTGCAGCAAATACTGGCCTTTGTTCCTCCTTTTCTTCTACATCCTCTCTCCTATCCCCTACTGCATCTCACGGAGGGTGGCTGATGACACAGACTCAGCAAGTAACGCCTGCAAAGAGCTGGCCATCTTCCTCACAACGGGCATTGTCATTTCAGCCTTTGGCCTGCCCATTGTCTTTGCAAGAGCTGAAGTAGTAAGTAACAGAGTTTTTCTCCCCCCTCCTGGAACATAAAGTATAACATTAGAAACAGACAGTCTCTGTGATCATGAAAACCTGGAAGATCACTATACAGTCAGTTGGTTCTTGTGCATCATGTTTCCACTGTTGCTAAAACAGGGATACACAAAGAAAAACATCTAGTTCGGGGAAAATTTTACTTCTCCTAACAGTGTGTTCAGTATTACAAGGGGGGCTGCTGGGTTACAGATACTTTCAACCAAGCCAAACTCTTTTCAGAGCAAACTCTGCTCACCATGTGCACAGTGACCAGATTTAATATGGAGATATTTGCCCTTTTAGAACAATGCAGCTCAGCATTACAAGTTAAAAGTTTCTCAGGGTGTTTAGACCTATCTTGTTCCCTTTCTCTCCTCCCTCTCTCTCCCTCTCTCTCTGTATTCCTCCCCAACTCAGCAGCGGCCTGGTGGCTGCCTAGCATGAGTCTGATCCTGCCCAAGGTTTTTCCCTATTAAAAGGAAGTTTTTCCTTGCCGCTGTTACTCATGTTAGATGAGATGGGCCAAATCCCATCTTAGGTTGAGTCTTGATAACTCATCAAACAATAAGCGTGGTCTAGACCTGCTCTTTTTCTTTGGAAAGCGTCTTGAGATGACGACTGTTGTAAATTGGCGCTATATAAATAAAATTTGATTGATTGATGTGATAGACCTGACAGCCACAGGCGGGGTACAGCAGTCAGAAAGACACAGTCAGGTTATTCACTGTTTTGATATGGTAATTATTATCAATTCTTACACGTCAGAGAACAACAGAATTTCTTGAATCAGACTGTCTATGAAGCAGCTCTTGACTGTACTCTTTGAATAATTTTTCATGTTAGAAGATCAGACATCAACGTGTGTTGGTGGAGGGGCAGGAGAGGGGAGAGGAATCTCGTGAATTCTGGAAGCCTGTATGGAATCTAAGCCTATAGCAGCTCAGCCTGAAGGCAACGCAGGACCAGCGCATCAAAGAGAAAAAACTTGAGCCGGCTCTCAAACTAGAGAGGAACTTAGACCTGAATTGGGAAATAGAGAAGCCTAATAATTGAAGACTCTGTCCCCTTATACTTCCTCTGAGAACTCCTGGGTTATCTCTGCACAGCATTAACATGATGTTCTGGATGGGTGAAAGAAAACTATGAGCTCCCAAAGTTTCTCTTTTGTAGGTGAGACAAAAGACTCGATTAACAGTGAGATAATCCAGAGAGAGGTTCTGTTATGATAGAAAAAGAACCTGTTTTGTGGTCCTTAGAAACAGAAATGCAGGATTTTTGAAAAACCAGGACAAACAGGAAAAAATCAAACCTATCAGAACGGTGAAATACTGCTTTCAAATGATACCTGGAGCTCCCTCAGCTGACAGATGCACCAGCTGCAGCCAAGGACATGGGTTGTATTTAGCTGCTGGTAATGTCCCATCCTGCTGCGTGCCCTGAATTAAAAACTGTCGAGCAGCATGTGGAAGTGATTTTGTAAACCGTGTCTGCTGACACCCTCTTGATTTTGGCCTAAATATGCTCTGCAGCCTGGCAGCGCGCGGCAACATTTGTCAAACTGAATTATTGATGTGTTTGGTTTACAGATCGCCTGGGGGGCGTGTGCGCTCGTGCTAACGGGTAACGTAGTGATCTTCGCGACCATCCTGGGCTTCTTCCTGGTCTTTGGATCCAACGATGACTTCAGTTGGCAGCAGTGGTAAAACAGCAGGGAGAGGGGGGACCTTAGTCTGAACTGTTTTTATTAGCGTTACAGTTATTATTATGGTATTACTGTTTGGTTCTTGTTGTTGTTATTTATATAATGACCGCCCATCCATAGACTCACACCAAACCAGTGCAATACTTTATTTTTGTCTTCTTTTTTATTATACCGCCTGCATCATACTGAACTGACACAAGTGGGATGGAAAATGCTGACTTGAAGTTGGATTTTTACTTATTTAGTTATTCTGTCTGACTTCTGTGTTTGTGAGTTTTTCTCCATATACGTCTGCTTTCATTTTTGAGCGTTGTGAGCTGATTAACTGCTTGTTAAAATATTTGAAAAAGAGGCAGACTGAATGTCAAAATATGACTTAATCTGACCAAAAAGGACAGGGTATCGCCCGTCTGTGCTCCTTATTTTTCCGCTTAATAACTCTCTGAAAAAATTACAGAGAGGAAGATAAGAGCACAGACCGGTGTGCATTTCAAGTTGAAGCGCTGAGCTGAGCGTAAGTCAGCAGAAAGCTGACAGAAGATCTGAACAAAACAAGCTCAGATTTCCCCCCCAAACTGTGACTCTTGTTGTTTGTCACAGTGAAAGGTGAATTTAAAAGGGTTGTGCTTCGTTAATGCTACCATTCATAAGAAATGACCCTTTAAGAAGTGGCCTCCATCCCTGGGTCTTTGAGCTCTGTGACATTTGTTGGTTTATTTTCATTCTAGTTAATTTTTTTCAATGCAGCCTCTGAAGTCCTAAAACATAAACTTGATGAACCTGTGTGCAGGAGAAGAGAACTTGGGATTATCTTCTGGGAACTTGTGCTGATATCTTGTGTGCACAAGATAATAACTTGCTCCCTATATGATAATTCAATCTTGTGGGAACAAGTTGGTTCTATTTTGTGAGCATTATCTCAAGCGTGCAAGTGATAAACTAGTGTGCGCAATTAAAGGTGGGGTAGTCAGGATCTGAGGAAGTTCCAGTTTTTGGGAGAAATCTTGAATGTAAACTCTACCCCCTCCCAACCAGTTTTCCCCTCAGCTCCTCCTCTCCCCTCCCTCTCTGCTCCAACAAGCCCCGCCCACAAACAGACGCTCCTGAGTCTTCAATATCTAGTTTGTTTTCTTGCTTGTGTCGGCAGTCGTGGCCAAAGGAGGATTCAGACAATTTTCCGTACTTTCTGGTTGGTTTCTACTGTCCGATCTTGTAGTACACTAACTTTGTTTGGGCTCCTGAACGACACGGGGGAGCAGCGTCTGCCTCAGAACCAATCAAGATGGGGGAGGCGGGGAACGGCTTTGTTTACAGTCAGAAAGAGTGGAGCATTCTGAAATTTTAAAATGTTGACTACACAGACGCAACAAAACAAAACGATATCATTATATTACCAAATGTCATTAATAACTAATAGCTATTGACTGATATTAAAAGCTTTTTTGTAAATACACCACAAAACAAGATGCGTCTGTAACGGATTCTTGCGTACCCCACCTTTAATGCAGTTATCTTGTGCACACAAGTGAATATCTTGTTTGCGCAAGATTTTCACTCATAAGATAATTGTATTTTGCACATTTTACAGTTATCAACGAGTAATTAATAACATGCACCTATAAGGTTATCACTAAACACGAATAGCATGTGGGAACAAGCAGAGGTTATTATCCTGTGTGCGCAAGATTATTCCCACAAGTGCACAGCAGATGTTCCTATAAGATGATTTTTTCGCACAAGTTAATATCTAGTGGGGTCAAGTTCTTTTCTTGTTTGCAGGATATAATTAGCTTGTGTATTTAATTGTTTTGTGCAGATGATAACTTGAAGAATTGTTTCACTGTTACGGACTTTAGGGGCTCTGTATTTTGGGACCATGTTGTTAGTCAGTGTTTTCACTCAAACGTGTTCCCCGTTTCATTTTTGTTTTTAATGTCTGGATTTAAAAAAAAACTCCGATCTGAAGTCACACTGAATCAGGAGCAGCAGGGTGGTCGATCAAATGAAACTGGCTTGGTGATTTCCCAGGTGCCAACTGGATGCAGGCTGCTTATTCACCAGGTTACTTTGCACATGATAGCTTTTACCTCACTCTGAGTTTGGGGGAGTTTCGCCTCGTCGGGTTGAGAAAGTATGGATAGCCCACGGTAGCCGCCAGCAAGCGCAGGATTAGCTTAAAGGACAGCAGCGTTGTGGGAAAGTCAGCCAAGATAAGAAGTGGGCCACTTATAACCAAGTCCTGGCCAGTCCCTCACAGCCCTTAAGCTTTTAAATGTGACTCCTTCAAAATAAAAGAACACGGCAGCGGCAGCAGCTTTGAGGTTGTATTCCACTCTAGAAGCACATTTGATCTGGATTTGGTGTCACATTTCCTCACACCAGCATTTTCACGATACAAACGCAGATCTGTATTTTTGGTTTGAAGCGTGTTTCTGTTTCCCTGGCCTGTGCGAAGGAAAGTTGTCCATTGGTTTGTTTAATCTGTCGGCAGCTTTGGGATCAGCACAGCCTGCAGTCAGTCAGGTGCGGCTCTCCTGTTTGCTGTTCATTAGTGGACGCTAAACAAGCTCTCCGCCTGCTGCCTGCTGAAGCACTGGTGTGTTGAATGGAACTTTGTGCTCTCTGAAAGATGAGGAAATGTGAATTTAAATCATTCATTTTAATCTGTCCTTTTATTTTTGAAGGAAATTAATAATCCATCAATTTTAACCCCCAGATTAAACACTCCTGTCTCTCTGATTTGATTTTAAAGACCGCACACACGGTCAATAAGAGAGTTTGGAGGAATGAAAGAATTGAACATAGAAGCTTAAGTGCAGTGAGCCTAGCTTAGCATTAAGACTGGAGGCAGGGGGAGACTGTAAGCCTGTGAGAGTTAAAAATATGCCAACAAACACTTCATAAGCTCTTAATTTCTGTCCGTAAATGAATGAAAGTGAGTAATTATCGGTCAAAAGGGGCTTACGCGCTCACTTTACCCCCTCTAGAAATCCTATTTTTTAATTTTCTGTTTGTGTAGGAGAGAAAAAAAAACGAGACTCGACTTGTTCATCTTTAGATTTTATAGATAATTGCAGCTGTTTTAAAAGTGCCAGTATAGAAATGTTCCCTGCATTCAGTCTTTAATATAAGAGAATGACAGACATGGACATCTGTTTTACAACTAACTACTGATAAGAAAGAAAATAATTATGTTTGAGGAAATGTCAAACTTGGTCTGCAACTAACAATTATTTTCATTTTCCATCAATCTTTCAATCATTTTGTCTGTAAACAGCCAGCAGACATCCTGGTAAATGTCAAAGAACAGAAAATAAACAGAAGTTTTTCCTCCTACAGGAGCTGAAATCAGATTTTGACATTTATCTCTTAAAAGGACAAACAGTCGGGGTCCTGGTTTGGCTTAACTGTAGTCCTCAGATTGGATTCCATATTAAACCCCCACCCTGTACTCCCACTTCCCCACACCACCCACTCTGTGTTTCTCAATGAGGGAATAAAAGAAGAAACTGAAAATACAAAACAGACAAATGACCAGAAAGTTTGGTGACTAGACTTTCAGGTGGAAACAAATCTATTGATGAGACAAAGATGAAGTTTAAATCTCTCAAAACTAGGGCTGCACAATTGTGGAAAAAATGGCATTAGGATGTTTTCTTTCTGCAGAAAATGAAAGTAGAGGAAATTAAACCATGTTTTTTTAACGTACATATATCTTTAAAATGTGAATACTTGGTTTCTGCAGCACACACAGATCTTACTCATCCGTCTTTCAGAGATCACAACCCCATGAAGGCACTGACTGAAATAAAAGCACGTTAACAATGGCAGCTTTTTGGTTTCCTTTGAACATGTACTAAGTTATTAAATATCAAAAACTACTGACTTGATTGGTGATTCTTCTTCTCCTTCTTCTTATGTAACACTACTTTGAATCTGATTGAATATGCTCTTGATAGTAAATTCACCCACTGTTTGTATTCTGTAAACCAGTTTGTGGTTGGACAAGCAGGGTAACTACATTTTGTGGACGTCCGTATATCACTGTATACATGGAAGCTGAGTTTGTCAAATGTTCTTTACTGTCTGTTTCGTTATCCCACTCCCTGATGTGACGGAACCTGGTGTGTAGCTGTGGGACGGGTTTCTCTGTGTTTTTATTTGGAGAGAAGTGTTACGCTTTCTAACGCTCTCACAGATCTGGGAGGAGGTTGTATTTATTTATTTTTATCGGGCGCTTTGTGTCGATGTCCTACACCATTTTCTATCAACTACTTTTGTGTTTAAGAGGCAGAAGTCAGCATGGTGGTTTTCCTTTTTTTTAATAAACGCCATTTTTGAACATCCTCTCCTTTGAATGACTACAGATGCATTTGCTGTGTTTGCAGAGATGGATTAGATTACAAACCAAACAGACACACCTTTTCTCCCTCTTCTTTTCCAACACTGAGAATGCAGAGTTATAATATACGTGTTGCTCTGTGATTCTACCGTAAATGATCATGATATGCTTTTTCAAATATAGACATTTAGTATCAATCAACCAATCAATCAAACTTTATTTATAAAGCACTTTTCCTACAGGAATGTGACTCACAGTGCTTTACAGTCAAGTTAAAAACAAAAACAAAAAACTATCCCAGATGCCCCCTTACCCCCTACCTCCACCCACCCACACACACGCCAACGCACCTGCACATACACACTAAGATAATGGACATGAGGCTAGTAATAAATTTACTGTCTGTTTTCAACCTTAAAATACCTCCATATAACCATTACCTGCAAGCCTTTGTCAGGTGCACATAATAATTTCATCCCCTTTATGAATAATGATTATATCAGCAGGAGTTTTCATATTTTAATGAACTTTTTAAGCTTTTATCTACTAATACTGATTACATACTGACAGTAGTAACACTAAAAATCACCTTAAAAAGCTGTAACTTCATATACAGTTTACAATTTAAATGTCAAAAAGCTAAATGTTGACTTTTATATTACTTGTTTCACTGATATATGGGGGATTCTGGAGTTTAAAAGACTCAACATGTTAATTTTATGCATCATTAATAAAGGAACTAAAGAGGCTGTAAGAAGCAATAAAAAATATACTATATATGAATACAGCTAATGTAAGTTAGAAAATATGTATGTAAAAAAAGAAAAAAGGTTGCTTTAAGGAGACACAGCTCTCTGTCTCCCTCTGCTGGCCGACAATATAACAGACTCACCACATGCCAGTTCAGTATCTTCTAACACGTTTTGGGAGGAGTCCAGAGAAATAAAAGTGTCTTATTAATACGAGTCTTTAGTGCCAACAAACTACAACTTCCAGCCATAATTAAGATGATAATGTGATAATAATAATAATGGCACAAAAAAAAAAAAATAGTTTTCTCCTCCTGAACAAGATCAACACAACTTTTGACAGTTAACAGTTGTTATTGTTGGCATTTCCAAAGTTATGAAAAGTTGCTGCAGAGATGGTAGAGACTTTTACATCATTAACAGACCGGTGGAACTCACACTGCTGAATTTTCTGTGTTAAACTCTTCAATTTACCATAAAAAATGATAATATCTGGTCTTTTATGAAATACTGATAAACAAAATAACCATATAGGTCCTTGAAGAAGTTTCATAACGGCATGGATAGACAAATTAAAGACACAAGATTTGTGAGTCACTTGCAGATATGAGGACAAATGAGGATTTTCCTTCAAACTGCATCGATAATATCCTTTAAAATCATTATGAACACAAATATAACAGACACATAAATGCACAAAATAGTTCTTCTTCTGAACACTGGTGGTATTTTTCCTATCAGACCTGTTGTATAATCCTCTGATATAAAAGAACTAACCTGAGGCTGCTGCTAAAATGACGCCCACCTGCTAGATGAAACATGCCCGGGCTTACTTCAGCTCTCTCCTGCAGCTCTTTTTGCCTTGGGGAGGAATTTTACAGCAAAATTTACGTCAGATCAAACCTTTAATTTGTGCACTAAACAAGTCAAAGTTTTACAGCTGATTCGAGCGCCAAACGGCAACAAAAAGCCTGAAAAGGCACACAAACACACACACATAAACACACACCTGCAGCCTCACACCTCACCTCTGTGTTGTGAAAACAGCGGCATGGATTAATGCTTAAACTTGCCCTCAGATGCACAGAAGGAGTTAGATACGTGCGGTCTGTGTCCTCTCTGACCGTATGGGACGCCACCCACTCTGCCCCGAGGATCATGGGAAGTTGGAAGGAGCCTTAGATTGAAAAGAGGCATTCAGACGCACATGAATATGAGGAGGTTTTTCAGAGCAAACAGGAACGAGGACTACAGTCAGATCCAGTACCTGACGGCTAAGTGCACCCGGCTGGCTCATGATAAAGGTAAGACCTCGAGGTGAAGACTTTGAGCTGTGAGAGGAGAGTTACACATTTACACGATTACAGGCGTCTGCACCTGACTGGACCAGAGACGTGTTGACCAGATTATTCGTTTTTACCCAGTATGTTGTTCCTGTCTCTCTTAGTGTCTCAATATTTGACATTTTATGGTGAAAAGAGCCACAGAAAAGAACCGGTGACTGAATGTAATATGTGAAATAAAACAACCTTGGTATTGCGGTAACTTTATCACTCCTGTGCTTTTACTCAACTCTGAATGTGTGAGTCTGATATTTACTTTTGGTTTAAGGTCATATAAACAACCAACGGACCAACAAACTACAAAGTTATGATTTACAGCAGAAGTAGAAAGAGTCATTTGCTGTTGGCACCGGTGAACATTTCCGGCACACAGTCCAAATTTCAATCCAACTGTGCCTCAGAGACTGTAAAGGTGTGTTTTAGTTTACTTTATGAAGTCAGTCCATGAATCAGTCGTAGACCTATAAAGAGTGATCATTGATCAATAATGAAACAAACTTTTAAAGCACTTATAAACAGTTTGGCTGGGTTGGAAAAATCACATTTAGTATAGCTGCAGGGTAAGGCTCCAGCTGGTCACCCTATCAAATATACACTAATATGATTTATGATATTTCTACTGAGGAATTGATCCCCTTTACTCAGAGGCTTTAAAACCAGATTTGAGAGACTTTTGGAAAACTTCAGATTTTGTATGCAAACTTTTCTTTTTGAGTTCTGGAGTTCAGGAGAAATTTTCACAACAACGAGGAAAAGGAAATTAGGATGTTTGTGATGAACCATTTAATTCCATATTGTATAATATAATGCATTGTATAGATTGGTATTGCAATGCACTATAATAATCTAATAAAGCATACCACATAGTATCAAAGCATGCACTAATGTACAGTGTCATATTTAGGTGTATGGTAGGGGAGACCGGGGCTTGTTGTCACATGGGTAAGTTGTCACATTGAAATTATCTTTGCTATGATAAACATAAACATTTTCTGTGCCTGACTTAGATGTTCACTTTTATATAAAAAGAAATAACAATAATTTTGTCCTTGTTTTATTAGCTGCAAAATCCACTGTGATATCTTACCCCATGTAAGAAGACAACTTACCCGATAAGTCACATGTTCACACTCTCTATTTGATTACTTATAACTCTGCACTGACACAAGATATGAAAATGACGAGTACAAAATACACACCTGAGACTTTCGTCTTTCATTTGGTTCACATTTTGTTTATAAATGATGTATTGATTTTAAGAAATATTAAAGAGTGTAAAAAGTGTGACAACAAGCCCCGGTCTCCCCTACTGTGATGTATACTATAGGAATGAATGATATCCTAATGAATCTAAATCATCCTATCATGATATATCTATTATACTTCATTGTATTATAATGTAGCTCATATAACCTATCAGATGGTAATATATCTAATGTAATGAACGAACAGATGACAGTGATGGTTTATAATGAAGTCCTCCCCGGGAATCTCTCTCTCTCTCTCTCTCTCTCTCTCTCTCTCCCTCTCTCTCTGTCTATAAATCACCAGACCTCCTCCTTTAGCAGCCAAGTAATTGTGGTTTGTGATAAACTGCTTAAACAGACCATGAATACTGACTCATTTTCAGGCCTGTGATCTGGATCTAAGCTAATGCACACACATATACAGCAAAGAAAAATGAACGTGGTAGAAGTGAAATCGTTTCCATGTCTGTGTTTAAGCATTTAAAAAGTATTTGAATCCTGATTTGTTTCTGATCATCTCAAAAGAAAACCCCACAAAAGCACTATTAAACATTTAGACATCTAACCGGATGGTTTACATTTTTTGTTTCTTTGAATTTCTCTGTCAAAGTGATTATTTTCTGAGTTAAAACGAAAGTCTCTTTAATTTATTTTATGATGAACAACTGAATCTGACATAACAAGGAGGTGATGAGGCCCTAATTGTTGCATGGTACACTATAAGAGACTTACCATTCAGTTTTAACATCAAGAAGTGACATTATAGGGTTCATTTACTCCAACATGTGATGGGGTGAAGAGGGAGTTAAAGCCTTAACACCTTGATGACATTAAAAGAAAATCTACATTTCAAGTCTTAAAGTTTGAAAAAGTCATGGCCGGTTCAAAGTGTGGAAAGTAAGAATCAGGGTTTTTTTATTACCTTCTACATCATCTGCAGCTTTGGTTCACCGCTGTGCACTGTCTCTGCAGCAGTGCTCGACAGAGAGTATCTGGTGACCAAGGACAGAGAGAGGAAGCTGCAGAATGATCTGGAAGCTGCGAGCGCCCGAGTATTTCACCAGGAGCAGCTGAACATGGAGCTCAGGATGAAACAAGACCAGCTCATCAGCAAGATCCACCAGCAACAGGTGAACTGAGGAATTAGATGGATTACAAAAAAAGCTGTATGTTATTGAATTAAACCACAGTGGTAGATCTTTAAACAGGAAAATCAAACATCTTCTAAACAAGACTGAAGTGACCAACTTCTTCAGGAACACAGTTTCTAGGCTTTTACTTTGCAATGCAGTGTGTCTTTTTTGCCACATGGGGGCAGCGACCGCAAGAGAACACAACTTTAACAGTTCAGCCATTGCAGATTTGTTTACAGTGGACATACACAGATCACTGGCACAGAGGAGTCATGCATCCACCTGATGCATTGATGTATTAATAAGTATTAGTACATCATTTCATAACGTCTTTGCACTTTTTGCAAAACAGAAATAAACCACCGCCTCGTTGATACTTAAAAGACCCAGATTTGAGCAGCTGTAGGAAAGTGAAAAGTGAATTTTACCCTAGAATACCACAATTAGAGCAAGCTGGTTAAAAACTTTGACTGCTGTTTGGTTTGGGATCTATAAGAGCTTTTCTTTGACTGAGAAGTTGCATGCGTCTAACCTGCGTGTTGAGACCAAACCATGTGGAAAATGAGAAAGTTTGAGTTAAAAGAGGCTGAAAAGCTCTAAAAGTTTGAGTTAGCAGATAGTTATCTAAGTCTGAGCAACTCCTTCAAATATCCACGAGAACAGAACCACCATTCAGCTTTAAATGATGTAGAAATCCTGTTCGGACTTACTTACCTGAGGGTGAATTTTTAAATTGTGCTAATTTATTCTGTGGCGTTTAACCTCATTACTATCCCATAATTTAAATGCATTTAGCCATGAACATACCAGAAGGTCACCTTTGCTGTAATTACTCAAATTGTCCAAGAATCGGTCTTCCAGTAAGCTCCAGTGTTGACATGAGGAGGTTTTGGCAGTGGTTACGAACCTTTTAGGGGTTTTGGCGCCCTGGTACAGATGGCAAAGGAGGTTTTATTCTGTTTGCAGATCGTTTTAGTTCCATAGAGGCCTTTATATTCTGACATTTGTATTTGGAGACAAAGATTACAACAGAACCTCTTAATTTTGAGTGGCAGGAATAATTCAATCTTCGGTTTGGTCTCTAAAACTTTAACTCTATTTCAACAGCTACTTAAAAATTTGGTGTTGAGAAAGTTCACCTCTCACTCCATGTGCACGCTTTTCTGCAGAACCTCACTTGCACTTATCTCGCTCTGCAATCCCATTCCTTGTCAGCTCTGTGGTATTTATTCGGGGTTTGCCTCAGCCTCTTTCCCCACAAAGATATAACGTCAAGCTTGGGCTTGTCACTAAACGGCCGACCTATAGGTGTGATTGATACTGCGTGTGCTGTCTGTACAAGATAATGACTCTGTTGACGCCTCTGTGGAAATCTGAAAATGTCAAGATGTAGCCCACTAGAAAGGTGGAGATTAGCGTGGTAATCATATACATTTTTCACATGTTGAATCATTTAACTTCATGTAAAGGAACAACACTCAGTAAGTAACATAATTCAGGAGAAGAGAGCAGCTAATGTGTTTTCTTAATGATACAGTGCAAACATGAAATAGTAGAAGGTTGTAAAAATGCACGCACCTATCCCCCTGAATGTGCAGTTTAAGATGCATGTGTCAAAGTCTCAGCACCTCTGTTTGTGTGTCTCCCCTGCAGGACCATGTGGACTTGCTGCAGCAGCGACTGGTCCTGCTGGCGGAGGAGAGCTCCCGAGACGTGGAGCTGCTGCGTCAGGTCGGCACAGAGCTGCTGTGTCTGCAGAGCTCCGAGGTAAAGCTGGAGGGCCTGGTGGAGGAGCTGCAAGCCGAGGCCCAGCACAGAACCATGGTCGCTGATAGCCTCCAGGCAGAGCTGCACTCTGAGGCCCAGTGCAGAGATGTGCTTACAGAGAACCTGCAGGCAGAGCTGCGCAGGTAGGCTCACCACACACTGAATCTCCCTCTGAGTAATGAGTTTCTGACAGGACAGAAAAATTTGTGGAATTAGTGGAAACACATAAACTGACCTGAGAAATCTTCTCAACTCAAACTTGTGTTTAAACCACATTTAACCCTGTTTTTTTTTATACATGTTGGTTGTTATCAGAGCTGCGCTGCAGGAAAGAGTTCGAGGAAAAAGTTTGTTGCTCGTCCCAAAATAGTTCGGACGCTGAATTTGTGGGTTAGAAGAAACCCACAAACCCTGTTTTATCAACATTGCAGAGCATTTGCAGTGTTTTTTTGGGACTGGGGTCACACATGTAGCCTGAATGTGAAATATTAGCAGCCCTCATAGACGGTATTTCTTTGTTCTTGTCTCCAACAGTAAATCAGTGGAGCTGGAGGACCTACAAGATATCAACAGGAGTCTGACAGATGAACTGCAGGATTTACGCTCTGCTCATCAGAAGGAAGTAAGAAACAGAAACAACATTTTTGGGGTTTTGGGCACATGTAGAACATGCCTGCTAGTTGAAGTTTTTGATTTGTTTAACTTTTTACGGCAGTTGATAGTTTTTACGCAAATGTGCAGAGTAAGAAAAAAGAATGTAATGCCGCTTTTGTCCAGCAGATGTCAGGATTTCCCATATTTCTTATCACTGCCTTTGCCTCCATTATTGTTTAGCATTTACAGACTGCTAATCTACTTTTAGTGATTTTTTTTTTATTGCATAAATTCAGAGTCTTTGTCTTTGTCAAGCTCAGAGCCAACTCTCCTTGAAACAATGCAGCACAACATCACCCTGCCGCCAGCTCCTCCAATCACAAGAAATTGATTACCAACAGTGTCCCGAGGTCAGCGTTCCAACTAAAAACATGTCTGCTGCGGGATCCCGAGAAATTAATAACCCGAAACATAAAACCTCGAGGTTAAAATTAACGTCCTGTGGCCAAATTTTAAAAGCTGCAGCCACCCCGGAGACAAACACTAACTCACAGTTTGCTGGCATTAATGTGTTGAGTCTGGGCATCAGGGGGACATTCCTACGTACAGTCAGGATTTTTATTTATTCTGGGGCTCCGAGACTCACTCCCTGACCGGCCCCTGGTTCGACCAGTCCATCAGACAGCAAACCATCCAGGGACAGCTGTGAAAAACAGAAGGAGAGTATTTATCTGTGGTGGATCTCTGAGTTCAGAGATCAGGGGTGAAGTGTGACCCTGATCAGAGTCATCTTATCGGAGAGTCGTCAGTAGAAAACACGGTGATGTTGTGTTGTCTTTGAGGTGAGGGAGCTGCAGCAGGAGAACGAGAGGAGTCTGGGGAAACTCCAGGAGACAGCCGAGCAGTGCGAGTGGCTCTGTCAGCAGCAGCGCTACTGGATGTGCTGCGTCAAGAGGTGGGTGGATCTGAAAACTCTTTCAAAAGGTGCAACATCAACAACAACCTGCAGACACAAGTCATTTTTCACATTTGGCATTTCTGCGTCTGTGGCTGAAGTGATTATCTCACTGGCTTTGGCTGAGCAAACAGAAATTTTTTGACCAATAGTTTCATTTTCCCATGAACCTTTAAAGGACTAGTTCAGAGTTTTTAGTGAGATTATCCGCTACAAGACTTCTTTACACTGAAGAAAAGGAAGAAGAAGCGGTTTTATGCTTCAGATAATTTCCTTTTTGCGCATTATTTCATCCTTGTGGCCGATACTGGAGCCAAACTAGCAAAAAGACATATGTTCTCTGTCAAAGTATTGTTTTAGATGGAGAAAATCTACTACCAGGGGTTTGCAGAAGAAAAACAAAAGAGCAAAATGTCTGAACAGGATAGTGTTTATGCTGGCGTGTGAATGCTGCGCTGTTCTTGGAGGACTTAAGAGTTAAAGCATGTGCATGTTAGTGTTGATCAGAGATTTGTCGGGGGATGAAAGCTCACATTGTGACACCGGGGCTGCGATGGGAGATCATCCTTTGTCTGCTAACGATCGGTAATAAACCAGAGAGTCGAAAGCGTGACAGCTTTTGCGTTACAGTTAATAACCACTGATAAATCAGAGCCCTGCAGAAAGTTTTTCCAGTAATTTGATGAAGTAAGAGTCGACTGATACAGATTTTTCAAGCTATTATGGTTACTAATTATTGGTAGTTCATGATAGGGCTGGGCGATAAACCAAAAATTTACAGATACTGATATTTACAACGATAACCGACGTCATTTTGCCGATATCGGTATATTTGGTGTCAAATAAATAAATAAATAAAAGTTGGCTTTGGATGTGTATAGGTAGGCTATGGTCTCATGTCCCTTTAAGATGCTGTCCTACGTCAGAGACGTGACTCCACCCCATCCAGTCTGTAACAAAGAGGGAAAGACAGGTGAGGAGATAGAGGACGGTTCAAAAGCGGTTGAAGTAGATGAAGTTAATGTGGGAGGGGGTGAGCAGCTTGTGGAGTAGTTATCGTCTATTTTTCGTTATCGAGGTGAACTGATCAATAAATCGTGATATTGATTTGAGGCCATATCGCCCAGCCCTAGTTCATGACACAGATAATCGGTTAATGTAACTGAAATGCAGCGACAGTGAAAAAGAAAAACTTTCAGTCAATATTACAATCTCCAAAAACACAAAACTTTTTTCTCAATGTCTTCAGAAAACATTTTATCAAAACTAGAACTTTCAAGTTACAGTTTAACAAGTTCGACTTCTGAGCCAAAGTAACACAACTGTGAGTTAATTTGCATTACCTATAGTGGTCTATATATGGAGGTCATGCCTTGTTGTTTCCTACTCTGTCTAATATCCTCTTCAAATAAAGCGCAAAAAACCCCAAAACAAACAATTTAAAAAAAAAATTCTTCTACAGACGGCAGCTGAATGCTGAATATTGTCCAAATAATCGAACAAGACTGATAATCAGTCCACCTCCATTAAAAAGAGGATCTGTATTCCTTTAGTTTGCTTCCATAACAAATGCAAACCTTGGCAGGAGCCATGACAGTGAGTGACGGTGCTCATGGGAAATGCAGTCCCGTGAAAACTCCTCAAAGTGTCTTCAAGAGAAAGCTACTTCATTTTCCTGATTATCAGTCAACCTCACAGTGTCCCAGAAAAAAAACAAACGGTTTGTGGATTTTGCGCCGAGACTTTTGCATAAATCTTTAACACTTGAGTGAAAACAAAAAAAGGGGAAAGAAAATCTGAACTTCCAAGAAATGATTTAATGTCACATGTCCAAATTTTAGAGCCACTGCTGCTTAACCTCATCAATCATAACAGAGACGGTATGATTTCTGATGACCCGCTCCATATGTAACAAACATACTGTGCCCTTTAACAGATTCAAAGACTGTCTGATGGAGGAGAGAAAAGCTCTTCTGCGACAGGTCAGCACGCTGGAGAAGAAGGCTGAGACACTGAAGAAGAGTCCACGCCATGAAGATCCAACACAGAGTAACCACGGCTCTCCGCAGGACACCGAACGCTGTGACAGGTGAGGAAAAAGTTACAGAGCAGCGCCGGCGTACATTTCAGCGGCATCACTCAGAGCCAGAAATCAGCTCTGAGGAACTTTAAAATCATTCCCACCAAGAATAAAAAAGAAGAAAACAAATTCCTCTTCTTCTCCCCTGGTTTTTATAAATTTTCACTTTGGCTCACGCTTACATGAAGCAATAACCAACAATCAATCCAACCTCTCTGTCTGCTCAAACAGTTTATCATCGTGGGAAGCAGACGCAGTGGCTGACCTGGAGTCTCAGGTGGAGAAATCGAACACACTCTGTGAGGGGCTCTTTAATCAGGTACCACAGAAACTTCTTCAGCTCGGTTTAAACATGAAGAAAGTCTCATCCTGTTCACAAGCTCTCCAGTCAATGTTCTGAAGCTCCTCTTTTCACTGATGGAAGTGCAGAGCCGGCCCAAGCCTCAATGGGGCCCTAAGCAAAGTTTGATTTTGGGGCCCTCTATTTCTGCCAATAATATTGATTGTTGATCATTCACACACCTACTGCACTTAATGCACCTGACATGTCTTTACACATTTAAGGGGTCGGCCTAGGTAACAAAATAAATAATACCAATGAATGACTGATCAATGATGTTCAGGGTGCCACATACGGTTTTTAATCTCAAAATGTAACACATTCAGGATGCTCAGTGCACACGGTAGCAGAGCTTTTACACATCGGCAGCAGCACTAAAATGTTTTTACTCTATTTTATTTTAACAATAATATATATTTAATGATAGAGAAAGCATCATTCATACATGCAAACAGTAAAAAATATTAAAATTTTTATTTTTTTTTTTATTGCTCTTGGGGGCCCCCTACTGGCCGGTGGGGCCCTAAGCAGGTGCTTAGTTTGCTTATGCCTTGGGACGGCTCTGTGGATGTGCAAGAATAATAGTGAAAAGGTCGATAAAGGTGGAGTAAAAGGCTTCATGCATGCAGTCTTTCTAACGGCCACCAGGGGGCAACTTCATTTTTTTTTCACAAGAATCCAATCAGCCAGTTTAATACCTCAGCATAGTTTCATAACAAGTTCATAAAACAGACTGATGGGCCTGTTAAAGGTACAGTCTGTCGTTTTTAAGCAGTCTCTTGATCATATCTGTCTGCCAACACTCCTGATTTTCCCAGGACTCTCCCGTATCTTAAGGCCATCTCCCACCCTCCCTCCTGTTTTCTTATTTCTTCACAGGATTTGACGGCCATAAAATACTCATTTTAAAAACTCTACATAGCGCCAAAAACAAAACAAACTGTCGTTAAACGCACCTCAAGTGTCCGCTACTTGTACTGACTCTTGTCGGACAGTCTGTGGTGGTTATCTCTGGTGGTGCAGGTAGGCCGCATGAACCACATTGGATCTCATAAAAGCCAGAACCCGTCCTAGGTCTTCATGATTATATTTCTTTCTGTGTCAACATTTCAGAGCTATCAGGACTCGCTGATCCAGATGCTGTGTGTTTAAGTGTCTAAATGAAAGGCACAGTTATTAAGTTGTTCATAAACAGCAGATCGTCTGATGTGACAGATTTGTAAAATGTGTAAAACAGACTCTCACTGTTGTACAGTTAATGGTTTGCATAGACGGCGTGTTAAATAACCCCCGTTTACCACCGTAAGTGTGTGGCTTATTTTACAGCGGGGCATGAACCTTCAAATGAACCTTTGTTTTAAAAGCCACAACTTCGGGAGTTCGAAACTGTTTTTGGGTCAGAGACAAAGACCGATCTGATGACTGAAACAGAAGAGCTCCAAAAACACAGAGCTAATATTCATCTGGTGAGACTGCCAGTTCTTACAGAAGTTTCTGTACAGCCAAAAAACTCTGAAACCTCAACAGTGCTGGAGTCTCATCTTTATTTTTCTCTTTTCAGGCTTATTAAAAAAAAAAAGCCTTTACGCAATCAATGGACGACCACAAAATGTTCCATCAGCGAAGAAACTGATGATCAAATACTGATGGTATCTCCTTTAGTTACAGCAGATCTTTAAACGCCAGGTTTCTGCTGAACGATAAAGTCACGATGATCAATATTTTTAAGGGTCTGCTTTAAGTGATGAACCTGCTCAGCTTCACAGTCTCTGGATCGGAGACAGCTTTAGATCTTGAGGGAAAATGTCATTAATCCAAAGTACACAGCTCAAATTCATGGTGGCACAGCTGCCAGTCTGCTGTGGTTGTTTTGGTGCCAGGATTAAAAAAGAAAAAAAAGAGTCTGAACTTTTTAGAGCGGAGGAGTCTCATCAGTGTTTTTGTTTTGTCTGTCTGCTGCGTGTGTTTTTAAAGACACTATAAATGGTGCTCAGTCATAAATCAGGGACAAAAAAGCTCTGTGTTATAAAGCCATTACAGAAAGTGCCACTAGAGGGCACTGTCCCTTTTTAAACACCTTATCCAATTGCAACAAACCTCCCCCAAAAAGACACGTATCACTGTAAAAAAAAATAGAGTGAGGATGCATTTGAAGCAGCTTTTTGTGTTTAACCTAAATTCCCTTGATTAGTAAAGCTGAGTTTAGTTTTAACCGTATTTATTGAACTTCTCTTCTTCTTCTTCTTCTTGCAGTTGCTCTTTACTCTCTCACTATATACTGGACTAATCTGCTTGTTTTACATTTAGATACAGCAGCTCTGAGATTTTTCCTTTAAAAAATGTTCTCAATTACAAATAAAAAGTGAGATACAAATTAATTTAATGTTTTCCGAGTGGAGAACAACGTTGGCAATCTCCTCCAACCTGCTGCAGCTTGATGCACAGTTCAGTTTCTGCACTGGGATGACCTGGGATACGTGCAGCTCATCTGGACTTCATGAATCACCACTCCTCCAAACAAACAGGCTGTGAGGGTCAGGACAGTGCTGCGCTTCATGCTTTGCTCCTTTTCACTTTGAACTTTGTTCATTCAGTCTCTGTTGCTTTGTGTATTTTTACTTCATGTTATTTTGCTTCACTTTGTGACTTCAAACTTTTTTTATTTCATGCACTTCTTTGCCCTGCTTGCTGTGTTGCTTTGGGCCCTGTGTAGGGCTGGGCGATAAATTGAAAATATACTGAAATATACTTTACCCATCCATCCATCCATTTTCTACTGCCTCTTCCCATACTTTGTTGATTTGGGCGACATTGCTTCACATGCTGTATTGCTCTTCAGTTTCTTGATGTGCACTTTGTGACTTCATGCTGTTCTGCTCCGCCTGCAGTTTCTGCTTACTTTGCAGTTCGTCACTTTGCACTTTGCTTCTTCCTCTTTGAATCTTGCCTCATGTGCTGTGTTGCTCCATGCGTCCTACTTCATCCCTTCACCTTGCAAGATATTTTGCCAATATGTTGCTTTGCACTTTGTTTCTTCATGTTTTGGACGCCGCACGCATTCTTGATCCATGATCCGTCATGGGTTGCTTCCCTTTGCTCCTCGATGTTTCACACTTTCTTGCTTCACGTGTCCCGAGTTGCTTGTAAACCGTTTGGACACTGAGCGTTATCTACCTGCTTTTGCCGCTGACCCACGCTCACTCCTGCAGCCTGCTGTTTGGACAAGCAGTAATAATTGGATTTTTTTCACAAGTTAGAGGGTTTGGATCAGGAATAAAGAGATTTCATCATAAACAGAGTCAAGAACACTGAGAACAAGTTTCCTGTGTAACATGATTTATGAGGCAACTTCTGATGTGCTCATGATGTAGTGTTACTTTTATTTTCCAGATGTCAGCAGTTGGGCTACTTTGGTGGGTAAATGTTTTTGTGAGTGAACGTTTGGACTCCAAAAATAAGACTTGAGCTGTCTGTATGTTTATATGGAGGGGAATGATAATTATTATTATTATCAGCCCTCTGATTTAACGAGTAAACAAGCTTTGAGAGCACCTTCAGTGTCTTCATATGATAACAGCAGAGCCTCAGCAGACAGGGGTCATACTGTGCTTCAGATCTGAGGGTTCATTTATTCGTCTGAATCCAAAGAAGCGAACATCTTTTGATTCGTAGAAAAGAGTCTCCACCTTTAGAGGGACTCGTTCAGGTCTTTTAAAATTCCTGGATCGGGTTTAAATGCAAATCTCAGGGGTGAAGCCGAAATTCAAAACAGAGCGATATTCATCTGAGGACGGCTGCCAGCCCCCTGTGGACCTGCAGAGTCCTGCCAGGGCATTCATAAAACTGATACTTGGTGGGCAGCAGGGTCTGATCAGTGACTTATTTTCTCTAAAAACTTCGAAAGCCATTTCGCAGTCAAACAGGAACCCTACAGTGTCCATGAAGAGCTGCTCCAGGAAGCACTCACAAATCCTGACAGGGCCTCAAACGCCTCGTCCTCCTGGATTATGCCGATGGTGAAGATCCCTAAAAGGTGCTTTCTGGCTGCCTTGGGATTTTTTAAAAGAAAGCTCCCACATCTTTCAGAGTGACAAGTTCAGTGTTTTAGGAATCTGTGGATAAGAGGAAGCCTGACAGACAGAACTTAGGGCTTATCCTCGTGTGCTGCCAGTCCCCAGAGGAGCTGCTGCTGCTGCCAAAGCCTTGAGAGATCGCTGATACTTTCTGGGCACAGGAGTCCAACATTAGACCTTTTCCCTTGTCTGTCGGTCTGTCTTTCTGTCTGCTGCACATGGCTTCCTCCCAAGCTGTCCGGGTCCTCTTCCAGAGCAGCACAGAGATGACTAATAAAGACTGGGGGGAGCGGATTGCCAATAGCCTCTGTGCTTCATTCCCCTCACCTCTCACAGACTCTGCTGCGCATTTCTTCAGATAATTATTCTGATTGAGTGCAGATGATGCTTTTTTTCCTTCCCAGAAGTCTCTGCAGAGCTGAGAGAGGGAGGAAATGTAGCTGGAGGAGCCGGGATCGCCGGAGACAGAGAGGAAACAACCATGAAAACACATTACCAGCTCAGATGGGATTTATACGAACTGTAGATTCACACTTTTGTGGACATGAGAGTCAGTTTGGGGCTGCTAAAGAGATAAAAGAAAAGCACAGGTCCTGAAACAGGAAGTATAGGAGGCATGGAAGTGTGACTCCAAGAAACAAAGCAGAGCAAAAACCTGTTGACTGTTTCAGCAGGAAAGTTGAGGATGAAGCCAGAATCATGGAGGCTGAAAAGAGCGGATGATCTGCAATGGTGCAAATGACCTTCAGTCGGAGGAACATCCTGCAAAAGGCCAAACAATGCACATTTGAAAGCAGATGCAAAAAGTCTAAAACAGTGAAAAACATCATGCAAAACAACCGCAGTGTGAGCAGATGCACATAATTCACACAAAACCAGAAAACTGACAAAGAAAAATGCTGCAAAGTCGGACTGAACATGAAACAGCTTCATTGAGAGGACAGGGACAAAACCCAAACCCCACGGTCCATTAGTGATCACATGCCAAACCACATGACCATGGACGCCACCAGAGCAGAGAGTGCCTGAGGATGATCTGTTCTTGTTGGCTTTACTTTCATTTGATTCACCAGGAAAATGGTGACGAACTCGGATCAGTTCGGTTCAGAGCAGGAAAGATTCTGGTGTTGGTGTTTGGAGGACATGGTTATGAGAATTCAGGTATTTGTGTTAGCGCTTGATAACAGTCACTACTTTGACTTTGAAGATGGTAATGTGATTGCTCTGAGTATATAACGCCACCTTTAAGCACGTAACCATTTGCTGGAAAACAATCGTAAGAATGACGTCAAACTTTTCCCATAAGCTTCGAGCCACGTCACCAAACTGAGGTAGTAAACGGGTCTGTAAGTGAGTTAGCTCATTCAGCAATAATTCCCTCTGATAGCATTCCTCCGAATAGCAAATCAGTTCACGGATTCATCTGCCAAACGGCCTCCTCTACGGAGAACAGAGATGCCTGTACACCTGCAGGAATGAAACTTGGAGGGAAGACAGACGCCTTTCAGCTCTGCGGGCCTCTGAGGTAGCAGATACGTGATTCAACAGCCTCTTCAGGAACTCTTAAGGACCTAAAACCTGACTACATTTTCCAAACAGTTGAAATGTAATCCTCGATGTGCTGTTGGAACAGAAGTTACAGCTTGGACATCTTAATCCTTCAATGTCCTGACCCACATTTCCTCACTTGGACGTTTTTCTCGAAGCTATTTTCTCTCTGATTTCCCCTCTCGCACACTCTTTATGTTTATTGTCTTTGGTCATCTTCACTTATGGTTTATTTTTCTGACCTCAGGCGGGGAGCCCTATCAACGGACACCAGAAACCTCCTTGAGGACAGAAGCCTGGAGCCTGGACTCGTCTTCCCTTTCCCTTCCCACCTTCTGCAGTCCAGCGTACGACAACTCCATGTTTGTGTGTGTGGTTAGCTTTGTGGAAACCTTCCCAGTCATTGTCAAACAAAACTTGAAATAACATAACCTGTGAAACCAAACATTTAAAGTTTTTGTTCCACCATTGTTCGGCTGTCTGTAAAAGAATCCACTCCATGATAAATGACTGAATGAAACACAGTGCGGCGTGCTCTTGTCCTCCCTTCGCTGTGACACATGCACATCACATGTTCGCGAAGTCGCATTCTCCCGTAATCGTCCATTATTCAGACCTTTTAATCACAGCACGGCTAACAAGAACAAAAGCACCTGAGAATGCTCTTTTGTTGTTTTGCCAGAGAGTCCTCACGGGGAAGCAGCAGCTGGTCCGCAGAGCAAATAACAAACGTGCTGTTTGGAGCAAAGTGAAGCCCTACTGATCGTCCCCCCGCTGAGAGTCTGGTCCGTTTCCACTCTGATGATCACATCTCCGCACTTATCTCTCTCCTTTCTCTTGTCAGAAAGCATCTGCAAAGTGTGTTTGAGGTGACGCTGGCTCAGTTTGAAAAGGCCTCTTCATATGTGAGCCATATGATGCACACAACAACAGTTTACGCGTAAGGTAAATGTTTGGGGAAAGTCATTCGAAGCGTGGGCGAAAGGTGGGTTTCCAACCATCAGCTTTTATGCGTACTTTAGTTTTTATGCAAAATAAACCTGTGTGAAACAAATTAAAAGGATGGAAACAATGTCAAGCTTCTGAAAAGAGGTAAGATAGTGAATGCAGCGCTTTACTCTCACTGTGTAATTGCACCCAAATGGAAAATTATCTACACAGGATGAACACATACCTGAATATAAATCTGTAGAGGCACAATCTGCTCTGTATTATCTGTAATTCTAAAAAAGAAAGTCAAATTTCATGCTACGTGCTTCACTGGTGCAGCTCCGGTCGTCTCTGTCAAACCTCTGCGACACATAAAGACAAAGTCAGAAACTCTCGTTTCAGCGGCATGTCTTCATTTCCTCCTTGTAAAAAAAACCAGAAGAACGAGGTTTCATTTACGTTATTTCATTTCCTCGTTATCCTGGACTTGGTCTCTCTATTCACAGGCAGCGGGCTGCACACCAGCAGCAAAGCACATCTATAGTGTCCTTCATTGAAGGAGGAGACTCTAAAACTTGTTGCAGCTTGTCCAAAACTGACCATTCAATGACCACCTCAGTGACAATCCAAGACCTACGTATGTCCTTCACCTACTATGTAACTGTCTCCACACACCAAGCGTGAGTGAAATCATTTGCACAACTTACTTACATATTGAGTTAATACAAAGACGCAATTAGACGCTTGCACTACTCTGCCGTTGCGAATGACGCGAATTGGGCGAGAGCTTAAAATGTCTCAACTTGAGCGGATATTCACGTCACGATAACTAAGCAGCAAGAAGGTTGCCGGGTGACATGAAAACGGATGGTTGTTCACTGGTATCTAAAATGGAGGACTAACTGATCGTGTCGGTGTGTGATGATGATTTTACTCGCGCTTGGTGTGAGCGCCCCATTAGCGCGGGAAAACTACTCCACTCTACATTATCTGCACCATGACCTTCAAAATCAAGACAACTATCCTTGAAACCACCTTGAAAAAATCATGTGTTAAAATTGGCTTTTTAACCTATGAATTGTTCTTTTATTGTCTTTTCATATTGCGTCTTTTCTAACCTTCTACACTTTTAGTCTTATTACTCAACATTTTCTGTATTTTAAATTGTGTTTATTTTTGTAAAGCTTCTTTGAGCACCTGTAAAAGCTTGTTATAAATAAAATGTATTATTATTTAGACACACTTCGAAGCCATAACTCTCAATAAATGCTCAACACAGATATCAAACATGGTTTAATAAATGAACAAGCATAAACTCAGATAAATTCACCACCTTTATTCTCATTTTTAAGGAGCCTGTAGACTTGAGAGAAGACCAGGTCCAAACTTAGTTCTGGTTCTAACTTGCAGCATGAGCACAACCATATTCAGTCACTTAAACCCAGTTGGTAAAGTTCTGGAAAAGATTGTGTTTTTCATTAAATATTGATGAATGTTGATGTCAACTTAGACTAAACAGGATGGGCTGGATTTTTAAATATTTATTAAAGCTGTAACCTTTTTTCCTGACCTCCATTACAACTTTAAACGGAGTAAATCTGAGCAGATGGAAAACCGGATAAAAGTTTGAGTCTCAGGTGTCCTGGTCCTGTTCTTCGTACCTATCTCAAAGGTTTTTGTTTAGAAAACCTTCAATTGCCACCAGATATATTTGGAAAATGTAAAACATGGTGAAACTGTAAGTGAAGCAACATTTTGATTTGGCAAGGAGCTCAAGGGAATAATACTTTAGGAGGAATTACTTTCCAGACTCTTTTTGCTGCCACAGGTGTGTGACAGTGTCTCCGAGTGAACAGGTCGGTCTGTAGAGGACAAATAAAGACAACGATGTGAAACAGCCAGTCCACTGAGGTTTGGGTGAAGGGTTCAATCATCAGCAGTTAAGAAGTGAACCGGCTCTTGCGAGTATCATAGGGGGTTTCCCAAACTGCTCCAACTTTTCAATCATTTTAAAAACCTCACCGGGTGTTGAGAGAGGATTTCGGCACATTTCAGTCAACACAGAGCTCCCTAAATTGTTACTCAGCCTGTATGAGACCACAGACTTTTTTTTTAAAACCCAGTATTTGTCTGAAAGTTGTCAACTTGATGAGAGGGTTTTTCTTGAAGGCCTGGTCTGGAGAGATTCAAGGACTCTGGGTTCGCAGGGCTCAAGATGGATAAGCTCTGCGGCCATGAACGTAACACACCAAACCAAGATCGACCGAGAGCGAAAGAAAAGTGACTCTGTGTCAAATTTATAAACTTAAAACACATGATTAAATATGGAGTTGTTTTTCACTTGAAATGATTCATCTGGTGACACTTTGGCTCGGCAGGAAAACTCAAAATCATCCTGATATCTGTGGAGTCGGAGTGAGGAGACGGCAAAGACCTGCACAAAGATCACTTGGGATACTGGGGTTCGTACCGTTACAATCTAGTCCACAAGACAACTGACCCTTTGAAATGAGTTACTGCCATCCCCGAAAGGGTTGATGTGCAGAGTTCAAAGAAGACGAGCTAAAAGGACTAGCTGGGTAAGATCCTGAAGTCCAGGACCGAGCGTGAGGATACCGGCGAAAGTAAAAGCAAGATAATGACATGTACCTGCCGTTTAATCTCCTTTGATAAGTTTGGCCCCAACCCTGAGGGACGCCGTAGGCAGCGTCGGCGGCGGCCCGCCCTCTGACTGCACGGAGCCAAAACAGTCTGACCTACATGAGCTGTGAATGGCAGAGGTGTAGCCAGAGATTAACAACGTGTGGCGGCTGGAAACAGGTCGCGTTTGCACACAATAAATACAGTTGCACCCGCCTGAGCAGAACGAGACTCAGACATTATGGGGGTTATTAATAGAACAATTATGGGTGCAGGAAGAATAGCATGTTTATGTGCAGGCGTCATTACAGCCAGAAAAACACGTCTCAGATGTTTAAGACCAGGATGTTCCAATTAAAAAAGTCAGACTTGTTAAAAATGGGGGTTTATATTTCCAAGTGCGACTTTTTCTGTCTTTGCACTTGCTTGAACAAACACAGATTATGTGGTATACGCTCTATGTGGCTTATACGGATAATAAACAGAACCACATGGGTGTGATTGTTTGGAATAGAAAAGGGATTATCAAACATTTATGAGAGCTGCGGCGCTCTGAGAGAATATTCCTGTTCCTCTGCAAAGAAAACAAACCGGGAGATGTTTCAGCACATATTTGTTTGCGGCTTGGAGCTTCAGTAATACGACAAAATGTTGGTGAAACATGGAGTCACGTCTTATTCACTTCTGTTAGAGATGAGACTCTAACCCAGCCGGAGGTAAAAGTTGTTTACTGCCGAGTCCTGAGTGTGCACTGCTGTTTGGTTTCATCAGATTGATTACTATGAATGTTCTGGGACCCACAAACAGCTGAGCGGCATGCTAATGTAAAACAGAGCGGCATGATGCAGCTTTCCCTCTGACTCTGTTTTGATGGGTATGTAAATGTTTAACAGGGTTCGCCGGTAAACACACACAAGGGTGAGGTGTTGGGGTTTAGGGGGGGTCTTGTTTGGTAGTAGCGGATCTAAGCTGTTAGCACCTACGCTGCTCGCATGCTAACAGTATGTCGGTACAAGTAAACATGAACACTGGCATCGAGGGGAGGAATTCTTCTCACAAACAAAATTAACAGCTAAGTTAGAAAAAACGCAAACCTGGCGAAGTGCGACAGAGGGCGCCAGGTATTCTGGCAAAAAAGCAAACTTATAGCGGGGTCAGAGCTTTCCACCTGCGTTTCTTAATAGAAGCTAAACTCATGAGGGCTGCGCATCAGTTTCATTTAAAGCCGTTGTAAAACCAAGAACATGCTAATAAATATGGAATAAGAAAGCATCGAGTTATGCTCATGAACAACTTTTAAGAAATACAGTGCAGCAAATGAGAGCAATAGTTCCAGTTAATACTAAGTTATCCTTAATGGAAGTCAGCAAAGGTGTACCTCAAGGATCTATCCTTAGACCACTTCTGTTCTCTCTGTGTATCAATAACAGTGGAACGAATGGTAGAATCAATCCTTACGCTGATGATACCATAATATATTCCTCGAACAGTGAAGCTCTCTGCAGTTCCAGGCTGACTTTGAATCATCCTACCGAGCTCTGGTTCATCTTAGGCTGATGCTGAACCCTTTAAAACCAAGTATGTGTATCTCTCAAGGCTAACTTGTTAACATTAGATAATGTGTCCACCAATTTAAATACTCATACATTTGGAAAGGTCAGTTATGCTGTATACACATGTAACTGCTTCTGTATCTAAACCGGTGGATATAATATATCACAGCGCTCTTAACCTTTACCACAGGTCACAGATCTCAAACCCTCCCACTGTATCTTATATCGCTGTGTAGACTGGTCCTTGTGTGATCATCATACAGAGCAACACAGTACTGTTTTTTTAATGGCGCACTTTCACATATTTTTCCTATGATGCAATACTTAAAAAAACAAGGTTTAGTCCTGAATAAGTAGAGGCTACTTTTAGTATCATTGCTCCTGTAATCATTTTCAGATGACATCTTAATGTTTCGTGTTTTTGAAGAATAAATGTCTGAGCTACTCAAGAAAAAAAAGTAAATGCAAATGATTTAAAATGTGAAAATGATGTTGAGGATAAATAAATAGATCTAGTGCTTTATTTGTCTTTCTGCAGTGTTTTCTGAATCATGAGCGTGTTATTTACTCACAAAGGAGTGAGTGATGGTAGGCGTCAGATTTGATGGCTTTGTGGTGAGTGAGTGAACTTTTATGACATGATGCAAGTCGTAGGAACACAAAAGCAGAACGAGACGCTTACGTGTTAGAAGATGCTCCTAAAGGCCACTAGGGGGCGTCTCAGTTGGTTCCAAAAACAGCCTTTTCTGCTGTTTGTCATAGTTTTTAATTTCATCCAACACAACAAAAGTTTTTCTGTTTCCGAGACGGTCAGACTTCTTCGAGGTCCTGCTCCTCCACAGCGTCAATGTGAATACTCAGACCCATCCATTACCTCCTGGCTCACAGCCTCTTCTTTTTGTTTAGTATAGATTCAATAGGCTCTCTGCAGACAAAATATGATGAATGTATGCACCATGTGACGATGTGTGTGTTCTTGTTTTGCAGTCCAAACGAGAGCCAGTGAGAGTTTTCATTCTTCGGTGAGGTCCATTTGGCCGGTCTTTCGCTTCTTCCAGGAGCGTTTATGGGGTTTGGACTTTAGTTTAAGGTAAAACTTGTGGTTTAGTGCGTCAAGCTGGAAGGAAAATGGCTTGAGGTTTGGGGGGGTGAATGTGGACAATGAAGGCAGCTGTGGTGCATGTAAACTCGTACATCTCTGCACGTGTATTCCTGCTTGACAGTGGCAAGATGTTGACACAGCGGTGACCCTTGGCTGGCATGTGGCGGCGGCTTATTTTACAGCTCATAGGGTGACTGAAGGGTGAATGTGTGTGTGTGTGGCGGCAGCGATGAGCCCCAGACGGCAACCTCGGCTGCTCGGACCATTGAGAGCACAGGTGAAGCACGGCGACGCTGCATCAAGCCGGCTGGGAGAAAAAACCTCCCTTTACTGTCGTACGAAGGCGAATGTCAACGGTCTGGAAGACAGATGTGCTTTATGTTGAGAAATATACTTTCCACTCTTTGGGCTGTTTACACTGGCTGACTTTGTGACTGATATTATGGCGACTGTTTCTCATTGTTATTAGATTGTCAATATTGCCAGTTTTCTTACGAAATTTTGATAAATGGCCGTAAAGGAGATTTCCAGAGCCATACAGAGGGAGGTAAAACCCGTAACCTTAATTTGACTTCAGGCCATGAACTCCACTTTTCATGACAGACAGTTTTTCTGTAAAACCAGGTACATAAATTCTGTAAAGTGGGATGAAAACACACTTTTCAGTGCATGCAATCGGCTGGATGAGCCTAGATGAACTTGGTGAACACATTGAGACGACTAAAAAGTAAACTCTTTGCAAAATAATGAATTTTGTGACAAGATTTGGATGAGAAAGCTAAATTTTTTTAAGGCTTTTTTTGTGCTTTAACAACCAAATTTATATCTTCTGCTTATTATCTTCGTATACTCGCTTAGCAAGCAGAAGATATAAGAGACTTTAATGTCATTGTAGCATGACAAAACAGTAAAATTCTGTTTGGTAGCTTCAAGCGACCAGTGTTGCCAACTCCTCAGTAAGGAAACTCGCTAGTGGCTGTCATAAAAGTCGCTAGGAGTCCCTAGATGACGCCATTAATTTGCATAATTTCTCCATCAAACCCACTATCGCCCACTCCCCCACCTCCGGGAGGAGGAGGAGGAGTCTTCTGCGGGGTGTCCGAGTGTCTGTGTCCGTTGAGAAGAGTGACATCTATTCCTGTGTTTATGTTGGAGTCTCTAAACTCCAGACAAAGTCGCCTGATTTGTTGCTAGGCGCTTTTTTGAAAATAAGTCACTAGGGGGGTCTGAGAAGTCGCTAAATCTAGTGACAAAGTCAAGCGACCAGCAGCAATAAGAAAACATCAACTTTACATGACAGTTTTTCAGTCATGAAATGATGCAGGCAGCAACCTCCGGTCTTGAGAAATGAAGCTGGTGCTGAAGTGATAAAACTGCAATTCCCTGAGTGTCCACTTGAGGCTAGCTGGCTGCAGAGCCACTGGAAACCATGTTCACACTCAGCAAAAATGAAGACATTAACAGCCTGGTCCAAAAAGCTGATGTGGTCTGAACGGCTCGGAGCTCCCATGGCATCCAGAAAGTCATTTTTTTCTGTTTTAGTATCGCAGCTGTTACTTACTAATATTAAAGTGGATGTCAGATCGATAGGTTAGCTCTTGTTACATTAGCTGCTGTCATGATCTTACAAACAAGTTGTGGTTCTACGCAGTGATGGAGGGTCTTTTTGGATGGACCAGCCCGAAGTTTCAGTGACAGCTGAGACTCAAATCCAGAAGAGCCATGTTGTGGCTCTTCGCTTCTTCTTTAAGTCTTAGTTTTTGGAAAGAGAAAACAGCTTTGACGCTTCTTCACAACCTCAAGAACACTTTCAGAGACGTACTGATCAACAGCAGAGCTAAGTGGGGCAGAGAAATGGACTTGCCAGGTGAGGGAAAGTCTGAAAGAGACTTACGGGAACCTGGAACCATGTCTTTGGATTCCGCTGTAATATTCATGTTTCTTATTATCATAAAACTTTCAGAGGACATCCAACAAGAGTTGATTTGTACTCATGAACAGACTGATAAGAAAGTCTGTGTTTCACAAGCAACACAGGACGGTTGGGTTTAAAAAGACGAGCCACGTGTTTACCCATGAAGGTGATAATTAAAATTTACGTCAATGAAACGACAAGAAAACAATATGAAGACACAGCAGAAGGTCTGCAGAGAAAAACAGAGGATTGGTATATTAAATAAAGAAGCTCTATGCGCTACAGTTTATAGATAAAGTCTCAACAGCAAAAACACAACGAATCAGTGCTGAATCGAGCAAATCTTTCAGTCCATAAAACTCCACCTCATCACCATGATTTGACCTGTTTTACTTTCCCTGAATTGTTCGGATTAAAGACACCAAACATAACGTCTAAAGGTGCACAGCTGTTCCTTTCAGGGGTTCAATAACTCATGCATGCAGACTGTTTTGATTCCTCAAAGTCCGTGTTTGCAGACCTCTTCTCTAACGTTACTCTGACTGCTGAATTTCCCCCTCAGTGTAACACCGACATAAAGTCAAGCTGAGCCGCGCTGCTGGCACCAATTTGGTGTACAAGGTGCACCAGGTTGTAAACATTTCCTCCTCAGGATTTGGCAGCACGCAACATCTGTAATCTATTTTCTCTCTGAAATGCCTTTTTGTGTGCCAGGGCAGGACTGTTGGAGAGCGCTTTCTTTCTCCACACCATCTTTGTTTTTTTTCACCTCTTTGTCAGGATTTTGGCGCCTTAAGAAAGAGGAAAAGGAGAGGCCTGTGAAGGATCCTTTTTGTCAGTAGTAAAGGAGGGATGTCTTTCTTTGCCTTTCCTCTCTGTTTGGCGGTTGAATCCTCAAATGATCTGCCGTCGGGCTCCTGGAGGGCGTTTATCATGTTGTTTGTAGGAAAAGTTCTGTCAGTGCTCTTTAAATCTCAGCCTCAGTATGTGGAGCTACGATGAAAGCTCTGAGGAACGAGGAAGCAAAAAGCCCAGTCAGACCCGTGATTCTAAACGTGTTCAGTTGTTTCCTCTATACTGAGCCCAGCTGACCGGGGCTGCACTACGCTGCTGCTACGCTCCAAATACGCATCCTGTATACGATAGACAGCACTGCTCTACGGAGCAGATACACGATGCTGACAGAACGCGCTCAGTACGGATCCTGTTTTTTTTTGTCTTGACGTTGGTTTTGTCATTTACTGTACATCCACTTAAATATTTCTAATGCCATTTGCCAACTGTTTTGATATGTAATAGATCAACCGTGAGACGACTGGAAAGTAAGCTAAAAAGAGGCATGTCGCCACCTACTGTAGCGGAATGAGACGTGCTTCAGTCAATAATTTGATTCTTGTGCTGTACATGTAAATCCTCTAGATCCCCTAATTGAGCTGTAACTGCAGCTGAACGTAACTGTGCATGTAAACGTACTGACTGTGAGAGACTGTGTGAGCAAATAGTTCAACCACAAAGAAACATCTACAGTGCGTCATAGCCTTAAATGGATCAAATGAAAAAACAGTCATGACTCTGTAGTAGAAATCAACTCTTTCAGAACCCACTGAGATCACATTTTGTCGCTGTAACTTCAAACGGATGTTAAAACTGCACTATGCAAAGAGAGTATAAAGTGTCTCCTGTGAGCTAACAACTCAAAGCTTGTCATTCTTTGTGGAAATCATGGATGCTGCACCCTCCACTTCAAAGAGGCAGCATATGTTTGTCATTAAACGAGGGATTATTTTAGTTTCGACATCCAATACATCATCTTTCTAATTATTACCATTTTCATTTTCAATCAAATAATTTTCAGTAAATTTTTGTCTAGAAATCAGGATTTCTGTGACAGTCTGTGAACTTTTGAAATCCTGCTGTGGTCAAAAGTCACAAAAGTTCAACAAACATTTATGCAGATGCAGCAGCTCACCCTGTGTTTGATTTGCATGTTTTATCTGCATCATATCTGACATGAGTGGACTTCCTCCTGACTAACCACTGGAGGTCCCTCTTGCTCCAGGATTGCCTCCTCAGTGAAATCCCGCTCAGCACCCAGTGAGACATCCCTCAAATGTGTCTTCAATTAGTGGGCTGCAGTCAACACCAAGCTCTGAGCTGGAATGTCAGCTGAGCTGGAGATAACCTTCCTGGTTTTCTTTTATCTCTCCATAAAAACCCCAGAGAAGCACGGCTCACTTGTGGACGTCCTGCACACATTTGAAAGCAGACTCAGAGCAGAAAACAACAAAAAAAGAAGGAAAAGCCACTTCTGAGACAGACTTTGACTTCAGATTTGATGTGACTCATCCTGATGGAGTTCTGGGCTGCTCCTGCATGTGAAGTAGCTTAAGGCTGGTTATTGGAGTAAATATACCCGTCTGGTAACCCTGTAATGAAAGTGTAAGACGAGAGGATGAACTCGCTGTGAGCACAGGTGAAGATTCTTCAGCAGCAGGGTGCAGGGATGAAACACAGGCACATGTTACGGTTTGATCGGCACCGGCTTTGAACACGGTTACGGGTTTAATGTCCTGATATTCAATATCCAACTTTTTGATAAATTGAATGTTGAAGAATTTTAAAAATTCAGCGTTGACCCTGGATTTTCATTCACTGTAACGTGGGAAAGTTTTACAAATTTAGGGCCGTCATGAGACACCAGAACTCCAGACTAATAAACTATTTTAGGTTTCTGCACCTTTTTACAGCAGGAAACTCACCACACCTATAGACGGGTCCTGGGATTTATAAAGCCTGTATGAAAAATATATAGAAAGAGAAAGAGTTAAATGAAACCTTCTTACTGTGCAAGCTGATACGAAGTGTCAGGGACCGAGTAAGACCCCTTTTGTCTACGTTAGAGACTGCTGTTCAGATCAGAGCAGTTTTTAGGAGATGGCAAGATGTACGAAATGTTATCAAACATGACCCGAACACTGAAGCTCTGCATGCATGTGTTTAAATAAGGAACATAAATGTTAATAACAGAGTTATAGTGATGTTTTTAAACTCTTAACTTCTTTAATTAGGTGTAATAAAAGAAAGTGGGTTGGTTTACGTGCAGTTCCCTGAATGTCCACTAGAGGCTGAAAGCACAAAGGCCCCTGTGTCTTAAATCTCTTTTCCGCACAACTCTGATTCCTTCCAACTTGCCTTATCAAGCTACACTGCAGGTTAAAGGTGCAGTAAGGAGTTTTTTTCACTGGTTAATTGGTTGAAATGAAACCATCAGCGACCAGAATGATACTGTCTCTGTTGAGATTGTAAATGCAGTCAGACACTACTTTGCATACGCCAAACAAAAAAGTATCATTATATCCACAAGGGGGCGCCACGATTGACACAAAACAGAAGCCCCTCATTGTAGCTTTAATGTCAGGTATGACTAAAGGTGCTCAGAGTGACGAGAAGGTGCAAAAAATGAGCAAATA